GACTCTTGGCACTCTTAGGTGAGCAGACTTAGTCAGCCTGTGTTGCCCTAACAGCAGGCCTTTGACACCCAGGTTGCCATCTTCAGTCTTGACCTTGCTCTGGAGCCTGTCAATGTGAGAGTTGGATTCGCTCATACCAACACAGGCCAGTTGCAACGTGATCTAGTTCCAGACTCAGCTCAAGATCACAAGCAATAAGCTAGGATACTCACAGAGAGCTCTGGACCTGGAACAATCCCAACCTCATGCAAATTGACAGCCAGGTGCATCAGTGCCTTCTGGTAGGTGGTGTGAGATCACCCGCATGGCTCTCTCTTCTGCCAAGGATACAGTGTCTGGTGCCAACTCTCATCCATGTCTTCATCCCTTGAACTAGCACTTGAACTAGACTTGCAGGAGATGGGAGCACAATAGTAGGGCATGGGCATGTGGCATTCCTCAGATGAGTGCTTGGGCATTGCAGTGGTGGAAACTGGGGAGATACAGGCTCTTACAGTGTTCAGTAGTAGTACTAGAGGTTGTTTGGTGCCGGTGTCATGTCAGGAGCAGCAGTAACACAATCATTCACATGACATCTCACATCTACCCCAGGTCTAGAAATTGTTGAGGGTCCTGACATAGTTATTCACATCCTGCCTTCTCTCCCCCATGCCTGCTGGATGCGCATCATCTTCTAGAGCTTGTGCTAGCACCAGTTCTTGCCCAGTCAAGCTCAATGTCTTCCCCTCCATTGTGAATTATTGCTGCAAGGCCTCTCACAAACTCTTGCGCATGGATCTATACTTGTACTCCCAGTCACAAGCTGCTTGGGCAAGTTCTAGTTCAAGAGGCACAACTGAGGGTTCCTCTCCAAACAAATACTCTAGGCAGCCCAACACACTCTCTCTGCAGGCCTTGAGAGTACATCAAGCCCAAGAGCAAGCCCAATGAGCTCAGGCTCTTCACAGTATGGGCAATTATGGTCCCTCCAACCACATTGCTGACAGCTTGCTCCTAGATGATGTTGAGCTTGCTCGAGCAACACACTTCCTTGGGCGAACCTATGAAGCTTGTTATGCCAGAGCCCAAGAGGACCAAGCCAAGAATTTGGCTATGGACTTTGACCAGGGGATCAGTCACAATTCGGACAATGGCTGGCATGACAATGAAGAGCAAGTCACTGTGGACAACTTCTGGGCCCAAATGAAGTAAGCCCTTGATCCAGCTCTATAATCAGAGCTAGAAATCAACCTGAAACTACCTCAGCAAGGAAAACTGACATTACATGCACAGTCATGGTGCTCACACCCAACAACTTTGGGATATGGATTCCTGCTGGCAGGCTAAGCTCCCAGTCCTTGTGTGTGCCCTTATCCAGTTTCAGTATCAAGGACTGGAATGGTTGCCCCATTCCTCAGTCTTGATGTCTGCCCAGACCACCATGGTGCTGGTCATCAGCTTGACAGGTGCACTTGCTCTAGGACTAGACCCAAACCAGGCACTAACAGCACTAACATTAACCCGGACTAGCCATCAAGAAGCAGTCATTTACCTGCACAAGTGAGGGAGAAAGCCTTCTAATACATTTGCTTCAACATGGGCTACTGGCATCTACCCCGGAACATCCTGAGACCATTTTCAGCCCTCAGGTGCTGGAACTGCTGCATCTTGCTTGTCTCCAGGATTATGTATTGCATGAGGCCTTTGCAAGGATTCTATGCAATCTTCACGGGGTGGGTATCAGTCACAAGCTAGATCTAGACCTAGATCAGAGACTGATTCTTGCATGCCTAGATACCTTATTGCAAAACCTTTTGCCAGCAGTTGTCCAATGTGTATGACACCTATGCCCTCATTCTTTGAGAGAGACGCTGACTTGTCCAGCAAGCATTTGGGCAAGACACACCCAACTGGCATCTGCTTAATGCATGCACTGCATGTGACTATCAAGTGCATGGTACTGCATGTCTGGTCTGCCATTGATACTAACACTAGCTCTAGCTTCAGGATGAGCCCTCTCTCCCACACAGCAAGTTGGTCACTGCTGATGGCAACAATTCCTCCAAGTGCTTTGCCAACACTGGTCATCAAGACCATCATGTGTTCCAGAGCAACTACATTCTCACCAGCAAGGAGGTTGATCAGTTTGAGGACCAGGTTCATCATCATTGACACCAACGGAAGGTTTGAGGCCTCCTTTTTGTTATTGTCATGATTTCATCCTCTACCAGGTTGCAAGAACTATAATCAAGGTCAAGGGTGTCAAGGCCCCTGCCCAAGAACAAGATGAGGTCTGCACCCAGAAGTGGAAAACATTCCAGGCAAAAGATCAACCTTCACATTGGATGGATGGCCTAAACAAGACTGGCAATTTCTTGTGTGCTTGCCATCATGGCTTTGTGCTTTGTTTGGCAGATATGATCAAGTCAGGCAAACTGTGAGTAGCACTAGATCTCTACTACCTCTAGAGCTAGACTGTGTGGGAGAGCCAAGTACTCCCTTGCCTGCCTCAACAGGCTCCTCAATGTATATGGTCAAGGGCTAGCCCTTGGTTATGACATTGGATGCAAACACTCCATCACTGTGTCACGCAGCAGCCTCAGGCATCAAGCAAAGGCTCTAGGTCTACAGCTGTATGTCAGTGCTTTCCACAGTTATGTGCATAACCAAAAGTGTCAGCTGTCATTCCACCCCCGCTTCCTCACCACAGCCAGACTAGAGGACTTCAAAATGAATGAGCGCTTGTTCTCAAAGCAGAACTTGACCACTCACCTGTATCACCATGACTCAACATACCATTGGCACATGACGCTCAACGCCTTCTGGTCCAGATGGAATGATGATTGCAGGGCTGGCATTGGTGAGTGCTGATCTACATCTAGATCTAGGGTGAGAGTGCTAACCTCAGAGCAGGAGACTGGCTTCACAACAAGTACTGCCAGGTGCTGGAGATTCTTTGCATGGTTGCCCTGGAAGTTGAATGCATTCAAAGCAAGCATGCCATCTCAGATGAGGACTTCACCACCTTCCTTCAAGAGGAGAAGGAGTACCTGGTCCAGCTAGACTCTGAACCCAAAGATGACGTGCTTGTGTTCAGATATCTGGAGACCCTCAAGCTCTTGAAGGCAGAAGAGTAAGTCATGCTTTCTAGAACTAGATCTAGAACTAGATCTTAATGAGGATTGATTATATGCAGGATCAAGCTCAACAACACTGAGCTTGATGCTTTCCAGTCCTTGTCCAGCCCAGACTCCTTGAACAACATCTTGGACCAAGTATGGCAGCAGGCCCATCAGCACAATTTCCTGCTTGTCATCAACACTATTCACCAGCTCAAAACCCTAGCCATGATGTACAAAAACCAGCTCCAGACCAAGCACTGGACACCCAACAGTGAAGAATGGCAGAGGGCTGAGCATGATCTGAGTTTGTGGGTGTACAACAAAGCCCTCAACCATGTTGAGGCACTGGTTATCCAACAGTTGTTCAAGATGGAGAAATTGAGCTTATGCGGGACTTGTGAGCAAGCTCTAGGGCTAGAACTCTGGCATTGCTGATATGCCTTGAAGGATATTTGATGTGTACACATCTAGCCAAGGCATTACAGGAGCGAAGTGAGGTGATTCGCACAGCGCTACAGCGCTACAACACCCTAGCTCACCAGATCAACCCCCCATGGGCCATGTTATCTTTCCAGGAAGTCATCAACTACAGCTTCTTGTCCGAGTTCATGCTTGTTTGACATTTGCAACAGGATATTTGTAGCCAGCATTGGTTGGATCCTTTCATGTGGGAGACAACCATCAAGTGGCTTCTTGTGCGCTGTGCCAGGAACAAGATCAAGTGCCTCAATATCAAGATACATTGCATCTGGACAGCCCTCCACAACAAACCCAGGGCCATGCTCCAATCAATATGCCAAGTCAAGAAGAGTCAAGATCTTGCCCTGGCCTTGGCTATGTCAGCTGCCCTCCTGAGATGGACACAAGTAGACTGCTGTCTCCACTCATGCATCCAGCAGGTGTTCACAATGCCTGGGTTCTTGGGCTTGTGCATGACAGGGAAACATGTCAGAGCAGCTGCAGTGGCCAATCTGAGCACTACCACTTCCCCCAGAGGAGGCACTGATGCAGAGGAACTAGAACTAGAACTAGAACTAGAACTAGAACTAGAACTAGAACTAGAACTAGAACTAGACCTGAAGGACACAGAGGCAGAGGGATTGGATGCAGAGCAGCTGGAAGAGTTCAATAGACTGGCACAGGCACTCAACGGCATGGCTGTGGAAGTGCTGCAGTCCAATAGTCCTCCATAGGTGTGGCTCCTGCATTATGTTCCACAATGTACTCTAGCAATTGATTGCCTTTGCTCCATCATCAGTGTGACTCTATCCTTCTGGGACTAGCTCAGGTCAAGAGGTGGAAAAGGCATTAGCATTGACAGCCTAACCCCAATCATGAGGCCATCACTCATTACACAGTCTGTTGTTTGCCCAGGCACTGAGTCTCAATGTCTGAGCAGGGTATCACATTCCCAATGCAGTGTCATGCAAAGAGCTAGACACTAGTGCATGTCTATGGCTGATTAAACTAGTTCTAGAACCAAGTGGAGAACAAGCATATGGCTCATATCCAGTTTCTTGAGTGGAATATAGAATGATAATCATGTTCTCACAATGAGACAGAAGGTCATCCTTGTCCAGACACTGGATATCTGTCAGCAACATGTGAGATACAATAACATTGTGTGTGTTTCACACAGTTCCATGCATGACCATCAAGGCCCATTTCATTTCAAAAGTGAACACCCAGTTCTAGCTCCTAATCCTAGCTCTAGTGCAAGAGTGGTCTGCAAGACACATTCCTTGCAATAATTCTCTGGAAAAATTTTGCTTGTTCTTTTATACAAGAATGATATCCAACCAAAGGACAGAATAACACACTTGTGCAACCATAGCCCCACAACATTCTAGTGCATGAAACTGTTCCCCAGCTGCTCTCTTCTATTGCGCACTCAAGTTTATGGCTTATTTCTGGCCCTAGATCTAGATTTAGGGCTGATGACCTCATGCATACATCTCAGGCATGATAGAACAGTGTCTTCTAATGGGAACAGTGCCTGATGGTGCACCAAAGTTCATCAGAAAAAAACAATGCAGTTGGGCCAGATGGCTTTTGTGTGCTGGCACTCCAGAAAATTCATGGCCAATAACAGATCAATGCCTAGCTCTAGAGCTAGCCATCAATGGATGACACTGACAGTAGTCATATGTCAATACTGCACGCAGTTGATGGACACAAGAGAGCACACAAGGAGAGCACCCTGGGTGGCAAATGCTGAGATGGTTCCAACTTTCTTGTACCTGTACTAACAACTGATATTACCTTTTGACCTGGGTTACTCACAGCTGGTACTAGTACTCGAGCTAGTACTAGAGAAATATAGAGGAATGTGTATACATACAAGGCCTCATTAGAGGCCAAGACACTCAAGATGCACAAGAACCACAAGTATTCACCGTTTGGTCCAAGCACAAACCAGAGATTACCAAGCCAAAACTTCTTTAATTAGCCCTGTTTCTTATTCAAGTTCTAGAATAAGAATTTTAGATTCATGTACAGTTCTTTAATCTGGGCAATAATATTGCACATAAGAGAGGCTAGGTGCTACAAACCCAGAGGATCTAGGAGTGGGGTCCTTGATCACCGAACAAACCCTGTTTTGAATCTCCTTCTCAGAAGACTGGCCCCCAAGTTTTGCTTACTGAGCTCTTCCTTGATCAATACAAGCCCATATGCATGGAATTGAGGGCTGCTTCTTGTTCTAGCACTTGCCAGAAGCAAGAACTGGATTGGCAACCTGGTCCATGCACCAAACAATGGGTGGCAGTGTTGGATGTAATATAAGGCTGTGTGAACTGCAGTATCTCATCCCCCATCAAATGTTTATGCCTGTCATCCCCTCTCCCAGTCCTCCTCCTTTCACTAGTCCCTGTCCTCTCACCCCCCCCCTAGTCCTTTTGTCTTACCCCTTCCTCTTGACTCTGGTCATTTTCCCCTCCAGCTCAACCTTCCTGCTGCCCCTCTATCTAGTATGGGTTCTAGACATCCCCCAGCACAAGAGAGCCTGTCCAGGCATACAAGTTGGATCTGCATGCCAACCTCAGCCCATGGCAGAGCACCAGAGGCTGTGAGCAGGCAACCGGACCCGGCTGCTGCTCTGGCCCTTGCTAATGGTAAGTGTTCTAGTCCTAGAACTAGAACTAGAGCAAGACCTGATGGATGCCTAGCCTCTGTGGCTTGTGCTTGTGTGGATGCCTCACATGAAGAGGCACCTGACCATGCCCACGGACATTGCACAAGTGCCCACAGTACTCCTTGCTCAGCCCCCTGTGTTATTGCTCCAGCTCCTGCTCATGTTGGTGCTGCTTGCAACACCCCTCTCATGAACATACCAGAGGTTCATTGTCCAACTGCAGACATCTTGCCTTTCACTGCAGGTCCAATGATGACTTCAAACTGCTGGGTCAGTCTCTATGGCACCAGTGCTAGAATGAGAAGTAGTATGTGCAGGAGTCCCACTGTCTTGGATGATCACTACCAATAGTGAAGCTCCTTGTGCATGTTCTAGTTCTAGAATGTGTGCGCATATACTGACCTCTCATGTTTGTAGAGGATCAACTTCTTATGTTCAACTGGTCTTGTTTATATGACACTAGTCAAGTTCAAGTGGCCCCTTGGGTGTATCCTTCCTACCCAACACTCACTGGTGGGGCACCAGGTGGGAGCTGGTCAGGGGCTAGAGCTGAGCTTGCTCCCAGCCCAAAACCCATTCTTGGCGCCACATTGGATGGTCTCAATTACTGGTGCTGGACCATGCATTCATGGATGACCCAGGATGTCCACCAGCGTAAAACATGCTATTTCTATGAATTATTGCCCAAGCTGGAAGATCTGGTGAGTAGCCCTAGTGCTAGTTCTAGTTCTAGAACATGCACTGATCCACATCCACTTCACCTGGTCTGATTGCATCCTCAGAGGCCAGGTCTCTTTCTATGTCATGGCTAGAATCAATGGCAGTGACAAAGACCTAGAGCCAGAGCCTTGGTTCTGGGTCTCAAGGAACTTGAGGAAGTCTCCAGCATATATGGAGATCATCAAGCACTTTGTCCATGTTTTCTCAACTGTGCTTGCGAATGGCAAAGTGTGTGAGTACAACAAGTACATGAAGTCCAAGGAGGACATCCAGGCTGGCCTTGCATGGGTGTCCAAACATGACCTTGGTGTGGATGTGAATCTTGAACCTGATATCAAGAGGTCCATGAGAGAGGCCCTTGACAAGGTTGAGGAGATGACCAAGGCCCACTTCAAGGCCACAACTGGCTCTAGCACTCATCCTCCTGCAGGGGCACCCCTCATTGTCAAGCAAGAGCCAAGGGAGCACAATGCAGAGCTCAAGACTGTCCTGGCCTTGACAGACCCAGGCAAGGGCAAGGGCCACGAGACTAGAGATAGCAATGTTGACATGCTCTGGGGCGAGGTTGACGCCAACAACCCGAGGCAGCATCCCTACCACCCAGACCCTGTCCACCTAGCTGCTGAGCTGCACAAGCTCTCCCACCAGGGGTTGCGCAAGTACAAGCACCCACCTCCCAACATGGTTCCCGCCAATTTGCCTGGCACTATGCAGATCTATCTTCAGGAGTACAACAAGACAATCTTGGAGCAGGTCGCCTGCCATGCCAAGCATGAGCTCAAGCTCATCCGGGCTTATGACAGCCCTGTGCATTGGGATGACCTTGTCACCAACCTTGTTGGGGGGGATTGGTCTGACAGCCTGCTCCAGTTGATGTACAAAATTTGCTGCATTTGAGAGGCAATGGAGGCCATGTTCTAGAACTAGAATGGGGCCCATTGAGAAGAACCACTAGCTCTATTTTCTGCTCTCACTCAATGCTCTGCTGTCAAAGCTCAAAATTGAGCTCTGTGAGGGCACTAGGTCTAGCAAGGTTGCCACACACTAATCCCAAACAATAGATGAAGTGCTGGGGGGTCTACTGTGGTTGAAAGTGGCTCTAACCAGCAGTACTAGTTGATATCCACATCACCAGGGCCAGCTGGATTATTGGGGGGGTCCAAGGGGGTCACTGGGGGGTCCCAGGGGGTGTTATAAGTTGGTTATAGATAGCTGAAAAGTGTAGCAAGAGTTGTGGAGTCAAGGCAGGTTTCTGAGAGCAGGGTGTTCAGGCATGTGTAGAAGGGGGTTCAAGACAATGAGATGACTTAGAAACTGCTTGTAGACTAAGGAGTTTCCTCAGAGATCAAATCTGAGGGATACAGCATCACTGTACTACTGTTTATATACCTTGTAGGTGTTCACCAGAAGCCCAGGAGTTCAGGTAAATTCTGGGGACTCCTACAAGTGTCAGATAGACATCCTAGCAACACCCCTAGGCCTCCCAAACCTTTCCAACAAATTGTGGAGACTCCTACAAGTGTCATCTTGCATCCCACTACTCCCAGTAGGAGCCTTTAGCACCACTATGTCTCACCCCAAGTGTCTGGACACAGCAGTCTTGTGGTGTCCTCTGCACAATGTCTTGTATGGCCACTGCCATTGTCCTAAGGCAGTTACCAGCACAGGAAGTTCCAGGGGCTTGTTGTTTCATTGCTCCTAGGGTGAAATGGGTGGCCAGGGGTGGTAACAGGCAGTGCCCTAACAAGCTTGCACCATTGAAATTGATGACCTCATTCTAATGCTTGCTCCCACTCTCCACACTCTCACTCTCTCCCAATTGATTGCACAGACTCTGGCTCTAGTACTTGTACTAGACCTGGGCCATTGAGAATGACAACTCTTCTCTTTACACATGCTCTCAGTTTCACTCTCAAAGGGGTTCTAGTCCACATGCCCCGGCTCAGGCTACTTGAAAGTATCATGGTAACCCTAGGACAGAGACAAGGCAGCACTCTAGACTCCTGTATAATCAACAAAATCAACAAAAAAAAAGGACATGCTCTAGCACTAGCAACACAATCCAAAAACAGTTCCCTGCTTGTATGTCATGCTTCCTCTTTCTCTCTGGCCCTTTGGCCCTACCTCGCAGCAGCTTTTCTCTACTATGCCAGCACCCAGTACAGATGTTGTCAATAGGTAGCTCTAGGACTAGACCTAGATTAGTAGCTCCATCAATCAATGCTGTTGTCTCTTGTTATTCTGCCCATTGTTCACATGACCAAACTGCACTGCTTGTTCCCAGGCCTGGCAATCTGCTGACACATGTCAGTGTGCAACTCACAAGCTAGGTCTTGTTGTGTACTAACGTTTGGTCTGTATCACTGCAACATATCATTTCTGTCTGTATCACTGTGACATATCATTTCTGTCAACATGGACCATGGCAATGAAGAGAGCTGAAACAAGACAAGAGGTTCATCGAGTTCTAGATCTCATCTCTCAGCAATGCCTCAAACTGATCCAGAGAAATTGCAGTGGAAGATGAGGAGCAAGATCATGACAGCAAACCATGCTAAGCATGCACTAGTGCAAGAATGACTACTAGAGCTCAAACTAGTCCTCAGTAATATGCTGGAGGACATTGCTTGGGAGACTGGCCTATCCTGTGCAGCTGGTGATGGCTACTTCAAAGGCTGCTGCATGGGTTACAAGTGCACAAATGAAGGAGTCAGCTTGAGGAATGCTGTGGTGCATCAGCTCAGCAAAGAGTATCAGAAGCAAGGTGTGTCCAACTTTCATTGCATCTTGATCTAGTTCTAGAGCTGATGTCAGGTCAGCACATACATTCTGATTCACTGCCCCTGAGGCCAAAGATGAGATCAAAGAGAGGATGTGCTGGCTTGAAGACCACCTGACAGCCCGAGTGGCAGCAGAGCAAGCCATTTGAGACCTACATGATCAGAAGACCACCCAAGTTTGAGACAATCATAAGGGGTGAGAAGCAGACACAGCTCACATGCAGAAAACCTTTGAGCACAATGTGAGTCTTGTACATGCTCTAGGACTCCAGCCAGGGCTAATTCACAGCTCTAGACTCAGGCATTCCACTTAAGGACAAATGGTCATGCATGTGGCTTTGTATGCAGGAGTGCCATCAGAGACTACGCTCCACCTGCATTCTTCAGCACCATGTTATCAAAGTTGTTCTTCAAGGATGTGCTACATGTTCCTGCAGAAGAACTGGTCTTTGCCTATGAATCATATTGTACCAGCAGAGGAGCCAAGGGTGAGTGGTCTGGGCCTCATTCATGCTAGAACTAGAACTCATGCGAGACCAAAGGTGCATCCGAGTGCATTGCCAAGAGGGTCATCAACTTCAAGCATTCCATGCTAGATAAAGTCCTCCATCCATTCACCCATGCAATGGCTAGACTCCAATCTGACATACATTGCAGAGCGTGCTAGCAGAGATCCTGCCGCCAAGATGCAGTACAAGAAGTTTGGCCAAGGGGTGGAAGACAAGTATAAGCTCATGCTACATGGCTGGCCATTGGATGAGCTCAAGAACCCATCTGATATCTTGAGCATGCTTCTGTTGAGCCAAGTTCATGCAGCACTCATCAATGGCTCATGCTTCTTTGAAGTGATGAATGAGAACAAGCTTGAAATTTGGAGCCAATGTCTAGAACAAGAGCTAGAGCAAGGACACAAGAGGAGAGTGCAGGCTATGGAAGTTGCTTGGCTAGAGGGCAGAGGGGCAAGGCCTTTGAAAAGAAGGTATGTAGCAGACAACATGGACCAAGGCCAAAGGGTGCTGCCCAATGTCAACACACATCTGCCTCTGCCTCCTCCAACACAGGAGGCCACAGTCCCAACCATGGCCCTTCAGCAAACCACCCTTCCCTGCCCCACCAGTCACACCACACTGCCTCTGCTGCTGACATATGCGCAAGTTATACACTTGGCACCAGGCACATCTGTGGAAGGTTGGCCACTCAAACAGGAACCCGTGTCTCTCTCCACTGATCCAATGCCAACTTGGACACCTCCTACTCCACTACCGATTGCCTGGTCACCACTTCCAGATCAGGTCCTAGACCAAGCACCCAGGGCTCTCCCTCTAGACCCAGATTCAGTGAAAAGTCAACCTCTGTCTGCCAAACTATGACCCCCTGCTCTAGAGCTAGATCTAGATCTAGGTCTATACAAAGCTCCCACCCAACTGGTGCTAGATCTGGACAAAGGTCTGGCCTGACTAGTTCTAGGTCTAGACAAAGCTCCCACCCAACATACTCCTGAAGAATCAGGTCTAGCTGGACAGACAAATGCCAGTTCAGTGACAGCCCTCTTGGACACAGATGGGGAGGCAGCAACAGGGGGGGAACTGGAACAGATGCTACTCCTTGACGCTGATGACAAGTCTGCTGGTGATGGGCAGCCTGATCCAGCTCCAGAGCCAGTCCTCCAACCATGACATCCAAAGGGCCTGACCCAGCTGCAGCCCTCACACAAGAAACAGGTCAAAGCGGTGAAGGGATCAGCTGTAACAGATGCCAAGGCGAAGAGGAAGTTGAACAATGCCCGGTTCAACATTGATTTTGCTGAGCTGGACCAAGTGTGGTGAGCAGCTTCTGCTCCACATAGGCATATTCTGCACAAGGCAACAAATCAAAGCAGTGGACCAATACCATGCCGGAGTCATCAGGGACTAGATCTAGATCTTGAGACCAGTTCTTGATTGGCATAGATAGAGATATTATTTCAATAGCAGGTACCTGACATCCAAGAGAGCAATGATCCAAAAACGGGTGGCCACCTCTCTTCTGGCCATGCTAGCACTTGTGCTAGACCCCTCTGCCTCTAGTGCACATTCCAGGCCCCAACACAGGTCTTGCACTTGTGCAGGAACTCTTGGCCTCTGTGCCTGTAGCACACTCCCAACATTTCATGACACCTCAAACTTCCTGCTCAGCCAAACTCTGCAGGGCAACTTTGGCAAGAACATGGAGAGAACTGAGGGCCTCCCACATTGGCACACATGTCTTGTTCTCAGCCTTGCACTCAATCGAGTGCTTAGCCTTCTTGTGCCAGAGGTGGACTCAGTCCCAAGAGTCTGTTCTGGCTTGATGAGCAGTTGCATGCTTCACAGCTTGGTATTTACATTGATACTCCAGCCTTCATTGGTGATAACTATGGACATCATGAGTGATATATTCATAGTGACACCACAGACCCCTCATGTGGCCAGATACTGTCGCTTGGAGGCACCCTTGCTTGACCTAGCATCTGACTCAAATGCAGGTGGCTGAGAAAGGGCAGACGCCCCAGAGGCCAAGCAATGGCCCACAGTCAACAGTGACAGTGATGGTGAGGACAGAGACAAGGAGGACAACCTCATAGCCAGGGTCAAGACAAGGGCACAACTCTAGTTCTAGAGCTAGAACAAGGCAGTATGGCTAGCCCCCAAGTGCTGACAGCACATGTGATGGCAGTGCTGCAAGCAATAGCCGGGCAAGTGCTGGAGCTGGAATTATGCTGGAATCAGCCAACCTGGCATCGGAGCCAGATATGTGACAGGGGCAGCCTGTGTCCCCATCAGGGATGAGACGCGGGAGCTATGGGGTCTAGGTGTCGTTGTGGCAGTGGAGAAGGAAATGAATTGGTTCCATTATCAAAATTGGACAGCGGCTCCGGTCGACGCCGACGCCGACGAGGGTCGCCTCCTCACCGTCGACCATCAGCTCAACGTCGTTCTCGTCGTTCTCCTTTCTTCCTCTCCCTGCTAAGCATAGAAGATGCGACGAGCAGCAAGGTGTACGCTCGACACCGCTGCTCGACGACCCACCCTTTCCTCTTCGGGGTCGTCCCAGCCTGTCTCTTCCCGTCCCTCCTCCCAGGCAGCGACCCGAGCTCGTCCGTGGCCAACAGCTACCAGCGCAACATCATCATCCTCTGCAGCTTCCAGTACCCAGAATCGTGATGTAAGCCAAAGAGTAGCGAGCAAGTGGTCGACCTTCGCCACCCCTTCGTCTGCAGCCAACGGCAAGCCTTTCCCTTCGCCGGTATGGGGCGAAACACTGCACGGCCGTGCCTTGCCCAATGTGTCTCCACCATCCTATGGCAATAATGGGATCAAGCTCAACCATGCTAGAGCACCACAGGGGGTCTTCTCCAATCCCAACGCGCCAGCCGGAGGGCATTCACTCCCCTCTGATCCCTCTGAGAAGCCCGCTTGGCCCACAACTTCACGAAGTGGATTTCGCAACGCTCCCAGCGGGGGGAACCAGTCTCAATGGGCACCGCAGCGCGGTAGAAGTAGGAACGACGCAAACAACAACGATTGGACAGTGCAGCAGCGTGCCCCAGGCGGTAATGCGGTGTTCAACAATTTTGGTGCTCGACCTACCCGTGTTCAGGCTGGGAGTGACCAGTGGGGCACGAATCGGCAGTATGTCCCACCGCAAGAGCATTCTCAACAGCCTCGACAACCACGATATGGTCCTCGGCCGCCTCTACAGTCACAGGGAGCTTCCCATGTACCCCAATCATCACAAGAGGGTTTTCAACTCCCTCTGGAAAACGACTATTCGGTTTCTACACCCCCCTCTATGTGGGCTCCACCTCGTGAGAGTGAACCCGCACCACCGTCTGAAAAGATTCGACGTCTGGAAATGCGCCTGGAAGACCCCAACATACACATGACCAAGGAAGAGCGGCAAAATCTCAAAAAGGATATCGCACTTTTGAAGCAGGTAGAGGCAGAGGTGCGCGGAAGACATGGTCGAAAGGACCGCGGAGGGATGAGAGACTCTGTGGACTCTGTGGAATTTCCTTACCAGGAAGAGGAGCTGAAACAGCAGAAGAAGATTCGGAAGGAGAAGATGGTCAAGCAGGTGCAAAAAGATGTATATATCCCCACTGTCGTCAGTGTGAGCAACTTGGCCAGGATCTTAGATATGAGGCAGAGTGAGTCATTCCTCCTTCATTTTGCCACAGGAGAAGGACGTTGATGGTCATATCAGAACGGATGATGCAGCTCATGAAAAACTGGGGAATGGAGGAGGTCAAGCCAGACCTTTGTACGTAACATATGAAGTACGGACTTCGTGTATGCTCACTTGGAAGTAGTGCTGTCATCAGAGGATGCATCGCTCGTTGCAGTGGAACTAGGATTTAATCCAGTGATAGACGATGAAGCGGCGTTTGATATCTATCCAGAGTACGTCTATCGCAGATGTATTATTGGGCTCATAGTCATATTTTACCAGCGCCCCGCCCGCCGAACCTTCGACTCTCCCGCACCGACCACCAGTGGTGACGATCATGGGTCATGTTGACCACGGCAAGACTACACTACTCGATACCTTGCGGTCGACTTCTGTCGCAAAAGGCGAAGCTGGCGGGATCACACAGCACATTGGTGCCTTTTCCGTCCCCGTTGGAACGGCGAGTGAAAATTCGGCCATCAGGACAATCACGTTCCTCGACACTCCCGGACACGCAGCGTTCACTGCCATGCGCGCCCGTGGTGCTCGTGTAACGGACATCATCGTGTGTGTCGTCGCTGCAGATGATGGAGTCATGCCACAGACACGGGAGGTGCTCAACCTTGCGAAGACGGAAGAGAACGTCGAGTTGGTGATTGCAATTAACAAAGTGGACAAGCCTCAGGCCAATGTCGAAAAGGTCAAGAATGCGCTCCTGGCTGAGGGGGTGCAGCTTGAATCATTGGGCGGGGACGTCCCGAGCGTTGAGGTGTCTGGTCTGACCGGCAAGGGGCTGGACGATCTCATCGAGACGATCAGTACGATTGCAGAAGTTGCGGACCTGCGCGCAGACCAGACGTCTAAGGCTGAGGGATATGTTCTCGAATCTAAAGTCGACAAGGGACGTGGACCGATAGCCACGGTATTGGTTACGAGCGGCACCCTGCAACCAGGCGCGGCGATTGTCGCGGGCACGGTGTGGTGTCGGGTAAGGCAGATGATGGATGATAAGGGTCAGTTCGTGAAGAAGGCGTCACCTGGCATGCCCGTCACTGTCTCTGGGTGGAAGGAGCTACCTGAAGCAGGAGATGAAGTGCTCCAGGCAATCAAGGGAGAGGATGACGCCAAGCGCGCTGTGGCGAACCGGAAACGGGAGATTGAGAAGCGCAAGATACTCAAGGATGTCGAGAAGATCAACGAAGTGCGCAAGGCTGAGCGGATCGAGCGCGAGGAGGCAGCGCTGGCGGAGCAGATGGGTGTAACTCGTGAGGCACACGAAGGAAAGCAGGAACAGGGGCAGAAAGAGCTCCGGCTCGTCATTAAGGGGGACGTGAGTGGGACGGTGGAGGCCGTTGTGGGCTCTGTCAGTGGGATTGGAAACGACGAGGTCACTACCAAAGTGGTTTCGTCAGGCGTGGGCGAAGTGTTGGAGTCGGATGTTAGTATGGCAGAGGCGTCGAATGGTAGGCACATGTTTATGTGCGCGTTGCGGCAGTGGCGCTGACAATCTCTCAGCTATGGTCATCGGATTCAACGTTAAATGTCAGAGGTCCGTACAACAACAAGCCGGGAAGCTCGGTGTACCTCTCTACTTCGACGACGTCATCTACCGCGTGATGGAAGAAGTGCGAAAACGTGCGAGCGCACTCCTGCCACCCAGGATCGAGAAACACGTCAAAGGCGAACTCCAGGTAGCGGAGATCTTCCATATCTCCCTCAAGGGCCGGAAGACTCATGATGTTGCCGGGTGCAAAGTGACGAACGGTGTGCTAGAAAAGAGCTCACGCGTGCGTGTGATGAGGAATGGCGAGGAGGTGTGGGAGGGCATGGTTGCGGACCTCAAGCATATGAAGAAAAATATCACCGAGGCGAAGAAGGGCATGGAGTGCGGCATTTCTCTCGAAGGGTTTGAGGAAGTTCTGGTGGGCGATGTGATCCAAGCCATAGACGTTAAGGAGATCGCGCGCCAGGTATAGATTGTTTGGATAACATATTGCGCACTGTATGACCACCCGACTTCAAGAGTTGCCTCAATTAAATACTTAATACCCAACTCATGCATAGGAAGCATCGTTTTTGCTATTGTGGTACGATTACATGAGATTCTGGTGATCCAAGAGCTTAGTTGGCTCAATTTATTCCCACTTGTCTACCTTCATGGAGCCCTTATCCATCAGATTCAAGTGCATCTTGAATGCGTTCTGCAGATGTAGTTAGCAACTGACACTATGGACGATGACTGGTCAACTCACCCTCAGCATGTGCGGCTCATGACCCCTGCCAGCCCTCAGGCACTCGTGCAGCGAGCGCTCGTAGTAGTCCATGAGGCTGTCCCTGTAGTCGGGATGGGCACACTTCTGGATGATAAGCGGAGCCCTGTCCCTCGGGCAGAGACCACGGAGATCGGCCAGACCCTGCTCAGTGACAATGACGTCGAGATCGTGTTCCGTGTGATCGATGTGCGACGAGAAGGGGACGATGCCGGTGATACCCGTTGGGTCGGTCTTAGTCGGGCGCGCAGAGGGCAAGTGCATGATACTGTACTTTGCGTTACGGAGGAAGTCACCGGAGCCACCTAGACCGTTCAGCATGCGGGAACCGAGCGCGCAGGTCGAGTTGGCGTGCGCGTAGATGTCCACTTCGAGGGGTGTGTTCATGGCGATGACACCGAGCCGGCGGATGATCTCGGGGGAGTTGGCAACCTGCTGAGAACGAAGGAGGATCTTGTTGTAATAGTTGGACCAGTTGTCGTAGAAGTGCCTGAAAGCTTCGGGCGAGAAGCGAATGGACGTGGCAGTCGCGAATGTCAGCTTGCCAGATTCGAAGAAATGAATGCTTTGCTATGGGTCAGTAGAGTGACATGTACTGGTCGGCTATACGTACAAAGTGTCCTGGAGCACCTCAGTCCACACCTGGACGTTCTCGAACGGCGCTTCAGCCAGACCACCAATAACTGCATTGGCGATGTTCCCGATTCCAGACTGGATAGGAAGGAGACTCTTCGGGAGCCTGCCAGCGTCCAACTCCTCCTGGAAGAAGTTGATCAAGTGACCAGCAATAGCCCGGCTAACATCATCCTCTGGCTGGTTCTCGCCCGTGTTATCAGGGTGGTCGCTCTCGATGATCGCGACGATCTTCTCCGGGTCGCAAGGGATAGCGGTCGTGCCGATCCTGTCGCTAGCACGCATGATAAGGTACGGCTTGCGGTTCGGTGGCAGCGTGGTCGTAGTAATATCATGCAGACCTTCGAAGGAGGGCAGCGCAGTGTTCAGTTCGACGATGATCTTGTCTGCCATTTGCACCATCTCGGGGGTCGCACCGACCGACGCACCGGGGACGATATGCCCATCCTCGGTGATAGCGGTAGCCTCGACGTTGACGATATCGAGCTTGTTACCGGGCTTGTCCTTGGTGTAGAAACCGTACGAGAGATCTGAGAGGTGTTAGCTGCGACGATCCTGGAACGGTTGAATGTGTACCCTGTGGGAACATAGACAAGTGTTTGTCCGCGAACCGGATACGGCCCTCGTTGATTCCCTTGGCAATGTCCTTTCCGACCTGATGGGGGTACCGCCTGTCGATCATGTCGTTTTTGGCCCATCTGCAGTGACCCTATTCAGCAAGCTGGTGCGTTATCGTGAAATCGACATACCGGTTCTCCGTCTCAGCCCCACTGCTCGCCCCAACGTAGAGGTCGAACTTAAGCTGTCCCTGCAGGCCCTTTGCCTCGACATGCTCTGCGAGGGCGATAGGAGTGCGCTTGGGGTAGCCGACACCGGTGAATCCGGACCAGCCTACAGACATCCCATTCTTGAAGAGAGGGACGACGGCCTCCGGTGTTGTGATCCTTGACCAAAGGCTGGGCCGGCGGATACGCTCTTTGAGCGCTTGGGTGAGGGACATTTTAGGTGAGGGGGTCGAGGGGGTGGAAGGGGATGGAAAGAGAGGGTACACAACAGAGACGCGGGGGATGGCCCCTTATGTATCGTCGTCGACAGTTGTGGGGTAAAGTGTCGGGAAGAGCCGGAGACAGCTCAGTCACATATCGAATGACTGCTGACCGCACGGCAGAGTTACATATTTTATTTACACCCTTTTGGTATGTTATTCTTTTGTGAAGATATCTGAATTATCTCGTCTTCCAAAGTGGACAAAAGACGGTGAACAGAATACGGATTAATTGCTTGCGGAGAGGACGGAGTGTGGCTTTCCGCCCCGCAGCTCCCGCTGTCGTCGCAAGTTGACAAGCCCCCAAGAACTATGTTCCACCTCTACGCCTTTTATCAGACTTGCTCATACTCCACCTTCACTTGATGTTGTTTATTTCTTAACAATGAAGAATATTATGTTCATTGTTGACGAGTGCAAGGGAGGTTGCCATACTTCCATCGGGGGACTTCAGGGTCCCAACATCCGAATTCTTCATTCTTTATCTGTTACGATCCTTACGGTCGGCTCTCTTCCCCTTCTAACGTCGGGGCAACCCGGCTCTCAAGTGAAATTCTGACCTTGACCACACCGTTCAAAAATACTTCTACGCAAGGTATTCATCACACGTTCATACATCCCCCTTGCCAGCACACCCCGTGGTGCCCCGGGATTACGCGTTTACCCCGTGAAGTTGAGGCAACATGTGTGCTTCTGCGTGGGGTTGCCGCCGCATTCCGAGGACACCAGTGATTGCCAAGCGATCTGTCATCTGCCACCCCTATCTCAAATCACCGTTCTTTATAATTTACAAGTTACCGATATTTATACGTCGAGGTTACCGTAAGCGCTGGGGCTGCGTTTTTAGCGAGTGGGGCGATGCCTTCCTTTTTAAATAACACAGCCCCTCGGATGCATTTGGTGAGGGGTGACTGACATCAAACTGACCAAAGCCTCGTTGTCTACTCCTCTCTCTCTTTCTTTCTACTTACTCTCTCATATCGTTCTTCACTTCCAACCACCACCTGTATACCTTACCACATAAGCGAGCGCTTGACGCCTCTCCGCTTTTCGAACAAATCACCTTCCAGCCATTTTATGAGTGGGCCAATCTTCAACAAATACGGTGAGTATCTTCATCCAGCCACAGGATGTAAGCTGATCAATGCACCTTGTATGCGCATAGACCCCTTCGCGGAGGGCGACGCTGAAGCTGGTATAAACGAAACCGATAATACAGCCGCGGAATACATCCATATCCGCATTCAACAGCGGAACGGTAGAAAGACACTGACCACCCTCTCTGGCTTGCCTAAGCGTGCGTACCTGCTGCTAGTGTTCCAATACCATCTGCTTACACGACTTGAATTGCAGAGTATGATCCCAAGAAGCTGTTGAAAGCTTTCAAGAAGGTGCGTCTGATGTCAATTTTGCTGGTGGAGGCGCTAACCATGTGACAGGAATTCGCTTGCAACGGCACCGTAGTTACTGACGAAGAAGCCGGTGAAGTCATCCAGCTGCAAGGCGATCAGCGCCTCAAGATTGCTCAGTTCCTCACCGTAGAGGGCATCGATAAGAACACCATTAAGGTGCACGGTTTCTAAGGCTCCGTGGGCCCTGTCGTTGGTGCATCCCGAGCATCCGTCCTTTCACGACCTTTTTCTTCCCTCGTTGCATGTACCTCTAGTGTCGGTGTGGGTTCCAGCAGCTGGATCGATTGACGAGCGAGACGAGAGCGAGAGCGTTTACAACCGTGACCTGATTGTGCCTGCTGTGTATCTTTTCTTTCGACCGTTGATCACTGTACTTGTCCATGGCTGTCCACTTATGCATGACGTTTTCTTTTGATCCAACAATACAATTAGATGCGTTTCAAATCTCATCATCTCCTTGTGCTCCATCTCCCACATGCAATGCCAGCATTCCACCCCGCCTTATCAACGCCATCCGCGTCCTTTAGGCGTGTGGTTCGGCCCGACCCAGGGACCCTCTGCTCATGACCGTCGCCTCCCTCACCTTAAGCAACGCGTATTCTCATGGCACGCACACCACAGAAAAGAACACGACAATCCCAAGGTGGTTCGCCATCTAAACGCGCTCGGGTGACGCGGAGTTCTGCAGCGGTCGTAGATGATTTGAAGGAGGAAGCAGAGCGTGCTCGAGCGTTGCTCCAGAGCCGACGGGAGGAGGCAGAAGGAGAGGGAGAGGAGGACGATGAGGCCCAGGTCGAAGACGTTGAAGAGGAAGACGACACTTCTGAAGAAGACACCGACCCAGAGCCAGATACATCTCCCACCAAAAGCTCGAGAGGCAAGCGTACTCCACGCAAGAAACGCTCGCCCTCCCCGGTGAACTACCTCGCCACCAACGCCTCCGACGCGTACTTCCTTGCCCATTCGTCGAAGCACGCTCCCAAGCCTACCCCCGCTTCGCAGAAATCCTTCTCTTCTCTCCCCCAGCTCTCTGCGCTCCAGGTTCAGGAACTGCTCGCCCTGCCCCGAGTGGTGGGGAAACATGCACTTCAGAGGGAGAGGTTGAGGGAACTTCATAGCAAGCGGTTTTCCCGCTGGGCGTTCGAGCTCGAGCAGGGGTTCAACATACTCCTCTTTGGATGGGGAAGCAAGCGCGACGTCTTGGATTCCTTCGCACGGGATGTATGCACTAAAAGAGGGCATGTGGCGACGTTGCACGCTTATCTCCCGAACGTCTCCTACACGAACATCATGGCGAGCCTCCTCTCGCTCCCGTTCGTCCCTTCCGAGCCGGCTGTACCTCCCTCCTCCCCAGCAGCCGTCGAGCGACTTTATCACGCCCTCTCAGCTTCCCCCCGCCCACTATACATCATCCTACACTCCCTAGACACCCCCGGGTTTCTCACCACCCCTCTCCGGGCACTCCTCTCCCTCCTAGCGCTGCATCCCAAATGTCACCTCCTCGCCTCGGTCGACAAGGTCAACGCGCCCCTCCTATTTACCCAACGCGACCTCTTTACGAGAAAACACGAGCCACTGGACTACCCCAGCACAGAAGAGAGCCACCTCCCGCGTATCCCACCACAGAGGGGGTTCGCATTCCTCTGGCAGGAAGCGACGACTTTTGAGCACTATACCGCTGAGCTTGCACCGCGTGCTTCTCTCTCTGGAACAGCAGGGCCAGGGGTCAACGGCACGCATCTTGATCTCACAGCGACGATACATATCCTCAACTCGGTACCTGACAAATCCAAGACGCTGTTCACTCTGCTAGGGAAGATGCAGCTGGAGAACCTCGCTGCCCCGGAAGAAGAGGGCACGGCGTTACCGCAGAACGCACCGAAACATGCAGCCCCGTTGGCTAGCTTGCTCACACAGGCCAGAGAGGCGTTTATCGCTACGAACGAGGTGCAGTTCCGTGCTCTTCTAGCGGAGTTCCGCGATCATGGACTTGTGAGCGGGGCAGCTTCGGGAGCACAGGAAGTGCTCTGGGTGAACGTGAACAAGAGCGTGTTGCAGAATGTGCTCCAGGTGCTCGAAGAGGACGGTTGAAGGTTGGGGCGCTCATGTTCATTGTCATTACAGCACGATCCACACTTATCTCCAAACATCTGTAAGCGTAGGGTATCATTAATGATTCTGTTAGGGAGCGTGTCGTCACATAGCTAGACCATCTGTCTGTTTAATAGATGTAGGGGATGATTCGCCACCTGACTATGGCCTTGTACTTGTTCCAATCGTCACCGTACCTGTAATCACGTCAGCATGTGTCACTCACAAGGCACCCTAAGCGGTACGCACTTCTTCCTGCACTGCTCATCATCCCGCATAGCACGGTGGGTTAAAAGGATGACGAAGAAAACGATGTAGAAATAGGTGATGGGAGTGTGGAAGCCGGTCGTCATGCACCATGCAAGCGCCATCATCAAGTCTCCCCAATAGTTCGGGTGCCTAGACATGCCCCAAAAACCAGAGATTATTAGCTCGGTACCGCGCTTGGTCTTCAAGCTTTTCAGGTCTTTTCATTGTCAATGAGATGCAGTTCATGGAGAAAAAAAAAACATGATCAGGCTCACTCTTAGGGTTCTTGCCGCCGCGGAAGGTATCCTTGTCGGTGTTCGCCGTACGGAAGATATAGTACCCGATAGAGTTAAGGGCAAAGACGAATATGGTCAGGGGCCAACCAAGCTCGTGCTGGGAGAATGCAAGGTACCTCGCCTGGAGCGCGTAAGAGAACGGCACCCAAGCGAGGTCACCGACGGCAAGCATGAAACCAAAACCATCGGTGGTAATATCCATCTGCGTGAGGATGGTACTCTCGTTCCAGAGGGCATCCAAGACGTAGAGCCCCTGGAAGACGTTGATGAGGATCATGCTGTCGGTGGGCCAAGCGTGGCGGCCGCGGCGGACCATCTGCTCGCACATGCACGAGATGTCGTTAAGCATCCAGAGGATAAGGCCTGGCCGGAGCTCGTTGAAGGTCTTCAAGTCGAACTTCATCCTGTCGAGCCAGGCACATGAGGGGTTAAGCTCGCGGCCAATGAACCAGTCGTAAAGGTAGTTCCCGCTGTTGCCACCCAGTGCCAGGAGAGCACCGTTGCGGAAAGAGAGGTAGTACACTGTAAATGCTTGAACCAAGGACATGACGATCGAGGCAGATATTAAAGCAAGATAGTGGTCGTAGATAAATATGAAGCTGAGAGGGCCGTAGCGATAGATGGTGCCGGCGACCAAACCGAGAGTAAGTAGAGCAGTCGCAAACGCTGAGAAGTATGAGCATCGTAGATGTGAGAACTTGATGTGCACTCACCATTCATCTTGTATTCCTTCGTCTGACCGTTCCGCATGACTGTACCCTTCACCCAGTCACCAGGAATTAACCTCCAGCACAGACAGCAGTACGCGTACCACCCGCAGTACACAAAGAACGCGTTCCAGTCCCACAGAGCATCCCACCACCGCTCACTCTTCAATGTAGAGGATATAGAGAGTAATGGTGGTGGGCAACCACCGGTAAGGTCTGAACAACCCAGATGCAGGAGGTAGAGCATCAGTGGGGTCGTCACAGAGACCCCGAGTGCGCCGATTGGTCCACCAAACTCGAATTTGGTCGACTTCGGATTGAGTGTTGCTTCATCTTTTTTATCGACGACGGCGACCTTGTTTTCCTTGTCTGCCGACACCATGGTGAACGTTGGTGGAGAAGAGAGGAAGGCTCGTGCGGGGGAGCGCGCGGTTAGTGTAGCTCAGGGTGGCGTGACGCGACTTCGGAGTAAACTCCCCACTTTTTGCTTCCGTGTGGCGCGGGGATCTCGGAAAAACTCGCTGGTGACATGGCTGTGACTGTCACGCTGATCAAAAATTACTGTACATCGCACCACCAACCGTACACAGATGTCGTATAATACAATTTGGAATGATCTAATACTTAGACTTGGCTTTCACCTGCCGGATCCCCATCGGCTTCACTTTCTTCGGTGGGCCGGAGGTCGATATGTCACCCGCCGGTCCATTGTAACTGAACTGTTCTCGCAACTGCTGCGCACCAAGAGACGATTTGCGAGCATTTCTGGTAACAGACTATCAGCAAACTGATACAAGAGAGTTTGGCCTAGCTTACGGGACTGCGGTTGCGCTTCGAGATATCCGCGGTCTAGGAGGGGACGCAGTCTCATCCGGGTCCATCATACGGAAGCGCATACAGACATTCAGCAGTCGGCGGCCGTATTGATCCCACTTCTTTGCCACATCCTCCTCGTGCTCAAGGCATTGCTTGAGAACGTTCCTGAACTCCGAAGCATCCACCGGAAGCGACCCGGCAAGCAATTGGCACGTATAGTCATCCAGAATGTGTTCAGGCTCTTTCAGATGCCGCTCAGTCGCAATCTTGCTTCGTTCCTCTACCAATGCTGTATAGCACCGCTGACAGTTGTCTCCGGAGGTGTCACCAGCCATGTTCTCTCCCGCAACAGACTTCCGTCTGGTTCGGGAGGCGATTGGCTTGGACTTTGCAGCCATGGCGCGATTGCCTTGGCCTTGAAGAGCGAAACTGTCTTCTGCTGGTTGAAATTCGTCGTCATCGACGATTTCCTCTTCCCGCTCATCCTCAAAGTCGTAACCTTCGTCGATGTACACACTGTTATCCACCTTCTGGTTGTTGACGGCTTTGACTTTGCCGCGTCCTATACTAGCCCTCTTCTGTGCATTACTGCCAGACCGGGGCTTGGCATTGCCCGCCAGAGGATCGACTGCCTGGACGCGCATCATGAATGGTTTCCTGCGGTTCAGAATGTCGAGACCAAGCGGACCAAGCTCCTTGAGATATGTGGTGTTGAATCCACCACCGTTCATCACGGATTGCTCGCGCAACGCGTCATGGGACACAAGATGTTGGTACAGACGTTCGACTTGTTCTCGGTTAATGCCTGCTCCGGTCCCATAAGCTTCGAGATTATCCCAGCCCATCTGTTTGACTTTGGCAGTGTGAGCGCCTCGGAAGATATCGATCGCTTGTGCTAGTGTTACACGACCCGATCGTAGGGCAGCCTGAACAGTCAAAAGAGCTTTCCGTGCCAGGTCGCTGACATCCTCGAGCAGAGTTTCTTCATTGCTCATGCAGTTGTCGCAACTCTTATGACAGTTTTCAGGGGCAAACTCTTCGTCAAAGTACTGAAGTACTTGGGTGCGTCGGCAGTCTGTGATGTTCTGGCAATATTGGACGACTCGCTGCAAATCCATTCGTTGTCTTTCTTTCTGCTCAGGGGACGCGTCACTTTCGTCTATGAACTTCTTGAACAATGCCGTGTCACCGTAGTGATAGTCTGCAGGCGGTCAGCAAAAGCATATATAGCACCAGCCTTTGCCTTACACAGGATACACACGGAGTCATTTCCGTCTCGACCGGCACGACCAGTCTCTTGATAATACCCTTCTAAAGATTTCGGCAAAGAATGATGGATAACATAGCGAACGTCCGGCTTATCGATCCCCATCCCAAAGGCAATCTGAGAACGTGCTGTCAGCCTTTCGTTACCCTCAGGGAGACGATCACTGACCGTGGCAACGATAACTTTGAACTCGTTATGCTTCCACGATTCCTGGGTCCTAAGACGGTCGTTCTTGTTCATTCCTGCGTGGTAGTGCCGCGCAGGTAATCCAAAGGTATCGCGAAGTTCTGCAGCAACCTCTTCGCACTTCTTGCGAGACAGACAATAAATGATGCCGGCGTCATTGCGATGACAGGAGTTGATGAACCCATATATGTTCGCCACCAAATTTCCGGGTGGCTTCTTCCTTACCGAGTAATGCAGATTCGGGCGATTGAATGACAGTGACAGCCTCACACAGCCTTTAATCCCGAGGCAGCCAATGATGTCCTCAGATACTCGCTTGTTTGCCGTCGCAGTGAGCGCCATGATGGGAACGCCCGGATATTCACGGCGCAAGATGCCGAGTTTCTCGTACTAGAAAAATCTATGAGAATGCATCGTAGGGGGCATTAACTGCACTTACTGCTGGTCGAAAGTCGAAGCCCCATTGACTTACACAATGCGCCTCGTCTATGACGAATCGGGCTAGGTTATTGTCGTTGTGAAGGTAGGATAACAGGTTCCGCAGGGAGCCTCGTGCTTCCAAACCTTCTGGGGTGATGTAGCACAACGCTGGCTTGTTCCTGCTACGCAGGCGGCTCTCGGTCTCCCGGGCTTCGTCTTTGGAGATGTCGCTATTCAACATAACTACATCGATGTTCAGGTCACGACAGTGCTGGACTTGGTCGGACATCAATGCCAGCAAGGGTGAGATGACCACGGTGACCCCTTTAGTCTTCCCGGTTTTGCATACAGCTGGGAGCTGATAGCATAAGCTCTTGCCTCCACCAGTAGGCATAAGGACATAAACATCCTTCCCACCCATAGTTGCATTTATAGCGGCGAGCTGGTTGGGCCGAAATTTGGTCAAATGGAAGACATTCTTTAGAGTCTTCGAGAGTTCTTCATACCATGGTGTGGCTGTTTGATCCACCGAGTCGACCGCAGACAATGACGTTCGGGGCTTTTCAGCACGCTTCACGGGTGTCGCAATCTTCGTCCCCATCCGTGGAGGAATCGGCATGTTGCCTTGAGCAGTGTTCACAGGAGCACAGAATTCGAGTATCTCCACGCCATCGTCAAGATCACGGACATTAATGGGCGCAGCTCGGATAGCCGACATGGAAGAAACACTTGCAGTATTTCCCATGCGTGATGTGCTTGCTGGTGGGGCGGCTGAAGGACGAGAGATTTCACACGTCTGTGCTTGTGGTGGAGGCAGAAAATGACTATGAGCACTAGACACGTCTGGATTTGCAGCCTTGTACAATCCGTCAACGCTATTATATGCGGCTGACGAGGTTGAACGTATCAACGGTCTTGATGCGTTGGCACTCATGAGATCAGCTGGCATCGAATCAACAGGTTGCTGTCGCCGTAGGTCAATCGCTCTCTTGATCTCTTCCGTTCGTACAGCAAGGAAGTCACTGGATTAACCGATCGGAGTCAGGACATCAGCTCAAGGATGTTCAGCAGACCACACACCGTATATGGGCAGTGAGGGCTGGGTCTTCTTGGATCTGCTCCCATGGCTGTGGTGTAGCAAGCTTTGTCAATGCCTTGATGTGTGCGTCTTGATTTAGCAACAGTAGACGTGTGAGCTGATCAGTGCCCATAGACATCAAGTCCGTGGGTTCAACCTGAGGTTTGGGCAATACTGGGATGTCTGGGGGTGGCACGATATCGCACAATGTTTCAGAGCTTCGACGGTCAACGCCACCGCCCGAACGCCTTTTAGGTCGTGGCGGCTGGTGCCGGTTCTACTCATATAAGAGAAGATCCAAGTGAGTTAGATAAGGTACGTACATCTCCTTCACCATTTTCCATCGCTCTCAAAATGGCCTCGCTGTCTTCATCAAGTACGAAAGTCTCCATGAAGTCCTCCACATCTACGACTTCCATATCCTGATCAACCGGTGCAGAAGGCTCCTGTACCGGCATATTTTCCTTATGTGTCTTTTGTCGTTTACAAGACGGACTGGAGCCAAAAAATACGAGCGAAGAGGATGAGGAAGCACGCTTGTTTGAACGGGTTCCAGAACTCGAAGAGGGAAGTGAAGAGCGCGCCGGTTTCGACGTGAATTGGGAGGGACGAGGGGGCTGTTGTCTGTTGGGACTGGACTCGACTAGGATCCGTGAAGGAGGCTTCAGTGAGAAATCAATGACGCCATCTTATATGTCTGGTTAGCGTGATATACGCAATGGTCATGAGAGCTGACACACCCAGCGCCTGCAGGACACGAGATTTATTGGCAACTCCGGAGGGCAAGACGGGTTGGATTGGGACTATGGCAGGATTTGCAAACTTGAACTTCTGAAGTCCAAATGAGCTTATTGGTCTATCCCAAAGAAGAGGCTACACACCTTTGGCTCCCTTGTTTTGTCCACATCGACCGCTCCGTTTCCTGCTGACGATCCAGGTTGCAACTGCTGCAGCTTGTCGCTCAGGTTATTTTGTGGCGCTATCATCTCATGAGAGCTCGTGTTCCCCTGATCCCTTTCTAATTGTAGGGTAATAGTACGTGGATGATAAGGTATCGTCTCTATGTGGTAGCTCTGGGTTGTGTGGTGAGAGAGTGCAAGAGGTGCGCGACTGATTTCGATAGGACGCGCCCATACCTATGACGCGTCTCGTGACTGGAATTAGCACAGCCTCTGATACATGGACGCGTTGTTATGTTCCTGCATCTTCTGATTATGAAGCCCACGATTGAATAAAAATTGACTTTTCATTGCGTATCGGATGCCAAGCTCGTCTCGCTACATGACTATTACAGGCCAGTCCAGGTGAAGGACTTGTCGAGCTTGAACCTGCCCTTGAGGGGCAGGTCAACGGACGACTGACCAACAAGCACACCGTACTCTCCCTTATCCACCCGCCACGCCGCGATGCCATCATCGTAGTACGACACCGCATACTTGCTGAGCTTGAGGGCGATGGTCGTGCTCGCCCCCGGTGCAAGATCCTTAGCTTTTCCAAATGCACGCAGCTGTTGTTGTGGTTGCGTGAGATGCGTGGCAGTGGGCTTGACATACAACTGGACAACCTCGGAACCTGCGATCTTACCGGTGTTCGTGACCTTGACGGACACTTCCACGCTGAGTGATGCGTCCGAGGACGAGGGGCTGCTGATCTTCAGATCAGAAAGCTGGAAGTTAGTGTATGAGAGACCAAAGCCGAAGGGGAACAGGGGCTCGACGCCTCTGCCGATGTAGTGCTTGTACCCGACGAAGAGGTCCTCTGCGTAGTGAACCTTGCCGTTCTCGCTGCGGTAGTTGTTGTGTGCCGGAATATCTTCCATACGCTTGGGGAGACTGAGTGGCAGACGGCCAGAGGGGTTGATCCTACCGAATAGCACATCGGCGATGGCATTGCCGACCTCATTGCCAAGATACCATGCTTGGACAACACCGGCAACCTTGTCCACCCATGGCATGGAGATAGCAGATCCAGCCTGGACAACCACCACAGTGTTCGGGTTCGCAGCGGCCACACGGGTGATAAGCTCGTTCTGCCTTCCCGGCATATCCATGGTAGGACGGTCGAAGCCCTCGGACTCCCATTCGGGTGTAAGGCCGACAACGACAACGGCGACCTCGGACTTCTTCGCCAGCTCAACTGCCTCCTGGATAGCACCCTCAGGGTCAATCTTCTCTGCTCCACCAAGACGGAGACCGCGCATAAGGGCAGGCTGTGAGTTACTCCTCTGTTGGTCCTTCGGCACCTCGTTGGTGTATTCGATAAGTATCTTGTAACACTTGCCTGCGATAACGTTCATGACAGCCTTCTCTTCCTGGCTTCCCTGGCCGTAGAAGAACTCTCCAGGCTGCTGCTTCGTCCAGTTGTCGATGAAGAGCTTGCCGTCAATATACAACTTAGCCGCGCCAGCAACCGCGACACCAAACTCAAAGGCGCAGGTCTTGTCCGCCGTGAATGTGCCTTCGAGCTTAATGAACCATGTCTCCTTGAGCTCATTGGGCAGGAAATCGTTCAGCCGCACACGGGTATCCTGGATCGTGTAGTTGGCGAGCTCAATCGTGGGCTTTCCGTGGTTGTCATAGTTAAAGAAAGTGCAACGCCAGCCAGGTGTGCCGGAGGGGCTCGTGAGCTTATCCTCGACGGTTGGCAGGAAACGATGAGCTGGGGTAGATATGAGCAAATATTTAATTCTTATGGACCAAAACATACCGTAGCATCCAACGGTGTAGTCGGTATTGATGTGGCTCTCCTTTGCCGGTTCGACGATGCCAGCATGAGGAGTGACGACGTATGTCGGCATGAGGGCGGCGGATCCACCACCAGAGATGACTCTGCCCTTTGCGTTCGGACCCATAATCGCGATGCTCTTGACGGTCTTCAATGGAAGTACGTTCCCCTTATTCTTCAGCAGGACAATTCCCGAGCCCGCGAGCTTGCGGTTGAATGCGCGATCCTTGGGGTCGTCCCTGCTGTGCTCCTCTCCGTCACCATAAACGATCTCGGGAGAGACGTTGGCCACCTTCTGCACCCACTTGAGGAGTTGATCGCAGCGTTCGTCGAGGTCCGATTCGAACAGCTTCTGGCAGCTGAGCAAGTGCTTGATCAACAGAGGCGTCCGCCAGCGAGGCGGACCGGGCATCTCCAGGTCCAACGACGCCTTGATGGCTGCGTCAGTGCTGTACGTCCCGAACCTGTAAACCGGGCTTAGACGGTGTTTCTTTTCAAACGGTGTAATTACATACCAATCGCTCATGACTAACCCATCAAATCCCCATTCCCCGCGCAGGATCCCTCTGAGAAGCATTGGGTTCTCCGCACAGTGAGTCCCGTTCAGCCGCCCATAGCTCGTCATGTACGACCAAGGCTTCGCATCCCGCTGGGCAATCATGAACGGCATCAGGTACACTTCACGCAGGGCACGCTCAGACACTTCCGAGGAAACTGCCGTGCGCTCATGCTCTTGACTGCGGGATGCATTAGCATATGCGCATCTCTCGATACAACCCATGTACTCACTCGTTGGCGACGAAATGCTTAATGCAAGCACTGACACCATTGGACTGCAATCCCTTCACGTATGCTGCCGCGAGAGTACCCGATAAGAACGAGTCCTCGGAGAAGGATTCGAACGCGCGACCGCCCAGCGGGCTGCGCTGAATGTTGCAAGTAGGGGCGAGGAGGACGACTGCGGCCTTGGTCTTCGCCTCAATAGCCAAGAACTTGCCTGTCTCCTGAATAAGCTCAGGGTCCCACGTCGATGCCATCGCTGTTTCGCACTAATGATTGTCAGACGGGTGTATTGCAGCTTGCACAGTGCAGACTCACAGGAATACACTGCGCCGGGTTGGACTTGAAGTGGGACGACCCGCGCACACCGTTAGGCCCATCGCTCATACGTAAGCTGGGGATCTCCAGCCGGGGGATCTTGTTAGTGTCCCACCATGTCGGTGCAGAGATGAGGGAGATCTTTTCATCGAGGAAGAGCTTGCCTACAAGGTCCGCGACGTCGGCCTTCAGGAAGGACTGGTTCATTCCCTTGGACATGTTAGTTGATGGGCAGAATCAACCGAGTGTGGTTGCCCCAGTCCGTCGTCGGTGTTCTTGAGTGGATGAGCCGTAGCCTCCACATTCTGGCTGGTGTATTTCCCAATCGTCGACGACCGTGACTCGCTGGATAAATTACAGCGACCGGAGAAACTCCTCGGGACGAGGGCCGACTTGCCGAAAGGAAGGACTTTCTTCGGATTTATTCAATGGACCCTGGTTGCGCCTCGTGCTTGCTCTTCTCAGTTCTAGTCACCTGCACCACTGGTTGACCGACGAAATCGCACTGATCCTTTTACTACCGTTTGCACTCGCTATAGTGTATCAATCATCTTCAATAGCAATCTGGAATACATATGACAGACACAACAACGGACGGCATCTCCGATGTCTTGACCAACCTCGCCGTGCCCAAGACGAGCGCGACGCTCACCGTGCGGGTGATAAAGTCCTTCGAGTTTCGCACCGAGAAGTCCCTCGTCTTGCGCGACTATAACCTGGAGACGGAGACAGTTGGGTCGTTGAAAGAGAGAGTGATCCATGGTGCGCACAACTCTGTCAGGCGGGGATCGTTGCTAACCGATCCCAGATATACACACACTCCCTGGCTGGAAACCCTATCGTACCGCACAACCCGATACCCTCAAGCTGTATACCAAAGCCCACGGTGCAAAGGTGCGATATCTTCTCATCCCCTGTGTATCCTGGTTCAAATGCGCTCCACAGACTACTAATCTCATCATCAACCTCGACCACGACGAATGGCTACTGACAGACGACAGCGTGACTCTCGCCTCCTGCGGTCTCGGTGAGCACACTTTCCTATTCCCTGAGCACTCTACTTCTCCAATGTCTGCCTTGCGTGCGTCGAGAGAGGTCCAAGTGCTCGTCATCTTCGCTTGGGTCGGATGGAGCTGACACCTTCCACCAGAGAACGAGAGCGAGGTGTCGTTCTTTAATCGTGAACTGTATGAACAATTCAAATCACATCCTGAGGTAAAGAGCTTCAGCGTCTACGCCGCACTCCGGTCTGTTCTGACTGCTGAATCAGACCAAGTGGTAGTTCTCGTTTACACCGCATGCGCAGCGTGTCCTCCAGGCACCTGTTCGACTGACTCAGACCCTCCCGTTTCCATTCTCCGAAAGTTCCCACAATTCTGGTGTCGTCTCAGCACATTGTACTTAACAAATCAATGAATGTTGTTGTAATCTTCTCCGCATTCCCGCTCAGGACGCACTCTAAAAGTTATGTATCTCTATTGATTAGATGCTGCAGTGGGTACACGATTGCACGTAACGAGAGGAAGAATGAAACACAAGCGAGAAAGTATCCGAGAGCGGAAGAAAGCCACAGCAACCCGTTAGGCAACCCGGCAACGTAGGATACATACAGCAGCAGCCAGCCAAATGCCAATGAGGAAACCGATCACTGGTTCTGACACTGTACCCTCGGGCCAGCACCGTCCTCGTCCTCGTCCACCTCCATCTCATCGTTCGCTGCCCGCTGCTGCCGCGCGTCTGGCTCAGCGAGAACGACTTCCTCCAAGTGGATGTTCTTGGGGAACTTCTCCGTCGCCTTGCGTGCTGGCAGCGCTTTTTCGAGCAGTGGGATTACGGCAGGATCGATCGACTCTGGGAACTTGACCTTCATCCGCACGTACAGATCGCCAAAGTCGTGGTGCCGGCGTGAAGGCATACCCTGACCATGAATGACCTTGACCGCACCTGTGAAGACATGTCAATATATGCGCCTTGTTATGACTTATCTCCTCCACTTACCATCCTTGATGACCTCTCCGGGCACTATCGTGACCATCAGAGCGCGTTCATCCAAATGCGGGATGGCGAATTGGCCACCACCAAGAGCAGTAAGCAAGTCGATCTCGATTTCGATAACGAGATCGTTGCCCTTGCGAGTAAAACGATCATGTTTCTTCTCCTCGATCACGATGACGACGTCTCCGGGTATCATGTCTGGTGCCTGATCACTTTCGCCAGCGAAATTGATCGTTTCACCACCTTTCATCCCCTTATCGATGTGCACTTCAAGCACCTTCTTCTCGCTGATCGTCTTCTTTCCATTGCACTGTTTGCAGCGGTCCTTGGGATTGATGATCTCACCCGTGCCGTCGCAGTCTGGGCACTGTTGCTGAATCTGTTGCATCATCGGACCGAGCTGTCGGATGACAATCTTGATACCTTGACCACGGCACCCCGGACAAGTCTTCACAGCGCCCTCCTTGCCACCCTTGCCGTTGCACTTAGGGCAGATGATGTGCTTGTTAAGCGACAGCTTGGACGTCTTCCCCTTGTACAGCTCTTCGAGCGACACATGTATACGGTGCACGAGATCCTTGCCCTTCCTCGGTCCACTTGGGCGTCCTCCGCCACCAAAGAATCCCCCGCCACCAAAAGGCCCTCCGCCGCCTCCGAACAGCTGGGAGAACAAGTCTTGCGCATCGACGCCGCCTGCACCGCCGGATTCTGACAGCCCTGCCTCACCAAAGCGATCGTAGATACCACGTTTCTGGGGGTCGGAAAGGACTTCGTATGCTTGGGTAAGGTCTTTGAAGATTTCGGGGTCGCCACCCTTATCTGGGTGTGCGCGTAGGGCTCTACATTATGCTGTCAGCTTCATCCTAATGGGTGTGGACTACTGCAATACGTACTTTTGACGGTAGGCCTTCTTCAGTTCAGACTCTGACGCATCTGGTGAGACGCCGAGAAGGTCGTAAAGCTTACTGTAAGGACGATCATCAATACAACACGTCTATGGTGACTGCATAAATTTCGATACTCACGTCTCCTTAACCATGGCGATAGTAGGAAAGAAAAGGGAGGGAAAGTGCTGGGTAAAAGTGCGTAAATGGGACTCGCAAACAACGTACGCGCTGTACGGTATATAAGAGCAGAGTGAACGATGAGAGCGACTGACTGTGCAGCGACGGGCTTTAGATGATCACAGCCGCTGGAACCCTCTCGAAAGAAAAATGGTCCACGCACCAAGACGGAGGCTAATTTTCTTTCCTTACCCACGTCAGGGATCTTACTCATACGGTAATTCCGGTGCTCTCGGGATTCTTCATTGTTTTTCTTTTATTTTACAACAAAATGCATCGCAAATCCTATCCAGAACCGCAACAATAAATCACTTTCCCGTTACTGCACTCTCCACCAAATTGGGGTATATGTCGTAACGTTTCTGGCTCCTTACTGGAATACCCGCGCGCATGTCAGCGATCTTCTGAGGGTCTGCCAGACAATGTCAGCAAAGGCAATCCCCGAAGCAAGCCCAAGTTCATACCTATATCACCATATACAACTCCTTCGTTCTCGTCGATAGTGGCAACGACGATCCCGCTGTACAGTTTTGAGTCGAGGCTGAAATACCTTGCCGAAGTGCGCTTACTAAGGATCGATGATCGTAGAATGCCCCCATGCATGGTAATCCGCTGACATATCCCTCGCCGGACTACACATTGACACATACATCTGATTATCCACCGCCCGGGCACGCTGAAGCAGCTCCCAGTGCAGCGGCCCCGTTGTCATGTTGAATGCGCTAGGATAGATCATAGCGATACAACCTTGGTGGGCGGCAATTATCGCTTGTTCTGGGAAGCGGATGTCGTAGCAGATACCCAATCCTATTCGGCCAAAGTCTTGAAGGTGAATCAGCACTTCCATGCTATGCAGGAGCAAGACATCGTGCACATACTGGCGTCGAAATACGTCAGCTTGCTGCCACCTGTTAGCGATTCGCTCTCCTGTGTTGCGATCAGCGAAGAGCGTTGAGCAGAGATGGTGATTCCCACCTTAAATGTGATCTTGCCAGGGATATCGATATCGAACAGATGTACTTTCCGATGTATGGTGACGAGCTCACCTAAATATTATCAGCCTCTCAAAACATCATTCCAGAACACGACCTACCAGAGGGGTTGTACACTGTCGCAGTATTATACAGCTTGTTACCGTCCCTCTCGGGCATGGAGCCTGTCTTCTTGGTTACTCTCGAACGAATGCTACGGTAAGAACATTCCCACCTCCAATTAACCAGATGCCCGCTTCCTTCGCCGCAGTCGAGAGAGCCTGCACGGTTTCACTAGGGCTCGTGATAATATCATACTTCTTCTCCGGGTCAAAGTTGATAGACTCTGCAAACTCCGGGAAGTGCGTCACGCCGTACGGCGAGTTGAAGCATTCCTACACCCCACATCAGCTGCGCAGGGACAGGAACAAGCCGCAGCAACATACCGGGAGCACGACCAAGTCCGATTTCTTCCCATCACCTGCTGTGGCCTTGAAGATCAGCTCCCTCGCGTGCTTGAGATTGTACGCCTTGTCCTTGCTCCCAAGCATCTGTATAAGCGCGAGGCGGAAGGGCTTTGGTGTCGGCGCGGGACCGAAACTCTTCCATGCGGGTTGGGACATGCTGCGGACTTGGTTCAAGCTAGCGGGGAGAAAGGAACGAGGTGGTACAAGCAGGTAGCGGCGTAGAGGAGCGAGCAGGGCGGTCATGCGGGTCGGCGTGCACTTGTGCTGGAGGCGGCGATAACATGTGCGGCTCTCTTCCCCAAAGGGTCCACGACACGAGGTGCACATGGACTCCCACAGCTTGAACTCGTTTTAGAAGTCAACTACCAGTATCCATGACCGGAATTTGTGGTGTGTATATCGCGACATTTTGAACTGCTCTCGGATTTAAATTTTGTTTAAATCTCTTGGGAAATCTTTGCATACGGCAAAAGAACGCTGAAAGGCCGGTACCGACTGCGGGCCTAGCTCTAAATCTGTCTGGTTTAGCGCTTGCGCTGAATGTGGCAAGTCCGAGCTTTTCAAGGGGGCGACACTCCGGCGGCGAAATCCTGCGCATGGGCATTCAAATAACTGCTTTCTATGCGTGACTAGAGTGGCATCTGGCAGGATTGCGCCCTAACCGAGGTATTCGGATTTCACTTCTGCTACACAGGTCACCGGTGGACAAGCCATCCCGGTATCGTGTGCGGTTGTGGCACTACTGCTGGCCCCTGTATGGCTTTCTCGAAGAAAATACTTGGGGATTTAAAAGCGAACAGGTGGTGGTGGTATGACAGTCGGCATTGTCGACATCTGCGCACGATTTCACACTTTCCCACAATTTGTTCCAAAGCACCCTGCGAATGGACGTGAGCTGTAACAAGACCATTACTGTAAGGTGGAGAGACGCAGGAGAGGATGTATGTTATGTTTCGAACATTTGAACCCAGGCGCGAACTGATGTTGCAGGGACAGCCGGTTTGGCTAGCCTTCGTCTTCTCGCCTCAAGTTGAAAGGGATCCATTCCTGCAATATCACCATGTCATCTGGGATACCATCGCTGTTCGAAACAGTGGCTCCCAAAATCTCCGATTCACCGGTGAATTTGCGTTCGGTCTATGTATTGGAGTAAGTGCACGTCTCCACTCGAGTTATTCAGTGGGAAGCTTAAATGTGGTCTGCCTGTAGGATAAGACCGCGTTCATAGACCATGTGTATCGCATCGTTACGGTCAGAAATTTGTCAATACATCTATGTAATCGGATGGATTATAAGTCGCTTGAACAGGGAGACGCGCAATGCCTAGATCTCGTCTTAAGAAAGGATGTCCCTGTGTGGACAGTGGGTTCGCAGCTGCGAACAAAACCTTGACAAATCAGGATATCACCTTTGGTGAATTCATACTTATGTATGACGACTGCTGCTGGCTGACCATGGACGCGTTCTAGGGATGGTATCAGCTTCTGGAGACTATACACCTTTAGTGTCCTTCAATTCGCTCCCGTGAGTGAAGAGTCCTCGCGATTCTAGTACGGGAATTGGCTCAAACTTCAACAGGCCTGGAAAGACCGTCAAAGTGATGGAGCCAGTAATGGTGAAGGTATATATTGGTGCTGGACTGCAAAGTAGGTCATTATTATCACACTATGGTCGAAAGGCGAATTGATAGTGGGTGAAGGTGGCACCGTGGATTATTGGATTTCATCTTCCACCGCGATTTGGGAAGCATCCCTCGACACACTTGCTGGTGAGTTCGTTGGGGAAGGTACGCAAATAAGAACTCATAGTCGCGGCCAGACGAGGTGACACTCGATTATTCTGCGGACGAGAAGGTAGGTAATGATGAAGTTTTAGCCCCAAGACAGAATCAGCTCAAAATATTCCCAGAGTGCACCCATTTTACGACGGAGGGAAACCAGACTCACGACGGCGTCCCTCTCGGTGCCGTCGGTGCCCGCTATAACTGAGAGTATTGCTATCTCGCCTGTCTCCAAGCTGGAGGCAATATGACCGCCATCAATAACTGCGTTCCCTTGCTGTACTGACACCTATAACCTCTTTCTATCTCCCGCTGGGGCGAGGTTTTCCCGTTGCTAGGTTGGAAACATCGTGAGTGGCAGTGGTTTTGTTTACCCCAACGAACTTGTCGTTATCTATTTCATAGTTAAGCATGTTAAGAATGTCGGGGAACAGAACGTACATGAAGATGCCAGAAGATCATCAGCCACCGGCTGCGGCCCCGAAGTGATGTATTTTGCAATGATACCTCTGGCTACGACCCTTTCGGAGAGAAGTGCGCGCAGTTGTGCCTTGTACGACCCAATCTGTGCCGCAGTTTTCTCGTCCACCTTTGCCGACGACTGTCCTCTACAAGTATTCATCAGCAATTTGTCCGCACCGAGTGTACAACTCGTACTGGTCCTCAGAATCGAGCTCAATTTCTAAAGCATCAGCGGTCTCCTGCAACCAGTTCTTCTCATGAGTTGCCTTCTTAATTTTATGCTGAATGTCATCGATTTTTTTGGCCAATGCCATGCGCTCCTTAAGTTTGTCCAGGACCTCATGCTCCACTGGTAACTCAGGAGGTTCAGTGGCTGAAATCAAATCAGTCACTAAGACGATCTCTAGTTGAAGAACAACTTGCCTCTTCCAAGTTTTTGCAAAAGCGCCCGCTGCACCCTTTTCTCGTCGGGGCTACAAAGAAGTAGACTGAAACCTGGCTTCTCAGCCCTTGCAGTCCGTCCACTTCGATGTATATAGGTATCGGCAGTGCGAGGTATTTGATAGTGAATAACATGCTCAACTGCGGGTATATCGAGGCCACGCGCGGCTACGTCAGTCGCCACAAGGACCGCGTCAGGCGCGGCCTTAAACCTGGTTACGTTGTCAGCCACTGGACATGGACATTGGATCAATGCTGGCCTTTCTAAGTTTTTCAACCGCTGCTTTTGTTGCAACTGGGAATGCAAAGGGAACACATTTACCCCAAGGAGTTCCAGCATTGGGACGATCCGCCGAATGCCGTCGATCGCACTGACAAATACGAGGCTCCGGCCTGGATATCTTAGTAGGAAATAGTATAGATATAAATCCTAAACATCAGCATTAGCGCTATGTAGTCACTAGTAACTGGAAAATGCACCTTTTCCGCAGAGACACATTCCAACTTGGCTTCCTGTAACGTGTGCGAAACGCCTTGCTCCGGGGTGAGATCGATGATTTCGGGCTGTTCATCCCGGAAATCCAAGCGTTCTAGTAATTCGTCCAGGGTCGATGGTGGATTTTCTCCTTTCTTCCTTGGAGGTCCTCGCTTCCTTTTCTTCAGGTTCATCTGGAGGTCCCTTGACAGCGTGGCTGAGAAGACAAATGTCTGCATGTTTTCACTCGTGCTTCCCCCTCCGGCTGTGACTTCAATACCGGCTCTTTGGAAAGCGATATTGGAGGCATCGTCGATTGCGTCACCTTCCGAGTCACGCCTCGTCAACCGAAGAATGTTGTGCAGCTCCTCAAAATGTCCAGTTTCAATCATGCGGTCAGCCTCATCGAGGACGAGGAACCGGATAGCACGAACTTGCTGGGCAAGACTATCGTCCTGCGGAATTTTTCAGCATTATGAGAGTCATGTGATATGAGCTGGTATTACCTCGCCTAGGAGATCCCACAATCGACCGGGAGTAGCGATCATGATATCCATACCTCGCTCGATAATTCGTCGCTGCTTGAGGTTACTCATTCCTCCCACGATACCGCCAATACTGATAAGGGGCGGTCCTCGTGGCCCCTTCTTGTCCTCCTTGACCCCTTCCTTGGATATCGAAGGATTTACTTGTTCCACCACCGCGCGTAGGTGCTCGCCAACCTGCAACGCTAACTCTCGGGTGGGAGCCAGAATGAGCGCGGACAACGTGCGCTGCTCCGGCGGGATAACCCCCGCATATTTGACAAGTAACTGGTTGATGATAGGTAGGCCATAAGCAAGGGTCTTGCCAGAACCCGTTTCGGCTACACCAATAATGTCACGGCCTTGCAATGCGATGGGAATGGACCGACTCTGAATTTCAGTCGGTTTTGTGAAGCCAAGGCCATGAAGAGAGCGTTTTATTTGATTTTTGAGAGGAAACAACTGCCACTCGGGAATAAGATATTCTGATGAAGGAGAACTTCAGTTGAATTCCGAAGGGGGACGTAGGTGAGGGGCACACCATCGAAGGACTGCTCAACTCCCAAAATCGGGGCCGCCGGCTGCACACTCCTCGGTTTCGAAGGTTGAGCTGTTTTGTGGGAAATACCGCTTATAACAGATTCCCCTTTTTTGTTGAGTTGTTTTCCCTTAACCTATGGAAGAGTTAGTGATACGAGGTATCCGGCAGCCTCAATGCGTACTCGAAATTTTGCGACCTTTCGACCCCCAGCCTGCTCCTCATAGGTGACCTCAACATTATCGACCTCTTCTAGCATAAGCATCCCTCCCTCCTCGGTAAATTCCCCCGATCCCTTTGGCCTGTCTACTTCGTGCCACGGCAGTTCATCTACATCTTCTGTCGCAACGCCAACAGTTGGATCGGAAGACTTGCGCCTCTTCTTGCTTCGCTGGGTATTGTCTGGTGCATCTGTTGATCGTTTAACCCCCCTGGAGCTTGCTCGATGTAATTTACGAGCCCTGTTTCTGGAGAATGCAGGGCCAGAGTCGCGCACAGTGACTATGCCTGTCGGTGCCATGAAAGTTGCGAGTTGTGCCACACCAAATTATTTTTGGCCCATCTTGAGTAGGGTCCTGTCGGAGATAACGGACTATTGGACGGCAAATATGGGTCATAATGGCGGCACTGTGTCCATCCACTATGGAATTATTTCAATTGCGGGAGACTCTAAGGAAGGAAAGCCGTGAGGGCGAGAGTTCGTTGGCAATTACAGAAGCGTAATGAACATGACAGATGATGTGGAATGAGTCCGTGGCAATAGATGCTCGAGTGATGAATACGAAAAAGGAAAAGAAGCAGGGTCCCAAAAATTCATGGCCGCGATAGTTGTTCCTTCCGGTAGAACATGAAATATCCTGCTACGATCACCAACTGGCAAATCAATGCTACCCAGAATGGCGCAGAGGCCATGGGTGACCCTTGAATACCCTCGGAGAAGTCCCATGTGGAAGCATCTGGGAAGACGCTGCCAGGACCGATCTGATCTGGTGCTGTAGCACGGGCGACCATCACACAGATACATCCGATTACTTGTGCGAACGCCAGCGTTGCGCACACATGTAGACGGGATAGGGTCTAAAGTAGGCATAAGTATTCATATGCAAGAGTCTGAGCAACGCGGCTTACCTGGAGAAGGATCATACCAAGGCCAACACCCTGAATTGCATCGAGCACTCCGAGCCACAACCACAGCGAAGTACCCAGGTATGGTCCAGCCGAACCGGCCCAAGGAATGTAGAGAGCGAGGGAGGACGTGCCCCACATCATCTGGCACCATCTTGGCGCACCGAGACCAACTGCGAACACGGGAAGTAGCCAAGTGTGCGTCTTGCTGAAGTATGTGAGAATCCAAAGCATGAGAGCCCAGACGCCGATGAAGAAGACAATGACGAGAACGAGAATCGTCCACTTCGGGATAGTGGCGCTCCACAAGAAAGACCAGTTGCGACCGTAAGGTCCACTCAACCAGTAGTCCCGGAGGATCTCAGAAGCAAGGAACCACAGAACAATCTTCCGCCGGAAGAGCGTCTTCATGAAGTTGGGCACTTTCGGGGGAACTTGGCGGTAATACTCTGGTAAACCGAAGAGCATGCAATAGCAGAAGAACCAACTCATGAGGGCAAGTGGCCACAGGATCAGAACGATCCACCAGGCAGGGCGCGAAGTAGGCAGGACGCCACTAAGGGAATTGCCCCAGTACCACAACGCCGCAACCCAGATCTGCTGGGAACCTTGCACCACACAAGCACGCCACGTCCAGACCTCTGTGGCAGCACCAGCTTCTTCACCGAAATTGAGACCGAAGAATAGGAAGGCAGCGGCAGATGAAACAGCGTAGCACCAAGTCGCAACGCTGCTGAGGATGGCGCGAGATGGTGTGAAGATGTCCGAAACCGACGGCAAACCGATGATGAAAAAGGCGAGCCCGTAGAATATCCAGGGTGCAGCAAGGACATATACTGATGGCTTGAGACGGAACAGCGTATACCAGACAAAAGACGCGGCAAGGAAGACTGCGCCAAGGACGTAGAGCTGAACGTTGGTTTGCCAGTTCTGCCCAGACAAGAGGGTGATCTGGAAACTAGTTGCTCCAAGCATTTGTCCAGCAGCGATGATGATCGTGTACAGTGGCCACCCGCCGATCTCTCTTTGCAGTGCGATTTGCAGACGAGTCATGGGAACCGCGTCCGGATCGGGAGCGGGAGGCGCTTCATAATCGTGCTGTTGGAATGAGGCTGTTGAGCCGTACGGGTTGGGAGAATTAGGACGAGAGTCGTAGTGAGAAGAGTAACGTGATTCATATCCCAGTGTGGGCGCTCCGAACGTTGACTCACGACCAGACCGAATGCTGGACGCGTACGAAATCTTGTCCTTCCGAACCTTGTCAAAGAAGGCTTCCTCGCTCTTTTGTAGGTACCGCTCGATGGAGAGTTCATGCTTCGAATTTTCTGGCGTGAGAAGCTGCAGTTTCTGGACGAATGCCGTCGCGACCTCCCCATCTGCATCCGTGAAGCTGTCGATGGCCTTGTTCAGAGGGGAGTTTGCTTTCTCATCGATGATGGACGCAATCGACTCCACCGAAGAAACACGGGAGTGCGATCCAAAAGGTCGATTGGGTTGTATGCCATCTGGTTGCAGGAAGGGGTCAGGGACATGTCCCTGCTGCTTCGCAATCTGCTTGTTGGCACGTGACAAGAAGTCCTGGTATGATTGTGCGTCGCTTTGGGCACCGTCCTGACTATCGACACCAGGTGAGTGCGGCACATCAGGCTGGAACGACTGTTGTTCCTCTGCGGAGGCGTCGGTGTTGAAGGAAGATTGGCGGTGTAGAGATTGTAGAGATTGAGGGCGAGTGAATGGGGTGGACAAGTATACCCCTGGAGTCAAGGCACCAGGCGATGGGGGGACACCAGGCGATGGGGGCACAGGGCTGTTAGGTTCCCAGCCATAGTCGCTGGCCAGCGAATCACGGCGATTGTCTTCCAGATTCAACTGAGGTAAGTTGAGCTCACCGCCTACGCAGTCCGTAGCACACCAGGCGTCATTGCCGGCGACATGCCGACTGATCGTGATACTACGCCTATGGAAATCTTCCATCCGTTGACGCCACTCTACGACAGGGAAACGCTGAACGGCAGAACGAGCACGAAGGATCGCACGCTCTTCTTCAGTCGATTTCAAGGCCAGCTTGATGGTCTTGGACAGCTGAGACAACATGTGGCCGGTCGAGTTTGACTCCACCGGGAACCACCAACCGGGCATGAGACCGAGACCACCAAGGCGGGAACCAACACCAAGAGCACCCTTACGACCGAATTCAACGGCTACAAGACCGAAAGGCTCATCACGGGACGGAATAAGGGCGAAATCGGCACCGCTGAAGATGAACGGCGGCAGCGCTGTGAACTCCGGCTTTGAATAAACACGATCGGGGTACATCTCCATGAGGCGGGCCAGCTTCTCAGCAGCGAAACGTCCATAAAGATCAATGACTGGACCAACGCAAATGACTTGGACAGATTTGCGCTTCGACAGGATAGACGGCATAACATCGGCGATCAGATCAACACCCTTCTGCTTGGACCAACGACCGACGAATACGAACAAATCCGCATTAGGGTCCTGTTTGATGCCAGCCCACTCTTGCGCTTGCCGCTTGTCCTCCGGACGTTTCTTCTCGGCATCGTAATCGACCTGGACCGTGTGCATGTCGACCGGGTTCGTATCCAGTGCTTCAATATCCGTGGGATCCGGGTTAGGCAGCGAATCAACATGCTTCAGTGTCCACAGAGCAGGATAACGAGCCCAAGAACGTTTACCGTACGAGTCAGACACACCAGCCACACCCGTACTCTTTTGGTGAGTGCTGATATACGAGGCAGCCGCATGGAGCAGGTTGAAAGTATTGCCGAACTGGACATACTTTGTGCAGACTTCTTTGCTAAGGTTGAAGGCGGAGCAAACTTCTTTCATCTCTTCCTTGGTCCTCAAAGGCCAGAGACCCTGGAATTCAGCGTTGTGGAGGGACAAACAGACCGGAAGTACTTTGGGCAGCAAGTACAAGGGCGCCAATGCTCCGTGATAATCGTTGACGTGGTAGATATCAATGACAGGGAAACGACGGATTGTCTCGGCGATGGCCTGGTTCCAGGTCGAGTAGAAAATGGCGGACCCAAGATCGTCCATGCGAGCGGGGTAGGGATCAGCCCTGGTTTGAGCGCGGAAGACGGGGCTGTCGAGGATGACATAGGTGATGTTATCAACTTGATGGGTCTCGACCTCGATGAGGTATGGTTGGCCAAAAATAATGACCTCAATTGGCTCCATGAATTCGCCAGTAGGATATTCCAGGTCCTTAACCTTCGGGATTACCCAAATCAGGTCGACATCGCTCATCGCTTTACCCATGAGACCAGACATGACACCGAGACCACCAATCTTAACCTTGAGCTTCCAATCGAAAATCTCATATTCGAGGGTGGCAATCAGGACTTTGCGGCGCTTAGCAGGATCCTCCGGCCAGCCGATTATCTTGGCGGGGGTCATGGAAGAGTGGCCAGGCTTACCAAAGGTCTTCTCGCCCATAGGGGTGGCCGGCTCGTTTTCCTTCTTGCCCCCGCCGCCACCAATGATGGGGAAGTAGTTGCTGTGCCCTTCTTTAGTCGGTTTAACACCCCACCTGTTATGCCTGATACCGTAGAATGACCATCTGAAGATCAGGACGGCAAGAATTGCGGTGACTAGAGGAATAGTGAGTAGAAGGGCGAACATGATGGCGCCGATAACGGAGTAACCACGAGGCTCTAGCCGGTAACTCATGTCCTGGTCGTTCACTATGAGGGCCCAAGCCAGATGGGGCTTTGGCGGCGCCGAGAAGTTGAGGTAGGTCGGTGCAGCAGAGTTAGGGGGCCCACGGTCCATGACTCCATCACCATCCACGTCACCGTAGAAATAGTTGTCGTAACCGAAGACATTCAGTTGGACATAGGTAGGCCATTGGGCCATGATTTCGAGTTCCCAGGTGCCGTCGGCATTATGCGTCATCTCGGCGTTCAAACCTTGATCATAACCCCAGTTGTTGTACGGCCCACGAGCAAGGAACTGAGGTACACGGCGAGTCCCGCCCGTATAGTCACGATCAGCGTGGACTACGTATGTTGAAGAGCCGAGTGCCGAAACGAAGTATTGCATGATCACGTGTTTGCCAGACCACCATTGACCATCAAATTGGTCAGCGGGCATATTGGTAACATTCTCGTACGGTTGCCAATCGGTCCAATTCTGGCCATAGTTCCAGCTGTACCGAACACTGTCAGCACCGATCGCCTTGTGCGCGAAAGTATATTGAGTGCCGTCCCAGCCAAAAGCATCGTTGTCGTAGTCCTGCGTGTAGTCGATGAGAGGATTGTTCGGTAGACCCTTGCGGAAGATAAGATGGTCGACCGCACCAGTTGATTGGGTGCCGTCTTGGGAAGGTATGTTGTTCAGCGTGAGAGTGATGACACCATCAGGTACGTTGACGAGGTTGCCGGACCAGTAGAATTGAGAAGTGTCCAAGCCCTGGATAGGAGCCGGATCTGCATTTGTCACAGTGCCACAGTTGACCGAGTTCACATCAACCGTCGGTAGAGTTCCCTGGTTGATGCCAGAGACATCGAAGCCAAGATACTGGGTGATATCAGCGCAATTCATCGCCACGTTAAACTCAAAGCGGATGGATACGGTCGTCGCGTTGCTTGCGGTGGGATCCCACACAATCACGTTCGTGTCATGCCCAGGAACGAACTTGGTGAGCATCGGCTTAGGCGCAACCCATATCTCACTTGGGACAAGGGATTTGAATCCGAATGGCTCCAGGGTGATCTTGGGCAAACAACCACGGTAAGGGGGCAGCCCATTGAGATAATAAGGCGAGTTCGAGTTCTCCAGTTCATACTCCTCATACGGTGCAAACAGGTTGCGGACGGTGGTGTTGCCCTGGTAGGGGGAAGAAATCCAGAGTTTGTCAGCGCAGTCGTACGCATAGTCAGTCGTGACGTTGTTGTTACTGTAAAAATTCCAGATAGGAATAGCATCGTTACCCGTGAATTGCTGGTTAGGCATGCCAGGGATGAAATCGCGAGAAGTGGACCAAAGACCCATCTCCGTCTCGGTCTCGTTAGAACCTGGTCGTTGGATGAAGTACGTCCAATTTCCGAGCTGGACGAGGTTGTAGCCGTCCGTGAGAAGAGGGTAATTCTGACGGAGCTGATACATGCGTGACATCATACGACGGCCGGGTGATGTAGGATCAAAATGGTCTCGAGATATCCAGTCGTCCTGGCAGGCAAGCATGGCCTTCTCCATCGGCCAGTAATAGTATTGCGTGGAGCCAAGCTTGTAACAACCGTGCCTCTGCCACGCGACGGATGCAGACATGGGTTGACGCCCGTAGAGGTAGTTTGCCGCTCCGTTGTCGAAGACATAGAATCCCTGCTCTTCTCCGTAGTATATGAGTGGTATACCGGGCATGACCATCGTCGTGATGAAGGTACCTAGCATTTGCGTAGCCGTGCCGTTCACAAGTCCGGGCCATCGGAATACGTCGAAGTTGGACACGCCGAACATGTGCCTGGGATCAACCAAGCCAGTTCCCGGGTTGATGAAGTCGTTATTGACGAAGAACTCATTCCACATCGTTACGAAATTGGTAGAGACATCGTAGGCGACCTCAAGGTTACCATCCATTCCCAGAAGACGCGTGAGGGCACGGTACACGGAATAATGGAAGACGTTGCCGTCCAGGCCGTTGTATGGGATGTCGCGCAGGAAGTATTCGGACATGTTGGAGGTAATGTTACCAGCTTGGAAGAAACCAATGTCCCTCTGGGAGGGAGTCCGGCCACGCCCGATGTAGAGAGAACCGAAGTAATCACCACCTGTGACTTCGCCGCCGATGTAAAAGTTATTCTTGCCCAGAGCTGCGGCACAGTGGCGCACATTGCTCGTCCACTTGGTCAAAGCATCCAGAGTTACCTGCGTCGACTTGTCGATACGAATGGCGTCTATGTCGAGTGCCTTGATGACCATGCAGGGGAAAACCTGGAGCTTGTCCATGACACTCGGTTTCCACTCTCGAAGACGATCCTGCACGGAAGCGAACTTGGACAGCTGACGTTGCCAATCAGGATGGACACCGAAAGCCTCCATGTCACCGTACTGATCGAAGTCGGATTCGTAACAACCATTGTGGGCAACATTGACGATAGTTCCATCATCCTGCCAGAGGACGGGCAATTGGCAAGAGTCATTGTACGTGTTGACGATGTCGAAGTCTGGATACTTCTCGAGACCCCAAGGCACGTACTCAGGATTTTTCCACTCGCACTGATACTCGTCCATGTTGAAGGGCGCAGATTGGTTCTCAAAACTGGAAGATATTAGAATGTTTCGCGAATCGAAGCCGAACATCACTTACCCAACGAACCCAATCATGTCACCCAAAGTTCCGATTGTGAAGTCACTCATGATGTACATGCCACGGGCATGTATCTCATCGATTGTTTCTTGCCAATCAGTAATGTTTCCCCAATGGGGATCAACGAGGGTAAAGTCGACAGGAGAGTAGCCTAGTTATCATCATTCATAAGCACAAATAAAGACTATAAAGACGCGTGACGTACTGTCTGCCTGCCAAGGCATGTTCAAGAAGATTGTACCAGCAATGTAGATTACTCTGACACCCATGCCTTGTAGATAGTCTAGCCTGTTGCGGAGACCACGAAGATCGCCCCCGTAGCGGAGTTGCGTTTCCCTCCAGTCGTTTTCGTACATTGTCTTGAAGTAGTCATTGTTGTCGGGGGTCCCGTCCGCGAACTTATCCAGGAGAATCGTATAGACAGGTAGCTGACGCCAGTTGGGAGGGGATGGCGTGTAGGTGGTATTACTCCGCACATTCGTATCGTAATCGGTGACCTGTGTGGCCCCCTGTGCAGTGTTGATATTGAACTCTGTCAAGTTCGCGTAGTATTGGATCGCGAGAGACACGGGTGCGAGGAGTAGGAGGGTTAATAGAGAAGATAGGACGGCTCGGCTGCCCACTCGAGGCGCGCTGCGAGCCATGGTGGACTCGTGGAGGTGGTCGGATTGGCGTTAGATGATCGTTGGATACAGAGACGAGGCTCGTGCGTCGGTGAGGCGAGAGCGTGAATTAGACGCACAGAGGCGAAAGCCGCGCGTTTCCGGCGAGGATGGTAGTGGGTGATACACGTCTAGAGAGCCAGCGGCACAAAGGGGGGTAAATAGCGAAATCTAAGGATGGGCTTAAGTGAGGAAAGACGTTGGTGGGGTGGCAGATAGAAGAAGAAGAAGGAGAGAGGGTGGTGCTGAAAGCAGTGAGGTTGAGGGTCGGAAAGAGAAACGGGGCGAATGAGAGAAGGGCCCTGACAGCAATGGGGCTCGGAGTTCTTGCGGCCTAGCGTGGATCTCTCTGGGTTCGGTTGCCGCGTTCTCATTTTTTAATTTGACATAACCCCGTTCGGCTCGGTATTCTGGATCTAAGACCCACTCCCCTTAACTATTCATTCAGGCCTAATAATCATTCGATTACAGCACAGGATACTCAAAATTAACCTTATCCAATGAGGTGAACGACCCGATAAACAAGGCATATTCCCAGCAGAGGTAGCCCATCGGAGGCAAGAGACGCGGCGCAAATTGGCTTCACTCGAGATGAGACCCATCATCAAGACCCGTGTCACTTTGATGGCACGACCCTTGTCCCTTATCCCAAACGTCGACCATCTGCAATTTGCACATCACAGCCATCGACCGCAATTGATATTCAGCCCAATAACCTTTTCCAGAAAGTCCAAAAGAAAACAGCCGCAGTCGCTGGCCCGGTGATCCAGGGGCTCGGCACAGGCACCGGTTTTTCTCAGGTATTCCCGTGCAAGCTGGCTTCTTTGAACGGTTCTCTTTTTGTCTGGATTTTCCGATCCATCAGGATCAGCGAAAAGACGCCCATCATACTTTCTATCTTCTCCTCTTGAGGTGTCTTGCGGCGGATTTGCTGTCATCTTTGGCGCTCTCTGGGTGTCATTGCGAAAATCCGAACCGCACCCAATCCCTTACGACCGGATTTGAAGCTCATGGCAGGGCACTGCCCTTTCTTTTGTGATTTCTTGGCAGTCGGCGTTATCGCGAGGTTCTGTTTTCATTCTCAGAACGTGCATGCCCCATTGTGTTGACTAGACTGATAACAATAAACAGACAGGGTACAGAGGCGTTTTCCCAATCTGACATTCCAACAATATGGTGTCTGCTCGGCAACCTGGGGGCCGGGGGAAGAATACCATGCTCGTCCGCCTGTACACCTCATCGGTGGTCCCAAAATAGACCACTTCCGACTGCGGAATGGCAAAAGTCCGACCTGTCGGTCTATTGTGCTGCCAAAATTAGAGCGAGCACTATTTTAAGCGCTGGCAAGGCAAGAACTGGCCGTGAGCTGGCTGCTTGGTCGTTCGATTGAACAGGTTCGAGCTGTCTCGGCGGTCCCAACAACAATGATCAACCCCGCATTTAGCATGCGAATACCGAACAAACAGATGGGGTAGGTTGTCTTCGGGTGAGTCAAGCATGGGTGAAAGGTCAATGCTATCTTTGCGCTGCGGCTGGAAGTGCTGGAACGCTGAAAACATCTATATTGCTCGGGAACCCCGTTATGGGCGGAGATCAGTTGTCGTCCGTAAGACGAAGCAAAAGCTGTCGCGTAGGAAGCTTGCTGTACGATTTCGTAAATCAAGTAGTCAGCATCAGATGGGTAAGAGAGGCCGATGCCCCGGGCGGCCTCATCAGAACTTACGGGAATCTAATTGATTGTCAACCAGGCTGATGCAGTCCGCGTCATGAGCAGATCATCCATGATCAACTCTCTAGCTGTACGGTGAGTGTCTCGAGTACATAACCAACTCTCCATAAGGTGTCGTGTACCCCCTTTCTTCTGACGACAGTCTATCTATTGCGTTTATGTATCATCTTGCAATATGTATAGGAGAGCGATGCAACAGGGAGGGTCGCGGAATCCTACCGTGGGTACATGTTTGGGGAGTGAGTGTTTCCGGTGGGTGAAATACGGGTCGCTCGCAATGCATTAATATAATCGACCTGACAATACTACCATGGAGGTTGTCAAAGCGACTTGCTATAGGGAGAAATGTATTTAGCTCACTGTACAAGGAAAAGGATGACACACGCGCTAAGTAAAGAGCTGACCTTTTCAATAGACAATTGTGGTCGTTTGACAACATCATATTGATCGAAAGTGAGACCGTCACGGCGAAACATTAGGGAACGGAGACTAGTAGGAGTTTCGTTCCAGAGAATAGAAACGATTATCGATGTTTCGATAGACTAATATATAAGGGTTATCAGAGAAACGGAAATAAAGCGGAATTTCGGAAGGGTCAGGGTGAGAACTGTGCGATATTGACCGCAATGATAATGAAATCGGGAAACTTTGCAAATCAACCTCTGTAGGAAGGCGTACCGATGCTTGGGATGCGAATTCCAGTTGGCGTTTCAGGGCAAGCAGGCACAGCGTCGTTATTGTGTTCAGGAGATGGCAAGATTAAGATATTGTGAACAAGCCCAAGTTTATAAGGTCCGTGATAGATAGAAGTACCCTCATAAGCAGTACTGTTACAATATTAATTTTGTATGACCGGGGAAGGGATGGCTGAGAGAGATGTGTGTCAGTACTTTGTCGAAGGCGGCGTCGGTGTTTCATGCCGGCGGCAGGGCTACAGCCACACCTGGCGACATTGAATCGTCCCCTAAGTGACAGGTTCATCGTCGTCCCCCACGTTGTCCCCCCTTCTCTCTCATTGTCTACCACCTTTTTATACCTCTGGTCACCTTACTGGCTGCTGGAAGACGATGACCTCGGTGTATTCCTCGTCATACTCGCTTTCTTCGAGCCCATCTGCGCCGACATTCTATCCAACTCACTCCTTGTCAACCAACTCGTCAGCATCGTCAATTGGGCGACCAAGCACTGCTAGCACAAATACGGGCTCCTATACCTCTCCGCCTACCACACCATCCCCAGGAGCTACAACGGGAGGCCAGCTGGACTCTGCTGCGTCTCACCAATCCTACTCCGATTTCGTCGCGACATGGCAAGACGGACATATAAGTCGCTGGCTCACAGAGAACCGCCTTGCCAGCCTCGCTCCGACATTTCGAGACAATGATATTCGTGGTAGCGTTATCCTGGACTTGGATATGTTTGCATTGAAGGAGATGGGCATTACGAGTGTTGGAGAGAGGGTCAAGATCATGGCCGCAGTCAAACAGCTGAGGAAGGTGTGCTCGACGAGTGGATCATCTGTCAGTAGTCACACCCCAAGAGTGCCCTCCACAGGTGGAATGTCCGCAACGTCCTCTGTAACGTCTACGGATACAAGAGCCGGCGTACCAACGCCTTCTGTGTTGCTTCGACCTCCGCCCCCCGATGCACCTCTCCCCCGCCGCCCCGCGACATCGCCCGCATCGTCCCCATCAACTGCGATCCGGCCCCTTCCGTTTGCCCCTGGTGAAGCAGGGACCAGACGGTCTGGTGTTCGAAATGGAGGCCGACCGCCACCCTTGGATCTCAGCCACAGTACGACAAACAACCTGAGATTACCTCAAGTGGTAGATGTGCCGCCCAGTTCCGCCGCCTCACTCTCATCATCTCCCATGCCAACAATCATTACCCCACGTGCCGCACCTCCTTTACACCCATCACCCCTTCCAGCACCCGTCTCAAATTCTCTGAATAGCAGTGGACGTAGCTCGAGCGGAGGGAGTTCTGGTGGTGGATTTGTACGGCATGACAAGGATGGAAGCTCTGGCGGTCGTGCCAACTTACCGCCAATGCCACCGCCTCCAAAGTCACAGACTCTTCCACTACCACCACTACATGCTTTACGAAACGTGCCGTCGGCTCCAGTCATGCACAACGTGCCTCCGCGAGATGGGTCCCTGCGCCCTCAACGTGCGCATACACCCACCCCCCCGGAATTGCCATACACCAACGCAGTCGCATCATCGTCTGCTGCGACCGGAAATTCTGCTCTTATGGGAAGCGCTGGTCTCTCTCGCGTGGCAGGAGAATATGGCCTACCCCGTGGACCGGCCGACCTCAAACGCTTAGGTGGACCCGGTTTGCCCGCAAACCCTCGCTCGAACTCGCCGCTGCCTCCACAGCCTCCGCAGCGTGAAACCTCTCTTCGCCGAGCTCATGGCCGAACAGAGTCGCTGAAGGTCAACCCCATCCAGACTTCCGTTCAGCGGCCTACGGTAGCAAGTCGACCTGCGACGTCTGGGTCTGCCCAAACTCCCACACGTCATCCGTATGCTGCCAGTAGTTCACTAGGATCTTCCTTGCAACTGCCAGCTATTCCGGCCAATGCTCGACCAGACCTTTCGCCAATCGCAGAATCCTCGCCTTCTTCTTCTATTCCTAGCGTGATGACACCCGGCTCTATCTACTCCACGACGACGTATACAAGGTCTCCTAGCACTGGTCGTCCGATGACACCCTCAACGGCACCGTATGGACTTGTCATGCACCAACCATCCCTGCAAGACCTGCGTCGGCGCCTAGTCAAATTCCTCGACGCTGAAAACGGGCATTCGTGCAAGCTCAATGTGGAGCAGTGGGACAGTGGCGTGGAGGTCCTGGAGCAGGTGCTAAAGAAGTTTAACAAGGTTGGCAAGGGCAATATGGACGAGAAGGACCAGGGTGGAGCTCTGTGCGTTGACGGATATGGGCTATACATCGAATCGCCAACAAGACCAGACAGTGAGTTGCTGGAAAAGATATGCCTATTGTTTTTACTGATTATATGCGTAGTTCCAGCTCTCACCGAGGCTGAGCTGTTGGCCATCTGCGGGGATCCGGCCCATCCTGCCAGGGAGCACGGTTTGTACTTGAAGCAGCTGGCCAGTGTTCAACATGCCAATGCCCAAGCTGCCAAGCTTGCTCACTTCTTCGGTGAATCTGTCAATGCGGTGCAAGGCGCGCAGACCAGTCCGACTAGCCCGACGTATCTCAGCGGCTCAAGAATGCCAGACTCAGGTAACGAATACAATAATCTGTTGCCACCGTATGCCACGACGGCGAAGACGAGCAAGCAACTCAAGCGTGCTAGCACAATCAGCGTTATGTCTGGCCTTGGCGGTGGTGTGCCTGAGTTACCCAGTGTCCCACGCAGTCCGTCAAACACCTCCTTCCTTTCGAGTCCTAAGTCGAAGATCACGAGCTTCTTCACGCGCCGTCCTCCAAGTGAACTCATCACGAATAACCTGAAGGAATATTTCCCGGATATCGAGAAGAAGAACCTGAGTCGTGCTGCCCGGCATAGCATTATGCGGAAGAACAACGAGCGCCTGTCAAGCTCCAGGTTCAGCATCAGCTCGAATGATTCTGGCCTCCGCTATGCTCGCGGTAGCCCCGCCGCGTCGTTGACCTCTTCGCCTCTACCTCCGCCGTCTGGCCCTCGATCTCAAAGGTTATCAGTCATGCCGCCGCGATCGTCTTTTGAATCGTCACCTCGCATTTCTATTGAGGATACGGATAATGAAAGTAGTGATGCGGCGGATACACCGGCTACCTCGCTCGCTCCGCATGAGCTGCTGCCACCTGTTCCTGTGGTGTCTGACTCTTTGGCTTCGGTGCTCAACATGACTTCAAGTCCTAGTGGTACTCTCAACCTCAATTCCCCTCCTATGCATGGTGTAGAGCTACAACGCACTGCTTCCCAGCGTCGCATGAGCAGTATCTTCAACCAAATTGAGGAGATGCGTGCGAAACGAGACAAGAGCGACACGGCGAGCATCATGACTGTTGACGAGATCACGAAGCGTGTTGAAAGCAGACGACATTCCGCTCTTAGTCTTGCTGCTACCCTTGGCACACCTGTGCCGCCGGAAGAGATGGCTGAGCAGGGCGAAGACGGCCAATATGTGGTCGTTGCATCAGCCAAGCCAGTGGGCGGTCTCAGTCCGGCATACGAGGATGAGGCAGAAGAACTACCAGAAGAGCCGCTAGTCGAAGAAGACGAGGATGATTTGGACGAAGGGGATGAAGAAGATGCTCCTGAGAACGAGGCTGACGCGGAAGGTGATGAGCCTGGCAAGCCGCAGACTTCCAACGGCGGAAAGAGGAGTATTCGCTGGCTCAAGGGTGCTCTCATCGGTGCCGGTTCTTTCGGCTCTGTGTATCTAGGCATGGATTCTAGCACGGGAACTCTTATGGCTGTCAAGCAAGTTGAGTTGCCCACCGGCTCATCGAGCAATGAAGAACGGAAGAAAAACATGCTCAGTGCTCTGGAGCGGGAGATCGAGCTGCTGAAGACGCTGCAGCATGAAAATATCGTGCAATATATTGGTAAGGGTTCAGTAGAGGAATAAGGAAACGAGCTAATTGGATGGGCAGACTCCTCATCTGATGAGAAATTCCTCAACATTTTCCTTGAATATGTCCCTGGTGGCTCGGTTGCTGCCCTGCTCACAAGCTATGGCGCATTTGAAGAGCCGCTTGTTGGTAACTTCGTTGGTCAGATCCTGACTGGACTGAATTACCTTCATGAGCGCGATATAATCCATCGTGATATCAAGGGCGCTAATATTCTCGTCGATAACAAGGGAGGTGTCAAGATTTCCGACTTTGGTATCTCTAAGAAAGTACAAGGCGGTGAGTGGATCATGCCATTTCTAGAATTTGTCACTCAATAACTTTGGCAGACTTTGGTGGAGGTCGCGCAGCGCATCGACCGTCTTTGCAAGGCTCCGTTTTCTGGATGGCTCCAGAAGTTGCAATGCAGAAAGCGGGTGCATACACGCGCAAGGCAGACATTTGGAGTATTGGCTGCCTTGTACTGGAGATGCTCACTGGTCAACGTCCTTGGGCAGAGCTCGATCAGATGCAGGCAATGTGGAAAATCGGGAGCAAAGTCAAGCCGAAGTTCCCCTCCGATATCTCCGCCAATGCGCTAGATTTCTTAAACAAGACGCTTGATCCTGACCCGGACAAGCGGCCGTCTGCCGAGGAGTTGCTCCAACACCCCTTCATACTTGCATCCAAATGATCTTGGTTGCGTATGTTCCCAATCCGTTTCTTCTTCGTTCTGTCTGCGGATGGTAATACTTAATTTGTAGACGTTATGCTTTTCATTTCCCCTGGCAGGCCAGGTCTTCACTCTTGTTCCCATTACGTATATCCTCATCATGTCATTCCACGCCTCGTCACGCCACGGATCTCTGTTGTTCGTAGTAATGATCATGATTATCGTTATGCCCTTCATACCTTTGACCGCGAGCCTGGTGCCCACTTCTCTGCAGTATAGCGCACGAGCTTAATGCCAGTGAAATTGGCGTGGAAGTTAGGGTGAGTGGTGAAATCCGCCTCTTTTCTGAGCTGGGGGTCAGTTTCACTTCGGAACACAAATACAACACTTACTTGATTTCCTTTTGGAGCAATTTAATGCTCGGCGATCCCTCCTTAATCTTCCCCATATTAACAGGATGATCCTGCTTGATCCAGCTCCTGAACACATCGTGCACCTCCTCCTTGCTCGCGGTGGTCTTGATGCTCCCAGCACACGCATGGCTGCGCGTACACTCATGTCCTGCATTCAAAAGCGCGCTCACAACCTGCTGCAAGCTCGGGCACGTGCAGTGAAACAGGCCCGCAACGGTGCTGGGCAGGAAGTAGAAGGGCGTGTCGACCAGTTCTTCTGAGACGACGGTGAGCATGCCCTTCATCCGCTGCCAGGTGCCGTATCGCTCTTCGCCCTCTTTCTGTACATGGGATAGCACGCGCTGGACAAAGTCGCGCTGATGCAGAGGACCGATCCACATCGGGCCGGCGACGTGCCACTTCTCCCCGCACTCTGAGCACCGGTCACCCATCCCCTCAGGTGGGCCTTGCGCCAAGCGCCATTTGTTTCCTCTCCCTTTGCCCGGATCCTCCACGTACTTTCCCAGCGGTTGGACCCTCCACGACTGACAGCCGGAGCACACGTATATCGTCCCTGTCTTGCTCACAGCTTGCTTGACTTCCAGAGGGCTGGTACGGATGCGCACGAATACTCGTACATAGAAGTCGATGCTGAGGCCCACCAGGGGGGTAATTGTGCGCCCGTATCGAGCTGCGCTGGTTGAGATAGCGTGTAGCACTAGACGCAGAGCAGCCTCGTGGCAGTATTCCGCTCTCACACCTACACCCCCATAGTTGGCAAAACACTTCTCCATGTAGTTCGTGCTCGCGAGCACGCCCATGTCCGTACATGTCACGCAGAGGAGACCGCCGTCTGCCACCGCTTGTACGGCAGCGTCGAGGAAAGGGGAGGCCGTGCCGTATGGGTCGAGGTCGACGCTGTCGTACCGAGTGGGGATGGAGGCGTGGCCGTAGAGAGCTACGCGAGCGTCCCCTTGCTGCACACGAACTTTGGGGGGTGAAGAGCGTGGTTTGTCCGTCATCGCACTAGCGCCAGCATTGGTTTCAGCGCTATTCTGAACATCTCTTTCTCCAATCTCTTTTTCAGCCTCTATGCGCTTCCCGTTCGTTCCCACAAGAGAATACCCCAGCCCATTCACCTCCACATTTCGCCGAATGCTCTCCACCGCCTTCTCACTGAGGTCGTTCGCGACAACATACTTGAGCAGGGGGATCTCCTTGGCGTAGCGGATTGCGCGCAGACCGGTGGCGGAGAAGGCTTCGAGTAGGGTGAAGCGGTGGTGACGGTAGGTTGGCTCATGGGCTGTTTGAGCATCGGAATTGGCAGGTTGCGCATCAGAGATGCTAGAAACAGCAGTGGTGGATGCTGGTTGATTGACATCAGTGGGGTGATCGTCGGCGTCCATGACCTCTTCTCCGTTTTCTTCAGCTTCCTCGACTGCCTGCTTAGCGACCTTTCTCCGTTTCCTTCCCACCCCTCCCTCCTCCGATCTCTTCCTCTTTTCGCCCCACTTCTTCTTTTTCTCTTCATCCACCACCTCGCTCCAACATCTGATTACCGCAACCGAAAGATCGCGATTGAATTGCTGTGCGGGGTTGAGGAAGGCGTCCTCAGGGCCGAGGAGGATGCTGGTCGTCGTTTCCGTGTGCAGGGTATGATTGGGGGGAATCACGATGGCAGGTGGTGCAGACATTTTTGTTACAATAGGAGTGAACAACCGGAATATTCGGGGACTGCGAATGTGCCGATATAACCCCCTTGTAAGTAAGTACATCAACTGACTAGAGTGGAGTCATCCATTTTCTTTTCTCTCGTCGTTGACATTTTCTTCATGTGGCTGTGTGTCATCAACCTGTGTAGATACCCGAAGAACCGGTCAAATAGGTCAAGCCTGGGTCACTCCCATGTCTAACTACCTTCTTCTAAGATATCCCAGTCGACAAAAAAATGGGCGATTGGTTCAAAGGTGAACTCATCGGTACCGGCTCCTTCGGTCCTGTATATCTGGGGATCGATGCCAACACGGGCACTCTCATGGCTGTCAAGCAAGTCGAGTTGCCCACCGGCTCCACGAGTAACGAAGAACGCACGAAAAGCATGATCAGCGCGCTGGAGCGGGAGGTAGAGGTGCTGAAGACGCTGCAACATGTGAATATTGTGCAGTACCTCGGCAAGGCGTTCGCATGTTTGCACTGTAAAGCCTTTATTGAACCGGCTGACCAGGCTCTGCATCTGACGAGAAGTTCTTCAACGTATTCCTTGAATACGTTCCTGGTGGCTCGATTGCTAAGCTTCTACACAACTACGGTGCATTTGAAGAACCACTTGTCCGCAACTTCATCGGGCAGGTCCTGACTGGGCTCGACTACCTCCATGAACGCGGTATCCTCCATTGTAACATCAGAGGCTCTAATATTCTCGTTGGGAACGACGGCGTTGTCAAAATTTCCGATTTTTATGCCTCAAAGCAAGTGAAAGAGAGTAAGTGGACCATGTCATTATTAGAGATCGTCACCAAATGAGCTTTGTAGACAACGGTGGAGAGCGTACAGCGCCCCGGCCGTCCTTCCAAGGTTCGGTTTTCTGGATGGCCCCGGAAGTCGCAATGCAGAAAGCGGGTGCATACAATTGCAAGGCAGACATATGGAGCATCGGCTGTCTTGTCCTTGAGATGCTCACTGGTCAACATCCTTGGGCAGAGCTCGATCAGATGCAGGCAATGTGGAAAATCGGGAGCAAAGACAAGCCAACCTTCCCCACTGACATCTCCACCAATGCGGTGGACTTCTTGAACAAGACGCTTGATCCTGACCCGGACAACCGACCATCAGCCAAAGAGTTGCTCCAACATCCCTTCACATCTGCTTCCAGATGAACTCTGCCATTTATGTATCAATCAAGTCTACGGCCATCATTTCTTCCATCTATGTATGCCGCTATTCCTGGCTGGCCAAGCTTTACACTCGTGCTCGTATTTATATATCCCCTTCATCATATTCCACGCCTTTTCCTTTTGTCTTGTATGCACACCCCCCTCCTCACGGATTCCTGTTGTAATCATGACAATCGTTGCACCCCTTGTACCACATGCTAAATTCGCTCGCCATTCCCGTGAGTAGTATGTCACATGGACTTCCGGAGAAGTAAGTAGCAGTATTTGGACATATTGTGTTCATTTCTCCTCTCTCGGTGCACATCTTCTTCATGCGGCTGTGCAACAATGCCGTAACTTCGGATATTTAATTACAAGTAGGGTCCACTTAACGCCCGCTGAAAATTATAACCCGATCAAGGCCTCACTCCTCGCAGCCTTACTGTCAACATTTATATGAACTTGTAACGCGAAGTAACCCTCGTCTTTCTCCTCTCTTCTCTCTTTCAGTGAGTATTATACCATGACATTGCAAGAAGGAGCTCACAAGCCTTTTAGGCAATGTGTGGTATCCTTGGCCTTCTCCTCCACTCACCGGACGCGCAGGCGGCGCCTGAGATCTACGAGTCCCTCTCTCTTCTCCAGCACCGAGGACAAGATGCAGCGGGAATTGTCACTTGCGGAACGAAGGGCAGGTTCTACCAGTGCAAAGCGAATGGCATGGTCAGGGACGTGTTTGATGCGCAGAAGATCTCGCACCTGTTTGGGAGCATGGGCGTCGGGCACGGTGAGCTGCGTCTGTTCGCGTGCAGCCAACGCGCACTAATGGGAGAGCACAGTGCGTTACCCTACTGCCGGATCGTCGGCGCATGCAGAGGCACAGCCATTCTACGTCAACTCGCCTTATGGCATTGTCATGGGTCATGTATGCCCCTTCCTCGCTTCTCTAAACCTGTCTGACGGGCACAGAATGGCAATCTGATCAACACTTCTGAGCTGCGGTTTTTCATGGATCACGAGGCACACCGGCACATCAACACCGACTCTGACAGCGAGTTGTTACTGAACATCTTTGCGAACAACCTGCAAAAGACCGGCAAATTTCGTATCAACGAAGAGGACATCTTTGCGGCCATCCGTGCCCTCATGACTGTCTGCCGTGGTGCCTACGCATGCGTGGCAATGCTCGCAGGATTTGGTATCATCGGTTTCCGTGACCCGAATGGCATCCGCCCGGCGGGCATGGCGAGCCGCCCCGGCGCTCAAGGAGGCACGGACTATATCCTCGCCTCAGAGAGCGTCGTGGCTGACGCGTCGGGTTTCGGTGACTGGACGGACATTGCGCCTGGTGAAGCAGTCATCATCACTCGCCAGCGGGTATCGCGTCGTATCCTAGCGCCTGGGAAGAGCTTTGCCCCGGATATATTCGAATATGTCTACTTTGCACGCCCAGATAGTGTTCTGGACGGAATCAGCGTGTATAGGAGCAGGATGGCCATGGGAGAGCTTCTGTCGTACGAGGTGGAGCGTCAGCTAAAGGAGAAGGGGATACAGGTCGACGTGGTCATTCCCGTTCCAGACACGTCTCGCGTTGCGGCGCTCGAACTGGCACAACGGCTCAAGTTGCCCTATCGCGAAGGATTCGTCAAGAACCGATATGTAGGAAGGACATTTATCATGCCTGGGCAACAGATGAGGAGGAAGAACGTGAGGCGCAAGCTGAATGCTATGGCCTTGGAGTTTGTGGGGAAGAACGTGCTGCTTGTTGATGGTCAGTGCTGCTTTCTCTCTCGTTTCAGCGAACACCCTTTGCTAATGGTGGCGCAGACTCCATCGTTCGCGGGACTACCTCGAAAGAGATTGTCCAGATGGCGAAAGACGTCGGCGCAGCAAAGATCGTATTTGCCTCGTGCGCCCCACCAATCCGATACAGCAACGTATATGGGATTGACATGCCCTCTCGTTCCGAGCTCGTAGCCTACCAACGCTCAAACGAGGACATTGCGCGAGAGATTGGGGTCGACCTCGTGATCTACCAGACCATGGATGACCTTGTCAAGGCGTGCAGGATGATCAACCCCAAGATTGAGGAATTCGACTGCTCGGTGTTCACGGGCGAGTACGTGACTGGAGGGGTGGACGACGCCTACCTCGCCGGGTTGGAGAAGCTTAGGAACGATAATGCCAAGCTGAAGGAGGGGAAGATGACGAATGGTGCGGTGAATGGAGAGTCGAGGGAGGACCCAACCGGGTGCAGCGGGCCGATGAATGGGGCGGATGATACGATTGGCCTGTATAACTCGTTTTATGCGAGGAGATAGCGGCTTGGCATAAGCCCTGCAGGATGCAGATCTTTGTTCTGATGCAAGGTTGGGTTCAAGCATAGATTGTACCATTGAGTTATGAATACCATACGAATGTTTTTCAGTGGATGTACTCTCCTAGTTTCTAATTCATTTTGCCTTGCCCAGTCTCGCCTCTAGAGGATGCGCCTAGGACGACAAAGGTGGGGAGGGGGAACCGAAACTGCAATTGCAAGCTTTATTGTAAAACTTCGCGACCCATATCTATACAGTGCCCCACCATAATATCTACTACAGCTTGGGAGCAACGTCGGGCGTGAACTGTTCCTCAAGAACTGAGCGTGGTGATAAAGGGAGCCAAGACTTGAGAAATCACTACCAGGAGCTGAGAAATGCACTGGGGCATCTGAAATGCGGCTGCAGAGCTGCCGGTTATTGACGTTCTCCTGGCATAGATGTGATCTGTCTGCCAATATTGGTACACATCCATGGAAATACACTCGACCGGGCAGATCACTCCTCTTCGTCCGAGTTATCCTGAGCAGTCGTTCCATTCTCAGCAGCCATGGACAAAGACAAGTCCGCTGTGCCTCCTTTTTGAGATTGTAATCTTTGTCCTATTTCAACATGAGCTAGAGCTTCAAAGGCGCGTCGGACAGAGGGACCTACGGATGAGGGTGTGAATCGCTTCCTGGGTTTTCCTCTCTAGCTTTGCTAGTTTCTTCTCTAGTTCCCGTTTGAGATCCCAGTTTGGACGTTTTGGCGCAATGTTGAACAGGTCCTATTGCCCGCATAAGCTCCTTTGGCATTGGAAGAGGGTGCCAGGACTCACCAAGTCTTCGGCTCGCTTCTCCTCGTCTTCCTGGATGATCAACTGCGCCAGACCGTCTACATTTTTCTCCACCGTATCCTCCTCGTCTACATCCCCATGTCTTCGTAATGCCCGAGTCTCAGGGTCGAATGCTCGTTGCTTCAGTGGCGGCTCCTCCCTGCGTATTGTTTTAGCGCGCGCAACAACGACAAGACCGAATAGCTTACCCATTCACTGCCTCCTGTCCATTCTCTCCAAGTTTTCTTTTTCTAAGTGCGTGCAGCCGCGCCTTGCGTGCCTCTGCGGCCTCTGCAAGGGACATTCCGCCTTAGAATAAATGTTGCAAGGATGATATGGTCGTTGTCGGCCTTGACTGCAGAATGTAACGGGAGCAATCCTCCCTAGACCTCCGACGTCGCCACTTGTATTGTTGCGGCACAGCAGCCTCACAGCTTCCGCAGCCCAAACGACACGCATAGCGCCTCCCGACCGACCCCGACATCGCAATACTCTTGAAATCGACGACGAAATACGAAATCCTCAAACTAAGAAGCTGCTACACTTGACGTCCATCCCCGTGAAACCAAACCTATAAGTGCTATTGACTGACCCAGTCCCTCCTCGAAAACGATAATCTGTCATGAGTACGTTTACACTTCGTAATGCTCTAGCCAGTAGTTGACCGAGCTCATTCGCAGGCCATAACGACCCATTCGCATCAACCGCATCGCTGGACGATGACGGTCCGAACCCATTCGCCGACCCCGTTACGGCAAAGCCGAGTTTCCCAGCCTCGGTCGCATCTGTGAATTCCGCGAATCCGGATGCGCGATTGGAGGAGCTGAGCAGGAGGGAGCGGGAGCTGGATGCCAGGGAGAGGGACCTGGGCAGACAGGAGCAGGCGTTTGCTGACAAGGGAAAGCCGAATTGGCCATTTTGTGAGTTCTGATGGTGCTCGTAGTGTGTTGCCTCACTTGCTCATCTCGGCGCTTGTAGTTTGTGAGCATGATTCTGGTTCAGACAGTGGAATAGGCGACTAAGTGGTCATACATAGTCCCGTTCCTCCACCACGACATCAAGGGAGATATTCCGGAAGCCTCACAACAGCTTATGCAGCGCCTATACCTGTTATGGCTGGTTCTGATCGGCACGGTGATCATCAACTTCATTGGGTGCATTTTCATCCTCCTCAGTGGAACGGCCGATGGCGGGAAGGATTTGGGTGCGAGCATTTTGTACGTTCCATTAGGCTGGATGAACTACCACTCCAATATACTCATCGTTTGAAGGTACCTGGTCGTGATCCCTCCCGCGTCATTCTTCTTGTGGTACCTGTAAGCGGGACGCTTATATTGCAACCCAGCTCTAGCTGACATTTCTCAGCCCGATCTACCGGGGCTTCGCGAAAGAGCAATCCCTTTTCTACTGTACGTTACCTCTGTTTGGGCCTTCGCATGACGTCGCTAATATTCTGTGTGCCGCCGGCATTTGTAGACATCTACTACGTGTTCTGTGGCTTTCACCTGCTGTTTTCCGTCTACATGATCATCGGGATCCCCTCCACAGGCTCGGCTGGCCTGATTCAAATGATTTCGTACGTCTCGGTGTCATTAGCTTCGCCGCGCGGCATGAGGCTGATTAGGGACCGGTGCCTGATGACAGTGCGTACGCACGGCATGCTATCGCTGCTGGCATTCTGGGCACGGTGGCTACGGTAGGTTGGGTCGTGCAAGGCGTGGGGAACCTCCTCTACTACCGTCTGGTGAGTTCCAGGTTCACACTGTCCATGACGTTGCGTGTCTTTCGGTGCAGCACTCTGCCGTTCGTGTCTCCGATCCCGGAATAACCTGCTCATCTATTCATCATAGATCTGGAAGCACGGAAATGAGGCTGGGCACACTTTCAGCAAGGCAAAGGGCGAACTAGCGACACACGGTGCTACGGCGTACTTCACTGGTCGGGGTCTGTAGGTGTGCGTGACTCACGGGGTTGGACATCCAGGCAGGCCGGGTATGTTTGACCTAAAGTGAGGACACTGGGTGAAAACCGATGATGACGAGCAGTTGGTGTGCATGTGGTGCGCGCTCTGCCTCTCGATGCGTTGTAATGTAAAACCCCGACCATGCGGTTCGCTTGCGTCGGTGCTACGTATACGTCTTAGCTCCTTACTATCCCCGTCCTTTTTTTCTTGTGACGATGCAACACTATTATCCTCATTTCCACGTTGTCGTACGATGTCTAAGGACTGGCATGTGTTAAGTACACCCAATGATGGCTTTCCGAGTGATGTGGTGGTGGTGGTACAACGGTGACCAGCGAGGATTGGGCACATCATGTGAAGAATAACGCAAAAGTAGGTGACATGGAGTTGTCATCCGTCACTCATCCAAATCTAGCGGGGTCGGGATCAAACGGTTCGCGTGGCTTGCACGTTTGTCTTAGCACATGTCGCAGTCTCAAGGGTATTGTCATTTGTCAACGTACCCACTCGGATCACGAGACCGTTTCTGGTGTTGTTCCGTGCAGGAGAAGATGGTCTAGCCTGATCGATCGATGAATTCTTCGGCATAAGCGGCAACTTCTTTTGGATGCCCGATGCGCGGGACCATTTCTTTTTTTCCCTTCTGACAGAAGTGAGGAAGCTGATGATTGGACGGGAGAACCCCGCGGGATCTATTCCACGCGACAGAAAGAAGATGGATCGGAGGCGAAGAGGACGCGGGTGGTGGGGAATTGTGGTGAGAAGCACGAGAAGCACAGAAGCAATTACTCCCCGATGCACCCCAGAAGCCGCAGGAGAAGCCGAAAACGGACAAAGGAAGAAGCAGAAGCAATGAAGGGGGAAGAAGCACCGTTCGACAGAGTTCGATCTGAACGCCCTAAGGGCATTAGGGCGATGCGCGCGCTCATCCTCTCCTCATCGGCCTCGGCACTTGGGGCGACGCGCTCGAGGGACAGGGTGAGGGGGACAACAGAGGGACGCGCTAGCTCATCCTCCTCATCCCCCTCCCTCTCCTCCTCCAACACCCTCAAACCCATCCAGCAAACCGTGTCCGGTCACTATCCACCCTCTCGGCGCGTCCATCCGGTGTTCTAATCAGTGCCCTTACTCGGACAGCGGGGACGTGAGTGCAAGGGAGCGCATACTCATCCCACGCAGCGCGCGTTCAGGGCCCATCGGAGTCGAGCGAGGTCATCTCCGTCAACAGAGGTGCCCCGCCCGACGCGCCGGTCATCCATAGTGTCCTCATCAGTCCCGACCCTCTCTCTGGCAACCATCCATACTACGGATCGCATTTCCTCCTGCTCGAGCTAGTACCCCTCTCTTGTGTGGTCTACCGGGGAACCTCGGACGCCAGCTACCCTTTGTGGCGATCGTCCAACATCTACCTGGTGCACGATCAACAACCCTACTTTACGCAGACATCCTGTACTTGTTATCTCCTCCTTTCTCTTCTACCACCACACGCGACGCGTTTGGGAACGAGCGCATCGTCAAAATCGAGCAAGAGAAGGAGCGCGAGGCGAGGGTTCTTGACTCACTCGCACCGCTGTCTCAAGCCTCGCTACCCTTGCTAGCCATCTGGCCAGCCTCCCTCTCCATCCCCCGCTTACCCTCATTCACTATCCAATACCCCGCTTGGTGCTGTCCGGTGTCTTTCCCACCTCCCTTATTCAATCGAGCCTGCTGCTGCGTGCGACGACCCCGGAGCCTCTTCAGACATCCACGGACTGGGCCCCGCTGGACCAATACAAGACAGCGCCAAGTAAACCAATCGAACGCGTTCCAGCTATCCCAAGGCTGAGAATATCGATTCACGCGCATACACCCAGCAAAGACGATAGCATCATTGAATTCTGCCCATCGGCGACAGCTGGCTGCGACGAGTCTTTAATAGCAAGCGGTGTGGGTCCGGTGCCTCTGGTCTCGTTTCCTTCTATCTTGGTGCGTATGGTCTCGGACCCCCTTTTTCTTTCCAGGTTAGGTGTTCACTCCAACTGACGCTAACAAATCCAACACAGAAGCCGCGTTGATTGGTGCCCCTGCACCATCGGATCAAACAATCCCCTTCCCCGGGGTCAGCCTGCTCATTCATCCCCGCATACATCGCAGGTCTCACCGTCGTATCAGTCCATCAGTCGCCTTTACAGGGCCTCATCCTCGAAAGGTGCTCCTTCCGCTGGTCCTAATTGGTCTCTGCTGCACCGTATCTCCGTTTCTTCCCTTCCATCCCTCGCCAGCTCAGGCAAGAAGACCGAGTGTCTAGAGCACGTTCCAAGGACCTGACAGCGCCTCCCCCAAGCTCCTGGTGCAGACCTCGTTCTCTGGTTGGCCCTCATACCACCGCCAGTCTCGTCATATCCCTTTTGTTCCCTAAATCCATCCGGGTCTCCCTTTCTTCTCCCGTTACCCAACTTAATCCTCGGCTCCGGGACGCCCCCATCTTCTCCCCCCTCCCCGCCCCGCCTGCACGAAACCCCTATATCCACCCTGCTCCCCGGTTCCGAGCATGCAGACCCAAACTCAAACCCAACCTTTCCCCCCTCCTCCCACCGGACCCGGCACTATTGCTCACAGCAGCCGCTCTTCCACGCCTGCAGCGGTGCAGCGTATCCGTTCCGTCACGCCGTCTACCGCCGCTGCCCTCCGTCCCTCCCCACCAGCTTTCGGGATCACAACCGTCACTGCGAGTGCTATGCCCGCGCAGGGCCTCCCGAGGGACGACACTCTCCGGGCAAACTTAATGGAACTCTCCCGCCAGGCTGGCAACCTGCTAAATCAGTTCCCGCCCACGAGGACGAACGGTCACGAAAAGGGTCCCATGGTCAACGGCATGTCACAACAGCAACAGAATGAGCAAATGGTACATTACCCAGCAATACCAAACGTCGTGGTGAACGCAGATGGATCCCCGCACAAACAGATGGCTGCCTACCGTGGAGCTGTCGATCCAGAACTGATGGCTGACTACTCCCAGCTCGGACTTACGGTACCGGTCTCGATCCTTGCTGCCGTCAACTCGGTCTCTCGTGAAGGCTCTGGCTCGCCCCTCGGAAAGGAAAAGCGCGTCCCACCGCCGCTCGATCTCTGTCGTGCGGGCAAGTACGACACCTTCCGTAACCTACGGTATGCCGCTGGTCCCCCACCGCCTCAGCAGCATCCTGTTCATCCAGGGCATATGCAACACGTGCCTCAACATCATCCGAACGAGTCCAGTTCATCGCTGAAGTACTACTCTTCCTCGTCTTCCCTCCCTTCGCCAGCTGACAGCGCGTTCACCACCTCCCCTCCCATCACACCTGCATCTGCCCAGCTCGGTCAGATCTTCACGGGCTATCCAGGTTCCTCGCCTCTAGTCACCGCTCCACCTATCACCGTTCCTCCCTCTCACCCAGCGTCGGATGTGAACCAAGAGCTTTCCTCAGCGCTTGCTGCGGCGCATATGTCTCACTCCCCCGTACATACACATCATCCAAACCCTCACGCATTCAGCCTTGCCCAATTCGATGACCCAGACTCGGCTCCTCCCTCTGGCCCGGTTCAGCAGCTCAACATCTTCCCCTCTCAACCTCCGCCACTTGACCCTTCAGGCGGTATCGCCTTTCCAACCTCCGCTAGCGGTCGTCACAGTCCAGCCAGTTTCGGCTCCGATTCGCCGTATGCACAGCAAACGATTCCGGTAAACGAGAGCGAGGTTGACTACCTAGCGTTGATGTACCCGTCTCCGCCGCCAACCGCCGGCCAGTTTGGCCAAGCCCTTGCGCAGTTTGTCGACCCACACTGGACCGTAGGCATGGGCGACGCAGGATCGAACGACCCCACGTTCAATCAGCTGCAGGCAGGTCTAGATCATTTCCTATCGTCACAGGATGCAAGCTTCTATCAGAACAACGCGTTTGGAATTAGTCTGCCTGGGGATGCACCAAACTACCCACCGCCCATGCCACAGGGAATGCCGATACCGCCTTCTCCTGGGAAGAGGAAGTTGCGCAGGCCCAGTAGTGCGGTCAGCCTGGGAGGTGGTGATAGGAAGGTCTCCACTCGTGGACTCAGGAAAGTGCGAAGCCGCAAGTTCTCCAAGACTGGCGGTCTGGAGGGCGACGTCAAAGGTGGTGACTTGCCCCCTGTCCCACCTCTTCCCCATTCCCTCCGCCCTCGTAATCCGGCTGTCAGCTATTCCCAGACACCTAGTGAGGACGACGACGTAGATATGTCTGATGACGACGGGTCGAGCGAGCAGGGCGAAGACGCCTATGATGAGGCGGATGCGGAGCTCGAGGCCCAGCAAGCGTTACTCAATATCGACCTGAGTGACAAGTACACTGAACTCGGTGGAGCAAGTGCCGCAGGTCAGAGACGGTTCAAATGTCTCATGTGCGGCAAGACGTTCCCAAGGAAAAGCGCAATTCTCTCGCATGTTCAGATGCACCTGGACATCCGTCCATTTGCTTGCACCTGGCCTGGCTGCAAAATGAAGTTTGTGCGGAATCATGACCTCGGGCGGCATGTTCGGAGTCGACATACACGCCAGAAACCTTTTGTATGCGAATGGTAAGTTTATTTCTCGTTTCCCTGTTTCCCACGTGTGTCTCAGAAAGTCTAATTTATTGTTCCGTAGTGGTCAAGGCTTCTCCCGTGGCGACGCACTTTCGCGGCATCAGCAGCGGAACATCTGCATCGGAGGCATAAACAACCGATCATAGGTCCGTGGAACAAACAAGCAGGTTCAAGCACACCCGTTCCCCGGTTTCGTTGTTTACACTAGCCCATCAACCTACCCAACCCGTTCTTCTAAACTACTTCATACCTTTACAATGATTCCGCCTACCACCTCTACTCTTACTGCCTTTATAAGTCTGCGCGTTACCTTCTCGTCTAATGCCCCCGCGGCTGCTCCATCCGCTCGTGGGGAGCACGGAACAGTCGCGGCATTTTCGTCCTTCGCATTACCTGTTTGTTCTTGTTGTTTCTTCGGTGTTTGATTATCCGGCACACTTTACGAGTATTCATGATCTATTCCTACTGTACTTCTTTCCGTACTCTACAAATGCCAATGCAACATCACAATGCACTTGATATTTAGTCGATGCACACCATGTGTTTTCATTCTCAGGTCGGGGTGTCAGGAGAGTGTATTGCATTCATTATACGTGTGTGGATCAAGTGTCCGCAGGTCACTAAGTGTCCAAGTATTACAATGAGCGACAATCATGCATAATTAACTTCGAGGGATACAGTTCCAATATATTTCAGACAAAGGCAAATTTCACCACTCAAAGTCCTCAGTAACAAGTGTGATCCGCCCACGCTTGTCACCCCTCATCAGGCGACTGGGGTTGATCTGAGCGGCAACCACCTTGCGGACCATGGCGTTGAGCGTGGCCGGACCACAGCAAGCGACCGTCAGCTCCCCATTTGCACGTTCGACCTCGTCAGCGAGGATCCTGTCCAGTTTCGGTCGTCCTGGCCGGGCCATCTCAGATACGACGTTCAAATCGTCCAATTCCCAGTCATCCATGTCAATCTTCGACGCTGTCCTTTGGTGCTTAGGAACCACAAGCTGACTATTGCGATCAACCAGCGATCGCACGCTCTCTGCTCCTCCAATTGATCGGGTATCATATGCTGGGTCCTGGCTGTAGAGGGAGGAAGCTTGGCTGCCCGTGGTATATACGGAGCTCTTCGATTCGCGCTTCTTGTGTGTTGGAGGTTGCTCATGAGCAGCATTATATTGATGTGGATTAGCCGGCGAAGGCGTTATCGGAGAGTCGTATTGATACCCTTCTGGAGCCATCAGCCCAGCGAGATGGGGAGGACGCGGCCTCTGGTCCACACTGGTGTTAAGAGCTGTCCTCTGAGCGCGAGGCGGGCGAAACGGAGGTGGCGGAGCAAAGGACAGCGGATCGACACTCTCCACATACATGTCGGCAGAAGAAAAGACAGTTTGACGGGGAGTTGTATCGTCGTATGGTGGGGCTGTGACATCAGAGCGACGTCCTGGGTGTCCAGGGGGATAGAACGAACTAGGACTGGCTGGTTGTTCTGCCGAGGATCGGCAACTGATGGGTGGTGCGACGGACCCTATGCGCACGCTACCAGGTGCGCCCTTCACTGTCGGCGTTGTCGGGCTGCTCGCATGCGAGGGTACGGCCGGCACCGAGTACATGCTACCATGTGCCCCTCTCATCGTTGGGGTCGTAGGGCTGTTGGCATGTGGGAGTCCGGCTGGCACTGAATACATGCTACCAGGAGCTCCTTTCATCGTCGATGCTGTCGGGCTGTTAGCATACGGGAGCATGCTAGGCTCCGAGTCGCGCGGTATGTGTCGCAGGTCTCTCGCAATAGTAGAACCCGTGAAGCGCCTCGAGATCGCACGACGGACCTTGCCTTCCTTGCGCACCTTCTGGGAGAGCAAGTCCTCACCAGGCATGCGCGTGTCGTCCTCATCATCGAAGTTGGTCATGTCGAGGATATGCGGCTCTTCTTCCTCGTCCGGGTTAACAGCGACCAGCTTTCGGGGCAGTCGCCCACCTTCGTCCGACGCGTAGTTCAAGTCAGTGACCTCGTTGTCGCTTACACCCGAGTCTGCACTCCCGTTGGACGCATTGGACATTGTTCGGGGGCGACCTGTCCTAGCAAATTGCGCGACGGGAGGGGCGAGGGTAGCGTCATCCTCGAAGACCTGAGACTGGTAAGCCATCGAGCGCGCGTCGGAGGAGACCTGTGAAATCGGGTACTTCATCCCGTTAGTGACGAAGATGTCGATTTGCAGGAGATGCCGGGGCATCATATCCAGACAACGACGAATGATAGACGCAGACCATTGAAGGTGGGCTGCAACCATGTCAGCACCGAGTAGATGTAGAGTGGAGCTGGGATATACAGTACTCCCTAACAGTCCATACGAATCGTATCCGGTCTGTTTTGAGCTTCCCACCCTTGGTCGTCCTCCCACCTAGAGTCTTCCCGTCCTTCCCCTTGAGACAAAGACACAGATACTCTAGGATGGCCGTCCCGAACGACACACCGGATCCACCTACAATAATGACGACGGTAGAGGCATCACCCCAGCGTGCCCGTTCCGCAGAGCCATATGGCCCGTCAACAGTGGCGTGCATGAGAATGCCTCTCTTGGGCCGGCCACTGGGCGTGAAGAGCGTCTCTGCAACTGTTCGGCTCGGCCCACTACGCTGGTAGATGTGTCTCCATAGCTGAAGGGTGAACCCCTTTTTAGCGCGAATGAGGAGCACAAGCTCGCTCCGCTCCTCTTTGTCGCAGCAGGAGGCGATCGTGAACGGGTGCATGGTGAGCTTTGATAGTGCAGGCACACGGAGGAGGACGTGTTGCCCAGGAGCCCAGGTGAGAGGCCGGCTGGTCTGCAGGGTGAGGAGGACGGTACGACCGGGCAGAGCGATAGCGTGGGCGAATCCTGGGGGGGTGGGAACATACCCACCTGTTGGAGAAATAGGTCTCTCACGTGTGGGCAACTCCTTGCTGTACGTGTTGCTGTACTCGGGGGGGACTCCCCCGACACCGGGGTGGGGAGTGGCTATGAGGTCTAGAGAGCTGGCTGGTGAGTGGTCTATCGAGTACTGGCGGTCTGCGATAATAGATGATGGTTTGGTGACATCCGTAGAGGAACCGTCGTACTGGTAGTACTCGGAGATGAACTCGGTGAAGGAGTCGTCCACCGACTTGCGGCGAATCTTAATAGGCGGGTAGGAGTGAGGTGGCTCCTCGGTGGGGGTAGGGAGGGGGAGTGGCTTTTCGTTGTGGGTGAACTGGGAGAACCGGACAGTGATGTTCGGTTTTGTACTCGCCTGCCATTCCTTCCCTGGGGCATAGGGAGTGGGAGGGAGTGACCGTTCATTGGCGAGCGGTCCATTAACCTTTTTCGTCCCAAATGCGCCATTGACCCAGAACTGCCTGCAGTACCTGTATATCCGCTCAGCGACCCACAGGCCTAAGGCAACGTAACACCATGCGCCGAGGGGGGGGAAATGCAGGGCGGAGAAGACGAGGGTCGCGGGGACGAGAAGTATATGCAGGTACCGGAACGTCTCGTAGTAGCGGTCTCGGATAGGGCCGATAGAGAAAATGATAAGGAGTGTGAAACATATGAATGCCTGGAACGATGTATGAGTAAGTGTATGCGCGGGAGAGTGAATAGACTGGAACCCACAGTGACGGCGAAGAGAAAATCTTCATACAACAGAACGAAGCTAATTGCGGGCCTGTCGCTAACGCCTGTCTGTCTGTCCTTCGCCAGCTGCACGGCCCAGGTGGCGACATGCCCGACTGTGAGAAGGTATACGATGCGACCGCACCACTTGTGGAGTCGGGTCAGCTTGTCGAAGTGGAGCGAGGTGAGGACGGGGAGGGCGAAAAGAGCAAAAGGCGGGGCTTTGAGTGCCAGAAGAACTGAGAGCGGGAAGAGCGCAAATGCGATCAGTCCCATCCGGTTGCTCGACGTCCACCATGTCTTGTCGATCGTAATCTGTGGTGGAGTCATAACGGCCGTGGAACTCGTGTCGCGCCGGGCGATAGAGAGCGTGTTGGTGAGGTCCCAGAGGGGTATGTCAGGCCTGATATAGTCCGGGCCGATGAAGGAGAGAAGGATAGGGCCAACAAGGAGGATAAGAAGAGAGAGAAGCTGGGCATTGGACGGAAGGGCTGTTGGCTGCCGATGCGGGGCGGCTTTGAGAGCATGCTTCTTCCTCCATGTTCTGCGCCTATATGCCCACTTGTCGAATGATGCGCCTATGAATCCACCGCGGAAGCCTGTCCAGTGGAGGAGAGCGAAGAGGAGACCAAAGAAGAGGATGACGATCCACATGAGGTAGGCATACCGAAAGGAGGCTGCCGACAGCCTGTGCATGAGCAGGTAGGCGGTGATCCATGCCTTGCCATCTGTTATCGGGGGTATGGTGGGGTCTGTGCCTGTCGGTGAGGCGGTAGGCGCTGAGGCTGCTGTGGTACCGGTGGGTACTCCTAAGAATGGGGGTACGTAGGTGGAGACGATGGCTGCTACGCTCGATGGCGTGACTGCCATGGTGGACGACCAGATGCCCTCGAGAGAAAGAGATGTGAAAGAGAAGCAAGAGAGGGAATATCAATTGGTGTCAGATCCAAAGCCCTCGCCCAGACCAGTTGCTGGGGGTTGTTATAGCGAAATCGAAGATAAAGGAGGAGGAGATGGTCGTCGTCTGCAGCCAAGCCGTGGCCAAGCACCGGCAGCAGCGGGGGGCACTGAGAGCGGACCAGGCGGAATAGGGTCAGTTGTTCACCTTGGGCAGTCGCGTAGACTCAAATGGGGTCGTGACCTCATAATGAGCACAGCCGACTTAATAGTCTATTCCACTAAATATCCCTTATCCCTGTGCTCTGTTTCTCCATCAGCATCGCAGTTATTTACAGCCATCGGCGCGGCAGATTCCAACATATCTTGCATTTTGCACATCTTTCTTGGTTCTTGTGTGCGCTGGCATGTTGGTGTATTTTCTACTCCCCTATTCTTAGTTCGGCCGCATGCCGGCAGCCTACCCCCTGGTCCGGCACCTGGTGCCGATATGTACCGAGAATGTTTTCCCGTAATAACCGCGGCGAAAGCGAACAAACCCTTTACAACAAGCAGTCCAGGAAGCAGAAAGTCGAACCACCCGTTGATGTTACAAAATGTGAAGTAGCAGGAACCATGCGGATAAGATATGTGTGGGTTCCTGTACTCGCCGCATGATCGGTCCGCGCCGTTGAATGTGCCGGCATGTGAGCCAGGGGTCGATTCAGTCCATAGAACACAAAGGCACGATCCAACACTTCTTACACCTCACCATTGTAACAAGGGGTTGGAACTCAGCTTGTGCCAGCACGATTGACAACCGGACCAGATCAACGGCGACTGTGAGCACGCTCATTCCCAGGCTTCTGAGACGACCGCAAACCCGGTTCGACTGCCGATCCGCAACGAAGCACGAAACAAGAAAAAATCGAAAATGAAGAAGGAAATTATCCAACAGCAGCACACGTGCGGGAGCCTCGGAAAGAAGATATCGGAAAGAACAATGATGGCAATGGATGGAACCGGGTCGCACCTTTGCTAGACCTCGGCATAGTCCTTCCTGCTTCTCCGAGCTAACATATATAGTGAAAGAGAAGCTTGTATTTCCGATCCGCAAATAAAATCTTAACAGCGTTTCATTATCTCCAATCCTCCTCGGATGCTCGTTGATGTTCGGCCACTTCTTTGCTCTTGCAAGAAGCAGGATGTATCGGCATCCGGCATCGTGGATGACGAGCTGGCCAAAACGAGAAATAAAAGAGAAGCAAGAGAGAGGGAGCCGATTGATGCCAGATTGGAAGCCTCAGCAGACCAGTTGCAGGGGACAGATCAGATGGAATTAGGGTCATTGCGGGGTTGTGACCTCACTTGTTGCACAGCTTACAACTCTAAACTTATCACGGACGTCCTCTGCAGGACAGACGTGCACCGCTACCTCAGCTCGTCCGAGCTCCCGGATGTGCTCACCGCCTTCGCACTAGTGCACACAGGGATGTCTTCAGGTTGATGCTCAGCGCCGGGGCAGGTGTGCGCTCGATCGTCTGCTTGGCCTCTCTTGACGTCCATGGGGCGGCTCAGCGCGGAATGTGCTCGGACATTGGCTGCAGAAATCATTCCATGCCAGTCGATCGTGCGGCGAGATAACTTGGGCAACTTTCATTTGGAACATCTGTCAAGGACATATGAGTTATTTGTGGTCGCACCCGCTATTCCTGTACAGTCTCCGTGAAAATCGCATTCACTTTGTTAGGGGAATCGGCGACGTGTGGACTCTTACATTGATTCATGGTGGTGGTTGCGGTGGTGATGTCGAGTCGTTCCGAATGGCTTCGCGCGAGTAAACCGAACAGCCCTCGATGTTGGAAATATGAAGCGGCAGAACCGTGCAAAGGAGATATATGTGATATGCCACGTAATCGGCGTGCAATGACGATGTCCGGTCGATAGAGTCGATAGAACACAAACGCAATTTCATTCCAATTCTTACACTTCTCCACCATTACAACAAGGGATGCGGAACTCGACTTGTGCCGGCATAAAGAACCTTGCGGGGAAACACAAATCAGGTCACCCGTGTTTCCACGCGGTCGTTCGCCCGCTGCTCAGGCAATGGTCGTCCCGCTGAGCACCTATCCGCAAACCCGATATCAGTCTCCGATTCCGATCCGCAAAGAAGCATGAAGGGGGAAAAAAGAAGCATGCCCAACAGTAGAACATGTGTCGGAGCCACGGCGGAAAGGACGAGTCAAAATGGTGGAATGGATGGACGGAAGAATGGGTGGAATCGGGTTGACGCACCTCCTTGCCAGTCTTCGAGATGACTTGGAGCACATCCTCATAGCTCCTCGCGGTGTTGACCGTCACTTCCTGCTTCTCGAGACTAACTTCGTAGGAAGAAATACCTGTCATCCGCATCCCGCAAAAGCACGGAGAAAGAATCAGATAGTGTCCGCGGAAATGGGGAGGACACGCACCATCCGCCTTGCCCAAGGCGCGCTGGACGGCACCAGAGCACCCGCTGCAGTGCATCTGTCTCTTGTCAACTCTTTCTCAACTTTGCACACTGCACTCGACGTACCTTGACGTTGAACTGGTAGGTATGCTACGCATGAGGATGAGACGAGGTGTGCTTGCAGGTGAGGAGAGCCATACGCACGTCAGACATTGCGGTTATTCAGTTGACGGTACAGACTGCAAGCTCCCGTCAGTATCTCCTCACGCATTCAGCTCAGGCAGACATACGGGGGCGGTCAAGATATTACTGGGGTGTTGTAAGGACCGTCCAAGTCGATCCTGTGCGCCCCTCTTTATGAGGTCGGTCGGCGAGTCGGCTGAATAAGAGGATTGCTGGCCAACAACGCGCGTCGCTCGCGCCATCGCTTAGTCATCAAACAAAGGCGCTGCTTCGACTGTTGCCTTGCGGGGTTTACCCCTTCCCAACTGAGTGAAAATCGTGTCAATTGTCCGCGCGTTAGCGAGATGGGGTATCATCTTGCTCAAGGTATTGCTACAAGTACTAACTGCGCTACTAATAATGTAGGTAGTAGGCGATCATCAGTGATCCCATCGATCGGATCTTATCGGCGCTCAATCATCTCCACTCGCTCCTCGGTTGTGTTCGTCGCTGTTCGAACCCGCTCTTTGCTCTGGCCACGCGAGAAACAAGATAAACAGGATGCAACCATATCTACCATCATTGAATGAGCACCTGCTATCAAACTCGCAAAAGGGCTCACTTTTCATTCTTGACAAGACTGAAGAAGCTTCTTGAATGCGCTCGTTTGGCCGCTGGGTGATGAAATATACCGGTAGGCCCAAAAGGATAAAACCTATGTGGGGTTAGCTGAAGACAAAAAACGATCCCAGTTATGGAAGACTGACCGACCGCCGCCAGAGCTTCTAAAGGCGCGGCGATAACGGGCATAGATAGAAGAAACAGTGCCACCTAACGATCAGTGAGAAACATCTACATTTGAAAGATATGGCAGAATGCGCACAGCACAAAATGTCAATGGCGTTATTATCCAAGTTTTGTACGGTCGCTCTAGATGTGGCTCTTTCACCCGCAGAACAATCAGCCCCATGACCTGAGAGCCATTAGCCAGTTTATGATCATTCCGCATAAATGCTTACGGTCAGACCGTAGAAGCTCCACCCAGCAACACTGTAGAAGTTGATCAAGCTGCGGAATCCGCCCCCAACCAAGATGAAGCCACAGGTAAGAATTGCCTGCAGAATCATAGCGTTCACGGGCGTCTTTCTGGTGCGATGCAATTTCCCAAAGAGTGATGGCAAGTGACCTTCTTTCCCGGCCACATAGATAAGTCGAGCAGAAGTAAAAAACGACCCATTCAGTGCGCCAAAACAGGAAAGCGCAACCATGATGGAGAATACAATGCCACCGACTCTGCCAAATAGCACACTCCCGAAGTCCAGAGCGATGGTGTTGGTCCGGCCCACGGTCACCTTATCGAGCACGATGAAGTAGCTGACGTTTGCCCACAGGAAAAGGATCTACCAGAGAAATCAGAAGGTATCCTATGGAAATGACCGTGTATGCTTACAATGACCGTGAACATGCTGATGTGGATTGCCCGCGGCAAATTCCGCTCGGCATGCTTCATCTCTCCCGCGACATAATTCGTTTGATCCCAGCCGTCGAATGCCCAAAGTCCTGAATAGGCCGCAATCGCCCATGAAGATGGATTTGGAGACGTGCCTTCGAAAATGTCTGTCAGGAGAGAGGGAGACGCTTTCCCGCGAGCAAGCTGTACAATTCCCATGATCGAGATTGCAAACTGCGGTTCCTTGTCAGATGATGACAAGGTTGACAATGCATGAGTCATCTCACAAGTGCTAGGATCTGCACAACAATATGAACTGATGTCACACATCCGGCATTAGGAACACACCTTCATCAACGTAAATCCCAGAGCAGCGCCAGTTCCCGACTTGGGATTGATGAGACAGACAAGCGAAACCAGAGCCACCGCCACGGTTGCCGTAAGTTTTGTGGCCCAAATTGGAATGGCATCAGGAGGGCTGTCGGGGCGCGTTTGTCCATAGAACAGCCTGTTCATGTATTCTCTGCAGCAAACGTTCGTCAGGCATATGCTCCTGATGCCACAGACCCACCCCTACCCAAATATCAATGCTATGATAGCATTCCCACCGGGCTTCAGCACAGCTATCGCAGTCCAAGAGAACATGAATGACACGACGGGATTGTAGGCATACGCAAGGTAGGCCTGGGCGCCTGTGATCTCGGATTAGCGCGTCTGCGGGTGCAGGACAGCATAAATGCGCACCTCCATTAAGCGGAATCATGGCACCAAGCTCTGCAAATGAGCTGTGATGGCTCAGCATGATATCACAGGAGATAACAACTGTTTGCGTGCCTGGCTCCTGTCCATGCCAATATCCCGCTGAGCAACCACACAATCATGCTTGCCCCCACCGAGCCGACATTCGCGAAAACCACACCGGGAGACGAACTGGACACAAGGTCAGCAAAAATGTTCTCGAATATCGTCGATTACGTACAAGATACCTGACCCAATTTGCAAGCTGACAACAAGTGCAATCGCTATCAGCGCGTTCAGTGAGATCAACCGGGTTCTCTACTTTGCGCTGATGCATACCATGGAACAACCCTATGGTACGTTCTCCCACCACTTCTTTTTCATCATCAAGCTCAGTCGTCAAGCTCAAGGGTAAAAGATTGTTCTGGAAATCGAATGTCGCAACAGAGGATATTGAGTATCCCCGACTCCGTCCAGGACGTATTGCTTGCAGGCCATCAGAATATTCTAAGGCGCGAAGAGACTCTGTAGAGGAACGCGGTGACGCAAACGTAGATTCGTGATCGCCGTGTGCCGGTGAAGGCAGCGGTTGGTATGACATGTACTGGACGCCGGGGTAAGGTGGAGAGCAGAAGGACTACGGTTACCATTCACGGGTCAAGCGCCCAAGGGATCAACCTTGTTTGAACTTGTGATGGAAGCAATGCCCTTATTGATCAAAGCACTTGATTACTCGGACGACCACTGCCTAGATTCCCAATATTCTATCAACTTTGTTCTGGCTACATTCGTGTTGGATTGCATGACATTTGCTTTCTTTCACGCTCTGTGAACGGTAAACTGGATAATATGCCTGAAATGGGTCTTACGCTTTGGGCCACCCATCTGTTGTCACGCGCCAACGATGTCCTACTTTCATCACAACGATTCCTCTCCGATGCATTCGATCTGTAGGCTGTTCAGATGATATGAGGCTCGATATCTTGACGGTACTTATAGAGCTGCCTTCGATCTCTTCTCATTCCTCCTCTTAGCATTTCGTGGCGGTGAGGTACCGGATTCCATGGTACTAAAGCCTCGTTGGGTTCCCGTTTGCTGGTCGGCCGGTTTTCCGTTCACGACTGCGGGCTGTACACTTCCAACGGCTTTGTGAAAATACAATGAAGTCTCCTGTCGTGGACTTTGCGAGACTTCCCATGTGTCGGGAAAGTGGTGCATCGTCCCTTCTTGCGCAAAATCATGCAGAGCTGTGGACTCATCGCCTGCACAACACCTGGTCTACCTTTCGATGGGGAATACCTTGCGATTTCTGTAGCTAATGCAGAGGTTCAGGAAGTCAGGCCTACCTACGGGTCTATTTCTTTACTATCGTATATAAAAGGCGCCAGAAAGAGATGTGTAAACGTCCGGGCAACTGTATTGGATCCTTCATCTCGGTGCGAACACCTTTCACTGCCTAAGGTGCTATGATTCTGACTGGCGAAGATTTTACAGCATAATCCACGAAAGCATCTCAAGCTACCGGAATGGATGAGCAACCCCAACTCCCTCGCCTCAGCCCTCACCTCAAGGATGCCGTTTATAGTCACCCAGGAAACGGCGAAATGGCCCAGGCCGCTCAAGCATACCTTGACATCTCGATCCGTCAATGGATGCTGCAATTTCCGGGTGTGGAGAAGCACCCACAGCTGACGGTAAGTGTCAGGCTTCAGATACCTTGCGCAGTCCTAATAATTCACAGAACTGGATCAACAAAATCACTTCTTATGAACGACTAGCAATATTCTTCGATCTGTATGAGATGGAAGAGACGTCCATTCGTCTACCAGTGGACGCAAATCCCAGCGGTAGAAAAAGTGTCCGGGTTCACGGACAAGTTTTCAAGGCCTACATGGGTGCAATCGTCAAGGAATACGGTGATTCTGCGCTGTATACTTTCATGGGTAAACTGTTGAAGTACTATATGAGTACGTAGACTCAGTGCCGGGGCAACGAGTTTTCACTCACCGTGTCTCAGATGTTATTGGTGCTGACTGGGTCAACTGGATCCGGTCGGTCGTCGCTGCTGGGCAACGCACTTGATTTCCTTTGTAGGGACGTCGCAAACCCAGAAGCGAATCAATGTTTGAGACCCACAATCTCGGCTTGTCCTCTGCCCCGAGGCTCCTGCAGAAACTTGCTTCGTCGAGTTCGCTGTACTCTGGCTAGGGGACAAGTTTCGATTTGGATTTGGCACGGGTTTGGCTGTCTGGGTGACACCACGTCTGATTTGGGTGATCATCGCGCTTCTTTTCTTCCTTTTGACCGCCTCGTTCCACCCTCCATGCGATTTTAGATTTCGCTATGAATTTTGCCATTGTAACTACTCCGTATGCGGTCCAAATGCCATTACTTTCCAGTGCTTGAGTGAGGAATGAGCAGCCCAGTCATGACATGTAAGAGGAAGCAATATGCGTGACGAATATACAGCGTATCACTTTAATCGTACAGTCTTTCCCAATCTTCTTCAACCGCATTCCCGGGAGGAGGAATACCCGTCAGAGCGACATCGATAGGCGTGGGACCAGATCCCAATGGCAAAGCCGCAGCACTTGCCACATCTTTCGCTTCACTGTCCTCAGCCTCTCTCATCAGTTCCAGTATGTCTTCCTCATCATCAACATGGACGGCTTCAGCGGCAGTTGTCGGTTGCGCTGTAGCCAATTCTTCACGCTCTTGCTCTCTCACCATCTCATCCCAGAGAGCGTCCTCGTCTTCTTCTTGCTCCGTCTGTCTTCTAATAGGTTCCGTTTTCTTAGCAGAGAGCGTTTCCTCCTCTCGTAACATGTCGTCCAATACAGCGTTTTCGTCTTTGTCAAACAGTCTTTCTAGCTCATTGGACGGCTGAGTGGCGCCGTTCGCAGCATCTGCCGCGGCAGATTTCGCAGCGTTATTGGCCTTCATCCGATCGAGGATTTCAGCCCATATCTCCTCGTCGTCCGAGTCATCGTCGTTATTCCTCCTGTTCGACAATGAATGTCGTTCATCGGATTCGTCATTTGTTTGGCCTGCAGTAACTGGCTTGCTTTTTATCTGGTCACCGCCCTCGTTGTCGCTGAGAACCATGTCCGCCTCGCTGATGGGATCCCTGTTCTGCTTCGGGATCGGATTCAGCTCATCCCGCCAGACTGAAAGCGCAACAAGCATGCGTCTCTCCCTGCAGACTTTTTCAACTCGTTCGACGGTATCGATGAAGCGACGCTTCGGGAACATGCGGTGCGCCCAGAGTTGGTAGAGGGTCATGATGCGGTCGAGATCTTCTTTCTATGTGAGATATTACATGAGACGGAGACTCTGGGGGAGAAATACACTCACTTCACGTCCTTTCCCTTTCGGCTTGAAGTTCTTTGTTTGTTGTATTAGTGCAGGGAAGCCGTACTCGCCCAGCAGTCGCTCAGCGTCAATCTTCGCGATTACCCTCCGCTTAGGTTCTTCGTCCTCTTCTTCATCCCGTCGCCGCTTTGCATTTGCACCGGCTGGTCCGTCTGGTGTTCCCTGAGCTGCAGTCGATGGAGCTGCAGGAGCAGGTTCGGGCATGTTCAAGCTCTGCCGGGCCTTGCGTTGCGCGTCCCGCGCGATTTGCGCTCTGTCCATGTCGGGCAGGATCGACGGCCCACCATCTTCGTCATCGGAAGATGCGAAAAGTCTATCTAGCGCATCTTGGCTGAGCGATACCGGTGGGGGAGCGACATCGACCATGGCGTACGGTCGAGACAGTGAAGATAATGAAGTGCGCGACGTGACGCGTTCTGAAATGCGACCCGTGACTAAGAGTGGGGGTAGGGATATTTCGCCGCACCGACCCGCACGGCCGCGCTGGCACCTCTTGCCTTTGGTCAAAAATACAATTACTGCTACTCTCATTCTATCCCTCAGTATTCTTTTGCCAGAACAAGCACTTCAGAAGGAATTATATAGCAGACATCCATGCCTCCAACGTCTGCCAAATCGGAGACGCCGGATTTGGCTGCCGGAATCGCGTACTGGGAAGCACTCCCACCTACGCTCGACACAGTTCTGGGAGGGCTAGCAGCCTCGGTATGCTACTGCGCACACAAATGAGCTCTCTCGTTGAACGACTTGGCAGTCACTCCCGCTTGTCGATGCATTATCTTCTCGTCAGCTTTTGTTCGCCGAATTCCCTGAACTTCACACCTTTCCGACTCCGCATCATCCCTTCAATCCTCCGCCGGTTCTACCCACACCAGAGTCACGAGCACTCGAAGTCGGCGCTGGAATCGGCCGAGTGACATCGAATGTACTCTTATACATGTTTACCTATGTCGACATGGTTGAACCTGTCGAGTCGTTTCTCCGCACTGCAATCGCTGAAAGCTCGAGCTGGAAGGGCATCAAAGAGGAGCGGAAGGGCGTGCGCTTCATCAAGGCTCCGCTGCAGGACACCACACTGTTTTCGGTCCCAAGTTCCGGAGATGCAAGAGTGCTCGCCTCAGTCGGAAAGAACCCACCTGAAGACCAAATTGGCTACGATGCCATATGGTGCCAGTGGTGTCTCGGGCACTTGTCTACGAAGGACCTAGTTACGTTCCTCCAGCAAGCCAAACGATCCCTCAGAACCATGGGATGCATTTTCATCAAAGAAAATGTGTGTGCGAACGAGGAGGACGGAAGTGCGAGAGAGGTATATGATGCACAGGACTCTACTGTCACCAGGTGCACTTTTCTTACTGGCACACAGCATCCTTGCTGATTATGTCCCAGGTCGGGTTCATCGTGGATGAGAGCTTTCGTGTCCGCAGGATTGATGCTGATAAGGGATGAAGAACAGCTAGGTTTTGCAGCGGACTTATATGATGTTAGAATGTGCGTGACTAAGAAGTTGCTTCGTGTGGTTTATCCCGATGATTTTTCTAGGTACGTCTTACAATGAGGTCACTGACCCCTATTGCTGCACGCAAAGTCAATGTGTTAAACTTCGATCAATAAGCATGTAGCATATGCCTCAAGCTGGATTGTACCTATGTATCTTTGTACCGAAGATGCCAGCAGTTGTGGCCCGTGCGCAGAAGCACACACCTGCCAAGAGCACGTCTAGCACGCGTTTGATTCATAGCCGAGGGGCCATGCATTCACCATCCGGTAGTCGTCTCGCGCCATCAAATACAGCAAGTCCTTGCTGCATAAATACCAATCGATGCTATATTCTTCTTTTTTGGTGTTCGTTCCGCTCAGTCCCGATGCTCGCCTCTCTCAGGATACCAGTGCTGCATGGCGTCCGCGGAATGGCGACCTCAGCTTCTCTACAAGGTTCTCTGGCAGCTCTCGTCTCCCATGACCTAACTCCGCATATTGGGACACGCTTTCCGGATCCTCTCGTGCAATTGTCAAAAATCCTTGCTGATGCTCGCTCCTCCGAGATGGTCAAAGACCTCGCTACGCTCGTCAGCCATCGAGGCGTTGTCTTCTTTACCAAACAGGACTTGGATATACAACAACAGAAACAGCTTGTGCTCAAGATGGGCGAGCTAACTGGTAGACCGGAAACTTCGGGGCTGCACAAACACCCCGTATCAGAGGATTCGTCGGAACTGGGTGCTGACGTCTCCGTTATATCATCAATCGGGCATGTTCCGCGTCGCCTTACCTTACTTATCGGCCAGCTAAACTCATACTAGTGGAATCGCTCGGGCAGGTGTCGATCTGACTGGCCGAGCTAGCAATGGATGGCACTCCGATATTTCCTTCGAAAATGTCCCAGCGGATTTTTCTGTAAGCTAAAAGTAATTGTGAAGACTGCTCCTATTCATGGTCCCAAGGTACTCAAGATGCATACTTTGCCGGCTGTGGGCGGCGACACACTCGTGAGGATCTTTAACGTAGTAATTTACTCTAACTGAACTCGTTCCAACAGTGGGCGAGGTGGGCTAGAGACAGGTGGGCTTTCCTGGACTTCACTGAGATTTGATGTAGTGGGTACGAAGCCTATGATCGACTGAGTCCAGCGTACAAAAAATTCCTGGAAGGATTGACGGCTGTCCACGATGGAAACTTCTTCCATGAAGTATCTTCCTATTAAGGGGCATCGCATAGCCTTAACATTTGGACAGACTGCTCGAGCGCAGAACGTTCCCATCCAAAGTCTTCGAGGGTCTCCTCTAAATGACGGAGAAGACCTGAGGGCAGTACAGTAGGATCGTCTTACAGGTGGGATGTTGCATTTGCTGATTCGGGACCGACACGTAGCCCAGTGGTCAGGACACATCCCATCACAGGCTTCAAAGCACTGTTTGTGAACCGGTCGTGTGTCTTCTGTGCCCCTTGGTCACTGTTGATAACGCTGAGCTTATCTATACCAGGTTTACAACTCGCATTCTCGAGCTCACCAAGGAAGAATCGGATCATCAACTGGATTACCTATTTAGGCATATCGCCGAGAATCACGACCTCCAAGGTCGATATCGATGGGAGAAAGATGACCTCGCAATATGGGACAATCGGGTTGTTCTTCACACAGCGACCAATGTCTATGCAGATGTCAGACCAAACGCTGTATATGAGACTTAAGAAACCGCTCACCGAGGGCAGTGTGATCTGGCCAATGAAGGTATAGCTAATATTCAAGAAAGCTGACATTCCCGCGACATAACTGGTACCCAAGACAGGAATGACCGTGACGATAGGTTCCTGACCAGCAACATAGCCGAACGGATGATCCTGGATTCCGGAGAATACAATTGATAATATCACGGCGATAAACATTGTCACGGCACTGAACGTTCCCAGCCCGCTGAGGTGCGACAACGGGCGTGGCAAGGAAACAACGAAGCAAGCGGCGGCAGTAACCGCGCTGAATGCAACAGAACAAGCGGCCGAGTTGGTCAAAGTATTAAGAAGACGAGCTCCAACAAGGCAGTGAAGGCCTTGGATAAATGTGTTGTTCAGGACAAAGAACACCGCCGTAATATTGTATGCAATCGGGGAGCCACCAAAGAGCATTCTGCCGATGTTGCACACATATCTGATTTCTGGATGTTTCAAGCAAAATCGCCAGAGAACCAGAGACGTATACTGAACGCTGGCGGCCACCGCAATAGTGATGATAGTCCCCGGAACCAAGCCAAGGACGGAGTATGACCTGGCGGGATTAGCCGCGGCACCTTTCCTAATGAGTCTCCGGTTCAACACACCATGGAAAGCTCATTATAGCCAGACATACGTATTCCGAAAACAAAAGGGCGGCGGTCTACTGAGCTTTAGCAAGACAGCAACAACTCGGTGGAGCTGCAGCTCACCTTTTGCCAAGAGCAAGTCCGGTATTTGATAGCATGATCGCTCTCGTCCAGAAGCTGATCCTTCACGCTTTCGAGATCCATAGAAGATTCGTTTTTGGACATGGTGGAGGTCAAAGAACCACCGCAGTCAGTGCTAATGCAACCCGCTCAAAAGCAGCAGAGCCTAAGCATCCGGAGAAGATACTACGTCACAAGACAACAGAATGAAGCGAAAGCACCCAATAAGCGGATTGACGACATCCAGATCCGGGAGGCGCAAAATAAATTGACCTTTCATCAGAGGAAAGCAGTGAATGCAAGTTTTTAAATTTGCTTATATTCCGGTGCAGAAGTCCGCCCGGGTGAATTTCCTACTGAAGCGGACCACCTGGATAGTTATTGTGTGTTGACCTGAGTTGACCTAGTGGTGGTTCACCAACAAGATGATGCAAACAACAAGGGTGCACATGATTCTGTTCTACTTTTTGTTTCCGAAGTCTACATCGGGTCCGCCTGAACCGACAGTGCAGGCCCCACTCTCACAGTCAGTATGCATGTCCCACGCCTACCATCAAGAACGGCTGTCCGCGTTCTCTCTAGAGGGATAGCGACTTATCGTCGTCCTTTGGTTGGCCCACCCGACGCTGCATCAAACCTACGCCCAGTGCTGTACGGACCACCCCGAGGAGCAACAGCCAGCTCGCGGGCATCGCTAACGCCGTATGCTGTTGATGAGTTTGGTTCTATCCAGCATGAGGAAGCGATAGAAGAAGAGGGAGATGCACTTCAGTGGAGGCTACGACAGGAGGAGTTGGATGCTTTCAATCAGTCGTTTTGGACTCAAGTGCGCAGTTTCTCGAGGACATTGCCTCTGGATTCTGAACAAACTCCTCTCTTAGAACAACACGCAGTTTTTCGCGGCGAAGCAAGAAGTGCTCGATCAATTTCCTCCTCTTGCGTCCACTGCCCCACCGGATGAAATTGCAATCAGGGAGATCGAACAAGAACAGGCGCTGCAGGAGTTCTACGCCAGATGGGCCGAAGTTCATAAGCAAACTAACTTGGCTTACACACGAGAGTGGTATCAGCGGATTTATTCCTCACTCTGGCCTGGTCTGAAGATGGCATGGAAGCGATACAAAGCGGATTGGAAAGCAGAGCATGCATTCCAAGAGTTCATCGTATTCTCCCTACTTTGTAAGCCCTCGTGTTACTGCGACATGCGCGTTTCCTTATCCAGGCCCAGCAAAGCGAAAGTCTCATCGTACAAGTACTCGAGGCCCATCCTCGGGGAATCAGGACCCTCCTCAGTAAAGATATCTTCCAGTTGCCCGATTTCTTGCTCTAGCGCATGCTGGAGGACCGCCACTTGTTGTGAAGTGTAATTCTCGAATCGAGCTCGGCACTCATCGTCCGTGGGGACGCGTCGACAGTTCGCAGGTCGGAGGAAGTACTTGGGATCGAGGCCGTCTACTGTAGCCCAAAGTGTGGCATATGCGGCGGTCCCTCTCAATCGTGCTTGTCGTTCAACGTCAGACATGTCGTCGCTTGGCTTGAGTTCTCTCCAGCTATGACGATCTGTTAGGATATGATGTAATAGTAACAACACACAACTCACTTGTCGTGGAGATATATTCGTCGCCAGAGGGCTTCTAGAGTCAATTGCGCACGTGCCGTTGGCATTTCCTACAGAAGTTTGTTACTGAAACACCCTTGTTGCGAAATGGCACTTACGGCCTCAGACTGTTCGAAAGCTTTCAGTGCAGTTCCGTAGTCTTTGTACTCGCCACGTTGGTTGTCCTTCAGTGTCAAGACATCCACCAAATCTTCGATAGAAAGAATATCGCCATGCATGACATGCTTCACCGCCGCTTTGAACACGTCGACTAACGCGGAGGTTCCCAGTCGTGCCGCCTTCCTCTCTGCGATTGTATCGGCCATGATGTCTGGTTGAGCGAGATGTCCAAGGGCTATGTTCTCGGCAAGCTCCTCGGCCAAGGTTTCGTGTACCGTCACCATCTCCAAACCCTTGTCGTACCCTATGTGGCAGACTGAGAACGGTGACAACATTGGGAACTGCTCCACTCACGTCCAGCTATGGCAAGATTATTTTCCTTGTATATCTTAGCAGTATGTTGAGCCAGTTCACTGACCTTGCCCAGACTCAACATAGTCTGTTCATGACAATTCAGCCTGCTGACACTAATTGTCGGATGAGAGTTCACCTTTCTGTCGATGGTTTTTGTTGACGCCTTGCCTTCCACCATCAAAGCACCAGCAGCGAGCTGAAAGTTACCCATTGTGATATCATGAATCCATGATATCCGATGATATCCGCTCTGCTGCAGGAAACGATCGAGCAACTGAACTTCCTCTCTGGCGTTCCTATGCAAGAGTTGATATATTTTTCCTGCAGCGTATGTCAGGCACCTATTTTCTGTCCAAAATAATTCCCTCACCTGTCTGATAGTACCGTTGGTACAGCTCAAACGCGAATGCTTCGCCATGATTCAGGATATAACTCTCCAGCAAAGCCGACGTGGCCCCCAGTTCCTCATCAGTGCAGAGATCGACCAGCGTCTCCCAGTCTTTTTCCTCTTCGGCAATATCCAGAGCAGCTTGGCCGTGTCCCATATTAACTACCACTATGGTTCAGTCGCATCACTCGCGAGAACACATGTATGAACGCACCGAGACCCATGATGATGCCTTTTCGCTGTGCCACGTGTTGAACCTGCAGGTTTCGGGCCTCTGTACTGTCCTCGCCTTGTGAACTGGTCATACTATCAGTCTCGAGGTTGCTGGCTTTATACAATCCACATACTGTTCAAAGTGGGACAAACAATTCCGTACAACGCGGAAGTACGTGCGCGCCACAAAGAGCAAATGATATTTCAGCTGCTCCTGCAAGTTCTTAATCTCTGCGCGTGATGAATTGGAAGGAGGGTTATTCAGGTTGATCTCGTAGACCGAACGGTAGTCTTCTTTGGTCCGTTCGTTCAACAGGTAGAGAAGGTCGATGTTTTCTTTCGTCTCTGTCCAGACCGGTACAGGGCTGCTGAATTCCGAGATACCGTATCGAACTGAATGTTCGCTTCTATATTCTTGTGCTGCCGTTAGGAGGGTCTACAGACGGTGAGCACTCAAAAGGACTGAGGCGCTAGAATGGATCGCACCACAACAAGACTGTCAGCTTCGAGGGTAATGTTTGCCCGATGGAGGGAATCAGCGGAATGCCGTTCCTGTTCAACAAGCTCGCCAATTCCATGTGGAAGATTTCCGATCTCGCCGATCTACATCGTCTCAGAAAGGAGGACATGTGAAAAACATCGTGTCTCGTACCTTGTCCTGTAGGAATGGCCGTATACCCGACTCGGCACCATCTCCCTGCTGCTTTGCTGAAATTCTATCAATAGCGTCAGACAAGACCGTCGACAATACTGATCTCGGGTTCTCCCTGATTGCATATCAGAATAGACTAGCACGGTTTGCATTTGACGGACCGTAATTCATCTTCATGCAGCGTCCATAGCTGCTTAGCAGCCGCAATCTTCTCCCCGTCCATGCAAATCTTCCACCGTGCGGTAACGGACAGCTATGACAATTTTAACACATACCAAACACATTTATATGAAGGACGTACTCTGCTGAGCAGATGATTGGAGTCGATAAAACCGATCAACTCTTTTGCAGTATCGAGTCGTTCCTCAAGTTGCCTGTCCAGGTCAGCGACCACAGGCTTGTACTTGTACGCTACAAACCATAAATCTCTCATCCAAAGCTGATGCAAAATCACGCACAAGAGGAGACGATTTCCGTGCTGATCTCTTCGATCGCCGCAGCCAGGTCGCCCTCGATGTCAGGACTGCGGAAGTCAAAGGACAGCGGGTTGGCTGATGACCCTCCGTAGTATACCGCATGTTCGATGCGTTCTTTAAGCCGGCCGTTAGCGACCTCTTCCCGGTTCACGCCGTGCAACCTGTGTACGGGTCAGTTATGCGAGAGAGATACGAAATGCGACATACATCATCTGCGCCTTTGCAGTGACGCTTGGGACATTGACCGTGAGGGAGACAAGGCCACTCAGAGCAGTAAGGCACGTCATTTGTCCTTCTACAGGGGAATCGGTACTATGCCCCAAGTAGCGGTTCTCGCTTAGGTCCCGCAGGGGGATATCTTCGTAGAATACCGAGCCGGGTATGAGGGTGAAGGAGATGACCGTATCGGGGAATTGGACGAAGACGGTTGTGCCTCCTTGGGGTGCGGTGAGGGAAACGTCGGCGGAGGGGAGAGTAGATGGCTAGAAGGAAAATAAGCAGGATGCTCAGGACAAGCCGTGGAACGCACCGTGGAGTACTGTAACTCCCTCAGACTGGAGACCTGCAAGTCCGAGCTTCCGGCATGTGCTAGCGTGGCAACAGCATAGGATGGTGGCTTAGTGCTGGACCACACATATCCAGGTGTAGTGAGAGTGCATGCGAACGCTACAGCCGGCGTGCCGTCTTTCAGCGCCGCGATATCAAGCAGCTGCACATCCCAGAAGGACCTGTCCTCCTGCGCAGGGAGCGCAGTGGACAGAAGTTCCTGCATGTTCACCTCCAACACGAGGTGCTCTCCCCCCTCCCTCTCCAACCGCCACAGCTCTACGCTCTTGGCCTTTGCGATCCACACGTCCGCGCCTCTAGCCGGATCGGGAACGACAGCAAGCCCTACAACTGCTGGAGACCCAGGCACCTGAGCACGGGAGAAGAGCCTCGTCAGCCCTCCCCTCGGGCGAGCAAACGGCGAGCTGGCCACCAACGCCCGTCCCATATTCGTACTCGTGAGCATCAGCCGGGAAATATTGCCCAACGTAGTCGAAAGCAAGAAGACTGCGTTCTCCCAGCGCCAAACACCGTTCACTTCCTCCCCCTCCGATAAGCTCAGAACGACACTGGCAAACTTGTCCCTGCTCGTAAGCGCCCGCGTTACCGAGTCCCAATAGCGGGCCTCCCCTTCGGGGAGGACGACGAGTAGCCCCGGCTCGCGCGCTTGATGTGGTACGAGCGCTGCGTGTGCGAGTGTACCAGATCGCGCGGGTGGGAGGGGGAAAGTATACACTTGAGCTGTGGCGGGGGGGTGTGTGCGTGCGTCACTAGATCGCCAGACAACGCACCGGTCAAACAGCGTTAGGAAAGCGAAGCCAGTACGGTCGTCGATCGCTCCTCTTACGGGCTCTTTTTGCAGGTCTTTCAGCCATGTCAGGATTCAAATCCAACAGGCAAAGGAGGACAAGAACATACTGATACTCTCCAACAGAGTCTTCACTTCCCCAGGGACCTCTCCAACAACAGCAACCTCATAATCATCATCTTTCAACAACACCCTCTCCACCTCCCCGTCCCTCATTTGCCTCACATCCCTCTCCCTCCCCTCTCCAGCAGCAGGCAAGATCTCGTCAACGTCCATCCCCATCCCCATCCCATCTCCCTCTCCTGCCTCGGCAGGCGGAGGAACGAAAGGCGAGCCAACCCCGACGGGGGGTGAGACGCCCACGCTCACACTCCCACTTCGTAAGTGTGGACGCCGACGTGCAGGTAAGGGGGTGCTGAACATCTTCTCCCTGCTTGTTTTATAGACTGAGATGAGGAGTTGGAGTTGGAGCAGTGGGGGCGGCGGTGGCGACTTTTGTGACGCGAATAAGGGACGCGTCTGAATTTCCTTTCAGGGACTATATCGGAATAACTCTCGTTTCTCCGATCATCATATGGACCATTAATACCACTTCCTTTGGTCGCTCATTGTAAGGATTTATGAGCCTATCCTGCGAAGGAAGGGGCTATAATAGACTGTTTAACTCAACATACAAGAACAAGGAGGTATCGGAACCCGAGTCATTAGTATATATCCTAGCCGCTCCCACATAACAGGAAAACAAGCCAGGTAAACGAGAGATAGCCCACCCGAGTGCAGGCAGAGACAGATCAAATGGGGAAAGAAAAGGATGAGCTAGCCCTCCATCGAAACGTGACAAAAAGAGTAAGATGCATACACCGAGGCGAGGTTTTTACGAACAATTCCGAAGCACTGTAGAGTATACCTTGGAAGACGGCTGGATCGACTCAAGCTGAGCCGAGCCGTGCTGGAGAGGAAGTACTCGTCTATCTGGAGCTGCCGGGCGCGAAGCAGGTTCGCGGCCTTGTGATGCTCCCAAATAGCTCGGCGGACGAGAGCTTCTTAGCCGGCGGCATCTTCCTTTGCGCGTCCCCAGCGAAGTGCCAAGTGCCAGTAGGCGAGACGATCGTGAAAAGGTGAAGACGCAAGCGGGGTGAGAAGCTTGGTGTGCATGGGCTTGTCCTATTTGGCAGGATGCCCCATCTTCGTATCTCTCCAACCGGTTCCCCGGGCTTCCCCTTCCTACAACCAGTTTCCCCGTCCTGCTTGCTTCCCCATATATATATCCCCAGCATCCCCACCGCTCAATTTCTCCGGCGGGAGCACAGCAGTTCGTCCCTGCTTCTTTTTTCTAGCAAATCCCAGCCGAGAGCCGTCTCCGAGGGAAAGCGGATCGCGTGCCCGCATGGAATGGGAGAAAGATTCGCCGAGCTTGATCCGTGATCGTGACGGCAGATCCAAAGGTCGACCATCCCATCACCCTCCACTTTTCCAACACCAGCCCCAAAGCAGTGGTAAACAGTCCGATTCCCAATCCGGCTACCAAATCCATCCGCTTCCTTTCCCCCACCTCCAATCCAATTGAAGACTATTGCCACTCAAGCAGATGATACGCCGTGGTCCTATAAACGTCCACAAGTCCCGTGATTCTCGCCAGATCTTCTTCATTCGTAGCCTTGACCCAGTCGGGATCTAGTCCGACTAGTTTCAGCGGCACAGAATGGGATTGCTTGCGGTTGCTGACGAGGTCGTGAAGTGCCCCTGTTGAGAGGGGGTAGGCGTAAAAGCTCAGCACCCGAAGCGCTGGTATAAGAGTAGTTCCACCGTCGACGGCGCCTGGTGGGCGGGCATGGAGCATTGCAAGCAGAGCGTCGCACGGCTGCTTGGTTTCTTCCTCTTGTGCACCCCATACGGCCGAACGGAACAAGTGCAAATGCGAGAGTGCTAAGAGCGGCTGAATAATGCCTATGATGTCGGCATAATCTAGATGGTTCCCTAGAGCAATTCTGCGCAGGGATATGCACATCCACGGAGCGTCGGCGAGAGTGATGCTGGCAGTGTTCCCCGGGCCTTTGCGTGAGGAAAGCGTGATGCTCATGCATGTCAAGTTGGTCGTCACGAGACGGTGCATGACTTGGGAGATCCAGTCGCGCTTCTCCTGGATGAGCTCGATGCACTTCACGTTGGGGATGGCGACACGTGTCTCCTGGGCGTCGGCGTCTGTGAGATCAATGTAATCCGAGAAACGATCGTGCAGAAGTCGGAGATATTCCAGCTTTGGGAACTGTCGAAGATACTCGGCAAATTCGCACATACTGATATCTGCATAGTCCAGAGAAAAGCGCTTCACGTTCTCGAGCTTGCAATGGATGAACCACGGTACGATGTCCTTGTCTGGGCGTGTGGCGATCTGGGCGTGACCAACGTGTAAACTGCGAACACGGTTGAACGCATCCTTCTCTCGTAGAAGCTCATAGACTTCCACCAGCTCGCTATAGCCGGAAATCCACATATCCATTGGTACGTTCCTACACCGGTCCATGGACATCTTATAACTGTGCGTGTGACGAAGTTCGACCTCGAGGGAGCAGTGGAGAATGTTTCGCCACAGCCGGGGTGAGTCGTGGCAGATGTATCGCCAGAGCTTGCATACCCTGCTGATGTTCCGAAGCGTACGGGCAAGCTCGTTGAACATGGGTGAGACGGTGTGAATGTCGGCGTGGATCTTCCATTCCCATGCGACCATGTAGTGGTCGAAGATAGCTTCGAGGATCTCACGGGGAAGCTTGTATATCGGTCCTTGTGTTGACTGAGAGGGTTGAGCGGGTACCACGACGGCAGCGGATGCTCGTCGAGTGGGCCGCGGTGGCCAGTTGGCGACGATCTGGCGAACGTGGCCCGGACGGGGGATATGCTTGTAGCTCTGCATGAGCGGTTGCTGGCGGGGTTGATCGCGATCTCGTTGCTGATGTAAGAGGCCTATCATACCCTGGGTTGGTGCGGATACTTGGCGGGGAGTGTACGATGCCTTGGTGAACACCGTCGTAGTAGTGGCGACGTGGACGTCGACGGTAGTTGTCATATCTTGCTCCTTGTGTGCCGTCAGTTTGGACGCCTTGGTAGAGACGGGGTGGTGCTGTTCGCAGGGATCCAGAGTGTTGCGACAGGAGATGGTGGAGGGAGGATGAGGGGGGGAAAGGAAGGAAGAAGCAGGATGATGGTGAGAGGGAGGGGTAGTTATATGCTCCTGAGAGGGATTGATGGAGGGAAAGAGGATGATGATATGCCGACGTCAGTGGGTGAACGAAGATCGGACAAGGGCGAGTGCATGTGCAGCCCTTTGTGGGGGAAGGGAGGAGAGACCACAGGGAAGAGCGGGAGAGTGAGATGTATGCTGCAAATATCCCACTAAACGGGTCTCAGAAAGGGAGAAAGGGAGAGGGGGCCTGGACTCTTTTCGTCCGGTGAATGAAGCTTGACTAGGTGCCCTGGGAAAGTGTATGCTGCCGAGGTGGGTGAATACCGAGTAAACAAGCAAGCAACAGACGCAAGCAAAGCAAAGCAAGCAGCAAGCAAGCAAGGCGTCCTCTAGTTCTCCCTTTCAAGCTGAATGAGCGGTCAGGCCGTCCACCGCCTTAGTGTGCGCTGGGAGCTCAGCTGGGAGCTGGAACAGCAGGGGGAAGAGAGCCGTGGCCAGAGAGGCTCGCTAGCTGCCACACCGTGTGCGCTGGTGGCACTGGCCGTATCCGTCCCCGCCACATTAGCTTCCGCTGACACCCGTTCCTGCACGCTTTCCAGCGAAGCAGCCTACTTCCCCAAAATGGGCGAATCAAAATCACGTATTTCGCGGGCCGAAACCTCGTCTCACGCTCTGTACAACAACGGCCTATCATTCCCCAGAAGCCAGCGTATAGCAGAACCTCAGAAAAGCTATATTCATTTTCAAAGTTCAAACATGCCGCAGTAGCCGCACTCGACATGTGCTCCAAACCATCAGCTTCTGCTCTTCCCAAATCCTATCGTTTTAAGCCCTTGACCACGGTCCGCCCGGTTCCTCTCCCTTATAGCCCCATGCCCGATATCGCCATCGCAACACAACAGGGCATTTCAGTCCCGACCAACCGACCACCGTGGCTCTGTGCAAGCCGCCGGCAACCCACCTGAGATCGGGCACGCATCATTTCCGTTGCTTGCACACGTTTCAGGCCGTTCATTACAGCATCTCATTCATTCCCCTTGCCGCCCTTGCCGCGCGATCGACGTTACTCGCTCCCCGTGTGGGATGCAGAATGCTTTACAAATTAGGTACATACATACAATGATTGTTTCAACATGAGCGGTAAGGTATCGCAGGGTCGGAAGGACACCCGCATGCCGCAATGCAAAATACAAGAATATGGGAAATCCCGCGGGTCACGCAATCCAGGTCCGCAAAGATACAAGAAGCAACACGTCCGCAAGGGGCCGAAATGTCAAATGCAAACAGAATGCAAGAGAAAGGAAGGGGCGAAGCATGGGAATAAACCTCTCAAATGGATATCCACCGCACTTGCCGGGCTTCCCACAATCGCGATATAACCCTCTGCCATCCGCTCATGCCGCAGGGGTAGGAGAGGACGAAGCCGGTATTGGTTTGGCATCACGCGCAAAACTCCATATCTTGACGGTGCCATCGTCGCTCCCTGATATGATCTTGTCATCCCCCAACGCAATGCACGTCACCGCGCCATGATGTCCCACCAACGTCGTGATACATCGACCTTGTTCACGGACCCACACCTGGAAAGGTAAAGAAGCATCAGTAAGCTGGCTGATTACAGAAGGAAGCCGGGAAGCAGTAAAAGACCAGGTGCTCACTTTGATTGTTCGGTCATGGCTGGCAGACACAAGCCGCAATCGGTCACTATCAACAGCCCATACGCCCTCAATGTGCCCGAATAGCGTTTTCGTGCATCGCCCACTTTCAACATCCCAGACCTTGATTGTGTTGTCAAGGCTGCCTGAAATCAGCATCGGAACAGGCCCTGTGCGCTTCTGCACAGGTAGTTTGCGATTGGCTGCGCGTTCGTGGTCATGCGGCTCATACGTGGCAGAAGGATGGAAGGCAGGGGAATCGTACCCGGGGTGATTCGCCGGCGGCACGGTGGGAATTGATACAGACACAGGGGCGAAACCGGGCAATCCGGATGGTAATTGTGTATATGGATGGTTGAAAGGCTGAATGGCACCGAGTGCCGGCTGAACTGGCTCCTCTGTCTCTTCTGACCCGTCACCAACAGAAGATTGGAATTGGCCTACAATCTCCGAGTAATCTGGCTCTCGCGGTTCCGCGGCGCTATCAGGCTCTTCGCACCCTTCGTCCAACAATAATAACTTGATCGACTGCACCTGTCCAACGTGGCCATGATATTGCCTGACGCATTGTCGAAGATTAAGGTCCCACAAACGAATGACACCATCGTCCGACGCAGAGAATAGCATCTTGCCAGCATCAATATCAGGCAATTGATGTGACCCTGTCAACTCGCTAACATGGTCGGAGGACCCTGCCTTTGAGTCCCAGATCGTTACCGCATTCACCCAATCTCGATGTCCGCGTAGAGTGAAGCATTCGCCGGTACGCAAGTTCCAGACCTTCACTGTCGTATCAACGCTGCCACTTGCCAGCACATTGCCGTCAAACTGGAGACAGACAACCCCCTCGGTGTGACCCTCTAATGTCCGAACACATTGCCCGTTGCGCCAGTTCCACACTTTCAGCGTATGGTCCATTGAACCGGTGATCAGCTTGACCTCGTCAAATTGCAGGGCTCGTATCGCTCGAGAATGGCCGCGGAGTGTTCGGATTTCTTTGCCAGTTTCGAGGTTCCATACTCGGGCCGTGCGGTCATAAGATCCAGTGATAAGCACGGGGAAAGACGGAGTGTGCAAGTCTTCAGAGTACTGGAGGCACATGACACCTTCTGTGTGGCCCTGAAGGGTAGATACGACATATTGGCCCTTGCGCCAGTTGCATTCGACTTGATGCCGTTCGTGATACACATCCTTCCACGGGCGTGTCACGCACGTTGGTGCTGTGGCAGGCATAGGACAGGGTGATAAGAAGCCAGACAGCGCAGGGGAATCGATGGGCGACACAGGCGAGGGTTCCGGACTAGTAGACTTGTGGCGCTTGGAAGGGGATTCGGAGGGATAGACATCCCGGTCGAGCTCATCGATAGTGCGCTTGGACTGGGCGAAGCTACTTGGCCTCGCAGCAATCGTTGGTCGGCCAGCGATGCCTGGTGGCCAGTTCTTCTTTGCCTTGAGGAATGGCAGACCCCAGCCGCACTTGTGACACTTGCGCTCAATGTGTTGCTCACACATAGTCTTCCACAGGATATCATCGTTTGAAAGACGGTTCCAATTTCGATTTACTTGGGCGGTTTTGGTTAGAGTGGTCGCATCGAGATACGAAAGTACGCGGAGAGAAACTTCGGAAGGGAACAGGGTGAAAGGGTCGATGCGAATGATGTCCCGGAGTTGATCAGAAAGCAGGGACAGCTCGGTGAAGCAGCACATCGTCAAAATCCCACGCAATATAAGATCTCGGCGCGCGTGGGAAGAGGCACTGAACGAGGCCCATATCTGTGCGATAGCAGATCGCTCTTCATCGGGAAGAAGATCAAGGGACTGTAACCCTGTCAGCAAGAGCGCATACCTCTGCGGTGCATATACTCACATGTTGCAGCTTTAGATTCGTTCCTTCATCTGCCATCCGCTGATGTCGGATACATAGCTTCCTTCCCGTGGGTGCAGGAGGGAACAAGGTTGTACTGAGATCCTTCTCTTCCTCCAACGACTCTTCCATTGGTAGATCTTCCTCGTGAGGGCTGATCAAGGGTGGCACCTCAAACAAGCTGGTCGTTGTAAGCTGAGGCGACGGTGACGGCGGTCTGGACGATCGGATCAAGAGATTCTGAGGTGCAGGCACGGTATCGCAAGTCTTGGAATTCGCCATGGATGAGCTGGAGTGTGAGTGATCCATGATGGGCGCTTTATGAGTAGAGAACGACCAGCGCTCGTTCGCTTGGGCTGTAACCTCAAGACCGGTCTATAGGAGCAGGTACTTATGGGCGGAAGTATTAAGGTCTCCGCCAGTCTGCGGGGGTTGCACGGGACCAGAAGGTACGCCTCGGAAGCAGAATATTTTGTATCAAGGCGCGATACTTGCGCAATTGGACCTCAATCTCGGCGGCTTGGTTAAGGCAAAAGGGCAAACGACAGGCTAATGATCCCCATCGATGGCGAGCTCAATGGCGCTACACGGCGAGAGCACGCAATGGAGATCTTCATTGAACGTCTGGAAACTGCCGACAATTTGTTTGACTCGCATGTTTTTTGCTGACGTGCTCATGGCGGATACCGACGAGGATCACGCGAAAGCTGATGATGTGCGATGGACGTCACAACTTCGTACTACTGTTGTATGAGATTACCTGATTTGAAGAACGTCTTGCGTCACGCGGACACAAGTTATAAGCGCACGGTGCTTTCAACACATAAAGGCGTCAACGGGAAGTGCAACATAATTCACGATGGGCGCTTGATGCATAGGTGGAGGGGGAGAGGTAACAACAGGAGGTAACAACAGGAGAGGTAACAACACCCATTTGGTGTGGAAACTTTATTGGGCGGAAGTATTAGGATGCAAACCTTTTACATCGTTGCCCATTTTTGGACGGCTTTCTCTGGCGCCTGTCACGATCTAGAGCCATTGGATTTTGGTTGTATCGAGCTGATGGCATAAAGTGCCAGTGCGAACTTCGGTAAAATTGTCAGCCCTGCGTTTACATCTTCCAGTGAGTCTTTCGTCCACAATATTGACCTCCCGAAGTGTCATTCACAAAAGCCGAACTGAACAAAGCTGGTCTTCGATGGGATATTGAATCATTTATCTGTCTTTTCGCGTTATCTCTTATAAGAGGCTCTCTGGCAAGTGGCTGGCCAATGATCACTGCTCGCTGCTTTTCCCACGGATCTCCGCGAAGAGGAGCCGTGGCACCTTCGTCGTCTGAGTCGACGTCATTCCCGGTTCTACCTCCTCTAATGGAGCCCACCTAAGCCCACGAAGATTTCTTTTGCCTGCTGAAGAACGGAGTCGAGTATGCCGTTGTGAAATGGCGCAAGGCGATCCTGATGCGCCCTGTTGACAACTGTAACTCCATCCATCCATCGTGCCCGTGGCCTCCTTACTCCTATTCTCGGTGTTCCTCTTGTCCGCCCAAGGCTTGCACGTATTTCTCCCTCTAGGCACGGTCCGACCATGTCCAGTCTCTCGAAGGGAGAAAGATCCAGGTCAATGGTTGTCCTACGAAAGAAGTGTTTGTCAGCCCGGTATACGACCGCGAAGGGCGGTGTCTTAGCGGAGACAAGTATCCGCAAAGACAGCTATATTGCTGACCTCAGCATCTAACACATCGGGGGATCAGTTTCATTTACTTGTAAATAAATCGGCATCGACTCTGTTGCGATCAGCAACTACGCCTCGTGCGACAAGACGGCAGAAGCCTTCACCGCCGGGAGCCATCCCGGCTCCCTCGTCTAGCACACGGCGAACTGCGAAGATCGCATCGTCGGCCAACTTCACTCAAACCACAGTCAAGGCGATTCTACCAGCAACCATGTCACGTATTACACCCCTGCCTGGTACTTGTTGGATCAAATCAAGAAGCTGTACAAGTTTGCCGAGTTCTACCCTCCACACAGTCAGCTTGATAACCCCGTTTGCTTCCTGCTCCCCGTCTTTGCGCTCCTCCAGCCTGCCACGATTCGTTCTGTCTTGCAATTCCCATCAATAGCTACCTCGATGATACTATACAGCACGAGCACGCATTAAAGATCCTGACAGAAGAATCGGAGACTGCCGACATCCTTTGCGCTTACATGTTCTTTCGTTGACGTGCTCATGGCGGATGCTGACGGAGGATCGCGCGAGATGATGTGCAAGACAGTCACACCTTACATAGCTTGCTGGGCATCTACTACTGTATTGGGTTACCTCGTTCCAACAACAGTTTGCGTCACATGGATACATGGTACGAGCAGCACTTCTTTAGAACGGTGCTTTCCACAGCAAGGGGTGAACGGACATAAGGAGAATGGGGAAGGAAGAGTAAGCGTGACTAACACAGGAATATGGTGCAACGAAGTGGAAAATAAGATGAGACGTGATGCGCATTGTGACCAGAGAAAAACCGATGGATCACATAGAGGAGGATGAGTTGCGGTGGTCGTGAGAAAAACAAGAAGAGAACATGAGGCGGTGGATGGAGTCTGCCATAAGCCGCGTCAACACCTTGTGTGGAATAGCAAGGCCATCAAAGCGAACCCGCTCGAGATGAAAAATACAGGCCTTTCCTAGTCGAGCGTGATACGCAGTTGCTCGAGAGGTATAGGCACGAAAGTATCTAAGTTGATGCCGTGCGCACGCAGCTCCGGCTCGGCATGTGGGGGGACGAGCGTCCGATTGAGATCGGGTCGGATCGACAACTCTGCAGTAGTTTGAGATACGATAACATCAACAAAATCGCGCACACGGACCTTCTCTGGTGAAGTTGAACAGCACCGGCAATGGTTTGCCGTTCGGCATGCGTGTTCCCTCTGCCCGAAGCTCGTCGAAGAAGGGGTGACACATCGCCTCAACCGCCGACAATCTGACAGTCGGGGTGTACTCCAGGAGGCGGGATACGAGATCGATCGCATCCGGTGAAGTCCGCGGCCGGAAGACCTGATCTTCGTGAGCGCTTATTGCGAGAGGAATTGGGAAATTGGATACCTTGGAGAAGGGATGAGGCTTGATCTGAGGGAACTTGTGTTCCATATAGTTGGGGTTCATGGTCTTGATTTGCTCCCGGGTGGGAGTGCCTAGCACCTTGATGATCTCAACCAGCTGATCAATTCCACTCTCGCCTGGGAATAGGGGCTGCCCCAGCATGAGCTCCGCCATGACACAGCCTGTCGACCATATATCTAGGGACGATATTAAAGCTAGTCACACGAGTCAATTAAGAGTACGCACCAATGTTGGTCGAGTAGTTGGTGGCACCGAAGATCAACTCTGGTGCGCGGTAGTAGCGTGAGCAAATGTAGCTAACGTTTGGCTCGCCCGCGACAAGTATCTTGGCACTACCAAAATCGCACAGCTTGAGAACACCAGTGGCGGGGTTAAGGAGCAAGTTCTGAGGTTTGATATCTCGGTGACATATACCAACCGAGTGGATGTAGGCGAGAGAACGCAGAAGTTGGTACATATACAGCTTGATTTGAAGAGTAGGCATTTGCTGCTTGAGCTTCACATAGTGACGCGACGCGCGGTACACCGTCTCGGGAACATATTCTTGAACCAGATTGAGGTAGACTTCCTCCTTCTGCACCGCCATCAGAACCAACATCGTACCTCGCGTAGTGACATTACGCACCTTGTCCCCATTGGAGTAGAAGAATGCTCTGAGTTCAACAACGTTGGGGTGGGAAACGAGACGCATAATTTGTAGCTCTCGGTTCTGTGGACACCATGGGTTAATTCGTTCCAAACCGACTCACAGGACCCTCACACACCTTGAAACGCTTGTCCTGAAGCACCTTCTTTATAGCAATATCCTCATAGTCTTTCGGTACGTTGAGCATGCGTGCTTGGAAAACGACGCCAAAGGAACCGTTCCCTATAACTTTGCAATTGGTGTAGGATATGTCTTTCTGCTCCCCCGTCCTCCCGTCAGATGCGACGACCTTAACGACCCTATGGGGATCATCGACGGCTAGAACATAGAAAGTGTCAGCACACCGCTAACGGCACGCGACCCAGGGCACTGACGGGAGATGCGAACGCCATTGATGGGGCCATGTGTTGCCATTTGTTAGATTTCGTGAGCGACGACAAGGGGGACGGGGAAAGACGTGATGCGAAGGGAGTTGCAGGGGGGAAAGGGATGGGGGATGGTCGAGGGGATGAGGGCGTGAAGTTGGGATAGCGATGGAGGGGAAGAAGAGGATGAAGAAGACAGGAAGCTTGAGGATGTATGTCGAGGAGGACGACGCCCAGGTGTGGCTAGTCTGGTGCGGGTCACGCGCTGCACAGCCCGAGGGACCCCGAACCATCCCAACCCTTTGGCACACGGGTCTAGTGGAGTCAGTCTGCTTGATGCTCTCCTACGGATCTGGTAAGCGATGGGAACCGCTGCGGACCCACCCGTGCACGGTTGCTGCCCCTTTTTTTCTGACTTCCCCCCTAAAAATTTTTTGCTGATAAAGTCATTGTTAAAAGTAGAGTTGACGCCCCATGACGGGTCAAAGTAGCGGATCTCCGGAATCTTACGCTGAAGTCAATACGTGCCCGTGCTTTGGGGTCCTAACCCATGCACCTGGCTCCGTCCGTCCCGCTTCCCTCGTCACTTGCACCCTCTTTCGTCGTCCGACACGCGCACGGCCCCATTCAAACTATTTTGCTCCGTTGCTATTGGTTTTCATCAATGAACTCCTTGGCAGATCTATGGCTTCCTCTGCCGATTCCTGATACACGCGGCTTCCCAACCACTATAGGCTGAAGATATTGATCACGCTTAACCTGCCCCTCACCGAACAACGAGCCTTATCGTCCTTGAGAAGCTTCTTCTTGATTTTCATCTTGCGCGTGGCCAGACGCGGCATCCGGACGGGTGACCACGTCAGATAACGGTGTAGTCCGAAGAGGTCAAATCATGCACGGAACGGAGTCTGCCGTGCGCTGCGGTTACGATTCAGTGGTAATCTGACGTATCCTTCCCATGTTGGGTGATGGTTTGCACAAATACAACTCTTCTAGGGTGCATTCTTCGGCATATCCTGCTATCTCACACGCCTCCGGCATTTGTGAATCAATATGTTGGAGGAGTCTAGTCTATGTACTGAGCCCATGCAGTTCGGCTTTGTCTAGGCGTGCTTGTGATCCCTGTTGTATCCCTTCTCATTATACCACCTGAGCTGTCTAAGAGTGCGATTTACCTTCTTTCGGTCTTCGAGATTTCATCGCCATACACCGATCGCAGCCTCGGCGTCTCGCCCAAAGGGGACAAGCCTTCTCCCTACCGAATTTGGGGCTTGGCCTCGTGACGCGTCTACGCTCATGGCACTGAAACAATTCTGCCGGGCGAGCTTCCAAAGTGCGCCCTACCCACTTCCGGTGCCGCCACTCCTTTCAGGAGACGCGTTGATACTTACAACAATACGCAAGAATTGTCCAGGCTCAACTCCACGGGCGAAGACGGAGTGGACCACATACGAGTGACCTAGATCCAATTGGTTTACCTTTACCGTACCGCATCCAAAACAACCTTGCTTCTTCCTGTGGAGGCAAGGTCGACAGGCTTCTCTTTTCAACACTACGTTCTTCGGCCTATCAACTACAAAGCTGGCACGAATGCGTGTCGTACTTCCCGATAGCCTGCCCCGAAAACACGGAGGCGAAAGCAGAAGACGCCGGAATAATATGTATTCTGCCTTGCGTTTTCCGGACAATAACTCCAGGCTGTCTACCTCATTCCGGCGGCACAGCTATCTTTCAGCCGCGCTGGACCTCGCTAGCTACCCGCCAAAATGTCGCTTAGGCGTTTTGGGAAGTGTGGCACATTGGTCACACCAGAGGAAGGGGTGGTTCGATCGACGGAGCTGTGGTCGGCTGAGATCGAGCACTATCTGGACATGAATAGGCCTCGTGTTTGTGGTGGAAATTGACGGTGATCTGTACCTAAATGGTGAAGCGAGCTGATCCACCTTCTGAATATCTCGGAAAGTGGCGGTATCTCACGGCGATTACCGTAAAGGAAAGGATCTCTCTCGACACTGGCACCCGCAGCCATCCAGGCCCACGGTACGTAAAGTGTGCCCGTACCAACTGGAAGGGGGGACCTGAGGTATTGGACAAAAATTTCTGAGCACGAGGCGGTCAGTGGGAGAATTCTGTACAAAGATCGCCTGGAGTGCGATTACCAAAGGGACACATTGAATCGGGAAACGTAGAGAGAGACTTCCTCAGTGCTTCCCACATGAGCCTTGATCCTTGATGTGGCAGCCAAGTTACCGTGACTGGCGACCTCACCTTCCACCTGAGTATATCGGTACTCCGAAGGCGATCGGTTTCCAGGCTTTTATGCTATTTAGGGAAAGGTAGGCACTCGCGGCAAGATTCTATTTCCTCTGTTTTGGTCACGGTGAAAAGGCTGTATCCACTGTGCCATGTATCCACCGTACATATTGCATTTACCATTCATGTCAGACTGACCTGTGTGAATGGGTCCATGGTCATGGGAATGCTCCATAGACCAATCACACTTCAGTTAGCCATGCGCCAATAGAATTTTGTGGTCGGGTCTGGAGTTGGAACAGCAATTCGACCGTTTCATGGGATCTGATGCAACACTCTTCCTGGATAGCGGAAACAATCAAGCTAGGCTTCCTGAGTTAGACAGCAGAACCGAAGTCAGTATCAGGAAGCCGTCCAGTCTGGTGATCAGCCCGACGATGTCGGCATTGTCGCCGTGCAGAAGTGCCTCTGCATGGTGTTTGATCGCCGAATGCCTCCGATTGTCATCTTGGTCCCTGAGCCACGTTGCCAGTCGCGTCTCCAACTTTGCGACTCGTCCGTTCGAGAGGCACGTCTTCCTGGCACTATGCGGATACTGTACTTGTTCTTCGCCCTTTTATCAATCGTCTTTGTTAAGGGCTCTGAGAAGACATCAGAAGAGAATGAATCCCAGTCGCTCCTCTGGGGCACTTATCGGCCGAACCTCTATTTCGGAATGCGCCCGAGGCTACCGAAGTCCCTGATGACGGGGTTGATGTGGTATGGCGTGCAACACTTGACGGCATTCACCAGTGAGTACGATGCCTCCAAGACTTCGAGTTTACTCCGACACACTGTGTAGGTCTTCGACATTCCTGTGAACAAGGAGACAACCTTCGGGGCTACACTTGGACGGAACACGATCCTCGGGATGGCGGCGTCGAGGTTGTGCGTGATGAGCTCAATAATCTTGATCTACGTGTGGAGTGGTTGAAGACACACGAGGGAAAGCATGGGGGAAGTTGGTCCGTAAGGATATCTGGAAAGCCGCTGGATACTTGTATGCTGTTCATACCCATTGTCGATCTGAACTTTGTCCACTTATGTGCTGCAGCCAGGCCATCGTTGAATTCCCTCATATTCTATGCAGGATTAGAAGGATTTGGAGGGCTTGAAATGGATCAAAGACAGCTTTCTCAAGTGAGATCATCAAACTTTATATCTGGTGGTCTGCATTAACGCGGCTTTCTTGTTTCAGGTGCCCGAGGGTCCTCTCGCGCTGACTGGGCGTACTCCAGAGCTTGGAGAATTCAAGATGAAGTTTGAAAACGGTAAGAGCTCTCCATTTTGTCTGGAATTTAGACTGATATGTTCTCATCAGGGCCCGAAAGTAGATACGTGACACGAGGTCGTCGATGGGAGGATTTCGTCGCCGTATCTTCCCGCACACATGTTGCTGGTATGGTCGTTGCCGATGGTACTATTTGGCAAGCTGAGGGTAAGGGTTTGCTTATGATCTTTGAGCCCCTATCTTACCCCAACCCTCAAGATCTTGTATCAAGAGCGCTCATGGCTCATGCTGAACCGCTTGTCACCAAGTACGGCGGAAAGGAGGCACCGGATGAACTTCCTGACGCTGCCTTCCTGCTGATGCTGGACGACCACATCGCACGAGGAAGTAACTTTTATGCAATACAGAAGATCTTCGACGGACCCTTTTCTTTTGATGTTCACTACGAAACTGCCGATTCCAAGCAGACTTTTGATCGTGAGTATACCTCGATCGTACTACGATGAGATCTGACTCGTACAGGGAAAACATTTACAACCAGCTTAGCTGCATTCAAAGAATCATTTGACACGCGGTTCAAGGATGTGTTCCCGATCCCGAAAGATGCTACCCCTGGACTTTTCGAATTCTCCAAAGCCATAACATCCAATTTGTTGGGAGGGATTGGTTACTTCTATGGAACATCCATCGTGGATCGATCCGTTATTCATGAATGGGATGAAGAGGACTCAGTCGATACTACTAAGCCATCCGGGGGTGGACCGGAACTGGCTGGACCTACACAGCTACTTACCGCGACGCCCAGTCGCAGCTTCTTCCCGCGAGGATTCTACTGGTTCGTTTCCCAATTCGCTTGATGACATCTTCTGAAGCTAGGATTTTAGGGACGAGGGCTTTCATCTGTTACACATCGGCGAATGGGACAACGACTTGAGCTTAGAGATACTCCGTGATTGGATGAAGCTCGTTGATGAGGATGGCTGGGTCGGGCGTGAGCAGATCTTGGGAGAAGAAGCACGGAGCAAGGTCAGCCTGCCACCCTTGGGCTGACTTTAATTCCTTATCCCGTTTCAGGTTCCAAAGGAATTCCAGACACAATATCCTACCTATGCCAATCCACCAACATTGGCCATGGCAGTGACTGCATTTATCCAGAGACTAAAGCAGATCGACGATCCGGCAGATATGGAAACACTGGGGCTGGGCGGTGCACAGCTTCCGTTGATTCAAAGGCCTGAAGCAGAGCACGGCAACGCTTTACTACGGGATCCAGAGGCTGCTCGTGCTTACCTGCACTCGATATATCCCACTCTTCGCCGCCATTATCTTTGGTTTAGGCGTACACAGAAAGGCCAAATCAAGCAATGGGGTCGGAAAGCCTCGTCTCGAACCGAGGCTTACCGGTGGAGAGGCCGTACGCCTGATCACGTCCTCACCAGTGGCCTGGACGACTACCCTCGTGCGAGGCCGCCCCATGTTGGCGAGCTGCATCTGGATCTGATCAGCTGGATGGGCTTCTTCTCGAGGACGATGAAGCAGATTGCAGGCTATATTGGTCAAGATGAAGATGAGGCGGAGTATGCAGCCATCGAGGAAGCCATCATCACTAATATCGATGGTGAGGGCTTCTTGACTGGTGACCATCATCTTAGCTGACTTTTTCTTCAGATCTTCATTGGAACAAAGAAGAGAAGATGTATTGCGATGCCAGTGTGAACGAAGAAGACGATTCATATCATGTTTGTCATCGAGGATATATATCTCTGTTCCCGCTCCTGCTCGGACTTTTGCCGCCTGATTCGCCCCATCTTGGGTCCGTCCTCGAACTTATGCACGACCGACAGCATCTGTGGTCGCCTTATGGTATTCGCAGCTTATCTGCGTCTCACCCTCTTTTCGGAAAGGATGAAGATTATTGGAGAGGAGCGATATGGATGCAGATGAATTACATGGCCCTCGCTTCACTCAAGAACATCTATACACAGCAACCTGGACCATATCAGAAACTCGCTCATCAGATCTATTCAGACTTGCGGCACAATATCATAAAGAATACCCACAAAGTACGTATGTTGTAATACGTGATACCAGCCTGCTCAAGGATCCTAGGAATTCGAACGTACAGGTTACGTATGGGAGCAATATGACGCAAGCACCGGGGAGGGCCGCAGAAGTCACCCATTCACTGGATGGACTTCATTGGTAACTCTGAGTGAGTGATTATCCTGCCCGAACTTCGACCGATCTAATGAGTTGTAGTCATCTCCGAAAAATACCCTGGATTTTGATCGGGGGCGGCATTACTGTAACGAGCATGTATACTGCCAAATTAATGCATTGTGACGAGTGTGAGGTGACCTCAGGAACAGAGCGGAGAGAACAACCTCAATGGGGTTAAATTCCGGTTCTTTTCATACATTCTTCGCACTCCAATCATTCTACTACATCCTTAGTGAGATCCTTCCTGGGGCGTTCCTGACGCTTTTGTATTTAACCTCCTTCAGACCAGTCGGTGACATAAAAGTTCCTGGCATTGGTTAGTCCACAAGTACAATAAACCCACAATGCGGTGAGCAATAAGTAAAAAAGATGTAATTCAAACAGAGAAGAAATATCAAGTATGCTGCAAACCCACTCGGGTTTTGCCTAACATGAAAGGCTTCTAGTGGCTATGCGCCTTCTCTGCAGCGATATGTGGTCGTTCCCTGAGCGCGGAGTGCGCGGCCATCGTTCAGACAGGAATGCCCGTTAGGGCGGGTCCACAGAGCAGGGACATGGCCGGCGACAAGAAGAATAAAACGGCCAGCGCGGAGCCGTATGAGCCTCGTCCACCGACATGGAGACCACCGATACACGAGACAGCTAGCTTGGGTGAGTCGTAGAGTCACACGAAAGGAGGGCGTGCGGTGATGAACTCGCAGGGTGGGCCGACTATATCCCCGATCACCCAGAGCGTATGGAGAATGTCATGTCGCAGAAAACAGTGAAGGAAGGCCTGTCAATACCATCTTACGCATCTGTATGTGAGCTTGTTTGCGAAAGCACAATGCTTACCAGAGATACAGCAAGAGGCAGTGACTTCGCATGGGGACAATTTGGAGAAAGTGGAATCAGACGAGACACTCGAACGTCTAGGACTGCTGATGGCGCAAGTACTGGAAAAGAGAGAGGCAGGTATGGGTATTCCGACGCAGTGAATATACGTTTGCTCTACCGCGGAAAGGCGTTGACGAGGAGTGTAGAACCTCATACAAAATGCCACCCCGCGTGACAGTGCCGGACATGCGTCGTACAAAATGGCTCGATGCGCTGGCAGATCCCAGCATACCATTGAAGGATATTGCAGGGAAGGCTTCACAAACTGGTGCAGCGACACCGGACTTCTACATTCCCCACGGACCAAAAGGGTCAGAGCTGTTCGAGCTATTGTACAATAAGAACGTTCCGATCGATAGGGCAGTATGGTTCGTGAGAATAGTTGGATATAATGACATGGTGAGTGTCATAGTGTAGTGCACCCCTGAATATCCTAATGTTCTGTAGGCACCACTTCGCAAACAACCTGGTTACAATCCGATGTCCTACAGTTTCGACACGGCGAAGGAAATCATCATGTGGTACAAGAAGCAGCTAGGCGAGATCAACCTCCCCACTGCTCGATTACAATCAACTGCGCTGAAGCAGGTGTTCAAGGGTGTAATGCTTGATGCGGATAGCCGCATGGCATGGTGTTCCAAGTTTGTCTACACGTAAGTGTCCAGGGTCGTTCAGTTGCCAGCGGGATGCTGATGAGTGCTTCCCAGAAACCAATTGGCGCGAGAATTTTACAAAGAGAGCATGATAGATCACGGGACATTCCTTCTCTGGGCTGCTCAGCATATCGGACATTGCAACCTTGCCCAACTAGCCATCTTCGCCAGATTGGTGGATGAATATGCAGCCGAGATGTGCGCCCATCGCGCCTTCGCGAAGGCACTGGTCGACAATTCTTTGGTTAAACTCAAGGAGATTGAAACGAGCTCTGGAGCAGAGCATCTCTCAGGACTGCAGAAGCTACTGCGCAAGTTTATTCAACTAGCTATGATGGACGTTCCTGAGGCGTTTGTTGCTCCTCGAAAATGGCCGTTCATGGTTGAGGCTGTCTTCGACGTCATTGACGCCTACGTGCCACTCAATCCGGAGACAAAGGATGAGGTCAGGCAACAAACCCACATACAGCTTCGACGAACGGCGCAGGAAATGAATCGGCGGAATTGTGCACTGCTCTTCCACCAAGAACGGACAGATCCTAAAGGACGCCTTGGACAGTGTATTATTGCCATTCGAGTACGCAGAGGTTCTTGTTGCCATGGTTTGAATGCTCATTTTGTTTCAGAGTCTAAACTCTCTTGGGCCAAATAGTGATCTCGGGTCCTTCAAGTTCTTCGAGGCGGACGAAAACGCATTCGAATCTAGCCTTAGTCTGCTGTTGACTTGGGCTGTTAGCCATTTTCAGTATGGGGATCATCGCCCATACGCTGTTTCCAGCATATTGCGGAAGTGGCTTGATGATGCCAAGCTCAACGCTGAACGACAGAAAGTGAAAGTTAAGCCCGCGGACATGTTGCAGGACCGACTCTTCCTCTGGCTTCACTCCTATCCTTCTACATCCCTCCATTCTGATCTTCTGGCCATCGCCATTCTTATTGGAGAACTCATAAGACGAGGTGTTTTCTCATATGCAAGATACGTGCAGGAACTAGTAGCACGGGGCGAACTTGAAAACTCAAGTGAAGAAGTGCGTTCCCTATTCTATCTAAGAGATGAGTCCTGAGACGCCCTTGGAGACCTCACGGCACGTAGAGATAATCAGACAGACGCCGTTGATCAAAACCTGGGAAGCTCAAGAGCTGTTGCACCGGACTTCTCTTTTCGATCGACAGGTTCAAATCACCCCGGAAGATAACACCATGCTCAGTATGCAGCGAGAGATAGTGGCCTGCCTGCCAGAAGTTTTTGTACCAATGAGTAAGTAGTCTCTTTAGCGTCTGAAGACGTGGCTCAGGCTTGTTCACTAGACGACGACGCCGTACAGGTCTCAAGTGAGTTTCCAATCACACTATCTGGATCCCGGTACGAACAAGCTAGAGTCATTCATCACTGGCTGCTGCCTAAGATTCTAAACAAGCACTCGACAATGTACGCCTACATCTCATGATCGTTTCATGTGTGGGCTGATCGGCTGTTGCCTAGGGATAATGATCAGCCATCTGCGTTCATGAGCCTCGCCTGCTATGCAGCTGTGGTACAACTACTTGCGGATACCAGGCTTTACGTCGGTCTTCTCGAGGTAGGCTTGGTTACGAGAGAGGTGGCAAGCCCTAATATATTTGCAGTTAAACCTGCTGGCGCTTAGCATGGCATCATCCGCTGATGGTGATCTCACTGAACAGACCGAGCTCTTTACAGCTATACTTGACACACTTGAACGCTACTCGTCCATTTGGGCTTGCATGGATGCAAATGCCACAATTGCACAGAGTCTGTTTACCAAGATACAGAAACTGCGCGTCCAAAGGAGGCGATGCATACCCTTGTTGCGTTTTATCAGGCAACACCGATTCTGGCGATCACTGTCCAAACAAGAGAAGACAATTATTGAGGTTGAATACGGCCGTTCTATTAAGGTGAGCTGAGAGTCATCTACCATTTCAACGTGACTGATTGAATGAGAGGATCTGGAAATTGTCGTCACCAAAACTGCGCCAGCAACGTTGACAATCCCGGAGTTGCAAGACGTCATTCATTCCCCGAGCCCACATTCTCCATATGCCGTTGCAGCAGCAGTATGGGGACGTCTGAACACCATCGAGGATTGGCCCGTTCTTGTCTGGGAGAACATCATGAAGGGTCTGCTGGAGTTTTCCCTGAAAGAGACCACCACTCGAGATGAGCGCGTAGCCTGCTCGAAACAGCTCAGTCTGGTTCTCCACCAAATTGATCGAAGGTTGCTGAAAGGATTCGATCACTTTCTTCGGCTATGGTGTGGACGGACAAAAAAATTCAAAGTGCTGGACATGAATGCAGCGCAGTGGGAACTACTTGTGCCACTCCTCATCAAACTCTGTGTTTTCAATGCTGTTTCTTGTTCAACCATTCTCGAATGTTTTGTCTATCCAGTCTGGCGACAATTTTCTGCCTTATCAACATCGACTGAGTCACAGCTCTATCGGGAACGTCATGTACCCTGTCTCTTCCAGACAGCCATTTTGGTTCTCTGCCTACTGCTGCAGAATAGTGCGACTTCGGGAGATGGTGCCGGATTAACACCCATCAGTCTTCCGCAACTCCAGCGACTCCAAACGAGGCGACTCGCTATGTATCGAGGAACGAGCTTTCAGGCGCTTCTAGATGGTGTTTGTTATCTTGTGTCTCTCAGCACCAACCCGCTCCTCACTCCGGAAGTCTCCACGATCCTGCTGAGGCTGAAGATGAGTCTGTTGGACGACCCATTGTTCAAGCAGCAAGTTTCTCGTGATCCAAGGACTGTCAAGCAAGCATTGTGGTCTTCACCAGATGTGCCCAGAACGCCTGAAATGGAAGATAGGATGGAAGAAACACTGATGCATTTAATGAGAGCGGACGATCTGGACGCAGCGACTCCGGCAAGTGATACAACAGAGGCCAATTTTTGGAAGCGATCAGTTGCTGAACTTGATCCATGGAGTTGTCACCGTGCGGCGGTTAAGCTTCAGTTAAACTTTCGACGATTATGCCGCATAGCCAGAAGCAACTCACCTGAAGCATCGACATACGCGGCCCAGCTGGACGGTGCCACGACGGCATTATTTGCTCAGACCTGGTCATCTGAAGAGCTGGTATATATTGCTGAGCTCTTGGCCGGTATCGATTCCAGCGCAATTAGTGAGGTGAGACAAGTCCCTCATACTGCACCACATCTGTGGATATTGACGTTCTCGCAAGTTGCTGAATAAAGCGTACGACAAGATCACCGAGGCCCTTCGAAATGCCTTATCAAATCTGACCGCTCAGTCGGCCAACGTATTTAATGGTATTGCGACGGACACCATCAACCTTATGCTCAAGATCACCTCACCTGTCGCTGTTATGGAAAGTGCCTATCCCGAAATACCAGCCCTTATAATGGATAATTTCCTTCAAACTGTCTCCAGCACGTGGCGGGCAGTCTTCGCTCGTATCAGCCCTTACACAACTCTACAGGCTATGGACAGTAAACCTATCGATGGTGGAGTGTATCGCGACCTCATGATGCTGACCACTCGTCTGTTGCACTTTGCATTAGGCGTAATGGACAATCCTACATCCGAATGGAAACGTATCTCTGAGACAGTCATCAGCTTTGTTCTTCAATTCGCAAATGTATGTGCCTTCTATCGGGTATTGACAAAGTGCTCAACCAGATTAGTTCTATGGTACCGACGGACCACTTCGCGACAGCATCCTCTTCTCTATGTTACTGGACACGGCGTGCTATCTTATTGATGGTTAGAAATCTACCCAGTTACTGTCCGTTGATCCTGACCATGCAATTCAGATATTCCTCATGATGTCAAGAATCCAAACGCAGATATAATTCGCACGATACCCGGGCTTTATCCTACAAATCTATCCCCTCACATGTCACTCTGGCACAAGGAGCGACTTCGGAAGATATTACAATACGTTCCCCGGGATTATTATACCGAGGGACTACAACATGCAGCTACGTCGAAACATCCCGCATCCAGAGTGCAAAATCGCCCCTGGGAATGGGGCGAAAGCTTCTACAAACCGAGAGAGATGGGCAAGCAAACGGTCGATGATTATACCGCGTTCCCTTCGCCGGAGACAGGACCCAGCAATTCGCGTAGTATTTCTCTAGATCTTTTCCAAGTAAAGGTTACTCGTGATCGAGTAGCTGAGTCGACACTGTTCGACGATGCGACCGACAGCGATGACACTCGGCGGGCGGCTGAAGAGCGATCAACCGGTGATGGCTTGGGCGGCGAAACAACGTTCGCTCGAGACTGGAGAGATGCAAAAGTGCCGCTGCGAGGAGCTCGCTTACCCGAACAAGTCATAGACGACGACACCGACGACGAAGAGTGGCCTCATATTGAGGCTCTAGCCAGTAAGAAATGTACCCTGAGCATGTCGAAGTCCTGACCACTCATATGATTTGATAGTTCAAGACGCCTCCGGCGTGCCTGGCAAAACTGCGGTAGCTAGGCAGCCAGCAATTCAAGCTGCGAAGGCGAGCAGGAAGCGTCCAGCTTCCAACACACCGATTGACATTCCGGACGATGACGACGACCTAGAGATTGTAGAGGTCCTCAAGCCTGTCACTGGCAAGGGTACCGGTAAGGGCAAGGCTGGAAAAGCGCCGGCATCGTCCTCGCGGGGAAGGGGAAGACGTGCTTCTTCTACTTCCAGAGGGCGAAAGTAATTTCTTCTTGGGTCTTGAGAATGCATACAACACTGTACTTTGGACACTTTTGTAGCCATATCAACGTATAAAACATTGTGTTCTGCTCTGTAGAATCCAGCATTGTTTCAACATCCCATGTATATATGACCAGACCCTTCACTTGGATGTTGAAGTGGCAGTGTGAAGCATTACTGTATTTGTATCACCAACTTACAATCGAGTTGTCGCGTAATTCCGTCGTGCGACAACAGTCCTTGCAGTACATCTGCAGTCCAATTTCCAATGGAGCTGGAGGGCAGGCTAAGCCCTCGTACGCTGACGACCTTACCGTCGATCGTCAGTGCACTCGCTGCGGTCCAAGCCGACGAATCCGCCATCTTCCTCTCCCTCTCTAAGCTTCTGTCCGATCGGCAGCCCATCGCCAACTCGCTCGTTCGTTTGAAGTACCTCATAGAGCGAGTCGAAGAGTTGGAACATGATGCAGACGGTCTTGTCGGCAAAGTCAGTGTTACAGCGCGCACCGCTGAGCTTGTGGGTGGGAAGGTGTCGGCGCTTGATGAGGAGATGCGAAGGGTGCGAGAAGCTGCTGATCGAGTCGGGTTGATCGCGGACCTGAAGGTGAGTTCCTACGATGTGAGAACATCAAATCGAAAGCTGATACAATTTCAGTCATCACTCTCGGACATACAATCTGACATTGAGGCTCAAGATTGGGAGTCTGCAACCAGACATTGCAGCAGGGCAATGCTAACTCCGAAAGAGGTAATTGAAGGCGCGTTCGCGGAGAAGACAGTGGTATGTTGGTCTTATTGTATTTCTTGTAATGGTGCTGATTATTTCGAAGCCTACTGCGGATTTACCTCTCCCTCCCTCACAGACGCTTGAGGACGCTCGGAAGGTGCTGCTTCAAACATTCCAGCGACACTTTTCTATTGCCGCGCAAAAACGAGACTCGGCAGCAGTTAGCCGATTTTTTAAGCTATTTCCTGCTATCGGATGGGAGCAGGAGGGATTGCAGGCATATTCCGACTTCGTTGTAGAACTCGTGCGAGGGAGACAGCCAATTTCGGGGAAAAGTGAGTCTAAGCGGCATAAGTGTGGTTATCTGACTGATATTTCCTTCAGCATCATCACCTATGTATTATATCTCGATGATGACGGCGTTGTTCGAGTCCATCGCCTTGATAGTTGATCAGCACCAGCCGGTTGTTGAGAAATATTATGGCCCGGGAAAGATGATCCCGGTGGTAGTTCGCCTGTTACAGGAGGCGGACAAGGTCGTGCGAATATTGATTGAGGGGTGGGAGGACGAACGAGCCATGAAGCGGAAGGTGTGTTTCACCGACATGAGATCATGCGCGTGAGCTCACGTTCGGTTGCAGCTGACCGAAGCACGAGACGCCAGTTTTGCTGCTCTTACCCCTGCGGGAAAGAAACAGTCCAATGGTGTGGAGGATGAAGGGCCGGATCCGCGAGAAATCGACAAGGTGTTGACCGAAGCTGCTGGCATGGCGGGCAGATGGGGCTTGTTCAGACGTTTCTTGCTGGACCGGTTGAAGGTGAGCACTCGATGATGCAGCATAAGTGAAATCTTAACAGGCGCTCAGAGGAAATCTGCCCCATCAGAAGATGACGTTGACGCTGAACCCACAGCAGACACCGTGCAGTCTTCCAGTAACGGGGAGCAGTCTGAGGAGGATCAAGCGACGACTGTCCTGACAATAATCGACGAGTCCGGCTGTCAGAAAGATATCAATCATCTACTCAAGGCCTACTACGAGCCGCTTGAGCTCTGGTATCTTCGCTCGGTCATCGATCGAGCCCATCGGATGTCCAGTGTGGACAGCTCCCAGCCCACTCCGCAGACGACAACACCGGACGACTCGTTCTATATCCTACGGCTGGTACTGCACCGTTTGATCTCGAGCTCCTCTTTGCCTACGATGGAAAGGATGTGCAAGCTTGTGGAGGAGTTGATGGAACGAGATTATGGTGGTGTGATGCGCAGGAAGCTGGAAGACGTGTATCGAGGTGTGCAGAGTATGCCTGCTAGCAAGGAGAAAGAGCGAGTGGAGCGTGAGAGCCGCACAACGTTCATCGTAAGCGTTGATAACAAGGAGAATGACCTCCCAATCTGAAACTCCTCAGATCTGCCTTAACGACCTAGACGTGTCGGCATCTCACATGGAGCGACTGACTGATGATTTGCTAGAATCCCCTCTCATTCCCCAGAACTTCCTATTGAGGGAGATCGAAGCCGCCCGATCTCGGATCTCCTCCCTCCTCTCCCTCGTGCCAAAGTTCCGGTCCATCCTAAAGTCAGGCGTGGAGCAGCTGTTCAACCAGCTCGTCCGGCCACGTCTACGAGCGCTCATGAGCGATATCTACAAAGACGTCACTTACGTGCTGGACGAAGACGGGTACGCCAATGCCGAATATCAGGATGTGGTGAAGAAGCGGTTTGTCAAGTCGTGGGAAGCGGTGCTCGAGGGGTTCAAGGACAGTTTCACTGAGGTGAACTTCCGGATGTTCTGGACCCTTGCGATAGACGTGATCGTCCGGCCTTGGGAGAAACTGGTGCTGGGCATGAGGTTCACCGAGCTGGGAGCGATCCGGTTCGATAGGGAGGTGAGGAGCATCAGCTCGTATCTGACCTCGCAGACGTCATTTGGCGATGCGAGAGAGAAGCTCCAGCGGCTCCAGCAGATCGCGACTGTCCTCAACCTTGACGCTGTATGTCTTTCTCTGCAGGCATGCATTACAACAACGAATTCTGACTGACTGTACATAGGAGGAAAGCGTAGACGAGTTCTACACGTCGAGTGGGATTGCGTGGCGGCTCAGTGCGAGCGAGGCACGGTCGATCGCTGCGCTGAAGGCTTGAAGCGGCGGATGAAACGAGGGAGGGAAAGGACGTGCAAGAGAAAAGGCGATCTGGCATGCTGTATAATACCACCGCATACGATACCCAATACAAACAGCTGAGCTCATGATTTACGAAGTGCGTCCAAGCGCGCTTGCAAGTCGTCGACGTCGTTCCCTCCTGTGCTGGGACCAGGAACGGGCGCGCTGGAAGGAGGTAAGGCCGGGTTTGACGGGTTTGTTGCGTTCGACAGAGGGGGAGGATGAGAGTCACCCCCCAATGCGACGGCTTCACGGTTGTTGGCGACTGGAGTAGAGAGCGCCGCCAGTGCAGAAGGGGTGTCAGCCAGCTGTTCGCAATCGCAATCAGTAGGCATCACCCATTAAAGAGAAGAGAAGCCAAACCTGTTGGGACAACGACACTCCAATCTCGTCCAGCACCTCCTTAAGGATCTTGTCCCCCTCCTCTTCCTCATCCTCCGCCTCGTCATCCATCACATCATCCACAGCGTCGCTCATCATCTCCTCCTTCATGTCCATCGTCGCGCTCTCCTTCTCAAACTCGTTCATGATCCTCTGTATCGCCGGGAGGTTCAACCCACGGTTCATGGAAGCCATTGCCTTTCCTCGAATTAGCCACCTTGCTCCCCATCTGCACAGAAGCAGAAGGTAGCCGCACGCACCCTCGTAGCACCCCGCATCGCCTCCGCCATCTGCTGATTACTCCTCAACGTCTGGATCCTCAACCCAACAGCCTGCAACTGCGTCCTCATCTGATAAAACTTCTGAACATATCTTCTCGTCCGCACCAGGTCCTTCGCCATAACCTTACACGCCGCCATCTGCCCTAGTTTGGCGCTCTTACGGATATCACCAACGAGTTTCTTCTCTTGAGCTTCGAGTTTCGTGCGCTCGCGGTCGAGCTCTCGCTGCGCTTTTTGTAATGCCCGCTGGTGTTGCCGCAGACGCTCGGCAGGGGTCACGCTCCGCCCGAAGAGGGTGTCCTATTCCCGTCAGCGGCGGGTTTACGAAGCACGAAAAGGACGTACGAGGATGTTCATAACTGCGATACGGTTGTCGATGTCCCACCGGGTAGCAAGTAGCAAGTAGATGTCTAGCTCGTCGTCGTCGTCATCGTCCAGTGCAAGTGAGCTGCGCGATTCCCTGCTGGTCATTCACGTTCAGTGGCTGTGCCTTCGTCGTCGTCAACGTTCTCAACACCGTTCTCAACACCGTTCCTCACTGCTCACCGTCTCCCGTCCTCATCACAGGAGTCCGCAAGCGTATGCCAAACGTTCGGTCAGCCTCGCTTCCCCTGCTAACCCCCACCCGCATGCACTCACCCTCTAACGCACTACCCCTAGTAACCGACCCCCAAACCTAGCCGTCCTCGTCCTCCTCCCCATACTCGCATTCACCGCTTTTGCCTATATATCCAAACAGCGCGAGCTCAGTAGTCCTGCTAGTAAGCGGCCTGCCCAGGGTGCGAATCCGTTGGTACCGTCTGTTCAGAGGAAGAGTGATTAGCTACTTCGGGAGAAGAGATTGGTAGGGTTATCGGCTCGGTTGTTTTCTACGAGTTTTTTTTGTTGGAATAGGCTGGGAACGACTATGGACCAAGTGCAGCAACCGCATGTACAAGCCGAGACTGTCGGTGTCCCCGAGGCAGTCTCTCACCCCGACTCCACCGACCCCGCACCCGCACAAGGAAAACCAGCGTTCGACCACAAGAAAGTGCTCGTCATTTTCGTCCTCGGCGGGCCAGGTGCTGGCAAAGGCACCCAGAGCGCAAACTTGGTTAAGGATTACGGGTTTGTACATCTTTCTGGTATGCTGTCGCTGTCACTGTCTTCCCCTTTCCTCCTTTTTTTCCTTTTTTTTTTTTTTTTTTTTTTTTTTTTTTTTTTTTTTTTTCTCTTTCTTTTCCTCTCTGTTCCCACTAACCCCCTCCCTAGCTGGCGACCTCCTCCGAGCAGAACAATCCCGCCCCGACTCGCTCTACGGTGCGCTAATCCAGTCCCACATCCGGGAGGGCACCATCGTTCCTATGCACGTGACGCTACACTTGTTAGAGGAAGCGATGCGTGCTGCGCTTGATGCTCACGCGCACCCGGTCGGGGAAGCGGGAGGGGGAGCGGGAGGGGGAGGGGAAGAGGGGAAAGGGTGGGCAGGGGGGAGAGGGTGGGAAGAGGGAAGGGGAAGGTTCTTGATTGATGGGTTTCCGAGGAAGATGGACCAGGCTGTGAGGTTTGACAAGAGTGTGCGTCCTGTGTCCTGCGTCCTTTTCCTGCTGCGTTCTCTCTGCTGCTTGGCGCTCCTGCGCCTGCGCCTGCGGCTGCAGTGCTTTCTGGGTTGTGGTTGGGCATCTGCTAACCCCACCTCTTCCCAGGTGTGCAAATCCGGTTTCGTACTCTTCCTCAGCACCACAGAGTCCGTCCTCCTGCACCGCCTAACCGAGCGTAGCAAAACCTCTGGGCGAGAAGACGACAACCCCCTATCGATCAGCAAGCGTTTTCGCACATTTGTGGAAACGAGTATGCCGGTGGTGGAGGCTTATCGTAGGAGGGGGAAGGTTGTTGAGCTGGATGCGAGCCCGGAGGTTGGACTGGTTTATGAGAAGATTAGGATTGCGGTCGATGCGGCGCTTGCTGTTGTCGCTCCTTGACCGGCGTGGGCATCACGCATGTCCTCTTTCCTGAACAAGATGATGTAGATAGATAGAATGAACAGTCCTAGTCCGCAAAAACGGTATCCATTTACCAAAAGGTATACAAGTACAACGCGCGCATGCGCATGCACACAGTCAAGCGTAGCATCAAGTCAAGCGTAGCATCAAACGTCAAACATCAAGCGTCATGTGCAGGACGACGCTCGTCCTCCTTCGTGTCCTTCGCTTTCCAAACTTCCTCTACCCTCTGCCTCGCCGTCCCCTTCGCCGTCGCCACCGTCGTGGTCGTGGTCGCCGTTGGCGGCTCCCTCTCCTCCCCCCATCCAAGCGCCCTAACCTCCCTCTCCAACCCCGGCCAAATCTCGTCACTCGTCTCCCCTGTCAAACTGACGACTCTCGTCCCTGCCTCTGCCCCCTCCGCCCTCAGGTAGTAATCCAACACCGGCCTAGTCTCCCTCTCATACACCTGTAGCCTCCTGCCAAACACAGCCGGATCATCATCCGCCCTCTTCTGCAGTCCTTCACCCGTATGGTCGTCCTTCCCAGGTACACGCGGCGGGTTATACCCGAGGTTGTACACTCTTCCTGATGGTGCGTGTACCCACCTGTCCCGGATACGGGAGAGGATCGTCTCGTCCGGAACGTCGAGATGCACTACGAGGGTGAGGGGCTGGCGAGTGTGTAGAAGATGACGGTCGAGCATCTTCGCTTGCTCTACTGTGCGTGGAAAGCCGTCCAATACCCAGTTAGGGGAAGGAAGTGTGTCTAGTTCTGAGAGGACGACCTGGAGCATTGTCCGATCTGGAAGGAACTGGCCTGAAGCGACGAGGGCTTCTGCGTGTATGCCCAGAGGTGTGCGAAGGGATATGTGTCGACGGAGGGAGTCGCCTGTTGATAGGAATTGAAGTGGGAAGAGAGAAGTAAGACGTGTTGAGAGAGTTCCTTTGCCTGAACCTGGTTTGCCGAATATGACGAGTCTGAGGTGTTTTGGTGGAGATTGGGATGGAGATGGAGAGTAAGGAGTGACTGATATGTCGAATAAAGGTGATTTATGTGAATGAGGTGAAGTGGTGAATGGGCGAGTGAGGGGGAGGGGGAGACGTGGGGGGATCATAGTGAGAGTAAGGAGAGTGAGAAAGAGAGTCACTCAACAACAACAGAGTGAGTACTAGTGGAGTACCATTCATCGACCAAGTGATCCGCCTCCAACTACAGTCACTTCCGCTACTTCCGTTGGGGACAACTTCCTATTGGTCACAGATACAATATACTCTTTCTATCACGTTCTGACAGCTGATATTTCACAAACGACCATGTATCGAGTTCTAACAATGCACACAACTCTGTCTAAGAATATCATATCACGAGAGCCAGGCTTTGTACTGAGAGCATATGGACTGAAAGCAATCACATCACCTATATTGTAGTTAGTACTACATGCAGTCAATACATTTATCACAGTACATAACAGCCTGCTCATCCTGGACCAATACTGGGATCACTGAGTCCCAACTCTTGATCCTGCATTCTCCCTCTTCGTACTGGGCTCTCATAAGAACCAGATCCACATCAAGAGATTTCGGAAAGACTTGCTGGAACTTGGATGGGAATCTGACTGCTCTGGACCAGTTCATCTTCTGATCCCGAGTCTTTCACCCCTCATCTATCGGCTATACACCCATTTCCAAAAACGGGTTCTGGATCATGCACCACTGGAAGCTCTAGCCCCTACCTGTGCTAAAGTATCGGAACGAAGTCCTTGTAGGAAGAGGCAGAGCTGGAGAATGTCCTCTTCGCAGCACTGTGGACTCTCGTGTAGCAATGTAGAATCCAATTCCGATATCCAATATGTGATCCTAAATACAAGTGACATCCACCCTGCGCAGAACGAATCGAATCAGAAATGACGAACACCCTTCTCGCGCTCTCAAGATACACCCCTAACCTACTCGCGACTCGTTACTCCTCCCCCGGGGCCCAGAGGATACACCTTCCACTGGCGTTCCCGCTCACTGCTCGCTCTACGATCGACGGGTGGGAACAAGTGACCGCTTGCACCGCTGTGATCCTACACCAACACCATCGTCAGCACCGACATCAGGATCGACGGGATCGCCCAGTACGCAGAACGAGCGGGACGTACTTGGTACTGTCATACAGCTGCGCAACTACCTCTCCAGTATGGGAGAACACATCGAGCGAATGCTCCATATTCCCCACCTGCGTTCGTTAGCCCAGTGCAAAGGTGGTAAACAACAAGAAAAAGGAAGGGAAGGCAAAGGGAAGTTACACACCGTAAAATGGGGATGTACGTCCGGGTTCGGACTCCACTGCGCCCGGAGGATGGTGAGCCACCGCCCGGTCTGGCAGTTATGAGATATCTGCCGGCGGGGCTTGAATACCTGGAAAGGTGCTTCTCGGGCGAGCGACTCTCCCTTCAGATCCCAAACTACGTACATGTGAGCATCAGCATCGGTCTGAGGAGCACTTGAGGAAAGACGGACCACGAAGATGATCATCATAGCTCGTACTGACGATCTTCCTCCCACTCGGATCCCAGTAAGCGCTACTCGCACTCGCGCGATGCTCAAACTGTGCCTTGAGCAGTCCATACCCTTTCTTGCCCTGCTCGGCAGAGTACAGAGGGGCGAGGTCGTCGTAGTCTACGTAAAAGGGCTCGGCGGGCTCGGACGAGTGCGGGTGGGACGTGGCGCTTGACGCGCTGGGAGAGGTACGGGGTGGTGTGGGGGGAAGCTTGGGTTTCTTGTCTGGCTGAAGAAGGTGGGGTAGCTTGCGCGAGTCCCAGATCCTGGAGTTTGTTAGAGCGGGTTTGGGGAATGGATGATAACGAGAGCGCACTTGATCGTCCGATCGTTCGAGGCTGTTAGGAGCAGATGCGGGCTCGTAGGGTTGACGCTCACGCAGCCGATCTTCTGCGCTTCGTTTATCGACCACCTTACAGCACTGTACCTCGGTTCCCGGATATCCAAATGCGTCAGCCCGCCCTGTACGTCCGAGATCCACAGCTCCTGTCCGCTGGGGGTGATATCCACAGTAGAGAGAAGCGTCTTCTCAAGGGAGAAGATCTCGCGCGACACGCTGCTCTCGAAAGACGTATGCCGGAGGGTGCAGTCATACGCGGTTGTATACATGCACTGGGCGTTAAGCGGGTCGATCTTGACGCACGAGATGCTGCTCTTGCTCGTTGCGGGCCAGTGCGGCTGCAAGCGCCAGTACTTCCCACCCTCGGCAGTCTCCTTCGCTTCCTCGTCCTCCTCATCCGCCGGCTCGTCTGGTGGAGCCTGTGCGTCCCAAATACCCAGCTGGCCGTGCTTGTCCCCAAAGAAGATAAGATCTTTCGTCTGCTGAGAGTTCAGAGAGGTGCAACACCTTGTCAGACCGGACATACCCGCTCAGGATGATACACGGCAGAGTATATCCGATCCTCCGTGACCTTAGCCCTGCTCTTCACGACAAGCTTAGCGAACCTCTCCTTGAGATCCTCCATCCCCGGATCACCCTTGACGTCCTCATCCACGCCCACGTCGCCTAGATACGACCGTTTCGCACCGTCGACGTCCACAGCCCGGAAAGTTGAACTGAGCGAAGCGAGGCTCTCCTCCTCCTCTTTGATCCCCATCGTGGAAAGATCAAGATCCTGATGTCTCGGGCGAGAAGCAGCAATCTGCCGCTCGATCTCGGCCATCGCTTCCTCTTCCTGCAAACGACGCGCTTCGGCCTCACTCTCCTACACCCTCATGAGCAATTCATCCGCTCTCACGAACAATAGCGCACCAATCGCCGTTTCTTAGCATCGGGGCTCTCGTTCGGGTCCTCAAACGCCGCCCTCTTAAGCCGCGTCGAGCTCCGGGTGGGCATCACCCGTTCCGGCAAGACGGGAGAAGACCTCCGTTTCCTCAAAGTTTGGACAGGCTTTGCCTTCTTTTCCTTTATGGGAGGGGCGGGCTTGGGCCCGAAGAACCCTTCCCCGGCGGTGTCGAGCTTGAGCTGGGCGAGGATGGCTTTGTTGTGTGCGATGTTGGCGAGCCGCTCGCGTTCGCTGGTTGACATCAGAAAGGTTTGGATGGCATAAATGAAGACGTACTAGTTTGTTATTTCATCCATGATGTTGTAGAAATGTAGCGCGGTAGACGGCGTAGATGGTGTCGAGGAGAAGAGGGTACGCTGGAGAGATGACTGTAGAGCGGAGACAACACGAAATAAATCAGCGACGCGTGACGCGCCGTAAATAATCATTTCACGCGTCTCGTGTCATTGCACACTTGTGAATCGGATATTCAAGTTGAAGGATGACTGGACGTCCACGATGGGATATTCCACCTTTCACTAGATACATTGTACACTCTACCATACCGACACACCTTCGTACACTTCGCCGTCCACAGTATCTAGCAATTGTACATAGGCATACATACATTACAACCGCGTGCTCGTAATCTTTCGTCAGGAAAGAGTGTATGTAACAGCTCGGAAGGCCTACTGTACATACAATACAGAGAATGAAGAGAGATTACGAATGTGGGGACACGTGCAGTAGGTACGTTGGATATGGCACAGGCGGGGCGTCGGGCGTCGGATTATGTTGTTGTTGTTTGCTGTTGGTTCGCTGGAACAGATGATGTTGTCGCTTTTGAGGGTAAGGCGTTAAGGACATGAAGGTAAAAGGGAATCGATGGAAAAGGAAAGCACTCGGAGTCTTGAAAGGAGAAGCATTACGTCATAAAATAGGTATCCCCGTTAGGTCAGGTATCCCCATGTGTTCGGCTTGGCCGGAGAATGCAAAGCAGAAAGAAAATGAAAATGCCGGAAAGGAAAGAACAAGGAATAAGAAAACAGACACTGCGAAAATATGTCCGCAAAGAGAAACTGTGGCTCGAGTTAAAACAGTCCGCATGACGGAACGCGGAGAGAAAGATGCAGAGTAATGTCGCTCAGATGCACTCCATGATGCTCAGTTCGAGTATCCTGAAATTTTTCGCGTCGAGGGCGGCTTCCGTCCAGCCGATCTCATCGCGCCAGTCGAACGCGGCCGCCTCCTTCGCCCCGCGTCCATCGAATAGAGGCAGCTCATCGTCGGGCAGACCGCGCCAGAGGAGGAAGACGCGGGTGCAGGTGCTCGGATCGGTGGTAACGGAGATGTCGATGGCGGAGGAGAGGCGTTTGGGAGACATGAGGCGGAAAGCAATCGTCTTGTGGTGCGAGAAAGCGTTGATGTTGTTGCTGTGTCATGGTTAGGGTGACCGTTCTCATAATGGACATTATGCTTACCAGATGAAGTTGGTGCGCTCCTTCACAGGAACGCCGACGCTATCGAGAATTTTGTACAGATGAGGTATGAACATATCGAAAGGCACCGCAAAGCTGCCATTCCAATGCTTGACGTAAGAAGCCGCACCGTCCACTCCGACTTCCGGACTAGATTTCAACGCATGAGTGATTTTTACGTAGGAACATCAATCAACGGTACTTACGTCACTTCGTAATAGAGGGATGTGACGACCGTCTCGGTATGGAAATGCTCAAGATAGCCATTCTTGTTCGCAGTCCGAATGAAAAACTTGGCCCTCCCGTCCGGCAGTATCTCAGCTTGCGGGAAGGTGACACCAAGCCGCCAAAGGTTGGACATGGTGATGTAAAAGTCACAGTATTGTGGGCTCGGGGCCATGATTGTTGCTTGGCATCGTGCGACCGACTGCTGTTTCGAGACCAAGGCCAGACGACGCATGATGGACGCGTCCATCCAGAAGTCGCCCTGCAGACCGGGGTCTCTGTATCGTGTGCCGGTGAAATCCACTGTATGCGTGCCAGGCTTGTGGACAATGCTCAGCTTGCCGTAGAACGTTCCGTCGACCATGATGTTGTCGTCGGTCTTCGACATGTCGTACTCTTCGGAAGTGACCCACGTCTCGAGAGCGACAGTCTGACCCGGATCGAGTTCCAGGTTGAACGTCGCAGGCATCTCGAGCACAGGGGTAGGAGGACGGGGAGGAGGGCTATTCACTCATTAGCGGTGTATATGCGCGGAATATTTGGCGGACCTACTCAGGAGGAGGGGCAGCGGCATCGGAGACAATCTCGACTCTGATACCAGGTATACCTTGAGTAGCAATCTGCCAGGTCTCATCGTTGCCGATCCAGATCCAAGGTCCTTGGATGACACGGCTAGCTGCCCAGGATGCCATATCTGTTGGCACCCGGAGGGCGAATGCAGTGCCCTCCGGAGGCTTGAGCCAATCTCGGGCTACTACTTCGAGGTCCTAGCGAAGTATTAGCGCGGTAGCGCGGCGCATACACTTGGAACTCACCCCGTAGGTCTTGGGGAGGATACGGATAGTCTCCATTTCCCCGTGAACGAGGGTCATGTAGACCGGGCGGGTGCTGGCGAGAGCCATGTTGGGTGTTTGTTGTGTTGCGGTGTGCGCAAGTTCCCAGGGGGTCTTTCCTTTCTTGCTGGACGGGGGGACGGGAGCGGCGACCGCCCAGGGAGAGGGTACGACGGGTTGACCGCTGAGGGTTGCAGCGAGCATATAACCTGTCCAAGGGACAGGTGCCAGGTCAGCGAATGTGTTCCGCGGTGGAGAGGAATATAATGAGGGGAAGGAGAAAGAAATAGAGGGCGATGCTGAGCGATACACTAGGACGGAAAAGGGATAATTGCGAGATAGGGGTAAAACGGATTGTGCTCTCGCTTTGGCGGACGGGAAATAGGCGATGATGTACGGTCGAGTCTTGCCCTTGACTAGGGCGGTCGAGGAGCAGAAGTATCCTCGGTCGGAAGGGGGAGTTGAGGGAGCATCAACAACCCGAGGTGGTCGAGAAGAAGATTGCGCGGGGAGTTGACCGCGTGAAACCGGGCAGGCCTCATAAGGTATAGACAGTGCCCGTAGTCCAGGGGAAAACAATGGCCATGAGGTGTGCGAAGTGGGCACAGGGTTGCGGTCCTAGAGACCCACGCTCCCGGTCGCCTCCTGCTATTGCTGGCATGTGCACGAGCACACCGACAGCCGCCCGAAAAGCAGAGGGCGCACAGATATGGCAAGTGGTGGTGGAGATGGAGAAACGATGGAGTGGTCGACGGAACTCACCTAGTATTGAATTGGGGTAATCAGGGGATATCGTTTTCGGGGGTTGAAGAACAAGCAGGCCTTGGGTGCTTGTGATATGCTTAACTGACTCGATAGATGGTGGTCGTCGTCGAGTTTGAAGTGAAATTGTCCTGTGGGTGCGTCTAGCACGGAGAGAGAGGGGGAGTGAGGGGGTGATAAAGTACTGGATAGAAAGAGTCGAGGAGGAGCAGGTCAGGAGCGAGTGAGGCAAGGCAAAAAGCAGTCAAGCGCTCAGGTTTGCCTCACCCATAAGGGTAGGCAACCACGTGTTGTTTTCCTTTACTTCTCATCTCTCCCGCTGTGTCCCTTCGTCTTTTGCCGAACTCATCCTATCCCCTCCCTCAACTCTCTTGCTCTAACCAGCAGGCGCAGCATGATCATCTTACGCGGGCGGACCTCCCTCTTCCTTCCCTCTGTTCTCTCTCCAATCGCCCACACGCGCTCCGTCTCCCCAGCGGAACATTCTCGAGAATGTCAGGCAGATCTCCGAGACGCGCAACAGGTTGCTTGTTAGAGTACCCCTCCGTTTAGCCCCTCTGATACGTAGCATCTAGCACAGCGAACCACAGTGCAATTCGTTCGGATTCGCGATCGGGGGCATGCCCCAAATTGGTTCCCATTTCTACCTCTTGTTCCATCCCTCTCCGAAGCCACAACCCCACAACCACCCCACTTCTGGTTATCTTTCACTGTGCCTCCCACACGCACCAATGAGCATTACGCCCTCACGCGTCTGCTACCACCAGCATATGGTCTGATTGCGCACGATTAGCACCACCCAATAAGCTTTCTTCCTTTACAACCCCTTTCTCCACGAGGAAAATCCGCGACCACGCCGATTCTGGCGGTTGCGGTCGAGTCATGCTCTTACAGCCTAAATATCATCACATTGCTATCATCGTCAGAGAGACAGGGGAACTGTTCACAACTGCCCGGCGCTTCCGGCGCTGCGACTGGGATCAATACACTTGCAGGTGAAATGGCGGCTGCCGAGGAGCCGCCGTGATGCTGATCGGAAATCAGTTGAAGACTGGTGGTGATGGTTAGTGATGGCCGTCGCTGCGCATGGGCACGGCGCCGCGAATAGAAAGAGGATGATTCTGTGTAGGAACCGGCAGCCTGGACCGCCGCGGAGGATACGAGTAAATCTGAGGAGGACAACAATTTCTCCTCAGTGTTGGCAGTGGCTCAGAATTTCATTTGTCGCAGAAGCTATCGAGAGAAGCAGCCCTCAGTTTCTGGGAACCCTTGCTAGCAGCTTCTCGTTACGCCAACAACACGCCGTGAACTGCCGTTCACCACGCCCTCGCTTGGCCGACTTCTTGATCAACTACGCCACGGAACACAATAGAATGGGGCTATGGTATTCACACCGTACTCCCCCAAAATCCTGCTGATACGCACCCCAGTCCCCAACTACTGTAAGGATACACGGACCTACTCATACAGACTCGCTGGATTCAAGCGAGCACGCCTCGCCCTCCTTGTCGAACGTAATCCCCGCATCACCTGAGTGTCAACCTGACAATGGCCAGTAGCCCCGCCCACGCCTGAGCAGCCAAGATCCGGCCTTGTCAGGCTTCTCCAGCAGCATCAGGCCGATGTGAGAAGAGGCCAGACCGGCCGAAATCCCCGCGCCTTCAAGCCCCGTTCTCAACCTCGAACTCCGCCCTCGCGCGTTTGATCTCCTCGTGTAGGAAGAGCAGCTCCTCGAGCCTCCCGAGCTCTTTTGCGTCCGCCTCGTGCCGGAGAGCCCAGCGCAGGTCGTCGACGTGCAGCCGGTTCTTGGAAGGTGTGTGGCGAAGGGCTGCCTGGCACTGCATCCATTGATAAGGGTCAGCATGCGAATCACACGCCAGCGGTGGGAGAAGGAGAAATGTGACCCGCGGTGTAGAGGGACGCGTCATCCCGCTTGAGAAGTGCGGGGTAGGATGCACGCTAGAAGGCAGGAAGTATGTGAAGAGAATGATAGAGACGGACCAGGTCGAGGATGTACTCGATCACGATCTCCTCCATGACCCCGACGGTATCAGGTGCGGGGTTTGGCACGTCCCCAAACGCGTACATGAGGTGCATCACTACCGGGCCAAGATGAGCATTCATTCCCAGCACATACTCTTCACATTCAGACAAAGGCGACTCACGGTCCTTTGTGAACGTATTTTTGAATACCTGTCCTCGCTCCCTGTGATCCGCCTGCCCACGTCTCGCTCTCGCAGGCTGCCTCTCCGGCACCATGCCTGCAGTGGCCGTAGCAGCAGGTGTGCCAGCGCGGGAATGGACAGCGGACGGTGTGGGAGTAGGCATGCCAGGGTATGCGTACTGAGCGTGGTGAGACTGAGAGAAGTAGGCCATCGGAAGCAGTGGCGGATTTCTTTGTTTGTTGGAATACTGCAGAGTGTGTCCAAGGTGAGACATACCCAAAGGGACGGGACACGATCGGTGGTTGATCGACGTGCACGTGCCAGGGCGGTGGCTGTGTTATCGTGGCTGAGAAAGAAGGCGCGTCGCGGTATCACTGAGGAACATACCTTTGACAGATAACGTGACCTGCACCTTTCTCTTCCTCTTCCTCTCTCTCTTCTGTCCAGCTTCTCCTCATCAACGTCCATCCCCGTCACTACCTCAACCCCGTCAAGCACTGAGCACCCACCATGGAGGTCCGTCCTCACTCTTCAGCCCAGAACACCCCTGACATGCCTCGAACAGTACGAGCACGACCAGTCAAGCGCGGGAGGGTTCCCAGGCCGCAGACCGGACTTTAAGAAGAAGCTCGTTGTCGTCGGAGATGGAGGATGTGGGAAGACATGTCTGCTGATCGTCTATGCCGAGAACCGGTTTCCCGAAGTGCGTCTTCTCCCCTCCGAGCAGGCAAGCAGACGCTGACCACTCGTTCGATAACAGGCATACGTACCGACTGTGTTCGAGAACTATGTCACTACCGTACCTTATGAGGGAAAGACAGTGGAGCTCGCGTTGTGGGATACGGCCGGGCAGGAAGAGTATGACCGACTCCGGCCACTCAGTTATCCAGAGAGTGATGTCATCCTCATCGTCTTCGCCGTAGACTTTCCCGTCAGCTTGGCCAATGTGCAGGATAAGGTGCGTTCTGCTCTCTCTCCCCACCTCGATGTATCAGAGGCTAATGCGGTTCACTGGCACGGTAGTGGTACCCCGAGGTAGCCCATTTCTGCGAGACGACACCCAAGATCCTTGTAGGGACGAAGATCGACCTGCGACAAGACGACCACACGCGGCGGATGCTCGCCGCACAGGGCCAAGTGCCCGTCACGCCCGATCAAGGTGCCGGTGTCGCCCGCGAGATAGGGGCGAAGTACGTCGAGTGTTCGGCGAAGACGGGGCAGGGGGTGAGGGAGGTGTTCAACCTCGCGCTGAAGGAGAGCATGCGCGGCAAGTGGGGGAAGGTGCTCAAGAAGCGGTCTGGGGGGTGTGTCGTTGCGTAAGCGGGCGACCACCTTGCAGGCCTCTGCATACCCGCTTCGTCTCACCTGCTGGTCTCGTGCGTTTCTCCCTGTCTACCTGCAGCTCAGTTTCTTCGTTTTCGACTTGCAACCTCTCGGACATATATCTCCTCCCGCACAATATCGTATTCGCACCCTGTGATCTACCATACATCCCAAAATGGAGAAACCGTGTACCATCTCCCACTCACTCGACCTTCTCTCGTGCCGTGCTGTGCGGGCGTGGAGGGACGCTCCAGGCGCTGTAGGCGACATAGAGGAAGGCCAAGAGGATGACGTGGGTGGTGCCCCATTCGACTGCCGGGAGATGGGATAAGTCTCCTGCAGGGACATGTACTTCTATCACTGGATTGCCGGGTTGCTTGCCCTCAGGCGCTTGAACGGGAAGGAAATAAAACGATGTGCCGCTCTTGTATGGGGAAACGAAAGGTGGTGTCAGGTCATCGAAGGGTGACGTCTCCTCATTGTTGTCAACGCTCTCTGCCGGGTTGTCAGCCCTATCCTCCCGGGGACGGAAACAGCGTACCACAAGCCCAATATACGATAGGACACGGCAGCTCAAACCCCACCTGTCCATACATATCCAACAGGTTATGCTCCACCGGCTCCGGGTAACGCATATGCAAAGGCAGCTCGCTTCCCCCGCCCTCTTTCGATGGGTCCAAGTTAAGCAGCACGACCGTCCCTCTGGGGTCTACGGCGCTCACGGGCCCCTCCAAATCAGTCACTCCAAATATCATGAATTTCCCGAGCCGGTGATCGTCGGCCTGCTGCTTGAGCTCGTACGGATCTGCGAATACCGATGGGGGTAGGAAGAAGAGTGCTTGAAGGATACATCTCTCGGTTTCTGGTGGCAGAAGCGCAGAGAGGGGGGTGAGGAAGAGAGAGCGGTGAAATCCTTGCCCAGGGAGAGAACAGTTGTATGCCGGCTCTTGGTGAATATCCCGTGCTATGTGGGAAAGGAGCAGTGTTGCAGAGTCCATAATTTCTGAAGTAAATGTTCAAAGGGAAGGTTGAAAGGGACGTTCAGGGTCTACATTATCGGAGGTATCTCGGAAGCGATAACTCCGGTGTCCCTAATCACTCTCATTAACAGCAACATTTACTTTCATTCATTCATTCAATATTGTTTGTACTTTTCTATTTCTCCTCAACATGTCAGGCGATTCTACCAAAGCCAACATCCCCGCTCTACATCCTCTGCAGGAAGCCGACCTTCTGCAAGTTGACGCCGCCCTGAAATCAATCAAGATCGCCAAAGAGTCCCACCGAACCGCACCCACTTCCGCACCCACACCTGCCCCATCAGGCCCCCAAGCGGCAGGTACTCCACCGAAGGATGCGAATTCTACTGCTGGAGGACCGAAGAGGAGCGAGAGCTTGGCTAGGAAACAGCCGTTTTTAGCTGGGTCGAGCTTGTGAGCTTCCCCTCCACCCAACCTTATAGAACCTTGCTGATTGGGGGTAGGTTGAAGGAGTTCGACGAAGCGGCTAGTGCGAGCAAGCGTGCTGCTGAGCTGAGCAGGCGCGCAAGCAGGGATACGACTCGTCCGGGGACGCCGCCTCAGTCTGTCATGGGTATTGGGAAGAAGGGTATGTGGGGTTACTGTGCACCGTCGTGCTGTTGCTGAAGGAGGTACAGTGGAGAAGCCTGATTACTCGGAGGCGAAGCTGGTCGTCGCTATGGTCGGCTTGCCCGCGCGTGGAAAGTCGTATTTGAGTAACAAGCTGACTCGATATCTCCGGGTATGCCCATTGCTCAACGTTGCGTACTCCACTGATAGGGGGGCAGTGGTTGGAATACGACGTACAGGTGTTCAACGTCGGCCAACTGCGGCGGAAGAAAGCGCGCATGAAACAACAGCAGTACGCTTTCTTTCTCCTGTATCTCAAGCCCCGTAGCTGACTCGCACAGAATGGGGATCAAGGAAGATCACTCTGCCATCTACTTCAGCTCGAGCAACGAGGAAGGTCAGAAGGCGCGGGATGCCCTGTCTGAGGAGAGCTTGAGCAACTTGATTTCCTGGCTCCGAGCTGGCGGGAACATCGGTATCCACGGTACGCCTCCCTGCCCGCTCGCTACCCCCTCTCATCCCCTGTAGACGCAACGAACAGCACCGTAGACCGCCGATCAAAGATTGCCGCTCGTGTCGCTTCCGAGCCCGGGATCGACCTCATCTTCCTCGAATCCCTCTGCGACGACCCCGAAGTGATCGCCGCGAACATCGCGCTCAAGGTCTCCTCCGGTGACCCAGACTATAAAGGCATGTCCCGGGAGAATGCCAAGCAGGACTTTATGAACCGGATCAAGCAGTATGAGAAAGTGTACGAGACGGTGACGGAGTCCCATTTGAGTTATGTCAAGATCATCAATGTCGGGAGGCAGGTAACGGTTTCGCGCGTCAGAGGGTATATGCAGAGTCGGATTGCGTTCTATCTGTTGAACTTGCACTTGAAGCCGAGGGCGATCTATCTCTCCAGAGTACGTCCCCCGCGGCCCTATGGGACTTGACTGACAAGTCGTAGCATGGCGAGAGCATGTTCAACGTGCAGGGTAAGATTGGGGGAGACTCGGACCTCTCCCCGAGAGGGAAGAAGTACGCCAAAGCCCTCCCCTCGCTGATACACGACATCGTCGGAGACGCCAACCTAACTGTACGTCTGCTTTCAGCCTGCGTACCACATCCCACCCAACTAACCCACAAATAGGTCTGGACATCCACCCTGCGGCGGACGATCCAGACTGCCGAGCACCTGCCATACGAGAAACTCGACTGGAAGTCGCTCGACGAGCTCGACGCCGGCGTCTGTGACGGGATGACGTACGAGGAGATCGAGGCCAAGTACCCTGAGGACTTTGCCAGTCGGGACGAGGACAAGTTCAATTACAGATACAGGGGCGGGGAGTCGTATCGCGATGTCGTCGTCAGGCTGGAACCGATTATTATGGAACTGGAACGGCAGGAGAACATCTTGATCATATGCCATCAGGCGATCTTGCGTTGTTTGTGAGCCGCTGATGTACACCAAATCGAATGGGAGATAACGAGTTCGTTTACAGATATGCGTACTTCCTCAACCTCAACCAGTCCGACCTGCCGTATATTAAGATCCCCCTGCACACGGTGATCAAGCTCACCCCCAAAGCGTACGGCACAGACGAAGAGAGATACACCGTCCCCATCGGCGCTGTGGACACGCACCGCCCAAAGCCGGGTACGCATACGCCGAACTATACGTCGAAGAATACGACGATCAGGGATTATTATGGGGATGCTGACTAGAGAAATGTGTACTTTTACACCTAGACACCAGACAAAGGAAAGAGAATAATAATACGTCTAGCAATACGCGGGTCATACAGCTAGTTCAAGCACACAAGTTCCTATCTACATTTCCATGTCCCGGTCAATGTTTTCCCTCATGTTCAACCTTCTTAGGAGTAAAGATAGCGCCCAACAACCAGCCTCCGGCCAATATCCCTCCCACAGCCCACAGACCCCCCGCCTCCTCCCGGCTCATCTCCCTCATCCTCTCCTTCTTATTATTCTCCTCTTTCACCTCCGGCAAGCCTAATACATCACTGGGGAACCCCCAACCTCCTACAGCCTCGCCCACACTCTCCAACAAGCCTGAAGCGTGGCTGACCGCCCTCTGGCTCGCGCTCTGAATGCCGGCGCTGCTGCTGCTGCCCATATCAGGGCGGTCGGAGATCTCGAACAGGTTCGAGATGGGGCCACCCGAGAGGTGCGTCGAGACCGAAGCGACGGTGAGCACTTTGGGCTCGGATGACTCGGGCGGCTGGGGCGGGGAGGCGGATTCGAAGGCTTGAGAACCCCAACTGTCGGCGAGGTACGGCTGGAGGAGGTGAGCGTGTTGTACCTAGGATGAGGAGGGAAAGGGGCGTACGATGTTTGGCCCGGGCTCTTCATGATCCGGCTCGGCCGGGGGAAGCTGGAAAGCATAAGCAAACGGACGGGGGGAGAACTTGTCCCTCTCTAGACTCTCTGTAGCTCGGACACGGGCGGTGGTGGCTACTGTGCGCGGACTGGGTGTGAGCGTCGTCGGCAGGGGAGGGGCGGGAGGGACGACAAGCGCTGCTGCGTCCCGCGATGAGGAGAGGGAGGCGAGTTCCCGTGCATGGTCGGCTTGTACCAGTCGAGTGACAAGAGCGCCCTTATTCCCTGATCTGTACAACAGTCATAATTAGCGTTCCCCCGGAAGTGGTCAATGAACATGGACTGACAACGCTAAGCCGCGCTTGCGGAGTTCATCCTTCAACTTAGAGACGGGCTCTGTTCGCCAATCTGCGGCGCTCCTGCTGAGCAGGACGGTGGAGGCGAGTGTGCGAGCGCGAGGGCGGAGATTCCCTGCGCTCTTAACGCGTACTATTTGGCGTATGGGGGAGGCGCTGGGTAACATACTGTGTGTAGTAGAGGAGGAGGAGGAGGAGGGAATGACCGGAAGCGAGAGGAAAACAAAGGGATTGCACCCGAGAGCTTATATATCACAGACTATGACAGACAAGTAAACTCTACACATTTTATTTCTTGTGACTAGAAAATGTACACTTCACTCTGTGGAATACAACAATAATTTAATATCACGCCCAGATAGAAAATTGCAATTCAGTGCAATTCATCACCTTACAGACCGCCTTACCACCCTCTGGTATCTTAACGATCGTCCCATCGGCACAGACCAGATGCGCATTCTCATCAACGCCCTCCTGCAGTCAAGTCAATCCCCCGCCCAGGAAAAGAAAAAGAAAAAGGTAAACATACAGGCTCCCATTCCCACCCTCCGCACCTAAAGTACTCGACCACCGTTCTCCCCTCTCCTCCTTCCCCGACCTCCCCTTCCCCATCGTACCGGTATCCAACATGCGCCCCATCCCCATACGCACCGTACATAACCCGGAAAACCTTCCCCCCAAACGCTGCCCTTGCGCCAGTAAGATCCTTTCCAAACCCCGGGTCTCGTTTCGGCCTTATCAGGAGGAGGTCCATGCTTGGATCCCTTGGCGGGTGCGACCGCTGCAGAGGAGCGATCCGGAATGCCGCCTCGAGCCGATCGACGTTGACCGTGCTGAGGAAGTAGGCAAAGGGCTCGTCGTACTCCGTCTCTTCCTCCTTATCCACATCCAGATCTGCGAACTCCCCCAGGGTGGGGTCGTACAGCTGCACCTTCCCTCCAGGCAGGGGGAGTACCCACGCCCGCGCCTCGTACCATTTCGAGATGTTCCTCTCCGCTGCGTGCTTGAACCTCTCTACTCCCGGATACTGCGTGCGCAGGGATTCAGCATCGTGTAGGATCGCAGCGTGCAGCGCTGTGGAGGTGACTACGCAGGAGATGACCGGTTCTGGGGCTTTGAGGCCATTGGGGCCGGGGTAGAACGTCGTGCAGGCGAGGGTGAGCCGGTGGCACTTGCCCGTGCTGCCGCCTAGGAAACAAGCGAGAGAGAGCAGCTTTGGCTGGATATCCACGGGTACAGACGATAGCTGCGGGTAGTCTTCTGCTTTAAAACGGAGAGAGGGGGGGAAGTAGGAATGGTATAGCGCGTTGGCTGTCCCTAAGGGGAGGAGGACGAACCGAATGTCCTTTGGTCCGTTCGACTTTTCCCCCGAGGGGTGGAGGGCGTTGACGACTTCGTGTAGCGTCCCATCACCACCGGCGATGATGATCGTCGCTGCTCCATCAGCAGCTAGGGAGGAGAGGAAAGCGAGTGCGAGTTCCCCGGCATGCTCGGGCCTTGTGGTCGTTTGAATCGAGTAGGAGATCGAGTGAGCGTCGAGCAGGGGCAGGACGTGCGCGGCGAGAAACTGCGGGCCGGTGCGGTCGCCGCTTGAGGGATTGGAGATTATTAGCACTGGGGAGGACATCTAGGTGGAATGGTGAGGAAAGAGAGAAGGCCTCGAGGCTTGACGAGGACGGCGCAGTCATCACACAGGCGAAGCAAACGGCCACGCGAATGGAGATTCTCATGACGCGATACTCTGATGCGATGCATTATTGCATTATAAGATGATTCATCACGTCGTAATCTAGTCTACTTTTGACTTGTCCCGTGCAGGCAGAGAGGCCTGGTGTGGTATCATGCTGTATCGTATGGAATATCTGGGAATGGGGGAGATGACGACGCCTGACACTAGGCATTTGAGCAATCGGATGGGGTGGTAGTGAGCTGAGAGGCGGGACCATAGAAGGACTATAGGATGTCAGCATAGGCAGGTTGACGGAGATAGGGACATACAATGCTGGAAGAAGATCTGGCCAAAGGCTATCGGGGTATTCTACCGACAGGCGGGTCAGTGTTCGAACCGTCTTGTGGGAAAGTGATGCTCACCTTCAATATTAATGCTGATGGTACATCACCCTTAGGAGCGGAGATTTCGAATTGTATCCCACCGGGAAGTCGAGCTGGATCCTTCACGCGCAACATGAGGACGAAGAGAGGAAAGTGGTTCATAAACGCGAGCGACGTCTCGAGGCTAGCATGCATCAATATGATGGCGATGCGAACCTGCGACTGAATCAATACCAATATACCGCGCAACAAGGAAGAACATACTGCGGCGAAGAAGGCGTAATACGCTAGGACGGTGGGGAACAAGAAGGCGACGAGCGTGAATAGGATCGTCCCAAGGAGGACTTGGTCAAGGTCGTATTCCATAGAATCCACACGATTTCGGAGAATATTCTTCCTCTTTCCTGTCAGGTCGTAAGCATTGCTGTATGTTGCTGGGAGGAGGAACAAACACACCTCTGAAAATGTTGAATAACGAGTACGACGTGCTCAGCATAGCGCTGAAGACGGTGGTGACCGTCATATAGGAGAAATACAGCGGCAGAGACAGGAGCGACAACAGATCCGACAGAAGAGATAGGGTCATGGTAAGCCCCATCGTGCCAGAAGAACCAATGACGTAGACGACTATGGGAAAATATGGGCCGAGGATATTTAAGCAAACTATATGGGAGGGACAAAGTCAGTTAGAGCAATGTTACAGGCAACAAGATCATCGCACCTTCGAAGGCACCGGTCAGGCCAATAAAGGATAGGCAGATGAAACGGCTAAGCTCGGTATTGAGTTTCAAACCAACGGGCCAGTCATCTAGCCAGAACAAGGTGTCACGGATCAGATCCACAGCATAGACCTGCGGACTGGTCAACAAACATGATATCAGCATATGTGTGCCTCACCTTTGTATAAAACCACAAAAGATGGCCTAAATATTGAGAGTTCTCGTTCAGGAACGCGCCAAACGCAACGCCAACTATGATGTCGTTCAGGATAAGCCAGATGCAGTTGTAGAAATTGATGTATTGAGCCGCAGAATAAGCCATGTCCGTGCGGGGTAGTCGGTGGACGACATCAAACTGGTTTGGTAAGAAGGTTGCTTGCTCGAGACGGGTATCAAGTTGCTGGACTGCGATGGAGGTCAGGCGTCAGACTTCTCAGTGTATGGTCTGTAGCATACTGGTAGCTGAGATATCCTTCAGAAGTGGCTTGTGGACGAACAGGGAGGGTAAGCGCATATTGCAGATCCCCAATAGAAAGCGCAGGAATGCGAGAACGAAGTGGAGCGAGCTGCTATTCTTTCGTTCAGCAGAAGACGTTGCAGAGCCATTCACTGTCGCTGATGATTTGCTCAGCTTCTTTGTCGAATCCTTGATATGCTTGTCAGCGTCATAAGCACGGTTGAGCTATCCAGACTGAGCATTAGAATGTAGAAGCCAAGCCGATGATGTTCAGACGAACCTTGGTGATCACGTCCTCCAAAGTGGCCGGTGGTCGATGCTTTGGTCTAGTAAAATCGGTGGCTTCAAGGTCCTTATATCTCGAGGAAAGCGGATCTTGTGTGTTCGCTGAGGCCGCTCCTTCAGTGCTGACATCAAGTTGGAGTGGTCGGAGGGTATAGAACCTGAGCTGCCGCGGATTAGGTCTCCGGTAGTATATTATATGTACTCTGTTCCAAATAGTGTCAGAGTTAATCGGTCATACATGCTCAGGACCACACACTGTCTCTGCGCTCCGTCCAGGAGTTCCAAACCGTCTGGTCGTAACGGAGACCCGAATCCCAACAAAATACAGCCCTCCATATCTTGCACACTTCTCCTTCCTTCTTTGTTGTCTCCATTCATAGATGTTGTCTGACAACTCCCCACAACGACAAAGTGCGTGTCGCTGCATCGCCAGCCGTAGAACGGCGCTTGGATGGATCCCTTCGAGGAAGGCTCGTCCAGAGGCCAGAAGACTTGTAGCGGCTCCTGGTCATGCTGAACAGACATTGATTGTTATCTGTCTTGCATGGAAGGGCGTAGTGAGAGAGCAGTAGACAGATGGTTCTCAGATGAGAGCGGAATTGTGTGTGCTGGAACAGTGAAGATCCTGAGAAGGGACATCAAGGGATCAGGGCTCTTCTCAGGGCAACACGTGCGAAATAATCACGTTCTCGGTGATATGCCTGTTAATTCATCCACTTCATAACATTGAAAATACTCAAACATGCAAGTAAAAAGTCCTCTATACTGGGCATTCATAAAATTGGCTCAGCCAGGTAGAGCGCCAGAAGCACCACCTCGACCTGGAGAACCGCGTCCCCTTCCACGTCCTCCGCCTCCCGTCCTCAACTTGTCGATCATCTGGGCTGCGACAGCATTCCTTACAGGCCTTCCATCACCACCTGCACCCTCCCCCGGAGTGGAGCTGTATATGACCTGATTTGGCGGCTGCATATCGATCCTCGAGATAGGTGCATTCGCGGCTGGTCGACTGGCGATCTGGATCATACCAGGCTGAACTTGAGGCGGCGGCGGAGCCCCGCGCCCGCGCCCACGACCACGACCTCCCTGTCCAGCATCCGCGCGACTTTGAGGGGCACCTTGAGATTGAGACGGTCCTCCAGTTGCTTGGGGCGCTTGCCCACCGCCTTTACCTCGTCTTGTCTTGCCCTTGCCCGGGGCGGGTTGAGCTGCCGGCTGAGCGGGAGTACTTGCGGCTGTAGAGGCTTGAGTCGCAGCAGAGGGTTTTTCCTGGGTCCTTGGCTGCGCACGACCGCCTGTTGCTGCACCCAAAGCGGCGTCAAACTGTCGGTTTGCGCCTACTACAGGTCGCTTTCGTGCGGTGTCATCGCCGGTGGGCTGAGGTTCCGAGGCCTGCTTGCCTTTCTTTGGCTTGGGAGGTGGTGGTTCGACTGAGGGACCGGCCTCGCCAGGTAGCTTACGGGAGTAAACCGCTTTCTCCTCTGCGGCAGCCTGCATCGCCGCTTGTTGAGAGGCGACGGCTGCCGCTTGACGGCTTGCGACGGTTGGCGCTTGGGCTGCGGCTGCTTTCGCCGCCGCCTTCGCTCCCTTGGTCGCTTTCTTCTGCTGTATCAGCGCCTCGATCAAGGGAGCAATCACAGGTTCTAGCGCTGGGGCTACCGGACATCATAAGTAGATAGAAAATCCAAGGGTTCGAAATGCCATACCCTGAGAAACGCCCTTCTCTAAACTGGCTAATGATTCGTATTCGACAGGCGCATTGAGGTTGGTCATGAAAGACATGAAATCTGGATCTGGGACGTTGTTAGCGTCACATCCTGCATACACCTTATTTTAGCTCACCTTGATCAATGGTACCCTGCCGCACATCAGGTTTGACATTTGTGATAGGTACTTTCTGGTACGGCGCAAATTCGACAACGGCCTGCGACTCGCGTCCTAACAGAGCCGCCCTCAGTTAGTCGCTCGAGTAGTACATTCCCAGAACCCACCCTGCTTGTCCCTAAAAGCATGTCCATTGTATGCACTACTAAATTGGGCGACTTGTTCTGGCGTCTTGAACATAATATAAGCTCGAGATGGGACGTTCTCGTTTTCCAGCCTACCGCATCATCAACAGCATTACGAGTAAGTCCACGAAGGTACTCACTTCGGCTTGATCTTTCCGGAATAGAATATCCTCCAAGTAGTGTTTTCCTCATTGACCCATGGTTCAACACTCTTCCAGAAGACCGCTTCGGGCAAGTTTGGTGGCAAGCGCCGCACGATGACCTTTAACCTCGTTGCTGACACGGTTTCCTGGCCGCGTTTCTTCTTGGATGATTTGCTTGAAGCAGGTGCAGACGCCGGTGAAGCTGCTGGAGAAGAGCTCGCCGCGACTTGTTTCGCCATAGACATCGTATTGGCCGACTGTAGAGTGCAGGAAGACGTCTAGTGGCCAGTATCAGTGTCACGATGACCATGCGGTCGGCGGGGAAGGGGATGTTTGGAAAGCCAGTGGCTGTGCATCAGCGGGAAGACATAGGAAGACGGTGAATACGCGTCGTCGCCACAGGCCGCCATCGCGCGCGTCCGTCCCCTCCAGACGATCGACTCATGCAATGGATGATATGATCATATCCTCCGTTCGCGCAGATCCACCACCACCAGCAGTTCCATGTTCGAAGCAGTACACAGATGGGACATCCAACATCTACGCTCTCGCTTTTGGACCGGAGTCCGCTAGGGTCTTCCTAGCTGTTGGGACGGAGGCGCGAGTTGATGTTCTGATACGCGTGAGCTCAGTAGCCACGCTATGAGTCCATTCTTATAACGAGGTATTCTAGGATACCAACGTTGACGATATCTCGTACAAACATTTCAAGTCGTTTTACCTAAGCAGCCGAGTTACCTCTCTCGCTTGGTCTCACAGATCATTTGCCGGGACCGGAGAATACATGATCTGGGGCATCGAGTGCGCACACTTTTATAGCCCGATTTTATCCAAGCTGAATCGAGAAGGCTAGCTGCTGCCTGTGCTGACCATCAGATCCGGTTTCTGTCGGCATCCAGTGACGAACCTGGCTCTTCTGTGGTTATTTTTGGCGGTCCCCTTGCAGGAGGCCACAGGGCTCGTATTAACGGTCTTGCGTTCTGCACGATAGCAGACGGTGGCTTAGGGGGCCTCGCATTGGCATCCGTTAGTGGTACGTATCAGAATTTCTGTTTTTTGACGCCCTGCTTATTGTGAACAGATGACAAGTGCTGTATTATCTGGAACTTGGAAGAAGGCCCAACAGTGTGGAGCCGAATACGTAAATCGCATCGACTTCTGACCGTGGCACGTCATCCTCGAATTGCTTCTGGTGTCCTCGTCTCCTCGGCTTCCGGAGAAATATTTGAGATCCTCATAACAGGAAATCGGGCAGAAAATGTTTCGATCGAGCTTGCGGTTCCAGCTTGGGTGGCCGCCACCTGCGCAGGCACTAGGTTGAGCAGGGAGGGCGGAGCAGCGGACTGGAAGCCGGATGATCCTGACGTGTAAGTGTGAACAATAGGGCGAAGGGCGAGTCACATTCATACCGACGCACAAATATAGGGTTGGGGCAGTATTCGGCCACAAGTGGTATGTTTGGGACCTCAACCGTTTATACGGTGTTACACCGACGAGCTCTGGGGATGTCTCGACATGGACAGGCCACTGTTTCAAGTGGGTCGAATATACTCCGCTTGCACTCGGTGCTGATGGACGATACAGATGGTCGCCAGTCCATCGTCACTTGTTTGCAATTGCATCTTTTGACGTAGGCATCGAAGACACAGTGAAGATATATGACACCAGATTTCCTCATAGTGCGTGATCATCAGCTGTGGGTTTCATTATCTGACGTTGGTACAGAACCGATGACACCCCGTCTTCCAACAGCTGGAGAACGTGTCTCTGCCATCGACTGGAGCTGGGAAGGGCCATGGATCGCGGTCGCCAAAGGAAGAACGATTGTATTCATCCGGACTGAAAACGTCGCATGAACAGACATTGTATCGCATGAAAAAATTACTTACATGTACATATAGTTGCTTGAGAGGTTAATTATATAAAGATAGTGCTGGTGTTCGAAAACAACATAGGTTCCAATGGGACGTCGTGGTACAGAGCTACCTGCGATTTCACCTATCCCATGTGCACGAGCTTTGCACACTATGGACTTGACAAGCTCCAGGGAAACTGGTGAATGAAGCTCAGGGGGTTCGAGGAGTATCTTGAGCCTAAGAACGTTTGAAGGACGACATTAAGGACGTTGAAAACACGCCCGACTATAATTATTTAATGTTTGTATCCGTGGACTCAAACGGAGTCAAACTCAATTACTTCCCATTCATGAATTGTTTCGCCACTCAGTGCTTGTCGCGACTTGCGCTTGCTTTGTTGGCGCTCATCGTTCATCACACCCACCATGGTACGCACAATCATTAAAGGCGGTAAGTTGATATTCCATATAATATCATTGTACGTTCTCTTACTTTGGTGCATAGGCGTTTGGCAGAACACCGAGGACGAGGTTCTGAAAGCCGCTATTGCAAAGTACGGGAAGAACCAATGGTGCGTAGTCATTGCCACTGCATCAGCCTTTACTCACCGTCCCGACAGGGCACGTATTTCTTCTCTTCTGGTTCGCAAAACACCGAAGCAATGCAAATCACGCTGGTACGAATGGCTCGACCCGTCTATCAAGAAGACCGAATGGTCCAAGACAGAAGACGAGAAGCTCCTTCACCTCGCCAAGCTCATGCCCACACAATGGCGTACGATCGCCCCCATCGTTGGTCGTACTGCCACCCAGTGCTTAGAAAGGTACCAGAAGTTGCTTGATGAGGCAGAGGCGCGGGAGAATGAGGAGCTTGGGCTTGCTGGACCTGGTGCGGAAGCAGGGCCTGCTGAAGATATCAGGAAACTCCGGCCTGGTGAGATCGATCCTGATCCGGAGACGAAACCTGCTCGACCCGATCCCATCGACATGGACGAGGATGAGAAGGAAATGCTCTCGGAGGCTCGGGCGCGTCTTGCCAACACACAGGGCAAGAAGGCGAAGCGAAAGGCTCGTGAGCGTCAGTTGGAGGAGGCACGCCGATTGGCTATGCTCCAGAAAAAGCGTGAGCTGAAGGCGGCTGGCATCATCATGCGGCTCAAATCGAAGAAGAAGGGCATGGACTATAACGCCGACATCCCGTTCGAAAAGCAGCCTGCTGCTGGATTCTACGATACCTCTGAGGAGCAATCAAAGACGTACGCTGCGCCTGTTGGACAGTCCCTCCGACGGCTGGAAGGCAAGCGAAAGCCAGAAGAAGAAGAGGCAGAGCGTAAAAAGCGACAACGCAGGGACGCAGAAAAGAAAGGCACCCCTCAGCACCAGACACAATTTGTTGCGGCCCGCGATGCACAAATCCAGAAGCTGAAAGAAGCGGAGCAAATTTCCAAGAGACGGCAACTCGTTCTACCCTCGGCCCAGGTTGGAGAGGCAGAGTTGGAACAGATCGTGAAAATTGGTCAGGCGGGCGAAAATGCGAGAGCACTGGTAGCGGGAGAGGGCGACGAGGCCAGTGGTCAATTGTTAGGGGAATACGAAGGGTTGTCCCAGGCTCGAATGGCTCGCACACCCCGGACAGCACCGCAGGAAGACAACATCATGGCCGAAGCACGGAACCTGCGCAACATGACGCAGACGCAAACGCCGCTGTTGGGCGAGGAGAACACACCAATGCACGGACCAAATGCACCTGGTACAGGGTATGAAGGTGCAACCCCTCGACGTTCGGTCAACTTCACTCCCAATCCTCTGGCTACCCCTCGGGAAAACGGTGCTCTCGATGTATCTGCCACCCCTCGGACCGATGCTGGAAGCGCCTATGGTCAGACTCCACTTCGTACACCCATGCGTGACAGCCTGAACATCAACATTACCGACGATGGTTCAGTTTACGGCATGACACCCCGCGCTGGCCGCGGTCAGCTGACGTCCGCGAAGCGTTCCTTGAAACCAGGCTTCATGAGCCTACCTGCTCCCAAGAACGATTTCGAAGTCATGATGCCGGAGGACGAGGAAGAAGAGGAAGCGGAAGATGGCGTGAGCGTGCGGGAGGAGGATTCCGCGGAACGAGATGCACGCCTAAAGAGGCGAAGAGAGGAAGAAGAGCGCAAGGCTTTGGCACGCCGCAGCACAGTCGTTCAGAAAGGTTTACCAAGACCACCGAACGTCAATGCTGCTCAGATTCTGAAGCAACTTATGGCCCAATACTCGGATGAAAATGAGGCTGCTGCAGTGGAAAGGCTCATTGACACCGAAATGGTCCTGTTGATGAAGCACGACTCAGTGGCTCATCCTGTTGTCGGCACCTCAATTGCCGGTGGCACCCGATCAACATATGTTCAACCCGATGATGAAGCGATAGCTTGGGCCCGAGCGGCAGTACATCATGAATTCGCAGAATCTCTTGGCTTCCCTGGTGCGAATGAGGATCAGATCAAGAACATGGTTGTCATGCTCTCGGCCGAGGAAGAAAAAGAGACACGTGACATAGGATGGTCGAAGATCAAGGAAGAGATGTGCTTCGATGCCAAGACACAGACATGGGTTGAGAAAAATGCCCTTTCTCCCGCTGATCGGATCGAGGGGATGTCGGCACTCCTCGATTCGTATCGAGATCAACTCAACAAGGAGGGTGTGAAAGCCGGAAAGGCGGAGAAGAAGCTTACTGTCACTCTGGGAGGCTATCAAGCTCGCTTCACAGCTCTTTCAAAGCGGGTTGGAGATGGATTTGCGGATTTGCAAAAGACGCATGGTGACCTAGTCAACTTCTCTCAGTTAGCAGCTCAAGAGGGGGTCAACGGCCCTCGCCGGCTTGAGAGCTTGCGGGAAGAAGTTGATGTACTCGAAAGGAGGGAAAAGAGCCTGCAGGGTAGATATCAGGAGCTTGATGAGGCTCGTCGTGAGCGGGTTGAGCGTATTGCTGCTCTCGAGGACCAACTGTTCGCAGATGCGGAGGCAGCGAATGAGGCAGCCATGGAGGAGATGGACCGCGCGGCTGGTGTTGACGTAGAGATGGCATGAGCCACTTCTGTATTTCAGACATGCATTAGTAGTATACACAAGGTTCCAATCATATTATCTGGGCTTGCTGATGGTTGTCCTGGATGATGGTCGCTTTGCAGCATACCCTCCACGATTGACATACAGTACACCCAATGAATTATTTGGACATTTGACGGTAACAATGTCCAAGCCAACATATTCAATCAACAGTCTCAAAAAGTGTCCGAACAGCGAAATCTGTTCTGCGAGCGGAATGCTTCAAAATTCCCACGTATTCCAGCTCTTGGACAGAACGGACGAATCGCACCTGCAGTTCTTGTTCACGCTCCTCTGCTTCTTCCTCTGCCGACTTGCCGCTGGCGCGTGGGCCGTTGACCTGCTTGCCATTCACCTTTGCCCTCCTACGTTTTCTGGGCGAGGGGGTTTCCTCCTGCTTTGTGAAGTGCTCTGCTTCCTTCTCGACAGCCATGGAAAACGACTCAAACCAGTCCAGGAGGTTGATCTTCTTCCCAGCCTCAAGTGAACGAAGGAACAAGATGCTCGCGTCCGGATATGTGACCAACTCCGCTTCTTGTGCCTTGGTTGTCCCTGCCTCGTGTTCAGGGAGCTCGAGCTTCGCTTCGAGCCAGGTCATGGGCTGCATAAGGGCTGCTGTGATTCCAGATCGGGCGGTTGGGTTAATGAGCTTCAGAGGATGTCAGCGATAGTCATGAGAATGAAGAGTTCACTGACATCCATGGCATAGTCAACAACGCCGTCCAGACACAAAGCATCATACAACGCAAGATCAGACATCTTGACCAGCCGAGCCCTGGACCACGATTAGAATCTCTCGCTGTTCAGCTAAACCCCATGTACTTACTTAAAATACTCCTCCAGCTTCACACCAAAATCTGCCAACGCCTCCTCGTCCTCACCAAGATTCTTGAACACGACAATATCCTGTCTGAGCTCTTTTTCTTCCCGCCGCACATGCTGGGGCCACCCGTCACATGTGGTATGTAGTACTTCGAGCAAGTCCTGAAGTTGCTGGAACTCCATGCGCCTACAGCAGGTCAACACAACTGGTCACGCACGGAGGATCAGAACTTACTTCACGAGTGTGACAGCATTATTAACCACATCCCTCAGGCGACCTTCTAAAGCGGCCTGGTACACATCCAGCGTCCGCATCCTTGGCTCCCACACCCTCAGTCCCAGAGTTGCACAATGTTCTCTGATCGCCAGGAGAACCATCACAGCACTCCGCGTCCTTCTGGTCATCTCATGAAAATTTCCTCTCGCAACGGCGACAAGGCCAGCAAGGTCTTCAGTATCACCTAGATAGAGAGACCGGTAGGACCTCTTGAGCCGGCCCTGCGGTTCCAGAGCGAATAACGTTTCGTCCCTTCCTGAAAGCGCGGCTCGAACGTAATCAGCCCAGTTCTCCCTCCCCTCAAATAGGACCTCTCCATCTCCCTCGTTTTCTCCCAACGCGGGAAGGGAGAGCACGGCTCGCGGATCGTAGAAGTGGTACATATGCATCACTTGCAGTGCGGATGTGAGGCCCGCAGCCGGGGTGGCGTACAGTGTGCTAAGCTCTCGAAGGGCATGGATGCCAATTGGACCAAGTGCGATGAGTGGCTCGAAGGAGGGGTCGAAGTATAGCTGTGAGTTCTTATCAGCGCCTGCTGAGAATAGGCAGATGATAAACTCACCCCGCGAATAAGGTGCTCTGAAACAACCTCACCCGTCGGCGCTTGGAAGCACTCCGTCTTCAGGCCAATTAGAGCCGCCCGGGGCATCGCAGTCTGCAAGTACCCCGCGGTGGTCGAGAGGGTAAAGAGCAGCCGGAATGGCAAGCGGGGAGCGTAGTAAGCCAGTAGTTCGAGTAGGTCTTGTAGGATGAGAGGGTCGAAGGACTCAATTTCCTCTAAAGTAAGAATAATGTGGGGTTTGTGCGCTGGGATAGGGAGTGAGAGTTCAGGAGACAAGGAGATGTAGAGAACGCGTACTGTCGGATGCATCTCCGAAAGCTCTCTGATACAGTGCTGCGACACCTCTCATGTCCTCTACTTCTTCTGCATCTTGCGTACTATTTGAGATATAACGCCCGAGCTGTGTCGCCAGACTCTTGGTAACGATCTTGAGTGTCGATGCCAAAGTTGAACAGGCACGCGCGGCTAGGCGCACGACGACACCTCTTGGTAAACCCAGCTCCCCATCCCCAACTGAAGAGCTATCATTCTCCTCAGAAAGAAGCGGGTCAAGTGCTTTCCAAAGCGCGACGGAGATGGTCGATTGATCTGTGGAGATGAGAAGTGCAGTGGGGATCTCGACCTCCAGCTGCAGTGCTGAGTCGTCCCTCGGTCGATCGTCGAGCAGGAACCGAGAAACGTCTTGCACGACAGGTGCATAGAGTTTATCTAGTATACCCTGTAACGCACATCAGAATGGAGAGCTAGATAATAAAAGACAGAGACGCACGCGTATTCGAGATGCGCATCTGGACCAGACTGCTTTATAGGCGTCGAGCCTCAACAGCGCCCCGTCTACGAAGTCTACATCTGGATTGCTGGATGATACAGGACGTGGGGCGACATCATCCACTTCATTTTCGTCGAATGGTATTATCACGACGCTCTGTGCTTATCATTAGTTTTGAAGAGAGAGTCAAGTATTGAATTGCTTACTTGGTTCATGTTAGACGAGCGCTAAGTTTGGTGCAGAGGGGTTCAGGCGCGTCGCGTTTACGACGCGACCCACATGCCATCGAGCGTTCATCACTTTGGCAACGTTCATATCTAAGTTATCACCTACAATCTATGCGATGTATCTCTACTGCCTCGTGCTGGGTATTAATGTGTTGTGATCACAAAGGATCTCGTCGTCCGAGGCTTCGCAGCCCCTGCCATTGATTGTTTTCTAACTAGACCTCAACATCGGGATTCGAGCGGATTGGTATAAACATCACTGCAGAATGTTCAAATACACGATTATTGCATCGAAGTCTATGAATATTCATGAGAAGTCTGGTATGTCCAGATATGTATCGGCGCAATGTTCGCCCTAGTCATGTCGGTCGGATTCGGTAAGGGACTGACTTAGTCCGTACTGAAAATAGTAAGAATTCATTTGGCAATCCCTTATCTAACCCGTATGGCCAGCTCTCGTGCACGTATCAGTCCTTCAGCAGCTCAACAGAGGGCATCTGGTACTTCTAAGCAAACGACCACCATGCAGCGGCGTCACTCTTTTCACAGCTTGTCGAGCACAGTGGACGAGAAGAGCTTGAACAACGAGAGCAAGCCGAGGCATAGGCATGCCCAGAGCGTCAAGCCAGTGCTGGTTATCCACAGTGGTGCAGGGGTGATGCGAACCGAGTACGTCCTTGCTTTCTCCTCTTTCAATCCTTGTTAAAGCGAGTGCAGCACCCCAGTCGAAGAACAGGAGAAATATCGTATTGCATTACGCGGTGCGCTCAAAGCCGGCCACGCCGTGCTCTCTGCCGGAGGGGAGTCGATCGACGCCGTCACGGCTGCAGTGTCATTCATGGAAGACTGCCCCTTGTTCAACTGCGGACATGGGGCTGTCTTCACCCGCGAGGGGACGAACGAGCTCGAGACCTCCCTCATGCTCAGTAAGCCGCCTTCTGCTGCTGTTGGCCCCGCCCCGATCCCGCCTACGAGGAGGGGAATAAGCGTCACCCTCGTCCGGCGTGCCAAGAACCCCATCCAGCTGGCCCGTGCACTATATCTCAACCCCCAAGCAACACCGCACTCCATGATGTCTGGTCCTGCAGCCGAAGAGCTAGGAGCAGCATTTGGCGGCCCGAAGCTGGTGGACCCGAGTTACTTCTGGACCGAAAAACGGTGGAGAGAGCATCGGAGAGGATTGGGCTTGCCCGAAGAGCCGCTGCCAGAACATGGGAAGCACGGAGAGGGTGAAGGAGGGGATATGATGGTCATGCCGAAGGGGACTGTGGGTGCTGTGGCCCTGGACAGCAGGGGATGTATCGCCGCCGCGACCAGTACGGGCGGGCTGACGAACAAGATCCCTGGTCGAGTTGGGGATACACCCGTCATGGGCGCTGGGTTCTGGGCAGAGGAGTTCGAGGTTTCCGGGTGGGTGAGGAGGAAGCTCAGGAAGTTGTTCAAGGGCACTGCTAAGTCTGGGGTGGGGATCTCGTGCACGGGCGATGGCGACTACTTCATTCGCCGTTCGGCGGCGGTGGAGGTCGCTCACCGTATGCAGTTCCTTGCCCAGCCGCTCGCTAAAGCGTCGAAGACTGTGATAGAGGAGCTACGTGTGGATGGCGGCATGGGTGGGCTCATCGCTGTTGACCTGGCAGGGAACTACTTCTTCCCGATGAACTCACCTGGTATGTATCGGGGTGTCATCACAGAGGAGGGCATCCCCAAAGTCGCGATCTTTGACTTTGAAGAACTCGAGTGACCTTAGATTAGATTGCTGCAATGTATTAGACTAGAAGATGATACATCGTTTCTAGCTGTATGGAGCAGGTTGGGATTCCAGTTCCTTCGCTGGAGGCGGCGGTGCCGCCTGAGCAGCATCCATGACAGCTTCTGGATCAACAGGTTGCGGCTTTTGCTCTTTTGGAGCAACACGCAGATGCTCGGGGACGTCGAGATGCGAGCCGGAGAAAGCTGTTCTCGCGCGGATCTCGGGTGGAATGGCCAGATATCCTCGGTTTCTTCTCCAGTTGGAATAGTAAACTTGGAAGACTACGGTGAGCACGCACCCTTGTTCAGAGGAAAAGAACACTCACGGATATCCTTCTCTCGCATGGGAGCAGCCAACTTGTGTTTCATATCGCCTTTCTTCAAATCAAGCAAACCTAGGGTATTGTAATGCCTGCACACCACAGTTCCTCCAGCACCCTCAATAGCTTTAATAGCACTTTGCGATGCGCGGGAGACGATGATGTTGATGGCGGTGTGGAAGTATTCGGCACCCTAACCATCGATCAGCCGTTTGGTGCAACTGTTTCTTTGCAATACGCACATCTCCTAGTAATTTCACGCCATCGTGCATTTGATGTACCACTCTGCTCTTCACGAGCTCTGTGGCCGTGATGGCGCGATCTTCGTGCACTTCTACACGTCCTTGGTCGATCCAGAACTGTAACCGTTCTAAATTTAAGGGTGCATATTCACGAGAACCACTTGATCAACGTTAGTCACTAAACATGCTATGCTTGAATATTGGTACATACGGATTGTGGAATCCACGCTTGGGGAATCGTCTTGTCAATGGTGTCTGACCACCCTCGAATCCTGGTCGGGGACCACCCGAACGAGCGTTCTGACCCTTGTGACCCTTCGTCGACGTCCCTCCTCTTCCCGATCCTTGACCCCTACCAAGACGTTTTCTCTGCGAAATACGAGTTATATTCTACTTTTCACAGAAAGCAAAATCATGAGCGCACTTGTTTTGTTGATCCCGGGGCTGGTGCAAGATTCCCGAGAGTGATCCTCGCTGCGGGCGGTCGTGTCGCATAAGACCTTGTTGGGTCCAAGAAGGTGCGTGGAACAAAAGTTGCTGTATTTCTCACTGTCGCCAGTGCCCTCCACGATGCGAGTATCGAGTTCATCGTCGTTTGAGCGCGATGAGAATGGTGTGTGAGCGCTCTGTGCACAAGACTGACTGAACTGCCCGTTATGGATTTCAGGGACTTTTTGGCTCCGCACTTTTCTCGACCACTTTTTGCTACTCCTCGACCATTTGACTAGTAACTCACTATGAGCAGAGGATTTAACAACAGGGGCAGAGGTTTCAGCAGAGGTGGTGGGAGAGGTGCGTGGATTTCCCTCCCTTGAGACTGTTTCACTCAAATTCCCGATACCAGGCGGTGGGGGTGGGTGGAGCGGTGGACGAGGCGGCTTTCAGCAGCGAGATATGGGACCTCCTGACCACGTTCTGGGTGTGTTCTATAATGTCAATCATCACTGCTCCTGGACTGACGCAAGATGGCAGAAATTGGCACGTTTGTACACGACGTCGAAGATGAGATGCTCTGCACTGTGTCAATGCCGGAGAAGGTGCCATACTTCAACGCACCGATCTATCTGCAAAACAAGTCCGTCATCGGCAAGGTTGATGAAATTCTCGGGCCAATAAATGAGGTTTATTTCTCAGTGAAGATGGGCGAGGGGATGGTCGCGAGCAGCTTCAAAAAGGGGGACAAGGTTTACATTGGACCGGACAAGCTGCTACCGCTTGACCGCTTCTTGCCAAAACCCAAAGTAGCCGGAGAAGGTAGGTCATATTTCATATAAAAACATCAGCGCCCTGTTTAATCTGTAATAGTTAAGAAAAGGGGACGCGGTGGTGTCGGTGGACGTGGGGTACGGGGTGGAGGACGCGGCGGGTTCGGAGGACGAGGAGCACCAAGGGGCCGTGGTGCGCCTGGAGGATTCTCTCGGGGAGGTAGCCGTGGAGCCTTTGGTGCACCTCGCGGTGCACCTAGAGGAGGGGCGGGCCGTGGCTTCGCTCCCCGGGGACGTGGGGCTGGTGGTGAGAGCCGTGGTTTCCGAGGTTCCTAGACGCCAGCGTCGCTCACCTCTTTACCATACATGTACCACGTGTAATGTTAGCTGGTTTCCGATAGGAGTTGCCGGTGGGAATATCTTGTGTGTGAGATAAATGATGGATTAAGCATTTGAGAGCCGGACACTATGCACTATAGTACGGTTGCGAGGGGGTAAAGATAAAGCAAGGGGAATGAAGCATGAAAGATGGGTATTGATGACAAGGTCAAACAACACGACCCTGTACTCATTGATTGAAATCATCTAGGGCGCCGCGATTTCCGCAAGTGGACAAGAAAAGAAAAGGGAGAAAATGAGCGTTCATAACTGAGAAAAGAATGGGTCTAGTACCCCCTAGCAGAAGCGGTTGCAGTCTACAACAGGGATGAGAAGTTCCCAAAGGAGTTTACGCCACATTGCTCACAGTATAACCATTTGTCTTTGCCACCATTTGGCGAGATGTAGAACTATAAGAGATACCTGACGTTTGCGGAGTACGATACGCCCTGTGAGCGGATGCCGACCCCAGTGTAGTGGAGATACTTGGCGTGGACGCAATGGGCGTTACGGGAAGCGCGCTGCCGCTGCCTCCCATGCGATTTGTGACCCGGGCTGTCAATGGCGTGGGAGCTCCAATCTGCAGAGGCCGCGTCCGAGTGCTGGCAGAGAGACTTGACGACGTAGACGACAATAATTGCCGTGCAATAGCCGGAGTCGCGGGAGAAGTTACCCTGCCACGTCGCCCTGCGGTGAGGAAAGGATGACGAAGCGCAGGTTGTGGTTTGAGCCTGCGCTCAGGATCCCATATCAAGCACTTGGCAATGAAGTCTACGAAGTTCTCGTCGTCACTCTTCAAAACCTGCTGCAATGTTTTGGTACCAGGGCGCCGCCGCCTACCCTTGGAGTTTACAACAGGGCGAGGCTGTCCAGTAGATTCTGACAGCACGGTCAATGTTCATCTATAAATCCGAGACAGCGCACATACCGAAGAACAGTCTCTTGCGAGAGCTCTTTTCGATGAGATACTTGTCCGGCATCCCAAGCACTTCCATGATGCAGGCCAGCTGCTCCTGCTCGTTTTCACCGGGGAAGACGGGGAAACCAGTGTGAAGCTCTGCAAGGATGCATCCCAGACTCCACATATCGATCGCCATATGGTAGTTCATGCCCAGGATAACCTCAGGGGAACGATAGAATCGACTTTGAATGTATGTGTACACTGAACAGTATTAGGGAGACACTCAAGTTAATACATATAAACGTACCCTTTTCGTGCTCAAAGCAACTACTACCAAAGTCAATCACCTTGAGTCCACTCTTGCAGGGATGCATCAGCAGGACATTCTGGACCTGGGTTAATTTCGATGCTTCGGACCGTTGGTTTTAAAGTCTCACCTCAGGTTTCAAATCGCAATGGACAATTCGATGATGACGCATCAACACCAGCGCGGCCAACATCTGGCTAGTAAATCGCCGGATCAAAGTGGTAGAGAATCCAACGAAGCCATTTGCTTTGATGAGCTCATACAAATTGATGCTGAGAAGCTCCATAGCAATGCAAAGATGGTTGCGGAAATAGAAATGTTCGGTCATCTTGATCACGTGATGTTTTTCATCCGGATCCTGAAGTTCAAGGTTAGCGGCGTTTCGACCAAGGCACCGTCAGATTACGTACCCATTTTCTCAGGTTCTCCAGAATCTTGATCTCTACGAGCGCCTGGTGATGGAAGCGTTTCTTGTTGCGAATGATTTTCACAGCCACGGATTGCCCGGTGCAATGGTCACGACATTGGAGAACTTGTCCAAAGGAGCCTTTGCCGAGGGTAGTGATAACCTCGTACCGATAATGAAGATGATCCTGGTCAATGATATTGTAGTCACCGCGGTCATCATCATAGCCGTAGTTGTTGGTTGAGTTGTCCAAAGTAGCCATCTTCTTTTCGCTTTCTTGACCATAATAATAGACCTGAGGATAGTCCAACACTTCCCGCCGCTCATATTCCGACAGGTACGACACCCGACTGCTCCGGAGCAAAGCTGGAACAAAACATAAGACTTCGCAACAATTGTAGGATGTTGAACTTACACGCAGGGGTCTCAGGAGGAGTTGGTGGCAAAGGCTCGGGAAATTTGAACATATCATCCAGTTCTTCCTTTTTGGCTCCTGAAGTGAGCTTTTTCATCTGTTGCCGCTTGACGTATGCCATCATCTCCTCATCGCCCAGGCGCTCATCCTCATCAACAGAAGAAGCTATCGGTGAAGGGGTTCCCGACTCTGTGGTCCTAGGTCTTTCAGAGGTAGAGGACGCATGAGACGGAGTAGGGAAGATATTCGGTGCTGTGGCGGAGTTCGGAATGCGAGACGCTGGAACAGCAGTCTTAGCAGGAGTTGTCTTTGGCTTCAGAGGTGATGTGTTCAGCGTACGCTGCTGAAGTAACGGTGCAGCAGAAGACTCCGCAGAAGCCGTCGTGCCAGTTGCAGCAGATGTAATGGACGCAGCTATTGAGTTGTTGGACGACTTACGAGTAGCTCCCACCGTGCTGCTGCCACCTTGTGTAGCCAAGCTGCGAGTCGATTTCCCGATGGCGCTGATGGTGCTAGATACAGGTGGGACAGGAAGTTGACGAGGTACACGAACAGGGGATCCTCCTGTTGATGCCTTTTGCGTAGCGGAAGCCGATGACGAACTGGCTTTCGAAGCTTCTGCCGGTTCAAGCACGCCGAATTCGTTGGGAAAGCCGGATTCACGCTCCGAAGGGGAAGAGTCGATCAGGCTTGTAGCCGACACGGGGTTTAAACTGGCCCGTCGAGAACCCATAACGGATGCCTTTGTGATCGTCAAGTCTTTCACGGTATGCTGCGGAGAGGGGTCACGGCCCGCTGAGCCTCGACTTGAGATGCGCGGTATCTTAGTGGGCGTGTCTCGCTTCGATGCATTGGCGATAAAGCTGGCAGAGGCAGACTCGTACATCTGCTGACCAGGCTGACGGATGTTTACCTCCGAGCTACGCCCACTACGGGGATTTGCGAGAGAGGGAGACCCCGCGATCGTGGGCAGTTGTTGGCGACTGGCACGGATGTCCGTGCCCTTGTGCAGTACCTGAGATGCGGGCAAGGGCGACACCTGGGAGCGTGATGCAGCGGTTCGGATGGATGAGTTCGATGCAGTTGAAGTCGCAGACGACTTTAAGCTTGCCACGCGTTGTGCTGTTACAGGCGGGATAGCAGAAAGGTGCATCGGCGGCAGCACCACCGGCTTTGGAGATCTGGCAGGTTCCACCGCAGACACGGTCTGAAGGATGGGTCAGTCAAGCAAACTTTGGTAACCAATGAACCCCTGGGCGTACCTTTCCGCGCTTCCTGCCCATCAAAGCGGATATACGACTTTCGCTTCTTTCCTTCTCTTCACCTCGGCGCTTCGGGGGGGTCTCTTTCTCCACCAGGTTCTTCTTAGATGCCGATTTGAGTAAAGCAGGGAAACCAAGACCAAGAACGCTCGACTTCTTTGAAGCGGCGGTTGAAGTTGGACTTACCGGCGGGGGAGCATTAGAGGGGGACTTCTCAGGTGCACGAGGGGGAGAGGATGACGATGAAGAGAGTGTTTGGGGTACAGTGTGAGATGACGACGTACGGCGGAAGAAAGAGATAGGGATGGCGGAAGGAGTTAACCTCTTGCTCGTCGAGGAGCGCTTGACCGCAGTGGGGGCGGAAGGGCTCAATGGGGTGGCATACATGTCAGGGCTCTTGGCGACAGCAGAGCCAGACAGGTTGAGACCAGTTCGAGTGGAGGCGGACGACGCAGTCTCCGCTCTGCTCAAAGGCGACCCAAAGCGCTCGCCCAACTTTGAAGGACTTTGAGTGAAGGTGCTACTGATGGACTGTCGGTAAGAAGGGCCCGGAGCCGGTAATGCTTCCGAAGCCTCAATCCTCGACCAAGATTCATCCACGCGAGATTCGAACGATTGGTGGGAGTGCTGAGGGTGGGGAGACCTGGGCGACTGTGGGGATAATTGAGCATTGTTATACATATCCTTCAGCGAAGCGTTCGAAGACTTCTGGGCTGATGGACGCTCCAAGCTGCGCAAAGCATTCGTGAAACTCCACTTCTTACTCGGCGACCGAGCTGTCGAGGTGCTGGAAGGAGGGGGTGGGGATGTGTGGATGATCTGGGGCAATTCTGACGGAGGGGGTACTATCACAATAGTACGATCCGGATCATCAGACGGAACCGAGGGCGAACCAGAAGCGAGTGGCATGTTTATGGAGATAGGGGAGTCCTGGGGCTTGGAGAGCGGGTAGGAAGGCGGCAGGTGAGGGCTGCTGTGGCTCGTCGAGTTCAGCCGTTGCCGCGTTGTCAATTCCTTTGGCAGCGGAGGAACAGGAGGGATGGGACCAGCATCGGCCTCCAAACCGCTGGAGAGGCCGCTCACATCACCTCCAGAATGGGTAAAGCTGTGTGTGCTGCCCTCGCTGCCTGCGCTGTTCCGCCTAGGGAAGACGGGTTTGGTACTCCCGCCCGATTTACCCATTATCGAGACAGGTGTTGTGTTTGCCGTAGACTGCGTCCCTGCAGTGGAAACAGAGTCACGCGACCCGGTCGTGTTCGTGGTAGGTGTGCTGGCAGAAGCCGAAGATGTAGAAGAGCGCTTCATCGCCGGGGCTCCGCTACTATACCCCGACTTGGAAGACAGCGACGCCGTCATACCACTTCCATGGGTAGCACCCCGTTTGAGGAGACCATATTCGTCCGTGGTCAAGTTGTCCGCGCTCTCCTCTTCGGCTGGACGAGAATGTACCTTTGTTCCGCCAGAACTATTCCTCGTACGAGGCTCGATGCCTTCCCAGTCCTTTCCACCGACGATACCACCGGGTGTGCCAGGTCGGCTGCCGCCCTCTCGACTCTTCCTCGAACTGATGGATATCATACTTGCCCTCTGGCTCCTGGGGGTCTTACTGACTCCATCGAGCTTGTTGAGCACCTCGACCGTCTGTTCGTCATAAACCGCCGGCCAGCCCTCTTGTGGACCTTTAGCGAGTAAATGATGGGCCAAGCGATCCATGGATGCTTCATGCTCGCGTTCTCTATCAGTACGATGGCCGCTTACCGGGGCAGGAGGACTACCTAAAGTTCCGGTAGACGGCGTAGAACGCAAAAACTGGGAGATTGAGTGGGCGGCAGGAGATGGAGGAAGATGGGAATAGTCAGTTTCGACATTGTATCGACGCGAGCTGACTGATCCTGACGACACATGACGAGAATGCGTCGATTCACCACTTGGTTGACGGTCCTTTGGTCGATCCCGATCACGTTCCTTCGAAGACGCAGCTGACGCTGTGGAGGGAATACGAGCAGAAGATGAGATAGGAGGAAGACTCTCCCGTGGACGCTTTTCCCGTTCCTTGGACTTGGACGCATCACGCGTCGCAGCTCCTGGCGGGGTACCGTTCCCAGAGGGGGCCGAAACGCCCAGCGACCGATGCTTACGCACCAGGTTTTCGTTTTCGTCCCCGTACGGCTTCTCCCGTTCCCGCTCGCGTTCACGGTGACGTTCTGCTCGCTCCTTCTCCTTGTCTCGCTCAGCGGCATTTAGGTCCTCGTCCGTGCGCTTCCTGCGCAGAACGTCACCTATGCTTGTCCGCTTAGAGGTAATAATCGGCGCAGATGTGATGGGAGATTTTGGTGTCAGAGTCGCAGGAGAATCCGCGACCCGCGACCGGTGCGAAGCGGGCGATGGGACCGAAACTGAAATAGGGGAGCGCACAACAACCGGGGAAGGCACAACGGTTCGGCTAGATTCCTTAGGTGACGCCTTGGTAGGAGACTTGACTTCTTCCAGGACAGCCGTTGGGAGAAGCTTGCTGGGTCGACTGGTACTGACGCGATGAGGCTGGAGCGGCTTGTAGAGGATTTGCTCTTCCAGGCCAGATTCATCAGCAGCGCTGAGCGAGCCTTGACGGTGAGATATGCGTCGTTCCCTCGTTGGGGGTTTCTGAGAGGAGCGGGTTGTTGTGGGGGAGGGTTTTCCAGGTGATGGTTGCTGAGGGGGCTCCTATTCACCTGTTGGCACGATGTATGCGCTCAAAAAAATTGGACACGCACCTCATTAGCCTCTTCTCGTTCGACGGCTTCGAGCGTCCATAGACTATCTCCACTATCTCGGCCAGTCCTATCCTGCGCCATCTCTTCATCTGAAAACTCGTCAAGGCCCTCTTTGATACGCTGCACCGCCTCCCACGGCATACGCGTGGCGGCCGTTGTCCAGCGAGGGGTCGCAAGCTCGCCAACGCCGACAAGACCGCGTCTGTCGATGGAGGCGGCCATGTCCCTGTTATAGCGTGCGGGAGTGGCCGGCTGACTTGGGTGGTTGTTCATAGGAGGAGGGTTGAAGGATGACAGGGGAAGGGCACCGTATTGATCGCGCGGCGGTGGGGGTTCTACAGGCTCCTGAGGTGGTGGGGACGGGTTCATGAAGTAGTATGGGTCCAAGGACGAGGCAGACGACGAGGCCGACAATGGCGGCTCGGGAATCTTGCTGTAGTCAATGGGGTTGGAGGCTGGTGTAAGTGAAATAGAGAAAGACGCCGAGACCTCGAAGATTGTCAACATCCGAGGAGAAATCAAAACAGCACCGCGACGTACATCTCGACTCCGACGCCTGTCGGCAATGCGCTCCCTCTCCTTCTCTTCTGTCCTGGCCGACTCACGCTCGCGTCGAACGGATGCGTCGCTTGCGCTTGATATCCTTGTTCCGGTCGGACGGCGATGTTGGGTTTCGCGCGGTTCCTGCCTGCGCGAGTCGTCCCTCGCCTTTTCGCTGCTCCGCAGCGACGAGTAGCCAGAATGTGAAGTAGAGAGATCGAGCGCTGGCGGACGGTCCTTCCTCCTCCAGTCTGCGTCCGGGGTGGTATCACTCATGCCTGCGACTGACTGGGGGGGGGTCACGTCTAGCAGACGGGAGTGACGAACATTTGGAGCGAGAGCGACGGTGGAAGCTGGTGAGTCTGGGGGATGCCTACGTGTTGCAGAAGTTATAGACAGCTTTTTGGGCGTGCGATCTGAGGGCATGAGAGGGGGGAGAGATAGGAGGAAAGAGTGGAATGGAGAACGTAGTGCTAGGAAGGATTAGCAGCGGATGGTGGACATGGAGTTTGTTGGTATCTGGAATCTGTCGTTGCTGAATTCGTCGATATGGGGAAGGTGTGGACGATGACCAAAGGTGGGAGGGGGGAGCGAGGAGGACGTCGAGGAGCAAGCAGGAGACGTCGTGGGAGAGATGGCCGAGCCTCGTTGCAAGGCAAAAGAAGCAGCGCCGACGCTCGACACCGTCCCCCTGGAACCAAAACAGCACGCGTTCGGGTGTATAATTCCACTTAGGTTTCCCCCCTTCTGTCTCTTTCCCTCCTTTCGACATCTCTCCTTTTCCTAGAACAAGAACATGGAAAATCCCATCAGATAATCGATCTGCGCTAACATATCTATCCTATTGCACAGATATTTGTGAACTCGGTGGAAAAGCCACGGCTTCGACCCAGGACGGTTACATACCAGCCTCTTCTTACACTACTCCCAAACAAGGAATGCAGATTCCGCTGGCAGCAACAGACAACCCGTGCTCTGCAATCTCTCTTTCAAAACACAGATGATCTGACAGCTCAGTCCCTAATAGAGTTGATAGATACTGCCAGCACTGCCCACGCACCGTGACGTGCAAAACACGCGTTGTTCACATCACACGAAACCCGAATCAATACAGACGCATGTGTACATAGATGGTCTAGCCAGTTCCAGCTCTTCATCTCTCCATCTCTGAATTCCTGACTTCTGGTTGCAGAGGAAGCAACGTAAAGATGACCAAGCGCGAACTGATGTGGTACAATTACCGACCGCCCTTCCGCTCCAAGCGATCAATTCCTCCTCCACAAATTTCGAGGGTCGCTTCTCCAGACATGGGTCAGAACGATCAAACGATCATCCGGGTCCAACCAACCCTCCAACCTAAAACCCTACAGCCCTTCTTCATTCAACCCCTCCATCACATTACATTGTCCATAGCGACATGCATGCGTGTGTTCGTAGAGCCAGATCTCCGGCAAGCCAGTACCGGATATCAGATAGGCATAAGTAGTTGGTCCGAACTCGAATCTTCTACAATATGATAGGAGTTGTCCAGCGGTCAAACTCCGACGCCGGAGCTCATCATCTAATCTATTTCTCTATCATCATCGTCTTCCCATCCTCGCCTCCAACTCGTGTTCACCATGCCCACCTGTTGCTAAAGTCAAAGTCAAAGTTTCCGTCCTTTAAGCTCGAGCTCTCACTTTCCCCGCTGGCAAAAAAGCAGCCGCTTATTCGCTTCCCTTCTTCCCCGCTTCCCCGCCGAGAGGAGAAAGATAACGCACGTGCTTCCCTTCTTCTGTCCGATCGGCTGATCAGACCGACAACTCTTTTTGGTGTGTTTTCCGGCGGTTCCCTCTGTGAGGAAAAGTTGTTGAGTGTGCATGGAAGGATTGAGTCTATCTTGGGGTAATACGGTGGAGTGACTCCTGAACATCGTGGTATGTATTAAAATAATCAAGCACATTATCTCTACAACTACACAAACCAGAACAACCAAGCCCTCATCCCTCATCCCCCAACACCTAATCATCCTCCTCCTCCATCTTCGTCTCATCCCAATCCATCTTATTATGCGCCGTAGCAAGAAAAACGTTCATCTGCTCGCGGTCAAATGTAAACTGGTCCCGGAGGAAATCCAGTCTCTCTACCCATTCCCGGTCCGTCTCCTTGTCGAGCTCGAGCGGGTTATAGATCACTTTCTCGTTGTAGGGGTCTTTTGGCTCTGGAGGGTCTTTGAGGACTCTGAAGGTGCGAAGAGAGAATTGCAGGCCTGGGTTGCGTTAGCTCATGTGTGAGGGATATGCGGGACACGCACTCTTCCCATGACTAGTAAGCACACAGACGAAATTATGCTCCTCGCCATACTGGCCCATCTCGATCGTACACTTCGTCACCAGCAGGTTGGTCAGGTCTTCATACAGGCACACGACAATACTGTTCTTCGTCGGACCTGCGCCGTGCTTACCGCTCGGGGTCGAGGGTGGGACGCCGGCGCGCAGCGTATGACCAGGTATGGCAGGCTGGATCGGGCGGTCTTCCCGTAGGCGCAGAACTAGCGCTTGTCAGTACTTTCGGGTGAGTAATGCGGTATACGTACGCGTAGCCTGGCTCTCCGCAAGCTGCGTCTTGAGTTCCTCCTCTCTCCTTACCCACTCCCGTTCCTTAGCCTCCCATTCCTCTCTCTCCTGCTCACGGCGTCTCTCCAGCGTAGGATCTACCACGAGCGGGATGGGAAGCGTATGACCTCGCCGATTGGCTTCCTGAAGCGTTGCGATCTGCTGCTGCAGCTGGGCGGTGAGCCTCGCTTGATCTACGCACAGTCAGGGGACATCAAGAACTAGAAATGCGAGGAGACACACCCTTGGCTCGATCCTCCGCCGCACGCTTGTAGTCGGCAAAGATCTTCTCTTGCTCAGTACCCTTCAACCGCACGAGCTCATCAAACTGTTGCGCGTACGTATCTCGCTGTTTCGTGACCTACAGCAGCGTTAATGAGGCCATGGAGTAGGGTCACAGCGCTCACCTCGTCCAGCTTTCGCCTGAGATCAGACTCGACCTTCACCTGACTGTGCGAGTTCGGTCGTGCACGATGCTCCTCTTCCTCTTCCTCAGAATCTGCATGCTTTGGCCTCCCCCTTCCCGCCCCAGTAGTAGAAGGGACCGTCTTCCTCGCAGTACCAGTAACCAGCTGTTTCCTAGGTCGAACCATGGGAACTGGTTCGGCCTCGTCCTCTTCTTCTTCTTCTTGAGGGGGAACGTGCCGTGAGGGCTGGGATGGGCCTGGGCGGGCGTTGTTGGTAGCAGCAGGGGGACGGGCGCTCTTCGACGTAGGCCGTGATGATGTAGTAGGTCGGCGTGTATGCGCTTCTCCGTAGCCTTCCATAAGGTCAGTATTGATCTAGAGTGAGAAGAGGGGCATACCTGTAAAGTCGTCGTCCGAGTCCATCAGGGATGAGGGGGTGAACGCGTGCAGGGACGCGCCGTTCATTTGTTATTCTACGGCGGAGGATAATCACGTGATAGTGGATAATAATTCGGGTCCGAGTCGCTATATGCGGGATCAAATGCATTGTTCATTGACTGATGACAACCCTTTCTACTCTTCACTCTCACTATCACTCCTCTCTTCTCTTCCACCACCGGTCTCCCATCCTCATTACACGCAAGGTCGTGAGTTAATTTTACATTTATTCTTTCATTGTCTACTTTCATTGTCTACTTCATTGTCCACTTCATTGTCCACTCCCATTCCTCCTATACTCATATCCACTTTCTCAAGTTATCACAATCCCCAATACTCCGCCTCCACTCTCAACATCATTATTCCATCATCGCTCTCAACTCCCCGAGTCCAATCCAAATAAAAAGAAATCAATTCAAAAATCCACGTGTAATTTCACTCACTTTTCATTCCACGTGAACGCCTCGATGATGCCTGACCTCAAACGTTCTCGCTCGCCGTCCGACGCTGGCTCTCCTTCAGGACACACCTCCAAGCGTGCAAACCGCAACGAGGTCAACCCAGAGGACGACACCTACCACGAACCGATCGATTCTCTCGCTCAGATCCCTGCCGACCAGCCAATGCTCGACGCAGACACCCCAGCAGCGGCAGATGGGTCGTTGACGCCCACCTCGCTCGCTCCGGCAGACTCGGTCAGCGTACAGCCTTCCAACTCCTCCCCGGGCGCGGTGCAGGCGACCATCACCGCCCCTCCTACTGATGCGACACCGACCGCGGACAAGGATGAGGAGAACGAGGATGGGACGCGGGAACCCCCGCCGCAGAACATCCATATGCGCGCTCTCATCGTCACCCAGGACGCCAGCATCATCATCGGCAAAGGCGGGTCGCATGTGAATGAGATCCGTGAGAAGAGCGGGGCGCGTATCACAGTCAGCGAGAGCATTCCTGGCAACCCAGAGCGTATCCTCAACGTCACTGGCCCGCTGGATGCGGTAGCCAAGGTGAGTCACCCCTTGCTGATCCCGTGACTCCTCGTGACTCCTCTGACACGCATACAGGCATTCGGTCTCATCGTCCGTCAGATCAACGACGAGCCGTTCGAGCAGCCCTCCGTCCCCGGCTCCCGCGCTGTCACCATAAAGTTCATCATCCCCAACTCGCGTATGGGTACCCTGATCGGCAAAGCCGGGAGCAAGATCAAGGAGATCCAAGAAGCCTCGGGCGCGAAGCTGCACGCGAGCGAGGGCCTCCTCCCTGGCTCTACAGAGCGCGTGCTCAACGTCTCCGGCGTGGCGGACGCTATCCATATCGCGACGTACTATGTCGGCAACTCGCTGCTCAACTCTCACCCGTCGTACAGCTCCACGCACGCGTCCTACAAACAGCAGCGGCGGCCAATGGCATCGACGACGTACTATCCCCCAAACACCCCCGTATCAAACTACGGCTACCCGGGCCCAGCAGCAGCCCCAGCGCCCGTCTCCCTACAGCAAACGCAGAACTTTTACATCCCGAACGACCTCGTAGGCAGCATAATCGGCAAAGGCGGAGCGAAGATAAACGAGATACGTCATGTTTCCGGTTGCCAGATCAAGATCCTCGAGCCTGGCCAGGGACCTGCACCTGGGTCGGGCGCTGTACAGCCCATGAGCGAGACAGAGAGGATGGTCACTATAACCGGGGGGATCGCAAATATCCAGATGGCGGTGCAGCTGCTTGCCAGTGTGCGCCCTTCCCTATACTGTCCCACCACTCATGGGCTAACAACGGATGAAACAGCGTATCGAGCAGGAAAAACAGAGGCTGGCACGATGATCCCCCTCCCGAGCGTTAACTAGCATGAACAAGTATGTCTGTATCATCTCGTCCTCTCCCTGTTTCTATTCCCCAACCCCCCCACGCCCACGCCCACAATTCCCTAGCCTTCGGCTTAAACGGACCGTCCTGCCCCTCCTCCCCTGCTCTTGCCCCTGCCCTGCTCTTGCTCTAGCTGTAGCTAGGCTTAAAATCACCGATAGTCTTTGGCTGAGGGTTAATGTAGAGTTGTGTGGGGGAATGAATATGTATCATTTATGTGCTCGTGTGCCGAGTCGTCATGGCCGATGTGCGCCGTGTACAGTATGGCTGCTACTATGTAGGTCTTATGTTTGGGATAACCGGGGATAATCTGAGATTTATCCCATAAGCGTCGGTCTCAGACCGACCTCAGATTGTCTCGAGGGACGCACTCAGAGCGACTTAGATTATCCCAGTCGACTGAAGTGACTGAAACCCCGAATAAAGCCCCATGGTTAAATCTGTTATGGGGAAATCACGATCTCTTATAGGGCAGAACTGCGTGATCATGGAGGTGAACAAAGTCGGTTGACGGACGCAAGTCCCGTATTCAGACCTCTGCTCTCTCACTGTGAAGATGGTAACCTCCTAGATCCTTTTAACACGGTGTAAACTTCCTCTAATGTGTGCTAGAAATAGGATTAAGATAATATGACCGGTTTAGTCTCTAGAATGCGGCGACCATGTGAGACCATCTTTCGGTTCCTTTTGACTGTTCATCCACATTCAGGGCAAGAATCAGAGATCGTTCTCTTCGTGGACATGTCAGCTGTATGTACCAAGTGTTTCACAAGACTATTCTAGGTATTCGGTGATCGAAACCTGTGTAATGAGCAAGATGATACAATGTCGCCGCATCAGAGCCTCTTGATCCGCGGATGCTTTTATTATATCTATGCTTCGGCAAGCTTATTCGGTTGTGAGGCGAAATGATGGTCGTCAAGGGTGCCCGAGAAGCGGGGGAGCGCAGCTTCTTGCATTTAATCTCGCCATCGATCGAGGCTAATCGATGGCGATAAGTCGGACAGGACAAACGGGATGACGATCACTTCCAACACAGCCTATTACAACTGCCTGTAGAACATTGTTTTTTATCGGCGGTATCGCATGAAAACAGAACAAACGAAAATACTAGGTCATAAATATGACGACGTCTAGACGAGAAGGTGATTCGCCGCTTGTGAAGACGGAACTTGGCTATTTATCCACCCTGAGCATCATGCTCAGACTTAGACGTCGGTCCTTTCGTGTGGTCGAGAAGGCTGACCAATCAATTAGCATAGATCTGGGAATGGGAATGGAGACATACTTTACTGTAGCACCGGGATCATCAGGCGGCGCCCTACCGTCGCCAACCATGATACGCCTACCTGCGCTCGGGACTCCATCAGCGAGCACGTACAGCCAGCCATATCCAGGCGGGTAGATAAGTGACGATGGTGGTCCGGCAATTGCCAGAGTCGTAACGTCGCTTGATCCTGTGGGCAGGGTGGACGACGTGCACACCAGTTCAACCAGACGAGAGTTCATGTGCACCGCGTGGGTGACGAAACCGAGATCCATGAGCGAGATCGTGATGTTGCTTGTTCCAGGCGGCAATCTCACTTGGACCGAAATCTCTTTGCGGTAAAGCATGTTCCCGGGCAAACCAAGGATGCTCGGTCTTGCCATGGCAATGTACGGGGGACTAAGCCATTCCACCCTATACTCGGTTTGGTATTCCACATTGGAGACATCGAGATTCGGGTTAGATCCTGCTATCATAATGTCTCCGCTGGGGACGAGGGTCGCAACCGAATGATACAGCCTTGGTATTTGACTCGTTGGCATGCCGTCGCTGCTGAAGCGTTGCCCGAGGGGTTTGGCGGGATCGTAAAGTATGGGTTGGAAGACAGGATGGTCCGCGTTGGACTGTCCAATTTGTCCCTTTACATTTCCATATCCTGCAATACCGGTTCGTCCACCATTCACAATCACGACCTTCCCATCCGGCAGGAGGACTGCGTCAGGCATCACTCGCGGAGTCGGCATAAGGTCGACTTCCCATCCGGCAGCAATGCCGGTCGGTGTAAGCGTCATCTGAACGCACTGGTCAGAGGCCGGGGCTTGAGAAGACAGTTCGTGTCCCGGCTTTGTGTCGTCAACAGCAGATCCCCCACAGACGACTATAATGGGCGTATAGTTGTTCGCCACAGCGAGGGGCAGGAGAACCGCGGTTCCTGTCATAGGATACGTCACTCGAACCCCATTCGGGAAACGGGGAAGCCGAGTTTCTTCATTCTTCTTCCAGTCGTAGATCATCGAGTCCTGATTGGCGGCTACAAAAACTGTTCCGTCAGGTAGTGTGAACGCAATCGGAAACAGGTTTGCATTCAGCGTGTCTTTGAGGAAACTTGAGGGGATCGGAAGCCCATTGTATCCATGGATGTTCTTGGGAGGAAAGAATTCGAAAGTTGGATTGTTCACGGTGGCATTGTTCATCCACCCGCCCTTCTTTGAACCACCCATGATTAGGGCCGATCCGTCGTCAAGTCTCGTGACGGTCACGTACCACCGGGCGCTGGTCATCCGGATATGATCCGAGTCTTCGAAGATATCGCATTTGTCGTCATCACATGGCGTAAACAAGCGAACAGCCTGTAAGCCATTAAGATCGCCGAAATCAGCCGCGCTGGTCTTGTCCGTCACAACCGGATTACCACCGACGCTGATGAGCGTACCATTCGAGAGGAACGTCCCACCTGCACAGAAGGAGTTTGACAAGACGTTCAATGGTCGAACATGGTCGGTTTCAAGGTTGTAGACAGCACCCCACGCGGGATGATTGTTCACCGTGAGCGGATTGTGTTCGACCTTGTCGAAGATGATGGCTTCGTTGTCCGAGACAACCGAGAGCTGCATCGCGGAGACTCCCGTGACTCCCCGTTGTACTAACGTCCAACTTGGGTGCGAAGACGCATCGAGGATCATGTCAGGTTTGTGCCCCAACTTGGCCGCCTTTGTTTGGCGCACTACTAGTGCATCGACGTCTGTCGTCGTTCCTTGACCTTGATCGGTGTTGACAATTCGGAGGGTATGTTGACCAAACACCAACTCGTCACTTGCCCAACGTCGTTGCTGGTATGCCTCATTCTTCGCGTATCCATCCGAAGTTCCGATCTGCTTCCCGTCAAGGAAGACATTCGTCTTCCCATGGGATGGTCCTGTGGTGCCAAACCACTGTATTCCCGTACCGGAGAACAAGTAGGTCATAGACGCACCCGGAGTGCTCGTCGAATGAAGGGTGCCGTCGACATACTTCGGGTTTGACAAGTTATGCCACGAATGAGACGAGAAGATGAGCGAACGTGACGTGTCATCAACTGACACAGAACCTGCAGGGACGTAGTAGGGCAGGAACGGCCTGCCATCGGGGATCGAGCCGGGTGGGGTGACGCCGTTCCATGCAGGTTGTGCGCTCCGATATGCTATCGAAATTGCGTGTATTTGGCGCCGGGAAATAAAGTCCTTGACATGGGGGGAGAAGCGACGTCGTAGTGCCGAGGTCCAGTGTCGCGGTTCAAGTCGACCAACGACTAGGTATACTTGAAGAAGCAAAAGAAGCGGTAAGTACACCTGCATACTTGGAAGTGACAGTTCAATCCAAGAGGTCGAACTCAGGAGACCAGTCGAACAAAGCATGAGACATAATAGCAATCATACCGGTACCGTCAGTAGTTGTCTAAGCCAGTCTGGAATGATAGTCGTCCTGCAACAACCGTGGTCCTGGCGTATGTAATTTTCCAGAGGACCGCATCCTTGTATTTTGTTGTCATTTCACTCAATAGAGACGATATTATATCAAGACGACTGGTTGAATAACAAGAAAAACATTCTGAGTGATGTTGTTGAAAGTGGAAGGTCGAGAGATGATTGGCGCCTTGCAACTCGCGCGCCAACTTTCATCTTCTGTTCACCACGATGCCGAAAGCAAAGATACCACCACTGCCCGTGCCCGGAGCGCTCTTCGCAATTGCCAAACCCTCAGGACCGGTCTGTATGACCATGTTGGATGGGATAAAGCCATTGATCAGCCAGTCACGGATATTCAGCCACCCATCCACCATCGAAGCGTCACAGAAGAAGGGGAAGAAACATCGCTTCAGACATCGGCCTGGGGGGATCAAGATTGGTCAAGGAGGAACTCTGGATCCTTTGGCTGATGGTGTACTCAGTAAGTCATACAGGTTTTGTGCTGCACTTTCTTGCTCATAGCTTAAGTCAGTCATCGGAATTGGTAAAGGCACCAAGAAGCTTCAGACTCACCTCGACGGCCCGAAGGTGAGCAATATTAGTTCCACACGTTTTTGCTCTCCTGAATGGTTTGTAGACCTACCGAACAACAGCGTTACTTGGGGCGGAGACGGATACCTACGATTCTGAAGGGAAGGTAGTCCGAACGGCACCTTGGAAGCATGTCACTCGAGAGAAGATCGAGAGTGTATTGGATCGTTTCAGAGGAGAGATCACCCAGCTTCCTCCAATGTACGCTGCAACGCGTTCATCCACTCCTCTAAGGCTATGCTAATACCGCCCAAAGATACTCCGCGCTTAAGATGGACGGGAAGCCATTATACGAATATGCGCGTGAAGGCAAGAGTCTACCTCGGCCTATCGAAGCGCGCAAAGTTACGATCCATTCCCTCAAGTGCATAGATTGGCAGGATGGCGCCCCACTAGACGGCGATGGCCCCGGGCATCATTTCGATTTCCCGAAAGCTCAGGTGTCTGAGAAGGACAAGGAAACGATGGACAAGGTCCGGGAGCTGGTCGTTAAGGAGGGAAAGGTTGAGGGTGTAGCAGGAGAGACGGAAATGGAAGCTGAAGCAGTGCCCGAAGCTCTTGATGAATGCAGGCCTCCCATCTTCAAGCTGGAGATGCAGGTTTCTGGAGGGACGTACGTGCGGTCCATCGTGCACAACATTGGGCATGCTATTGGCAGTGCGGCACACGTCGTGCATCTCTCCCGCACCATTCAAGGAGACTATCATTGTGATGAACAACCGGGAGACCCTGGGAATTGCATCTCTTGGTCGGTGTTTGAGAGGGCGATAGAGGAGCGCAAAGGGGATGGCCCCAGAACTGAAGACAAAAAGGATGAGGAGTGGACAGCATGGGAGGAAGCAGTCTTGGACAAGATGACAATTGTTGAATGAAGGCGTCCCTTTTCCGCTGAGAAGGCATTTCAGATGTAATATACTGCACTCTCTTCATAGGCGTTCGAGTCCGGCGTGCACAAGTCCACTATAAATATTGTTCTCTATAACTATCACACAACCGGTAAAATATGTAGATGATAAGATCTCTAAAGGACCCTTTCGACGTCAACATTCTCCCACTATCATTGACAAGTCCTCCAGGTTACATAGATGGCCCAGCACTTGCTAGTTGTTGGGGGCAATGGCTTCTTGGGTAGATAAATCATCATCTATATGCCAATACCAAGCTGACATGGCCTAGGATCGAATGTGTGCAGGGGGGCGGTCGCAAAAGGGTGGAAAGTTACCAGCATCAGGTGAGCAGGAGTACAACTGACCCTCAGCTTCGCATTGACAATTTCTATAGCAAATCTGGAAACCCATACCTGACACCATCGGGACATTCACCCGCCTGGACCAATCAAGTCAGCTGGAATGCCGCATCGGCGAACGAACCAAAGACATACGCACACCTGCTTCCCGGTGTAACGTCCGTAGTACAGACAGTGGGAATCCTTCTGGAGGGCAACTATAAGGGCGGCATTGGTGGTGCCTTGTCTGCTCTGGTCAATGCTCATAGCCCCAATCCTTTGAGCAAAGGCACTCCGGGATCGTATGAGGACGTAAACCGCGATGCAGGTGCGCCTGGGACATTCGAACCAAGTTCTCTTTGACTCATTTGTTCTTCAGCCATTTCCGTGCTTGACGCCCTTTTGGAAGTACCATCAGACGTCCGAAGGACCTTCGCCTACGTGTCTGCTGCGGACATCTTTCGTCCCTTGATCCCCGAGCGATACATCACCACCAAGCGCGAGGCTGAACGTCTTATTCAATCGCGAGCGGACCAGGAGGACGCCCATCTTCGCCCTCTCTACTTCCGGCCGGGTACGTGTGACTAGTCACCATATTGTCATAGCTGTTAACGTTGCAACAGGCTTCATGTTCCACCCGCATACGAGACCACTGTCAACACCTGTCGCATCGGTTCTTGATCTTGCCTCGTCAATCTCAGCATGCGCGCCGAATTTCCTACCTTCACCAGCTGGCTTCCTTCGGACGCTTTCCTTGGGCCAAGCAAAAGAACTATCACCGGCTAGCCATTCCATGGCAAATTCGTTGGAGACGAGGCCCATGCATGTTGAGAGTGTCGCTCGCGCTATTTGCGCGGCCATCGAACTGGATACTGTTGACGGTGTGATCGATGTTGACGAAATGCGCGAGCTAATTGGATGGGACAAGAGCAGGAAGGATTCACCAGAAGCACCCGCACCCGAAAGCCCATTAACGAACAATGTATAGTATGAGCTGATCTACTACTCCACTCATGTAATGTGCTATTAGTACAATAATACTTTATCACCCCTTAAAGCCAGCTTCCACCCAAGTACGCATCGCCTCTCGGTCCCCTTCTTCTCGTGCTCGCCGGAATGCAAGGTCGGCATAACCCTCATCGATATCCGCCCCGTACAGATGCCCTCCAGCTTTGCGCAGTTCCAGCACGATTGCCGTATGTCCACGCCTCGCCGCCTAAAGATACTCAGGGAGGCCTTTCTAGAAGAAAAGAATGATCCTACATAATATAATGCTGTGTGGTCCAAGGCGTCTCTCATGTGCACCAGCGCCCCTCCGTCAAGCAACTGCTGCGTACAAGCTACGCTTCCCTGAAGGGCTGCAATATGCAGCAATGTCCTCCCAGAAGCAACATCCAGTTGATTTACCAAGCTCGGTCCTTGTCGGCGCTGTCGCTGGGGCGATCCCAATGCTTGCATGGAATTCGATCCAGACAACTCTTCTTCCAGGTGCAAACACATATCCAGTGTTTCCACGTCATCTCTTGCCACCGCTAGCTGGGCTAGGAAAGGGAGCATGGCGAGATCACCAGCTTGTTGGTCGTCTGCAGTCGTGGTGAGAGCGACTGGCGCGGACATTGACTGTTGCCGACGCGGAGGTTTTGGCCGGTCGCTTGATAGTCGCATAATGCTCGACATGATGTCGAGGGTATGATTTGGAGCGGTCGAGAATGTCGTCTCGTCGGTCGGCACAGTCAGTTCACCGCGGAGCGGAACACCGACTAATCCTCGAACTTCATCCACTGGCATTCGCTTTGAAAGCAAGTACGCGAGTTTGGTTAATGCACACTGGAATAATGTTAGTATAATGCTGGAGACCCGCGTAGGGAGAGATGAACAGACCTCCGGGGTCATATCAGCGCCTGGTATCACTCCCAAATCTAGAAGAGCCCGACCGGTCTGGTATGAGTCGGATACTGCGCCTTTATGACATTGCGAGATTGCCACAATGACAACCCCTCGACTCGTAGCCTCTTTGATTGCATCAAGGACGTCCGGTCTGTTGGGGGCATTCCCGGCCCCGAATGTTTCAAGGACTACACCCTCGAGTGGGGGAGCGAGGAAGGCTCGGATGATGCTGCCCGTGATGCCTGGAAATAATCTCAACGACGCTGACGACTGCTGTCAGTTTCCCTCCAGCGCAGACTTGTTCGGCCATGTCTTACCTACATCCGAACACATCTCTTGGGAGAGAATGAGTTGATATTGCAATAAACGATGAATAAGGACGCTTACGCTTTTGTACTCTGAATGCCTTGGAGCCCATTGGCCTTAGCACGCTGGACCAGTTCACCTCGATGTTGATTCCAACTGCAGTCATCAGGACCTCGAAATTCCAGGCTGGATGTACAACTCACCTTCGACCAAAGGCTGAAGATTCGGGCTATCAAACGCATCAAAGTCGTCTGCGGAGACTTTGGTCACTCGATTCCCACGGAAAAGCTTGTGGTTGAAGTAAAGACAACATTCTCAGGGAAGCGTCAGTGAGACGGTCCAGCAAATACCATCCACCTACCCGGGATGATGTAGTGTCCAGCGATCGAGAGCGCTCCAAGTAGGTTCTCCACCGCATCGTTGCGGAGTTGAGATAATGGAATCTGTGCCCCAGTAAGGATGACCGTTTTGCCCAGGTCTTCGAGCATGAAGCTCAATGCGCTGGAAGAATAACACATCGTATCTGTCCCGTGCAGAACGACAAAGGCATCGAAGTTGTGATAATTCAGCTCAATTTCCGTTGCGATACGAATCCAATCTAGTTCCGATGTATCAGGAGCATAAATTTGGCATACAAGCCATCTTACCGCTAAGTTCCATATTACTGCTGTCTAATAACGGTTGCCACTACTCGAGAACGCATTAGTCGGATGGTTCGCGCTCGACCACAGAAGAAACCGAACTTACTTCCAGAATAGCATAATGTATGCGTTTCCTTACATCGCCAGACGCGTGTACGCTGGGAGTGATAAGACTTGGCATGTGCTTTTCATAGTACGGCACGCCGGTTGACGAGATGCCGGCAGTGTTGTGTGTCTGCGAACCATTGATCATGATGGGACGAGAGGAGCGGACAAGCAGAGTCGGTCCATGAGCTTCCAATGACGATGGCTCCTGTACAGATCCAGGAAAGGAGTGTGGAGTAGCAGCCCTACTGCTCGCTTGACTAGCCGCCCACGTCTTGAAGGAAGTACTGCTTTCCGCGTTGGAGAATAAAGACGTGCCTAGAGGATCATGAAACCGAGTTTGGGTACGAAGAGATTCTGTAAGCAAGTTCGGTTCTGGTGTATAGCCCTGTCCTGACAGTACCATGCCAATCGTGCCGCCTGTGTAGATGACAAGAACACGAGACTCGGCGCTTGTTGCCCTAGACATGGTCGAATAAAGCAGAGAGCGCTGGGATTGTTTCCGCGAAACCCAACCCTAGTGTTGGATCATGCGCGCATATATATATTCACCATCGCTCCGGTGTATTTTTTAAACACTAATACTTGTACTGCCTATCCCTCTAATCAGACGCATCTGCAAGATTATTTTGTCTTCTGCTTGTTGTCGACACTCGTCGTGTCATCATGCATCATCCCTACCTTTGCCATCACGGCTTTTCCTCCTGGATGGATAGCATTCAGGAACAAGAACGATAGGTATGCCAAGGTGCCTGCCCCGCAGTAAATAGCCACCCTGATGGGTAAGGGGTTGACAGTGAGGAAAGGGTATGGGACTGCAATACGTCAGTAGCTGTAGCTCGCCGGTGCGGCCTTCAGTCACTCACAGATGCCATCGTTCAACTCTCCAAGGTACTCGGTCAATCCGCCGTACCAGAAAACGAACAATAATACCATTCCCGGAGCTTGCATCCACATCTCATGCCAGGTGTATTTTTTCTCGAAGAGCAAGAAATCTAATGCCATCGAGATACCTGGCACAGCATGCAGGGCAAGGTCCAGATGTAGTGGGATGTAAACAACGACCAACTCGCCAGTGGTCTCTCCTGGGATGAACCCAAACGAATTATCTCCAACGGGCAGACGAGGTAAGATGAGATGAGGTGCGGTGAGGATAAGTCCCCAATAAATGCATGAGATGGTGCAAGCCAGCTGAACATCGTGATTAGAAGCACACGAGGCCGTAAGCGCCCGGAATACTCACTGCTATTGAGATCATTTGGAAATAGCGTTTGCCAGTTTTCGCAACTATCAGCGGGATTAAATTCAGGCAATTTGATAGAGGAAATGTCAACAGACCAGCGAAACTCGGTAAGAGATCACAGATCAGACCAAGCCAGATTGTGATAGATGCGAATACCAGCCTGAGGTGTCTTCAGCGCTGGTCATACGTGGTTTGGAGGTAATATTTACCCTTGTATAGTGAGGAATCCCCAGTGTCCACCCTTCCGAGCCATGATCAAGGGATGCATAGGCGATAATGAAAGGGAGTTGTAGGCCCAAAGCATGATGGAGGCCGCTGTGCCCTGTGAACTGCCTGTTAGGATGCATTTCCTCGCTGCTGAGGAATATACGGACATGGAATAACAATGGTACCACCGTCGACATTGTGGATGTACTGGTCGTCATTTTACAAACAGAAGCAATTTCAATCTATCTTCGTAATGCTGTGCGTCGGGGTGGTGAAGAAGAAGTCATTCAGTTGTCGCGCAACAGAAGCACAAAAAGGGTTCATCCAATAGAAACATTCATCACATTCTCTCCGCACCTATTCAGTCGCGTTTTTGCGTCGTCTTCTTTCCATTCCACCCCTTCGACATCCAACCGCGTTCCCCTCCTCGACGTCGACCTTCAGCGGCACCCATTACGACGTCTTCAATTATCTGTATATCCTTTTAGGAGCTCTTATATTCAGGCATCGGATTCTTACTTCACAAAATAACTGTCGGTCCCGGCGACGCTAAGAAGCGAAGGCTATTATTGTCCCACTAGTTGTCGTCAATCTCGCTCACTCTCACCGACCCGTAATCTGTTCTATTTTCTCTTGCTCTGGATCACCGCCGCATTCTATGATCCAGACCATCATCAAGACTGCTACTCACACTCGTTCATTCCCAATATTACGCGACTGAGCTCAAGTTACCGCAACAGGGACCTTGGTCTTTCCATATTAGTCTCGTCTCGAAATGGCAGCTGCAAGCGCCCCTTCCTTGCCTTCCTCTTCTAACCCTAATTCATACGTCGTCCGCGTTGACGCCTCGAGGTCCGATGAGCCAACCACATCACCCACAGACGACGCGACGGCTGTATTCTACGGTAACCGATCAGAGTCGCCATTTCGACGGCCTCGGAACATGTCGAACACGAGTCGTGGTACCGGTCCCTCTGGGGACGTAACCGAGCGTGCGGCGTCAATACGTTCTGCCACGCGCACGAATGCTGGCTCTTCAACGGACAAGTTACTCTCTCGTCAGCCTTCCCAACAATATGGTTATCCACGTCCTGTCATTCCTGGTACTGTCGGCCCAGTCCCAGCGACATCGGTGCATTCTCTTGCACAAAGCATCCAGCCGCAATCATCAAGATCCCATGTCCCCCACATTCATCCCCATCCTTCCTTCGTCAACGCACAGCGTACTTCTAACATGTCGAGCACGAGTCGCAAAGTGATCGACCCTACCTTCCTGTATCGGCCGCCATCTATCACCGTGTCCCGATCCGATAGACCGATACCCATGAGCACTCTCGGACGCCATCCTTCAGGACGATCTGCTCATTCGTCTCGGTCAGGAGCAAGCGGGTTGCATTCCTCGAGGAGAAGGGAGAGAGCGTATGAGAATAATCTCCCAGGTTACCAGTCCGATGGCTACCTATCGGATGGCCCACGTTCAGGCTATGGTTCGGACGGACCTCGATCTGGTTATGGCTCAGATGGACCAAGATCTGGGTATGGTTCGGACGGGCCGCGGGGTTACGTCTCAGATACGGGACGAATCAAGCGGATGCTGCCTATTGGCCCGGATCGATCTATGGCAGTTCATCATCCAAGCCTGAGTCGAAGGCACGAACCAGACCTACCCTTAGCTGGAGACAGGCGGAGCTGGGACAATCGTTGGGCCGAGCACGTGGAGACAATGGCAATTGGGCGAGGCGCTGGAGAAAGGAGACGTAGTACACGGTTGACGGACACGGAGGAAGAGAAGAACATCGGATTTGGCATGATCGTTCCGGAAGACGTTACCCCACCGGATGAACCCAGCTCTCCTCAAGAACCTGCCCGATCTCAATACGGCTCTGAACGTCGATACGGCGGGTCTGTTCGAGACTCACCTAACGTGCGCACCATCGAGTCTCTTCAGGACGAAGAGATGACCACTCAATCTGGCCAGACATCCGCCAAACGCCCACACTTCGCCCCGCTCCCTCCGCCTGCTTCCAAATCACAGAAGGTCACATTTTCATATGGCGATACGGGCGATAAGACGCACATACCACTGGCTCACAAAGCAACTGGTCCCCGGAATTATGAGGGTTACCCATCGAGAAATTCGTTCTATTTCAGGGGACACATTCTAACAGGCGGTGACAACCCTTGGCCATTCATTGCCAGCCTCAATCTTTGCCTTGTCGTAGCAGGGATCTGGCTAGCCGGAGTGGGCCGAAATTGTGGATCTGTGTGGGGCAATCGTGGCTGGGCCATCCTCGCTGTAGGATGCTATGGTATCGCCCTCGTCCTGACGAGCATGCTAGTGACAGTGTGTACTCATCAGTCATGATTCTGGAACCGTCGCTGAACCTCTAACAGGCATTTCGCGATCCGGGCATCGTGCCTCGGGACCTAGATCCAGATCCCCCGTACTCTACATCTTCTGTAGTGGATGGAGAAGAACCTATACCCCTGCCCCGGGATCTTCGAGCCCGTAGCGGAATGTACGTACTGTGACTAGATTCTGCTATCTCGAGGCTGATCGGACTCGTCAGTGTACGGGTAAAATATTGTAGCACTTGTAAGACGTACCGCCCTCCGCGGGCGAGCCACTGCAAAGTGGTATGTGTTGGTGGTTACCCTTCTGGAGCAGTTGCTAATAGCAGGACATTAGTGTGACAACTGTGTTGATGGAATTGACCATCATTGTACATACCTGCACAACTGCGTTGGGAGACGCAACTACACTACATTTATGACCTTCTTAATGTCCGCAGTACGTGGAGGTTTCCATAACGTGCGACGTAGCAAGACTCACCTGTCTTGCACTTAGGTTCTCACACTATGCTATGTCATTGTCACCTCTGCTCTGGAGCTCTACAGCCTGTCATTTACATACGATGGCTTCGCCAGCGCGCTGCGGGCTGAACCTTTAGCGGGAGTGAGCTTTGCTCTTGGCATCATTGTCATATGGCCCATGAGTGCCTTACTAGCATATCACATTCGGGTAAGGAATGCCCCCACCCAAGCGCTCGTTCCTAACTGACCCGGTTGCCCATTTCCCAGCTGCAAGTATTGAATATCACCACAGTGGAGCAGGTCAGTTTTTTCGGGTTGCTGAACCCGCTCTCCTGCTAAAATAGGATTTTAGGTCCGTGCCCAAGCGCATCGAAGCATGATCCCCGGTCCTGCCCCACCCAACGCGTTCAATCTTGGCCATTGGTATATGAACGTCGGAACCGTCTTGTGTCGTCCTGGTGGATTTAGCTGGATCGAGCCATGGGAGAGGAAGACGGAGGATATGCGGCAGGTTAACCCTGGATGGCGACAGGACGAATTTGATGAGCGACAATGGGGTATGACGAGGTGAATTTAGTGGATATTGCTGCTTCTACTTCCATACATTCTGGCGTACGCATCTTACCTTTTGTTCTGGTGGTCCCGGTCAGTAATCGGTATAGGATTTGGACTAGGCGTTTCAGCAATAACTCAAATGTCCGCGCCATCAGGCAAGGTGCTTTGCTCATCGATATCTGATTGGCTACATCGGCTTCCCCCGATGATCAGGGCCCCGTCTAAAAGATGAAAGGCGTTTTGGCTCATATTGTATCCCCAAAAGAGGAAAACCCGGACCATGTGGAGGCTGTTACCCCTGGATTCCTGATGACGTCTTTTGTGTGCGGAAGCAGTTAGCAAAGCAAGGGTCTGGAAAAAGAACCCGTGAGAAGATGCATATGGGGTGCGCAGCTGCGAGAGATTGAGATTCTGACAGCGCGAACCTTCGTGGAACATGAGACTTTGAATCAGACTGGCTGGAATCATGATCTGCTGACGTAAGCGAGATTGGCAGGGAAGAGAAGGGGATTGCGGAAGCGGTGGAAAATGCGGAGGGAAGACGGAGATGCGGGAAGAAAACATGGTTGTCAGACTTGATTTCTTTGAACCCCTGCGACAGAAGACGGATTCCATGGGAATGCACACGAAGTTTAAGGGTAGCTCCCGGCGCTTGGGGTTGCGCCTCTCTTCGTACAATTTCTAAACTCTGTTTTTGCTGGCAAGGGCAAGTGCTTGCGCAGAGGGATAGGGTGTGCGGGCAGTTCATGAATATTCCCTCCGTTGGTCAAGATTCGAAGAGGGTAAGAAGCATGCCGTGATCAATGGAAAGCACGAGGGGATCCGGCGGCCGGCATGAGGCGGCAACAAGCATGAAATGGTACCGCGTTGGTTCCGTTGGAGGATGCCGAGGAGTGCCGAGTGAAGAGGTAAGCTATGGAGGCAAAAAGTGAGTAAGCAACAAATACGTCATTCGACATGCAAGGTCTGCGACAGAATCACAACTCCTGTGTCCCAGCCCATTCCAAGACCTCGTGGGGACTCTATTCTATTTACCCTGCGCTGACGTCGTTGCGTGCCTGAACCCGAGCACATGCACATGCCATCCCATCACTCGGAGGGTTCTCAGACCCAGCCCATTTAGCGAGAAACAGCAGGGTGGTCTTGCCTTATATGGATGGTGCTGAGTGTGGTTACGTGGCGTGGTCTGAGTGAGAGTGAACCCAAAAGTGTTTTTCATCGTGTCGCTTTTCGACCTGCCATCAGCGGGGGTTATCGCTCGGAGTAACCGTCTTTATCGATTGCCCCTTTTTCCTTTGTGTTGCATCCCCTTTTTCTCAGGGTCTGACGGGGCTTCGTGCACGAGCCACAAGCCAAGCCCCCGCTCGCCCCTCCAATTTGTCAATTAAACAGGACATTAATATTGTTCTCCCACTTCCCTCCCTTCATCCTTTACCCCGACGACGTCGGAAAAGGCAGACCAAGCATACCAGTGACAGTGTGTTGGGTGTATGACGTTAATCAGGTGAGGTAGCACTGCCTCCCAGTTGAAAAGTTGTGTTCATTTCTCATTTCTCTGTTTTAACTCCAAGAGATCACAGTGAGAAATAATCAGCGCTCCGTCTCGCTCGGGCCGCGTTACCTCGTGCGACATTCATCCAATCATTGGCACTCTGGCCACTCAGACCTGCAGCCACCGACGGACCGACGCCGACCGAAGGAGCCACTCACACGGGGGTACCGCCTCCCCCTCCTCCCACTGTGACCATCCCCCGCCCCCAGTACACCTCCAAGACCACAAAAAATAACAGTTGACAAGTCAATTATTTTAGATTTCCCTCCTTTTACTTCCTTTGTGCGCCTAAATGCACGGAACCGCCCATCGGGCCACAACGCCGCCGACTGTTCACCTTCCACCAACGGGACCAACACGATTCCCATCTAGTGGCGCGACGTCCACCTCCGACTTAAACGCTCCTGCTCACATCTCTTCTTCTGCTACGACCACCACCACCAGGGAGCCGACGTACACAGCAACTGCATCAGACGGCACCGCTCCAATTGAAAGTTCCTCTGCCACGGAGTCGGCTAGGTTGAGGCTAGACGACAGGCGGTACTTAGAGACCTCATCACCCAAATCAGCTCATCTCCCCGCCATATCGCATGCGAGGGCAGGTCCCGCCCCCATGTCCTCATCCCACAGTGCTGGTAACCCCGCCCACGCCCCTGGTGGTCACCAGCATCCTCATCCAGGTCCCTCCGTCAGGCAGCTCTCAAATCCTGCCTACGGTCCTCCCCCTCAAGGGCATTACTCATCGTCGAACGGCGCGGTCATGCACTCCCAACTCGCGTACCCCCAGAACCCCGCATACGGCCACGTTCAGGGACAACCGGCGTATGGTCCCTCGACCGCTTCGCCGTCCATCACAGCCGGCGCACCGCAGTTTGCGTATTCTTCCCTCCACAGCCCCGTTGGCTACCCTCCCCCTCCCCAAAGAATGCCCTCCCAATCCTCGGCATATAACTATACAAATTACGGGTCTCCCTACGGAGCGCAAGTAGCGCGCGCTACGCAGTCTCCTACGGAATTGCAGTCTCCAATGGGCGGGCCTCCGCGGTATCCTGTACATCCTAGTCCTGCCGAGATTCCAGCGTCGCAGACCCCTAGTCTAGGGCTGCCAAAGAACCGCAAGCGAAAGTCGATGGGGGACAAGGGTGGTGAGAGTCAGGACGATGAGGGCTCGCCGGGTGAGATGACCCCTGGAGGCTCTGCCGCAGATCGGGCATCAAAGAGGACAAAGACGCAGAGGGCGTGTGATCCATGCAGGCGAAAGAAAATCAGGTGAGTAGCCGTACGTTGTGCTCAGTGTCGCTCGTTCTGAGCACCCGTGCAGGTGTGACATTCTGGCCGAAAGTGAACCGCCACAATGTCAACATTGTAAACAATATGGATTCGATTGCACCTTCTTCCTCCCTATCACAGAAACGCGTTTCAAAAAGAAGAAAGAACTAGAGGAAGCTGCCAAGGTGAAGCAACTCACAGAATCGCACCAAGAGGATGACGACCCTGCATCTGTTACGAAAGAAAGTCAGATCAAGGGCGATGTCAAAATTTATGGTACGTATGCGTCCGATGGGATTAATGTACCAGACTCACACGCATAGCAGGACCGACATCCCTCCATTACTTGGTCCACGCTACGAATAACGTGCCCCGACAAGCCTTCGATCGCTATGACACTCGCTGGAACGTCTCCCTGAAGATCGGGCCAAAAGGCGACGGGTTCATCCATGTGAATGATCCAGAACCGAACCCATCTGACGAAGAGGGCGTGAAGAGAGAATCGGAAGCGATCAGGGAGCTCGACAGGGGCACGATGGAAGAGCTCATTAACCGGTTCTTCCTCGAAGTCTATCCCTACTTCCCTATCTTGACCAAGGAAGAGTTCATTGACCAAGTGGAGACGATCCCAGACGAGCGATTCGTGTTGTATGCTGTTGCGCTCGCCTCTGCGTCTCGGCGCGGTGTCTCAGAGGACCAGTTCGAGTCCCTCCGGTCAACGCTGAATCATATCATGCGTGGCCAAGATACCTTGTCTGTCTCGAACGTTCCCAACGTCCAGGGGTTGATGATCATGCAGCTGTGCTTTGACACGCATGCTACGTACATGACCCAGCCAGCGACAGCCAACTATCTGCGAACAGGCGCTGTGAGCAGAAACACCCCCTCCTGGACCGAACCAGGTTGCTGACAAAGTACTCTCCGTAGGCAATCCGCATGGTTAGTGCATACTGACAGGCATGAGACTGGTGCTAAAGCTCCTTTAGGCTCAGGATATGGGTATGCACCGAGCAGAGTCTGGCGCGATTAAGCACTATCTGAACCGTCGACGACGTGTTTGGGCTTGTGCGCTCGTAGTGGACAGATGGTAATCCGTTTTAGAACATTGGTTGTTTCTGAAACTTACAATGGGGACTATAGGATGGCAGCTGCTATGGGACACCCGTACATGATCGATAGGCTGGATTGTGATGTCCGACTACCTACTGAGGAGCCGTATGAAGAGGGCGGCAAGGAGCGGCCTCTCGCTTACCTGGGGCAGATGGTTCAGCTATCTCTCATACTAGGTGACGTCCTCAAGACGATCTATGGGTGTGTGACATCCCCATGAACTTGGCAGCGGTTCTGATTGAGTTCATCAGACCTACTGGGATCGATAAGGCTACTGATGAAGAGTTGAACTCGATCGTCAAGAGACTAGATGACTGGAAGGATAACTGTCCGCCCGATTTTCAGTTTTCTGTAGACACCAAGTCGGTCCATTCGGGTGCGTAGACTAACCAAGCCTAGCATATATATTCGCTGACCCGCTGGCTCAGGCATCTTGCATATGATGCATACGTGTATCTCGATCATCTTCTGGCGGGTGTTTATGCGCATCACCTACCGCTGCCCGGTGCATATCAAGTTCAGCCTGACGGTCGAACGGTGGACATCGCTTGTGAGAGCGTCTAAGGATGCTGTAGCTTGGTTCTGCAGGAACCCGCATACGTATGACCTGTGGTGGGTCGTGTCGTATAACCTGATCTCCATCTCTCTGTGTCTGGTACGCTTCTCTCTTATCAACGCTGGTGGATGTCACTCACGCAGAACTCGTGTAACAGTTTCAGACATGGACAAGGAGGATGGATGTCCAGGCTGCAGAATCTTTGAGGAACCTCCGGGATGCCACACAAGGATGTGAGAATGCCCTGGGGACCGAGCAACAGAAGAGTCGCCGGAAGGTTCGTGTTCCATCAGATAGCGCTGGGCCTCCTTCTGATCCCTCGATACAGACCTCAGAGCTGATATCACTCTTGTATGAAGCGACCCAGGGCGCTGCCGAGAAGGGCGAGAAGGCAATCCTGAATCCAACAGCGGGTGTGGCCCTCCGAGAACAGCCAACACCGATGGTGTTCAAGAGGGATTCCAGCCGACCCGGTGGTGGGGTGTACGTGCTCGACAAAGCGGCCGACTTGCAGAAACATAAGGATCTGCCTCCAGGCACATTTTTGGTTGAAGAACGCGCTCCTGCCCGGCCAGCAGACGATAACACCTCGCCTTCATCACAGCAGTCGGGTCATGCAGGGCCCTCGATCACCATGAACCCTGCTAGCTATGCGGGAGACACTGCCGCTCAGCTAGACTTTATCGGTGCCTATATGAATCCGATGCCAAATATGAACATGGTTTCTCAGCAGACGGCCGTCAACATTGTCACTGGCATGGAGAACCTAAATCCAATTCTTGCCATGTCTGACGAAAGCGCTCAACAAGTTACCTTGATCAACACGCTTGGTCAGGATCTATCCGAGTTCGGAAATGTCGCTATCGGCGACGCTTCCCTCTTCAGTGGACTCCCAGGAAATATGGCTAATTGGGGTCAGTACCGCAGTCGTATTCTACTATCCCGTTCTAACATCTTCATCCTAGCCGAGGACTGGGGCGTGTACTTCTCTTCAGGGAATCGCCAGTTCCAAGACGGGTACCATTTCGGCCCAGACCTTTCCAGCACCAGCCAAGCTGGACAAAATACTATGAATATGCAACAGCCTCCCACTCAGTAGGCCTCTGGAATCTCAAGCCCGCCTGACGGTTGGTGGTATCGTGGAAGGACGGTTAAAAGCATTGCGTTCCGAATAGCTCCCCCATGTGTCGTTACTTCCTCATGTATCCGACTCACCCCCGTGTTTCTATAGTAGATAGCGCGATGTCACCCGTCATCCACGCATGTAGTTTCGCGATTCTTTGAGGGTATGATAGATAATCTTTGTCTTGATCTCCTGGAGAAGGAGATTCGATTGGAATGCTTCTTTTCACAATATTCCCGGCTAATGTTCCAAGGTAACAAATATGGGACTTTGGTCGTCATTGGTGGAGTTCGGGTATTCATGTTCTACGAACGTTTCTTTGCTCCGCGTTATCATCTCACCGCACGTGTCGCACGACTCACCTTCCAACTCCTCGACCATGTGTACCCCGACACTGAACAATGACAGGGTAGTCCTCAACATAAGCCACACAACGTTGATGCATGCCTCAACCATGCGAATAGCCATTTCTTCATGTGTATCACCAGCAACTGGTTCTCCATCCGTGCTTCCGCCGGTTCAGCTTTGACTATTCATGGAACGTGACTTGCTGCTTCTCATTTGGCTTGGCATCTCTCTGCATGGAAGACATGCTTCTTCAACATTGCTCATCTGCCTCCCGGTCGAGCTATTCTTGGAGCTGATATCTCAGCGCACCTTATTAACCAGAGGATGAGGTTGACATGATGCGCTTGCGGTCCAACATGCTTGCCGTTTCGTTCTTGCTCACTTTTTCTGTTCTTCCCAGGGTTCTCGCCTGGGGAAACGACGGTCATGAAACAGTTGGTAAGTGTCGGAGATGTTTGTTTTCTCTTAAGTATATGAACGTCTTTTATAAGGCTACATAGCTCAAGCCTTTCTGAGTATGTTTGTACTGGCTCTGAAAGAGTAACGCTCAGCTAGTTTACTCAGCGTCGGGCGCCGCTTCATTCGTCTCGGAGTACCTCGACTCATCCTACAACGGCCAGCTCGGCCCTGCTGCTACGTGGGCCGACTCTGTGAGATATGGAACAGCATACGAGTGGAGCCAACCTTACCATTTTGTGGACGCGATGGATTCTCCTTTGACTGGCTCATGCTCCGTCGAGGAAACTCGTGACCGTGACAGCGAGGGGTGTATTTGTAAGGACTCTGTGCCGTTCTGTACAGGTTGTTGATCACGCCTTGAGCACAGTGACTGCGATCGCCAATTACACCAAGAGAATCACCGACACCTCCTTGTCCAAGACGCAGCGGGACGAAGCGCTCAAGTTCCTCACCCACTTCCTGGGTGACGTCACCCAGCCGCTGCACTGCGAGAACTACGAATACGGCGGGAACGACATCGACGTAACGTTCAACGGGGACAGCGACGACCTGCACAGCGTCTGGTACACGGGGATCATCGAGCTTAACCTGAAGACCACTTATGACAACAGCGTCACCACCTACGCGAACTCTTTGATCTCTCGTATCAAGAGTGGAGATCTGACCAGTGAAGCACCGAGTTGGATAACCTGTGTGAACCCGACGGAGAAACTCAGCAGCAGGGCGTCTATCGATTCCCTCGAATGCCCCATCGAATGGGCAAGAGATTCGAATGCGTACGACTGCAGCTTCGTGTTCACATATACCAAACGCTCTGATCTGGCAGAGACGAGCTACTATACGGACGCCATTCCTATTATTGATGTCCAGCTTGCGAAGGGCGGGTATCGTCTTGCCGCTTGGCTGCACACCATATTTGATGGTTCGACCGGGCTGCCATCGTAATAACGCATGAATGTTACAGAGAATACAGGGTTGACGGGTACATGCGTTCTTTTTCTTCTGCTTCAATATACGTACAAGTTATACACATTTGTCCTCTGTTGATTAAACAAACGTCCTTTTCATCCAACGCGCAGACCCAGAAGAAGGCCAGCGACGAATGACGCCCTCTGCTGGAAGTCAGCGAGCAGGAAATCCACCAACCAGTTCCAGAGAGACGCGACAGTGGGCGGGTGCCTCACGCCATCCGGCCCAGTGCTGGAAAACAGGTTGTCGAACCTCTCAGAAGCTTTGTCCCAGTTGACACTGATCAGTGACATAGAGTTGCAGTACTTTACAGATGTAAGTGAATGAGCAAAGTTGAGCCAGAAAGGGCGCACTTGGAGAAGAACGAAGATCCCTCCAAGGACGAAGGCCAGCATCTTGGCGCCTTTCTTGATGAATACACCTGCGCATATGCCACATACTGCACCAAACGAGAGTTCGTAGATGTTTACCATTGACGTGGGCTCCGCAGGGCGAAGGTCAGCTGGTGGAGGAGCAGGTACGGAGGGTGCTTCATGGGCAGTCAGTGGCTGGTCCATGGAAGTGGGGAGATCACACACCGTCACATTGCACGACTGGTTTGAGGAATACCAACGACCCCATCGTAGAAACGGCGGTGACGAGTCCGAGTCCCGCAAGGGGACCCACCCAACCTCTTTTAGTAGATCCTGATGCCTGCTTCACCGCAGCTGTTATGCTCATGCTTCTCGTGAACGTCGCGCGTGACACGCTGAACGCCCGGTTCGTCGTCGACGCCCATGTCGAACGAGATGTGCTGATGAGTCTAGTAAAGCCGGCAGGTTGGAACGCAGCTCTTATGAAGCTGGCGGTGAACATATTTGTCTGCTCCAAGGAGAGAACTTGAGAGAGAGAGGCGGGAGAGGTCAAGTCGGGCCGAACTGTCACTCCACAAGATCGGGCATATCGGCTTTCGATGTGACGTACATAGGGACTTTGACCTTAACCCAAGGCCCCTTGTTATGGCGGTACACTTGGAGAGGGCGCATAATTAAATAAACATCTTGTTCTCTCCCCTCTTCTTCTGCTTATTCTATTCTATTCTTCTAGCTGAACTTACATACTTGGCTCGTATAATGTCACTATTCAGTCACTTACGATCCAAGGAGGGCTCTATTGGCTCAACGAACGAGCTCAGCGCCCATGAACTTCCCCCCCCAGTGCCACACCCCTCGCCGCACTCGAAGCTCGCACTCATTTCCACGCCCGAAGGACTGATAATTACTCCCGCCGTTACCGGAGCAGACAGCGTAGAAATTGCCAAGCTTGCATGGGGAAAAGAGGGCAAGGTGTCATTGATGAAGACTAGGAATCCTTATAGAGGCGGGCAGCCGACGGTGCCAGGGATCGTGGGTGTGCTCCATTTGTTCAATCGTGAGTCTCCTACCCCTGTATCGGGATCACGGATTTTGACCAGTGGGGATAGTGTCATATTTGCTTGTTGTATCAAGTGCTGTACAAGTAGGGAACTGTAGGTATGGTATTCATAGGCGTATATGCCGCTGATGACTGTCAGTGCTCGATCCAAGTCGCACCATCTACTGCGTGAAGGACGTAACAGCCATACCACTAGATGAAACGAAAGCTGCTGCCTCTCTTAAACTTCTCACACGAAATGTTGGCACCGCAACACCCCTACCTGAAGAAGACGAGGACGATGAGGAAGACGAGTCAGACACCGACGTAGAAGCCGCCTCCTTCACTGAACTGGACATAAATCAATCAGCTACATTACCCCGTACCACAGTCTCCTCTTCCACGCTGAAGCCTCCACCTTCAACTACGTCCCCAGGCCGACCCCGTAAACTACCCGATATGGCCCGTCGTCTCTCCTTCTGGCGCAAAGTCGCCCGCCGCCAGCAGCCTCCCCCTTCTCCTATCACGCCTCTCGCAGTAGAACTCGGCGCTCCCACCGTCGTGCAAGAGATGAATCCCGCTGCGGCTGCTACGCTAGATGCTATGGGTGGTCCGGAGGAAGTCATCGGGGTCAATGGCGGCAAAGGCACGGAGCATGGTCGGCAGGAGAGGCTAGCGGACGTGGAGAGAAAAGTAGTGAGGGAATGTATTAGACTCTGGACGCAAGGCGGGATGTTCTTCGCTTACGACTTTGGTGGGTCTCTTCGACCTCGCACACGGCGTGAACTCAGGGGAAACAGACATAACACGCGGTCTACAGCGCAAGCACGATATGAACAACCGCAGGCGGCAGCAGGAAGACATCCTCACCGAGATAGCGGGTCCCAAGTCCTCTGGTCTCGCTCCCCAAATTGTCAAGCCCTTCACAGAGCCCAACCCGCAACTGCCGCTTTGGAGACGAGTGGATCATAAGTATTGGTGGAATAGGAACCTGATGGGCGATTTCCTCGAAGCTGGAGTGCGTCTCCAGAAGGCACAGGTATTGATCTGCTGATGTTTCCAGCAGCTCCACAACTATATCCTCCCTATCATGAACGGCTTTTTCGAGATGTCGACGTTCCACCTCCCCATACCCAGTTCTGGCGAGGAACGAGAGAACGTCCCTGTAGACTTCACAATAATATCAAGACGAGCCTGCCAACGACCCGGGCTGCGATATCAGAGGCGAGGGATCGACGACCATGGCAATGTTGCCAACTTCGTGGAGACAGAGGCGATCATTTCTGTTGAAGTAAGGTCACTTGTGCAAGGATGTCATCCAGCTCACCAGGCCCCAGCGAGACGAAAAGAGGAACATTTTTGCACATACCCAAATCAGAGGATCAAGTGAGCAAAACCATTATGGAACTACAGCTGTGTGCTAACCGGCGGGGTTGTAGTACCATTATACTGGAGCCAGCCGCAACCTGGTCTGCAGCTCAAGCCCATACCTAGACTAGACCGACCACTCGTGGACTCCTCCGAGATCATGCGAAAGCATTTTACGAAACTCTCAAATTACTGGCCGGTGGTGAGTTGGACATCTTCAAAGGACGGGCTTTGGCTGATGTTTCCAGACAATCGTGAACCTCGCAGAGTTGACGGGGAAAGAATCGGTCGTCACGCTTGCATACCGCGAGCTGGCACAGGGACTGAATATGAAGGATGTGAAATACCGAGAGTACGTGCGTGGTTGGTTTGGTTTTATGCACATCTCACGGAGCGCGCCAGGTTCGACTTCCACCATGAGTGTAAGGGCATGAAGTAAGGTCGTGCAAACCCAGCACTGGTGCAGGAACTGATGATATCAGATATGAAAACATCTCAAAACTTATCGATACGTTGCAGTCGACATTTGCCTCTCAAGGGTTAGTGTCCCCTTGCAGGAAGCGGGTCAAGCTGACTGGTCTCAGCTTCTTCTGGGCCAACGGCGACGATGTTTTGAATGAGCAGAGAGGCACGTTCCGCACCAACTGTATAGACTGCCTAGATCGGACGAATGTCGTGCAGGTGAGACACTCTCCAAACGTTTCATTATCATCCTAAAGGTATCGCACAGTCTGCCTTCTCGCGTTACGTTCTGGAACAACAGCTTCAAGCAGCAGCATTACTTGGTGTCTCTCATCGAGGCAAGACAGAGCAAGAGATCGTGTTCAACAGGGTGTGGGCAAACAACGGAGATGCTATTAGCCGATCATAGTAAGTGAACGAGAGGACGGGAAGGACTTGTTCTTATAGACATGCAGTGCCGGAACGTCCGCTCTGAAGGGAGACTACACCAGGTTAGTCGACGATCTCACGATGTTAAGCTAGCTAATCGCATGTGTAGAACTGGCAAACGTGACATAAATGGTATGCTGAACGACGGCATGAACTCGCTCGCCCGATTATATTCATCGGCATTTGCCGATTACTTCACCCAAGCTGTGATCGACTACTTTATGGGCAACCGGAGATTGTCTGTGTTCAGTGAATTTCTGGAGAAGCTGCAATCGACAGACCCGGGTGAGAGGCTGCATCTGTCGAAGATCCGGGCGGACGCGAGTAAGTGCCTGTCACTCATAAGGTTCTGGCTGACAGCGTGCTCTAAGTTGAGACATGTGCTGGGCACGTTCTTGACGATGACGACATTCTTCTCGGCGGTTGGACCTTGTTTTCCCCTGCAGAGTTGGATACCAAGATGGGGAAAAGTTTCGAGGAGAAGATTCTGCTACTTAGCCCGAAAGCGCTCTATATTAGTGTAAGCAGGTTGATGACTGTCAAAACGTTACTGAGGAGGAATGCAGAGCTATGATTACGCACTCGACAAGGTTGTCATGGTCACACGAGTGCCGCTCAATGACATAGTCAGCATTCAGAAAGGTTGGGCAAACATACCAAGTCCTACATGCGCTGATTTAAAGAAGGCGCCTACATTCTTTCTACTCTGCAAGAAGCGGCCCGTGATCCGGCCGAGAATTACGGCCTGCTGCTCACCTGGAAGACGAGTCACCTGACCAGACGAATGACGAGTTACTCATTGCGGAACAAGCCCGACCTAGTTGATGTTGTGGATGTGAAGACCAAAAAAGGGCTCATCCGGACTTCAATATCTCGAAACAACAGCACAGTATCCTTGGGCAAGGGGTTGCCAGAAGAAACCCAATTCGCCGCGTTCAAGGCCTTGCCAACAAGCACCGCGGCCTCAGGCCGTGACTTGGATGCCGTACCGGTCATCTCATGCAAACACGCAGTCGACGTCATTGCGGACACCATCGTCCGAGCTTGTAAGGGGATGGAAGCGTCTCAGAAAAAGGATTTCGTGAGAGTTCAAGACATAATAAGGTTAGCTTTCATGTACCTGACACGCGTAACATTCTGATAACCTTCGGGGGACAAAGCCTGGAGGAAGCCCGGCGAGAGACGACGGTGTATGCCAAGCTCGAGTATTACCTGAAGCGCAGGCTGTGGCTGTAGGATGCATCAAAATCGCAGGGAAGATTATTGGATTGGTTTTGGAAGAGGCAGAGAATAGTTACAAGGGAGAGCCATTTACGAAACACTAGTACAGGCCGCGCCGCAGCTGGCGGCAGGCAGCACATGAAGCATGAAGGGTGGGGAGGGGCATGCAAGGTAGCCTGGGGAGAAAGGGGGGGAAAGGCCCATGACAGATAGGCAGGATAACATGAATCAACGAGAGGCATTCGGGCAGGGTTGGGTAGCGAATAAAGAGGATAACTTGATGGGGTATAAGAGAGCTTGAAGGGGTATCACGTTCCGACGCCGAGAGAAAACCGATGAGAGGGTGATAGTGGCAGGCATAGTGGGCAGAATAGGTGTAGAATGGAGGTGGAAGATGAAATATGGATTACCGCTTAAGAGCGGGGATAATAACATATTTGAAGGGAATAGTCGTGTTGCTGGTCGACGATGTGAGAGATCCGTCCATTGCATAGTCCAAGTCCGGGCAGTTCGTCCAATCGAGCAAAGGGAAACCGGCATACGCGCTGGGAAGATGCAGGCAGACAGGGGAGCAGACAGACAGGAAACGCCTAAACGTCTACTTCTTCCCAGCGCTCATCCCCCTAACCAAATCGACAAACCTCGTTTTCCTCCTCGCACCCCTGAGCTCCGCATCCGTCGCCTGGCCGTCCTTAGCCTGCACCGCGGCCGCAAGCGCGCTAACCCCGTGTTTCTCACACAACATCCTGCCCCCTACCTCCCAGTAGACTTCCAGTTTCTCCCCGCAACCCAGTTCCCCGCACGTCAGGTGCTCAGGGTGGAACCTCGTCCCCTCATGCGTGACCGCACAGGGCCCTTCGATCGGCTGGCCACATGCCAGGGAAGCGCAAAGCGAGCCATTCCGAGCATGATAATGATATGCGCAGAAGGGTTTTCCATCAAACACGTAGAATGTCTTATCCGGAAAGGGCTTGGCGCAGGCATCGCAGTTAAAACAATCGCGGTGATACTTGCCCTTCAGCTGGCCGTCACTCGAGGATACGGCGTGCCGCTCGATGGGGAGCTCACAGCGCCGGCATTTAGGGAGGTAGAGTTCCTTCCAGTCCCGCTCGCATAGCACGCCAGAACCTTCGCGCTGGATCCACCTGCCGTCCCGGATCCGCTCGCCGCACTTGACGCAAGTGCGTTCTTTTCGCCTTTGCCGGTCTTTGACTTCTTTGCTAGATGTGGAAGGAGTAGTAAAGCTCCGTTGGGGGAGCTTGATCTTCTCCCTATCTCTGTCTCTCTCCCGATCCCTGTCGCTCCTATCCGAAGACGTAGTCGCAGACCCTAGACTAGGCTCTTCAAAAAGCGTCTCCATGACCATATCGATCGCGCCTGTGGACTTGCTCGTCGAGCGAGGAGAAGTGCCAAAGCTGCTAGAGGAAGCCGAGCTTGGCTGGCGGCTCGCCCCCCCGGTGCTGCCGGACCTAGAAGGCAGGGAGGGGAAAACGACGTCCCCCCCTGCGCTGCCCTGCGAGTAGAGGGAGGCCAGGGACTGCCGGGGGAGGAAACGCGGTCCCGGATCCGTTGGGCTGCGTTCTGGCCGCGTGAGGGTGGGCTTGCGCGAACTGGCAGCGGAGGAAGAGGCAGAATCTCGTTGCCTATAAGCAAGTTCGATTACGCTTACTTGGGGCGAGGAGGGTGCGGGGGATGCAGGTTGACGTGGGGAAGCGATTGACGGTGCGGAGGAGCTCGGGCTTGGGGTGGGGAGTGTTTGCTGGCCCTGCCCTTGTTGGGGTTGGGAAGGGGAAGGGGATGACGCAGCAGAGGGAGAAGGCTTGGAGACGAGCTGCTTGTATTTTTCGAAGAACGGCAGACGGGGGGTGATGCTCGAGCTTGGGCTGGGCGTGGGAGGGTCGATAACGGCCATTTTGGGTGGGATGGGGATCGTCAGTGGGGCAGAAGGTAGGTCGGAGGAGGTACGCGAGGATACGGAGGCGAGGGACCGTTTCTTTTCTGAGATTTTGAGCGGGACTGTGGGGGGAAGGTCGACTGATGGACGCCTGGAGGAGGGGAGGTCGATGGACCCCCGCTCACGGTCGAGTGAGGGCTTGCGTTCCTGTGGAGGGAGGTCAAGGGATGGCCGAGGGGAGGGAGAGGGAGATGGCTGGGAAGAGAGCACACTGGTGGAGAGCAGGTCGTCCCTCTGGGACGGGGCGATGCTGGCATTTGACGGCCGGCGGGGGTTGAGTGGGGAGGGCGTGCGCGCCGGAGGGTAGGTGGGCGATGAGTGACCTAGTGATGCTGGGGAGAGCGGGGGATGGGGGGAATGCGGTGACAGCGAGAGGAAGGATGTTGATCCTAGCATGATGGTTAGCATGATGGTTAGCATCAGTCTATGCTTTTTGCTCGTGTGCGTACCTTGGGACTGCCCCTGCGCAGGAGGGACCATATTAGCCCCCTCGACATCCACAGGCGGTAAATGGCCGCCTCTGACCCTCTGTCGAGCATGCGAATGGGAAAACATAGCTGCCTGCGCTGCGGCGGCAAAGGCACGCCTGCCGACACCAGCCATGCCTGCGCTCCCGCCGGTGACGGTATCTGGGGCAGGCTGGTGTGAGGGCATGTGTTGACCCGGTTGGAGAGAGAGCTGGCCAGATTGGAGAGGGAGATGTTGTCCTGGCTGGAAGGACTGGGCCTGCTGTGCAAGAGGAGGCTGCTGCTGCTGCAGATGAGCGTCAGAAGGGTACAGATGCTGACCCTGCGGATTGTGCACTGGGAATGGCACGAGCTGCTGCTGTTGCTGGGGGGGGACAGACCGCGAGGAATGATGGGACGGCGCAGGGGAAGGGATACGCGCTGGCTCTGCAGGATAGAGAAGCTGACTCTGTTGCGGCTTTGGCACTGGCGGTGCCTGCTGCTGCTGGGGTGCGACCGAGCGCGAGGAATGATGTGACGGCGCCGGTGAAGGGGCACGCGCTGCCTCTGCAGGATAAGGAAGCAGGCTATGCTGCTGCTGCTGCTGCTTCGGAAGTGGTGGTGCCTGCTGCTGTTGAGGAGCGACCGAGCGCGAGGAATGATGTGACGGTGCCGGGGAGGGAGCGCGTCGTGTTTCAGCAGGATGAAGATGCTGGCTCTGCTGCGGCTTGTGTGCGGGTAGTGGTGGCTGCTGATGCTGATGCTGCTGGTGGGGAGCAGAGCGGGAGGAGTGCGACGGCGCTGGAGAGGGCATACGGGGCGGGTGGGGGGTGGAAGGGGAAGAAGAGGAGATAGAAGCAGGTGAGAGAGAGCGTGGGATGCCTGCTGAAGAGAGTGAGCTGGCACTAGACGGTGTGTGAACGTGCACCGGTGAGGGAGTGCGTGTGTCCGTTGGTGCTGGCGGTGAGCAGACATGATCTGCCAACGAGGAGAGGGGAACGAGCTGAGCGCATGAAGAGCACTTTACTGAAGGGAGGAGATGACTTGCTCTGTTGTTGGTGTCGTTGGAGGTCGATGGCGGGGATAGGTGCATTGTGAGAGGAGAGAGAGGATGTTGTACGAGGACGGCGGCCATGCAGGGTTAAATGAGAGAATGGTGCACGTCCTGCGTGCGATGATGGACGTTGAAGGGGATGAAAAGGACGATGAGGAGGGTGAAAAGGTCGACGAGGAGAGAGAGGGAGAAAGAGAAGGGGAGGAGGAGGAGGACCACTCCCTTACACGCTTCTGTCAGGGTTGAATGGTCCATCGCATAGGTTCACTCTTCACTTCTTTCTCACTTCTCTTCTTTCTTTCTTTTATTATCAAACTTCATTTCTGACTTTAGATAATAATAAATAATATCATTCCATTCATTCCTTACTTAAAATTGCCACATCAGATATACCACTTCCATTACACTCTCAACTCACATTCCTCCCATCACCCAATTACATCCGCCTTCTTTCTTTTATTTCTATTCTTTACCTTCTTCCATTCAGTAAACTGCCTCACTTTAATATCCAATCCATACACATCCTTAAGCGTTACATCAGCATGATCACACAGCTTTCTATCCCCGCATTAGCCTCAACCGACCCTACACTAATCCCCACTAAAGTACACACTACGCTAAATGACCATTGTCAACATCCTGAAACCCGAACCCGGCCCTTCTCTCTACACCATTCTATCCCATCTCCATCTGCAACACAACAGCACGCTTCTGTTTACCCAACCCACACGTCCTCGTCCATTCCCAACTCCGACCCTTCTTCGCAGAACGTCCACCACCAGCACACCACGCCACATGCTCCTCAGCTTGCACATCCAAGCGCGACGCGTCGACGCGCCTATAATAGACCCCTTGATCCGGGCTATGCCTGATATCGAATCATGAGGTAAGTTTGATTGATCAGCTGATGCGCCCTTCGAGTTACCAGTTTCGCATAATACCCTACCACTTTTGCTTCTACGTCGCTTGGGGGGGGATTTATTCTAAGAGAGTTTTCGTTCGTGTTTTCAGCAAATTGCTCCAGGAGCGGTCAATCAACGCCTCCTCCACATCCCTACCTATCTTACACACATTCCCTAATCTACACTCACATTCCGAAGTCGGACATCCAAGACATGGGGTTCGGGTCGGTATGAAGGAAGGACGTCGACCCTGAGCCTGATCATGCGTCGCCGCTGCACTCTTGGGTTCCAACTGGTGGATGATAAGCACCACTAGTACTGGTCCAGAAGTAAGATCAGACTGCGTAAACGAAACGCAACCGGCCCCCGAACATATCAACAAACAGGAAACCGAAGCCTTCTACCGGATACACAAGACCGTGCGTCGCCACACCAGCCCATCCAGTCCGCGAGACAAGAACCCAAGAATTCGAAGCACAATCAAAATTCAGGTCCAAAAGGCCCAAGGGGGGCCGTCCGTTCCTCCTGTTCCTCCCGTTCCTCCGTGGATCCGTTCCCTCCGATCCGGTGTCTTTATTTCCGACCTATTGATTTCCCATCTTCCATTAATATTTCTATTTCCAGAGTTCTGTTCGTTTGGAGTGACGGCATGTAGCAACCGGCTAAGGGTTTTGGTCGTTAGGTGTTGCGCGTGCACACGACTCTCTCCTTTGGTCAGTCAGCTTGGGAAGGTCATCAGAGCACTGCCACTGGCTGTGGGCGCTCAGTCATCGTTCATTGATTGTTGAACTGCGCGTCAATCTTCATTTTCATTTCACTTCATTTTCTACAAACTAAACATCATTCGTTCTTTCATTTTACATTTCCTCATAAAAGATAAAGAATGCGATTCCTCAAATACGCAAAATGGATACTTCCAGCAATAATCATCTGGTTATGTACGTACTTTCTCTCCCCAACTGCAATAACAGCTTGAGCTCACACGAGCAGCACTCGCAATCCTCTACCTTACCCTCCCACCCGGTGAATCTATCGACGACGACGTCGTATTCGCCCAGTCGCTAAGGGAAGGCAAGTCCCTCAACAGGGTATATCAGTACGTCCCCTTTCCCTCTCCTGCAACAAGCCAAACCTAATCAAAACAGCACGGAAGAGTTCATACCGCGTGAATACCGCCTTCCTCGAGTGAGGAGACGGCTCTACCTCGGTCTGGAGTACAGCTACAGCGCACGCACGTCCACCTTGAGGATAAAAAACGAAGCCGTCTCTCTCCTTCCTCTCCTCTCCCCCTCTTCTCCCGCCCAATCCCACTCGAGGCTCCTGATCCCCTGGGCAACACTAGGCGATACGGACGGAGTGAACCCACCCTGGTTCCCCCTCGCCGACGCGGTTTTGCTGTACGGGGTCGTCTCCCGCGAATGGGGACGAATCCTCTTGACCGTCGAGCGCCCTCTGCTCCCCCCGAACGGGACACTCGACGGTGAGCTCGCACTGCAGGTCGTACCGGCTAGGATGGCTACACAGAGCGAAGGGACAGAGGAGGACCCTGTACCCCTAGGCATGCTTCCACTTGCGACGCTATTCTTCACCCAGCCCGCAGAGGGAGAAGGGTACGCACTCGCCCGCATCAGCTTTCCCCCCATGCCGCAGTCCTACGGAACTAGCACGTACTACGGGACGCGGCATGCGCTCATATCCCTCCTCGCGCCAAGTGCGTTGCTCGTACTGGCACTCGCCTCCCTCGCTGGGCAGGCAGTCAAGCTCCTCCTTCTCGGGCTGGGAGTTGCGGCCCTGCTCTGGATAGGGCGGGAGCTGTGGATGTACAGGCATGAACAGGACGAGGATCGGAGGGAGAGGGAGACTCAGGTCCTGAGGAAGGTGTTGAGGGAAGTACTGGGGCCGCTGTATGCCCCTAGGGGGAGGAGAGAGGTGGTCAGGACGGGGATTGAGGAAGGGAGGGACCAGAAGGAACAGGTTTGATGGATTCTGGATCGGGAGGATGGGGGTTGTAGGACTGTGTATGATAGGTTTATACACGTTTGGGTTGACTCGCAGTGTAATGTAATATCGACTACTCCAAGCTCGAGTCTACAAAAGGTCCGTTGTACAACATATTCCAGGGTATACACCTATCCATCCACTCAAACGGCCAACATCTCCCCAACGATCTCCGAAAACCTGGGCTCGTCCAGAGTCTTATAATGGTCTCCTTTCAACGTGTCCCAATCCTGATGCACCTCTCCCTCCTCCCCCTCTAACAGGATCTCCAGACTGTCAAACATGACCTCCGGCTGTTCAAAATCCACCAGTTCGTCCCCCTCGCTGTGGACGACCCACCAATGCATGTGTTCCCCCCCAGGGCGGAGATCATAGTGGTTCGCGGAGAAGATGTCGTATTTGCTCCCAGGGCTGCTGGAGCCGGAGCTGCTGCCGCCGAAAGGAGGGGCGATGAATTCGATGTAGGAAGGGAAGGTTTCCAGCAGGAGGGGAAGGGAGTAGATCCCTTCTGCTAGGAGGAGGGCGTGGGTGGAACGGAGGATGTGTGAGGGTGTGGGGGGGAGGGAGAGCGCGGGTGGGTAGAGGAACAGCGTGGTGAGGATATGGGCGCCGCAGCTAGAGCATGTCAGATTTGAAGTTCGTGTGCCTTGGTGGGACAGACCTATGGCCAATGAAGTACAGCTTCTCCCTATCGAATGACTTCTGCAGCTCTGGCTTCCCCTCCCCCTCCCCAGCCCAATCGTACAGGAACTCGATAGCGAGAAGCACATCCAGGGCATGCATCGGATGCCTGACCTCTACCATCTCTCCAGGTGGAGGGTTCCGTTCCGTCAAACGGTAATTGACCACCGCTACTGCTGTACTATGCTGCAGAGCAAGTGAGCGCGCGAGTGCAGTGTGCTCGGATTTGTCCCCCCTGTTGAGAGTTAGCGTCCTCCAACGGAGGGGGGAAGGAGGGGGAAGGGGGGGGAACGTACGAGCGCCAGGCACCACCGTGCACGAATACGAGCAATGGGGGGGCTTCGACTGGTGGGACAAAGAGGTCTAGTCGTCTTTGTGCATGCCCCGAGCTTCCAGCTTCCCCCGACGCTGCAGTATCGTATTGCACATCCAGGAGTTCGTATAATGACATCGTACAAGCAAGCAAAGCAGGAATCGCAAGACGGTCTGTGTCTGTTTCTGTAGGTAGGATGATCGGTTCAGACTCCTTCAAGGAGGCTTATAACATGTACACCCAACCCCGCACCAAGACCAGCATCAACGGACAACCTGTGTTCCCAGTCCGGTGAGAGCTCGAACCGAAGCAGATAGATGCGCCGCAGCTGTTCGGGATATCCGAGCTGGCGTGGGAGGTGGGCGGTGTCCCCGCTCAGTCACTGTCGCTGGAGTGCGGTGAAGTGGGAAGGCGCACCCTTAGTGCGGTGTTGAACTTTTTAATTTCCCGAGGAAAAGACAGTGTTCTCTTACATACTCCCCGAATGACTCATTACACAACTATGTTATGGTTATGGTGGTTCAACATATGTGGATATCCAACGAAGAAATCGGAGGGTTACTGTAGGAATCAAGGGGAACAACAAAAGAATCCGACACCAGCAGGATTTGAACCTGCGCACGCTACGCGTATGAGATAATACGGAATTCGAATCTCACCCCTTAACCGCTCGGGCATAGTGTCCTAATAGACCGGGACTGCTTTTCAAGACTCATCATTGTGACTCAAGAGAAGAAACGTCCTAACCACTCGATTTGTACATGCTATCCTTCTATAATAGGCTTCACCATCATTATAAAAATCAGTTAGATGATGTTTCCCCAGTTGTATTGCTCGTGTTCGATGAAAAAGTCACCTCTTCTCCTCTACAAAGGTGGTGCCACCTAACCTAAGCACGAAGACTATCAGCCGCCCGAACTGTTATCTGACCTTGATATTTATGTAAGGCTCACTCAAAAGTGCTCTTGGCATCGCAGCCAAGTTAAAAAGCCTTAGCAGCAGTCAAAACGTTGTGTGCAATTTCCCTGCAGAAGGAGGGGGTGTCTCCAACCAGACCGCATCCTCTCGTGGCTCTCTCTGTCCAGCACTCTTAGTCCTGAGCAAAGGAAAGATGAAACGAGGAGAACACTGGTGCCGCGGTTGACGTGATCGAAGTGCTGACTGGAGTCTATATCCGGCTTGCTGCCAGCAAGCGATACGCAGCGGTTGACGGCACATGACCTCCTCTGCCTATCCCAAGGGGTTGAGGTAGAACGACGGCTTCACCAAAAGGAACATATTGGCTAGGATATCGGAAGATCCGAACTTTTGGATGCACAACGGCACCCGTCGAAGGTCGCGTGCGCAAGCGGCGGCAGGCACCCCGCAGTTCCCAGAGAACAGGACTACAGTTAAGCGAGCTCCTTGTACACCCCAAGGAATCCACACTTGCAGGAGCTCTGAAACGACGATACGGAAACAGCGTCAATCGGGACGGTGGAAGTCCGTGCCAGATGGGAAATTGTTAGATCTTGCCCGATGTTGATGTCAAAGGCGCCAGAAAGGAGAACATGCTTTGCCGGCAGCCCTTGACACGCGGCTAATGGCTGTCTTTATGCAATACCGTTCCATTCAGGTGGGTTGGATTAAGCTTTGTGAGGACAGTCGGCACAGTCGGTGAGCGCCGGTGTGTTCATCCGAATAGTTGCCAGTCATACTTGGAATCTCGGAGAGCACCCATCCAGCATGAACTTGCCCTGCGCAGAACGACGGCCCCTGAACGTGCTACCATCCATATGCGGAAGGTATCCCTACATCTCTCACAGAGTGAGGAGGCTAAGCGAGTTCGTCCTACACCCAGAGGAGTCCACAGATACGGAAGATCAGAGACGAGGATGAGGAGAGAGGCTCGGTCCCTGAAAGACTAGATAGCCAGGCGGCAGGCGACCTTCGTGGAAAGTGGATAGACACGTTGGGCGACTTCTGCGAATACCAAGGAAACACAGATACAGAAGATCAGAGACGGCGATGGGGAAAGAGGCGCGACCCGGATCCTGGATGTCCGTGCCCGATGGGAAGCCGATAGACCATGTCCGAAGTCGAACGTGACCTTCTACATGGAGCAGAAGGGATATAGACGTGCTCTACCTGCATTAGTGACTCGTGCATAAAGCATGTATTTGCCCATTGATATCTTGCCTGAGGTAGAGAAGATCGAGTATCGTTTGAATGGTCAGTCGGCAAAGGTGTTTTCGTGCCAGTCTGGTAGGGTCACGCCTCCTCTGCAGCCAGATAGAAGAAGTAAACAAAAGGCATCCTTTGAACCGGATAATGCTTCTACAACAGCATATCCAAACAATTTGGACCATAAGTGTCAGCATCAAAAAGGCATTCCTGCTAGTCGGAAGCAGAACATACTACTGTACGAAAAGAAGGACAGAATGCAAAACATATTATTTCCTGGGTCGACGCCAGCCGGATTTGAACCGACGCACGCTACGCGTACGAGATCGTAATTAGATTCTAATCTCGCCCCTTAACCGCTTGGGTATGGCGCCTTGTTGACACTGAGCTTGGGCATAATAATAAGATCAGATTGCTCACCGACAGCCCAGCGGTCTTGCAAACACGCGCTACTTGATATGATAAGGAGTACGTATCTCTCCACCCTCTAGGTTTGTTACACCCCTCATCAGCCCAAATACTCGTCCAAGGAATCCACTCTGAAAACCATCATAGAGTCAAGTTGGAATTCCGCACATGTCGCAGGCGTGTTTGGCTCGTCCATCTCTCCTTCTGTGACAGTCGAGTGCTGACACGATAAATGTACGTCTCCCCCTGGACAGATGGAGATGGAAGACGTTTTCCAATTAACATCAGAGCGCTCATTACCTGTGGCTTATCTTGCATTGAACGTGACTCTTCCCAAAAAGCAGCGCCGAAAGCAGGTCAGCTTGCACCTCGCGCATGTCCCACGCATGTTTACCTCTGCCCGGTGCTCGCTTCATATGAGAAGCTAATCGAGACGTAAATCTCCAGGTACCAAACACGAAAGAGCTATAATCCCTCTTATTCCAAGAAGCGGGTTCCTACCTCCCGAAAGCATAGCCAGAAGCAGAACTCGCACCCCACACATGTCCCACGCGTGTTTACCTCCCCCCGCCGTTTCCTCAAACACGTACGCTTATAATACATACGTACATCCCCTCCAGACCAGTGGGCTTGCACGGGCTTCCAATCACGTTACCCAGTCACGAAAAGCGCGTCGTTCATCCCGCGCATCTCCCACGCGTGTTTACCGCTTTCCACTACCTGGATCCCTTTCCCATAAAACGAAGCAGGAGTAAGGATGACGTATAGCCCGCCGCTCGCCCGCTGTAAACGGCACTGAAACCAGCCTGCAACTCCGCCGACCAGCGGATTCTCCGAACTGCTCGTCCTGCAGTACGGGCCAGCACTTCCGGAGGATCTTACCATCCAACTCTGGTAGAGCGAGAGGCGGGTTTGTATTTTCGTCGCATGGGTCGATGGACGATGGACGGCGATAGGCGTTCAAGTATTGACAGGTGGTGCGACCGGGAATAGACGCTCCGGTGTATCCGGTACCGAGCGCAGCCCATCTTCACCCGAGTAGATCGGCCAACCCATAGCCAGTAGGAGTGATTTGTCATAGTAACCCTAGCAGAACCGTTGCCTGAACGAAAGTACCAGTATCAACAATGCGGTGATTATTTACATTACGGTGCTCCGCCGATGATGCCAACAGTGCTGACTACAGCGGTGTTTCCCAAGAAGGGTGGAAACTAGGAGCTTGGATGATCTAACTCAGAATCAGCTGAAGCTAACGCTAGCAAAGGCCGGCCACTGGTGTTGGGATAGCTTCCATCCGAGGCCCGAGGGTCAGATCAACTTAAGAAAGGTTTTAGGGTTCGGTCCAACAACCCCATGGCCATCCGGGACAATAAGCAGGGGCCAGAAGCGTGAAACGCGTCATTGACTGAATGGGTTTATTTGAGGGTCCCTGGCTGCGGCCCGGCCAGTGGAGGCATTTCATCTGATACGATCGCTTCTCCTGGGTGGCTGTGTGAGCCCCGTCTTCTCAGTACATACGAGTTTTGGGGCAGGGTCCTCTGGACTCTGAACTCTGGACTCTGGACGGGGTACGTGGCAGTGTTTTTTGCTTACTGTACATATCTTACTCAGCTGACATAATATTATTCTATTGTACTCCTATGTTATGTACATCATTGCTGGTTATCTACTATACCTGATGAATGGCACCAGTCACGCTTGTCATTGTCCAACCAGCTGAGCTCACTGTCAATCCACTGCCCCTTGCTGACTCCTCCCTCCCTTGACTCCCCTCCCCTCCTCTCCTCATACCAACTCCCCCACCCACCATGTTACTCCTCAACCTCATTCACCAGCTTTCGGCAGCACATGAGTCCTTGCTGTGACTCACCATCCAGCAAGCCCTCCTCTTCAACACCCTCTGCCAGCACCTCCAAATGCACATTGCCTGGCAAGAAATCCCTGGCATTGAACACCTCAACACTCCCCTGGCTGCGATACCAAACATGGTCACAGCTTTCCTCTCTGATTCACTTGGGCTCCCACCAGGGCACATTCCTGTCCTCTGGCAAGCTCTTCAGTGGACTGCTTGGACACCCAACAGGGATCCTATGCATCCTACTGGCCCTCTGGTAGATCCCCTCCCTTTCTTTGCACACTTTGCACAGAAATACAACCTTGGTGAGCTCCTCCTTTCATTCCCCTTATCTCCCATTCATCTATATACTACTAGGCATCGAACATTTCTACCCCCCAACCAAATATGCCTTAGGGATGCCTGTCCCCACCATGTTTGCACTGGCATGCATGCCATGTTGACCCTTCACAACCAGCACTTTGCCATGTTGTACATGCTGGCCCAGGGCGCAATCCCTGTTGTCCTCATATCCTTGTGCTGCAGGATATGCAGGATGACCTACTACCTCAACTTCTACAATGAGAAGCAAGCAGCAGAGGAGGTTTGGGTCTACTATGGCAGCATGCCATCTGTCCTTCAAGCTGAAAAGCACATGGCTTTTGAAGACCATCTCTGCCATCTCTTTTGTGCACAGACCATCCACACCCAGTATGCATGTCTATCCATTTGTTCTTCCCTTTCCTTCCCTCCCCTCTAGTGCATACCTCTTCCCAGAGGGGCTGCTGGACAGTGATCTCTTCTTTTTTCTTGCCAAGTGCATCATCATCCCTATGACTAGCAGAGACTGATGCAGGGATAGTGCATCCTTGTCTGCAAATGCAGACATATACAACCTGATGCTGGCAAATGCCAGCATCAGGCAGCAAGGTCAATATTGCCTGTCCCTCCTTCGAGGCAAAAGTATATCCAACCTTTTTGACCTTTATGCCTTGCTTCTCCACCATGCTGAGCAGGGCAGCATTCTCCACCTTTCCAATGATGCCCAGCACCAGTATGACCAACTCAAATATGCCATGCAAGAGTGCAATGCTTTCATGGCCTACACTGGCCAGCCCCATTGGGCACATGTGTGCTCTGAGTGCACCAAGACAATCCAGCATGATGGGCATCCCTGTGAGTGCACTGAATCATCCAGGTGCATTACTCAACCTCTACAGACATTATGAGTTGTGCTGTCACAGATGGTGTAGCTATTGGCCGCCCATGCTGTGCCATCCACAACTGTCCTCTCCCTCTTCCTAGTTCTTGCACCTGCTTCTGCATTCCTCATGCCCATCTCAAATACATCTGCATCTTCCCAGGCTGCAATGCTCCTACATGACTGGACATGCAGACCTGTGATCTGGAAGAGCATGCCACATGAGAGACAGCATACCACACTGCCGGCAATTGTATGCCTTGCTCTGACAGTGTTGATGCAAGGCATACCAACACGATGAGATTGGCCATGGCTGCTATCACCCAAGACCAGCTGAGCAGGAGGAGGAGGACAAGGAGGACGAGGAGGACGAGGCACAGGAAGAGGAGGACAAGGCACAGGATGAGGCACAGGATGAGGCACAGGACAAGGCACAGGACGAGCAGGTGCAACTACAGGTGCAGTTCCCGGATGATGGGGAAATGCTACTGGTTGGTGCCAGGCCAGCAAAGGGGAAAGAGAAGAGGAAGGAGAAGGGGAGCAAGGCTGCTGCCAAGCCAAAGTACAAAGGCTTGCACTTCGGCAGGTGCAGGACGCACAACAAACAGCTTGTGGTCCATCCATGCAGCGTCATACTTGCTTGGGCAACCTTCTATGGTTCAGAGGGCATGTCTTCAGTCGCAGTCAGCAAAGTTCATGCATCCATAGAGCAAACACTAACCTTTCACTTCTCAGCCTTTCCTCATGTCCGTATTTCCCACATGCAAGGCCATGCCTGAGGTGTTGTTCTTTGACAACAACTGCACTCTAGGCCAATATCTTGTAGGCTGACTGGAGGCCAAGCACTTCAAGGAGACTGCACTTGTGGTGGATGTCTTCCACTACAAGATGAAGCATGCAGATGACAATGTCTATTGCAGCACTCACTGCAATCCAGCATCTTTCCCTGAGTTGTATGACCTGGTGTCTGAAACCTGGACATTCAACTCCTTGGCATGTGAGCAGACCAATGCATGGATACACAAGTATCAGGGTCAGCCTTGAGAGATGAGTGCCATTTGATTTGGGTTCTTCCTTGATGAGGTGATCAAGGCAAGGAATGAGGCGATTGTAGAGGGCTTGGTGCATTGAGGTTTTGCTCCTCACTTGAAGCCTGCCAGTGCACTGTAAACTATGTATGACTAATTGGATTACTTGGTTTATATACTGTACAGCTACCAGTATTCTATGAGCATAGAGATGAACTGCAGTGATAAGATAACAGTGATGGCAAGCACAGTTTGCATTAAGAAATTATATACATATGAGTCATTCATTTGTGTGGAAGTTCCACATCAGCTTCTTCTGCCTCATGCTCCCTGTCTTGTGCTTCCTTCTGGGCCTTCCTATGAGCTTTCCACTTCTTCCAGGTCCACTTTTTTTGCTGCTTCAGTCAATGAAGCAGCAGGAGGACCAGGTATTTGAGGGGGTGAGGAAGGAGGACTTGCAGAGATCAACTTGGCAGGTCCAGGTGTGGCAGGCTGCTCAGGGATTGCTGCAGCTGGAGACAACACTTCTTCAGAGATACAGGGAGGGTAGTCATTGAAGACCACTGGCAAAGGGGCTCAAACATAGAATGGTGTGCCTGTGCTAGTCTGCATGTATACACCCCCCTCGCCTGTGGCCAAAGCAGCATCCCACATTGCTTGCTCTTTTTCCCTCTGCTTCTCCAGCTTCTCCATCTCCCTCTCCATCTTCTCCTTGGCCTTCTGCCAGTCTTCAGCTCAATTCCCATCAGCAAGATGCAAATCTCCAAGATCTGGCATGTCGAAGTCACCAGCCTCTTTTCCCAGCAAAGTGCTGGGAAAACCAACCACATCAGTGGGGCACTGTGCTGCAGCCAACTGCTTTGCAAGACTTCCCAATATGGGTAGCAGGACCTCCTCCAGTTCACGCAAAAGACTGGTGGACCTCTTGTGCTCCTTCATCACAGTCCAGTAAGGCTCAGCATACTTCTTGACAAATGCTGGGTTGGCATGCAAGTCCAGGGCTGTAAGCAGCTTCTCAGATGGGAGAGAAGCAGCCATTGACTTGGTTGTCATGTTGGCCCCTAGCTTCGAAGGGATGGGAAGTGACTCTGCACCAGGTGTATATCCCAGATAGTCATGGAATGCTGCTGCCGGCATGATGTTAGGTTGGGAGGTACTTGCTTGTGCCACAGGGAATGCTGTGCTTGGTCTGAATCCTGCATTTGCCCTCAGCACTCCAACATGCATCTGGGCCACCTGGCGGTCCATAAACAGGCTTGCCATGGGCACATCAGACACAACAGCTGTTGCATCTGGCTTGCTGGCTTCTGCAAGTTGTGCCTTCACGGCTTTATGCCTCTGAGAGTTCAGTCAAGTTGATGCCTTAGTTTGTTGGTGCATACTTGCATTGGCCATTCAAACCTGATCAGCTGAACCTGCATACTAATGGCGCTCAGTGTTCAAGGCAGATCCCAACATCTCTGCCAAGTGTTCCCTCACCCAGTCATCCATCAGACACTTGTCCCTCCTCTGCATGGAATCTGGCTCCAGCAGTGGCACCCCATCTCAAAAAAGTTGTTCACAATTTGTGGGGGGGACAGTATCTGCAAGTATGCCGATGAAGTTGCAGGTAAACAGCCAATTCTTCAAAGACAGAGGGTTTTGCCAGAGGTAAGATGAGTCAATATAATTGCAGATACCAAGCAGGTGGCAGACCTTGCACTGAGCAACCAACCAGACTTGCTCGGCCTCTTTGAAGGTCATGGGATGCTGGAACAGTTCCCACTCAATCTTCATGCACCAAGTGGTGTTGAGGTGTGCATACATTTGCCGGAGTTTGGCAGAAGGCATGGTGGAGAGATTGTAATGGGTGACAGTGAATGCCCACTTGTGCAGTCTCTTCAGGTGGGCCACCCACCTGGGGTTTACCAGTCCAAGGACGGCACATCCCAGAGTATACTCCATCATTGAGAACACCTCTTGGATCAGCACCACCCACTGCACTTTGGTGCTAAGGGGAGATGCTGGCAGACCTTCACAGTAAGGTCAATGCAGGTGGAGGTGGTCAAATGGCTGGGCATTGTTAGGGCAACACAGGCTGACTAAGTCTGCTCACCTAAGAGTGCCAAGAGTCTAAGCAGGCAACAAGGAAGTGGAGTAGACCTGATGACTAAGACCTATCTACAGTATAGGTACCTGTGGATGATCCTAAGAGACCAAGTCTGAAGAGACAGTCCCCAGGCAGAGTAGGCCTTATATTTATATCTCTGTGGTGGAACCTGCTAGAACATCTTGCTTACTCAGCCTAGTCAGGTGATCAGGTCATATG